CTTAGGACTGAGAATATCTTCACGTTCGAGGACAACGGCTCTCACAACACGAGGAAGCGGATGATTTCGAACACCTTCTCGAAATCCTTCATTATGTCATCGCGTACTGCACGAGCGGCAATCCGAGACGTACTGTTTGGAGCCTATTTACCAATTTTGGAGAAATCTTCAATCGAAGGCAAGGCAGTCGAGGTGCTCGAGCTGAATTACTCCTACTCCATGGATACCTTTGTGCAATGGCAATTTGGTAAATCGCTTCGGAGTAACTTCCTTCAGGATGCACGCGAGCGGAGGCACTATTTGGATGGATTCTTTGCACCTGCACGCTATACATTCTGGCGGTACGAATTCCCTGCATTTGCCAATATACTTCGCAAACTTGGGATCTTCTTGATTCCCGCATGGGTTGATGCCGCATTTCGTGTCGCCGAGGACTGGAATTTAGCAAAATGTGACGAAGCTCAACAGCTTCTTGCGCACGGCACCTCCCTGTCACCCGAAGACCAGCCAATTGTATTCGAGCAAGCCTTGAAATCAATGAGCAATGTTAACTCGAAACCCAAGGAGTATCCCCAGCGTCTCCAAATCGCCAGCGACATGTTCGCGCATAACTCAGCCGCCTTCGAGACGAGCGGCATCACCGAGACCTATCTATTTTACGAGATGTGCCGCAACCCAGAATGGCAAGATAAGCTTCGAGAAGAGTTACTCTCCTTGGATCATCCTCTGAAATTCGATCCTCCTCGGAAAGTCGAACTTGAAGACATCGCACAGCCAAAAGACATCGACTCATTACCAATTCTGCATGCCATAGTGATGGAGACTCTTAGACTCTGGGCGCCGGTGCCAGGTGCACAACCTCGCAGGGTCCCAAAGTCTTGTACGCTGGGAGGCATCCCAAACATCCCTGCCGGGACCACGGTACAGTGCTCTGCATATACACTGCACAGAACACCAGAGGTCTTTCCTGACCCACATAGCTGGAAGCCCCAGAGATGGCTTGATGCTTCGCCGGATCATCTAGCTACGATGAAGCGTTGGTTCTGGGCTTTCGGCAGCGGTGGGAGAATGTGTATCGGAAGCAATTTCGCCCTTTACTGTGAGTCTTGCTGTTGGACATACTTTTTTTATGACCACTAATTCAAGTCCTAGCGATAAAGTATGTCGTAGCTGGCATTTACACCAACTACAGAACTACCATCTACGACCATGGTGATATGGACATGAACGATGCATACATGTCTGGACCCAAAGGCCACCGACTGGAGCTGAATTTCCACAAAGTAGAGTGACCACCGTGCGGCTTGTACCAAAATGGGGAGAAGAAGAAGTCCAAGGCGGCTGATATTCGCTCAGGATGGATGCATCTCGACACGATGGTGGTTAGTCCATTTTGGATACCATAGGATCTTCAGCAAGCCTATACCGACGTTGTATGCGCTTGGGTATGATTGGTATCATCCTCCTCGAGCACCTCTTCTGTACTACCGGTAGAAGACAGCGCCAATGTCCCCCTCCGACCAACAATATAAATATTTTCACTCCCGTGGCTCATATTGAATACTCCTCGCACCAGAGATACATCTGCGTCTGAGAATGATTCCATATTATATAGTGCGTCGGATCTTCTCGTCGTCGGTAGCATCCAGAATGGGTTCTGAAGTCATATGGGCTCAACAACCATTTCGTGATCATACACAGTCTGTGTTACTCGAGTTACGGCACACTTCGACGTTGCCATATAGACTACGAGATTGTGACGCAGTAGAAATAAGGAGATTTCTATGCTCGCGAGGCCCACGGTGTCAACATGTTGTTCTTGGTCTCGAGACTCTTCAATGAGTCGTCGAAGCGCAGGGCTGGGCACATTTTGCACTATTTGATCACCATCTCTCCACACACACGCCTTCGGATCAAACGACTCTTGTGTATCACGATGATAAAAAGCTGATCATAGCTGAATCGTGCTCTGATCGTATGTTAAGACCCAAGGCTTGGTTAACTCTCACTCTCACTCCCGCCTCAAGTTTCCAGGTACGTTCGTTTTGCTGCGCCTGAGAGCCGGTGTTGGGAGCGAAACCACAAAAGTAGCACCAAGTTCTACATTTGAGTAACCCTCTCCTCGTCGATGAAGACTGCAACATTAGTGAAATCGGGCCCGAACTCGAAATCCACAGTAACTCCTTTTTTCAGATACGTGAAGTCGCCCGCCTTGAGCGTGAATGTCTGCCCGCCGTGGATTTTGAGCTTGATCCAGCCCGCAGTCACGTAGAAAAACTCGTCACACGGGTAAAGGAGGGTACCCGTGCCGGACTCCTTTGCGGCTGCAGCAACGACTTTCCCGTCTGCTGAACGGAACATGATTGATTTAGAACCTCCCCAGTCGGGCATCGGCTCCCAGGGGAAAGACGTGTGGTTGCCGTATGGTGTGGCTGCAGGGTCGCTGCTGCCAGTCAGGTTTGGTTGAGAAAGCGGCATTTGAAGGGGAGAAAAGGCGGAAAATGCAATTTGGGATTCTTTGTCGTGATGGTGGCATGGAAGAAGGATCGAAGTTTGGGAAAGCTCTCTCGAAGATACGACTGTAGGGTATTCAGCCAGCTTCTAATTCACCATATACATCTTGAGAGCCTTATCAATCCAGTGAGGCTGGAGTCTACCTACTAATGCCCCCAGATATCCGCTTCTAAGTAGGACATAATCCAGAGGTGGACGTGACTGGGCTTCGGAAATGGGCCAGAAGGGGAAAGCTGCGACTCAGTAGATAAGGTTAGGAGCTTTGGTCTCGACACTTGACGATGACACAGAGTTACCGAGTCAGGGGGTGTAGCGTGTCTCAAATATGGGTACATCTATGGTCACGTTCGGATATCTCAGCATTCTCGGAATTCCCAGAATCTGGAGAGTTTCGAGACTGAGATACACAGATAAGAGGTGGAGCTGGCCTACTCTATCCACGTCCTGTGCCAATGAGACGACCTCGCTTGACAAAGTCTCGCGTCGTTTAAATTTATATTCCTCGTTCGTCTTAATTATAATCTCGGGAATCGAATGCTTTGGGAAGCTTCAGCGACTTATCGCTGTTCCGCAGGAGTTCGGTAGTTTTGTTCATGTAAGTAACACACTAGAGACTATGGAGTTGAATACACCGATACCTATTGAGAATTATAGTGTTTCAGTTGCAGGGCACTCGGTGATCTCCACAACAGGCCACATCTACGATGTTCGTCACTGGTATCAATTTTCAAGGATATCAAATAGTTTCCAGAGCAGTTCAACAGACCGGCAGCTGAAGTGGTGCTGCCGACCACAGAGAAAATAATCTTCGTAGAGATAACCAGGTAGAATAAAAGGTGACAAATGATGAGATACACTGTACAGGAGTCTTCAGATCAATTGGAAGCCTGTGGTGCTGTCAATTCAGCCGTGGCGGATGTTGAACGATGGGATTAGCTCAGCCCCAGGTGCCATACTGAAACTCCCTATATATCAACTGGGGTCCAGGGTGCTTCCATGGATTCTAGCCGGCCGCTATAGACTCTGCTGCGCTTCCGATCAACATCCAGCAAGATTATCCATCAAAATCCATCGGTAGTCTGCCCCTCTCCCCCACTGTATATCTGCTGTCGATTCCCCGGCTTTAAACATCCATTTACTAGAACCACCGATCACTCAAGCTGCAGTAGAGTCTTTGGAAGCCCTCACCTATACTCGAGGCATCAAACGACATATTCATATCCTCCAACGCCCAACGCCTCTGCACCTGAGCTATCATTTTCGAAGACGACTTCACCCTTTGTAACCCATATAGACCAAAACCCCTCCCGCCATGGCTCCGTCCGCCATTCGCGATCTCCTTCCGCCAGGGCCATTGACGTCGAAATCCAAGGAAGAATATGCCCACGGCGTGGAGGACAAGTCGCCTCTTGCCGCGATCTCTCACGGCGATGTGGCGCTGCCTGGTATTCCTCAATTTGACGACATAGCTGCCAAACGCCAATGGCAACTAGAACATATGGCCGCAGCATTCCGCCACTGGGCTCGTGAGGGATATGTTGAGGGCATCGCTGGTCATATCAGCGTTAGAGACCCGGGGAGCCATGACATCTTCTGGACAAATCGTACGTCGTTACGATGCCGCATGCACCGAATCCTTCCACTGACCATGAAGCTGACTAGCTCTCGGTGTACACTATGGTCTACTCAAGGCCAGCGACATGATTGCAGTCAATATGGAAGGCAAAGTTGTCGGGGGCAACCGCACTCGGCCCCCTAATGCCGCTGGTTTCCTAATCCACAGCGAAGTACACAAAGCCAGGCCTGATGTCGTCGCCGTGTGTCACGCACACACGGTTTACGGCAAAGCGTGGTCCGCTTTCGGCAAGCCTATCCAAATGCTCACACAAGATTCGCTCAAGTTCTACAATGCTCATGCCGTATACAACTCCTACGGTGGCGTTGTGTTGGCCGCGGAGGAAGGCGAGATGATCGCTCAAGCCCTAGGACCAACTAATAAAGCATGCATCCTGCGCAACCACGGCTTATTGACAGTAGGCAGGACTGTCGATGAAGCTGCATTCCTATTCCTGAGCCTTGAGCACGCATGCCAGGGCCAATTACTTGTCGAGGCCGCAAGCCAGGGTGGCAACCTGCCGAAAACCCTCATTCCGGACGAGGAAGCTGAGTATAGCAGTAGGATTGAAGGTGATCACGAGACGTGCTACGTTGAGTTCCAGGCTTACTATGACTGGGAGGATTACCATTGTAAGGGCGATTTCAAAAACTGAATGGTCGAAGGGGAAGTATGCCTTGTCAAGATGAGGATGAACGCGGAAAGGTGGCTTCCATTGAAAGGCGATGGATCTTCTGGTAACTGTGTGCGTATCCACTCACTTATCGACTTCACCTGTGCGGAATCTTCTAGCTTGGCCAAAGCACAATAGTCACAATTATTTGACGCACCCGTGGACATAACATATATGAGTATCTGGAAATTTCTTGCTTTACCCGGCTGCTCTGTCTAACACGACTTGCAAATCTGTTACCGGGTCAATGTTGTCGACAACGCCCAATGCGGTTGTAGGCTTTGCGTATCCGAGGAGTTCCAGCATTTTGGGACTCATCTGAAGTGCCTTGCTTCTTGGAATGGCCAGAAATTGGTTCTCTTCTGTTCGAAGAGTTCCGCGGATGAAGAATAGACTGTACATGGTGCGCTGTGAGCCTGGTACACTGTTGTGGCCGCCGCCATGAAAACAGGATGCGAGGAAGATCAGTGCCGATCCAGCCGACATTTCTGAGAGAACGGTCAACGAAATCCAGTGGACGGATCACAGGATGCTATCAATGATTCTTTGACTTACCTGCGAAGCAAACTTCATCTTTTGTAGCACACGCTTCGTCCCCCCATTTATGGCTTCCCGGGACAAACATGGTGGCACCATTTTCTCGTGTGACATCGCACCCGGCAATAAGACAACCAAATTGACTTGCTCTGTCGAGACGAAACTCGCCCTTGCCATGTCTGACGGCATGGATTCCGTCGTCACGGTGGAGGCGTTGTCTGGGAGCGCCGTATTGAATGTTCATCGCTATGCTGAGACTCAGGAGAGGGTTGATGATATTGTATTCATCGAAGTCCTCCCGTTTGTTGATGAATTGGTCTCTCAGAATCCTTTCACGCAACAGCTCGAGTGTCTCGTTCTCACATATCGATGCTATAGTGGGCGACTTCCCCACCAGGCCAGGGATAAGCACAGTAGATTGAGGTATTGTAACGAATGCATCGCTGGAGCCAGCGTCTTTCCGCTTAAGCTGTTTCCACGGTTGCAGTTCTGTTTCAATAGATCTGAGCTCGTCGGTCGATACGAAATCCCTCAGGATAACCCCTCCGTCGCGTTCAAGCACGGAAAGGATATCTCCTATAGCTGCTGTTGCAGGGAGGATCGTCACCGATCCCTTTGGCTGGTAGGATGGATCAATCGGAGGAGGTAGTGTAGGCAGGGTAGGAGATTTGACAGCCATGACAGAAGTTCCTGAAGCAGTTTTGAGATCAAAAGAGCTATACAGTCAGCCGATTCTGATACAGCCCCCTAACACAAGACGAGGCGACATGGTCACCAGAGGATCTCAAATGCGGCTGCCAGATTGTTTTAACTCGATGGCTCCGTCGAGGCCCTGTACTCACAATGGCGCTCAATCATGGCTAGGTAGTGCAGCAACTTCCCTCCTCAGGCTTGATCAGTCGCCAATCTAAGCGAATTTCCATTCTCGATCGGAAAGATTCCCGGATAGGCAAGTAAGTTATCATGCCAATCGGTGGCCTTGCCTCGGTTGGGCGGCAGGATGGGGGTCCCTCGCGTTGTCGCTAAAATTGAGTGTGAGCACCCGCAGCTGACTGTGAAGCTCAAGTCACTCACACACAAAGTAGAATACATGCCATCAATGTGCTATGGATGCCAACCATCGTGCACTGTTTTGTTATCCTCTGCCAAAGAGCCTTGAGGTCATGTCACTGTGGACCACCCGACCTTGCGATGCACAACCAATCAAATTGGACTTGAAATTGGCCAACCAAATCTGACGAGGCTGAATCTTTGCTGGTCTAAATGACCGAGGGAAGGCCATCACATAAGATTCTGAATATCTTCCCTAGGCGGCATCAGGCATGCCGACATTGACATTTGCATCCCGAAGAAAGTCATCGAGACGTGCATAATGGGCGGGGTATCGAGATTCTTGTAGCCGCGTCTTTGCAACGTGAGAAGGGTTGGGTGGCTTAAGGGGAGGAGGGGCTGCTTAGGGGGAGTGATTGGAGAGCGTGCGGGGTTCACTGCGGGCGGCAACGCTTCTTACCCAGTGCCTAGGCTCCCTAAGTCTTAGGTGGTAGGTGGTAAGCGTGGATGCGACCCTGGCGTGCCTGGTGACCCTGTCACTCCTCCAAGCTGCGGATGCTACTCCGTATTTTCCCTCGACTGATTAATCAGTCAGCCTCCAACGGTCCCTTTCCCTGGATTAATTCCTGCCCTGTGCTGCCCTACATGTGGGTGAGTGGGGGTTGCCCGTGGTCGTCAGATCTTTCTTCGCATGATAGCCTCATCGAAATTCTCATTGTATCTTGATCGTATTGAGTCACAGTCGTCTTATAGATACACACACTCCACTTCTGAGCGCGTGTACTCACACGGTGTGTTTCTGCAAGGTCCAAAATCCCACGGTCTGATACCGCCTCCTATCGTCGCCCTCTCAGCATTGCCCTCGCTAAGCGACAAATCCAATGCTTCGGAGAACTGATTGAACCATTCATATTCCGTGGGCAAACAGCCTCGCATCGCGCCAACTCGTGCTTGCAACCTCTGAAATCGTTCTCCCCCTCCCTCCAGAACCTTGTCTGCCGGTCCAGAATGCTCCTGCGTCGGCCTCATCCGACCAGACCACATGTCGCAATAACAATCGATACGTGAAACAACTGTTCCTCTACCGCGTTTAGTGATGGAAGAGGATATCAAAGCAGAGCAAGCTCATCAACCGAGTCCCCTGAGGGATATCTCTGAACACCCAGACACCTCAGCGCAATCCTCGGCCAAAGGGAAAAACAAGAGCAAGGATAAGGATTCTGGGGGTGCCGCCACGAAAAGGCGATGCGTGAGCACGGCTTGCATTGCGTGCCGAAAGAGGAAGAGCAAATGCGACGGTAACTTGCCCAAATGCGCTGCTTGTGCATCAGTCTACTTGACTGAATGTGAATATGCCCCGCACACCGATCACCGGCGCAAAGGAGTATACAAAAAGGATGTGGACGCTACCAAGACCAAGAACTCTACCCTCCAGATTCTCATACAAGCTATTCTCAACGCCGACGAGGAGGATGTGATGGATTTGGTTCGCCAGATACGGACGTGCGACAACCTAGAAGAGCTTGCGGCAACGATAGATGCGCAAGAGAAAGGCCTCATAGAGGCTCCGGACGACTCCTCGATGTATGAGGGTGAACTTGGCGTCCCTAAATTCGAAGCCGAGCTCTCTGGGAAAATGGGCGACTTGATGCTGGATGGGTCGGTCAAATTCATTGGAGGTACATCAAATTTGATCTGGCTACCTGAGGAATATGAACACCGAGGTCCACAAAGCTCTCCAGCATACCAGCGGGCCGTGGTACGGCCTCACGAAGAGGCTGTTCTCTCGTGGACTACTGTCACCCAGGACAAAGAAGCCATCCTCCACTTTATGAACATGTACTTTTGCTGGCACTATGCCTTTTTCACGACCCTGGCCAAGGAACTATTCTATCGAGATTTCCTAACTGGAACATCCTCACAGTACTGCTCTCATCTCCTTGTCAACGTCATGCTGGCGCTTGGGTGCCACTTCTCATCGCGACCTACAGCAAGAGCAGATCCAGCGGATTCCGGAACCACTGGTGACCACTTCTTTGCAGAGGCCAAAAGGCTTCTTTATGAAAATGACGAGTTCGCCAATGCGAAACTATGTACGGTCCAGGCTCTGGCTCTGATGTCCGTAAGAGAAGCCGGATGCGGCCATGAAAGCAAGGGCTGGGTATACAGCGGCATGAGTTTCCGAATGGCTTGTGATCTCGGACTGAATGTGGATACGGTGCCGATTAATGAAATGTCGCGTTTGACGGATGAGGATATTGATGCAAGACGAATCACGTTCTGGGGCTGTTTCCTCTTTGACAAGTGAGTAGCTCTGCGCCGACAAACATATGTTTGCTAATTGGTATCAGGTGCTGGTCCAACTACCTGGGACGGCAACCTCAGCTTCAAATGCCCAACATCACCGTGAAGAAGCCCGACGTGTTTCCATCAGAAGAAAGTGAAATGTGGTCGCCATACACGGACTCGGGCATCATTCAGGCGCACGCGCAACCAGCGCGCACCAGAGCTGTTGCGTTGCAACTGTCTAGGTTGGCAGAAATATCCAGTGATCTCTTGACATCATTTTATAACCCGCAGCTACTGGACAAACCTCCCCCAAGGCAAACAGAACTCAAGCGGCTGAGTGATCTACATACTAGGCTTGAAGCATGGAAGAAAGGCCTACCAGTCGAACTGGAACCCAAAGAAGGGCAACTTCCACAGGCTCTGCTGATGCAGTAAGTCTATGAAGTTCAAAATCCTCAAGAGGCGTGCTGACTCGAGACAGTATGTTCTACCAACTCCTGTATATCCATCTGTATCGACCGTTCCTGAAGTACACTCGAACGACCTCACCACTTCCAGCACACGTATCTCCAAGGAAGTATTGTACTCAGGGAGCCGCAGCCATCTCTAAACTCTTCCGACTCTACAAGCGGACACACGGCCTGAGGCAAATATGCAACATCGCAATCTATATTGTACATTCAGCTTGCACGATTCATCTGTTGAATCTGCCAGACAAGAACGCTCGGAGAGATATTATTCACGGTGTCAAGCATCTCGAGGAAATGGGAGAATGTTGGACAGCTGCCCGACGGACGCTCAGAGTCCTGCATCTATGCGCCGACAAGTGGAGCATTGAAATGCCCGAGGAAGCCGAAATGGTTTATACGAGGCTTAGAGCTAAGTGGGGGCTCGCAGCGAGTGCGCCTTCACCGGTGTCGCCCGAGTCTCTAGCAAACATGGCTCAGCAAATCGCATCTCAGCCAGTGCCTGACTTGATGGCGAGGAACATTCAACAGCAACAACAGTCGCAAGCTCTGCGTCAACAGTCAATGTCTCAGTATGCAGGCGGGCTCTCCGCGGCCATGGCTGCCTCGCCGGCAGAAACAATTGATTCTCGACGAACATCAGGAGGGCTGTCCATGCCTCCACAGTCCGCATCCGACCTTTCTCGAGACTCTCACCGTGTGCGCCCATCGACTTACCTCACGAAGGCGCAACAGGACGCGTGGAACGCACACCAAGCACGAATCGCAGCCAATGTGGCTGCGACGTCCTCGAACAGGGCGGGCGCTTCTGGCGAGCAAAATGCTGCTAGATTGTTTGGTGGGGTGGAAAGTCTGATTGAAGAAAATCAAGACTGGTTCTTCAAGGATCAGAATCAATTGGCGATGGGCTTCGAAAATTGGGGATCCGAGCCGCCAGATTGGGGAACCCTAGATCTGAGTTTCTTTGACACACCAGAAACGGGATCCAGTGCAAATGGCAATACGAATGGCAACTCACCGTCATACAACGGCCTGCAGTACTCGTATGAGTCAGTGGGAGGAGCAGCCAACACAGGCGTCATGGGGACCAAGAGCGGATACGGATATGAATTCAGCGGAGATATGTACCCCACAACAACCAACGCGGATGTTAATGGTTTGACCACGAACGGAACGAATGGAATGAACAATTTAATGGGACCAGGTACGGGCTTGAGGTTAGGAATGAATATGGGTACGAGCGGAAACGGCTCAATGGGGACCGGCATGAGAAATGTGGGTATGGGCGGGCCTGGCGCTTCTAAGCGCTCTTCTCAAAATCTGGGATTTGATGACGAGGTATATTATTGATGTACGGCTTTGGTTATACGAGGTTATGAGATGCAAGTCCCAATATGGTAGGATTTGAAGATATGGGTAGTTTTGCGATCTGGCGGCAAAGATACCAAGTGCTGTGGATGTATAGAAAATCTCTTTGCTCTGGTCTCGAGGAAAACATACGCTCGGTTTTCTATAGAATGATCCAGGGAACGTCAAGAGCTGCATCAAGGACGAGATATGTGGAACTTGCTGATTGACAGTAACATGTTATCCCTCAGCAGTTGTGGTCGCCAGCTCCTGAACACGCCACAGCCTTGTCACGACGCAGCCTTGCGGGAGTCGGCGCAGCCTTGCAGTGACGTATCTCAGCAAACAACGAACGAACACTCGCAGCGTCGTCAATTCTCCTCGTCTGTTCTGGCGATTTCACAACAGCACCCTCAGGCTTGGTTCCCCCTACCCTTTGCGAGAGGGATTTATTCCTCCTCCTTGCCCTCGAAAGAGGGGAGTATTGCAGCCATGTCACCTCTCCTGGATTGGCTAGTCGAACATGAACCTTCGTTTCGCAAGTCTGTCTCCCCCCCCTCCTGGGGGCATATCCCTGACCAGCGAACGCGGTATTTACCACCCATAAAATGCTGACGCGGGACTTCTCCATCTGACAGAACACGGCTCCCCTCCTTGTACTCCGATCTCAACCTCCAGCGAACCTCCAACCCCGAAGGCTACACCGCCAATGTCACCGCGTGGTCGTCTGCCCTCACCCACGCCGCACTCGCCGGAGAAATCCCCCATGGACAACATCACCTGATTTTGCAGACGAGTGATGAATTGCTCAATGCGCTGGCTAGTCCTACGTATGGGAGGCCTAGTGGGCTCGGGAGTGTTGTGGACGAGTGCGTACGGCAGGGGAAGATGGTCGATCTACAAGACTTTATAAGCTCGGAGAGGAGCATATACTCCAGAGGCTGGATACCGAGTCCGTGGGCGGTTCTCCGTTGGAGCCTACAAAAGGCTGGAGTGTCGTGGAGCAGCGGGAGCTATGATCTGAGCGGTGGCAGGTTAAAGTCGGGAAACCTCGCGCTGGTTCCAGCGTTGGAAGAGGTCTGGAAGAGACTATCCGCTGCGAGGGAAAGGGACAGAAAGACACAGACTCTGACTGACAGAGTCATGACGCGAGACACATTCCTAAGAGACGTTAACAGCGTCCTTGGCCAGGCCGGCGAGTTGACAGGATCGCTGTCGAGTCAAGACCTGGAAGTTCTGCTACGCTACCTCTCCCGCGACAAACAAGTCCTATCCTACGATACCAGCACCGTGAAATTCAACGTGCCGTCCTCTACAGCCATACCCGAGCCGATAACCCACGAAGACCGCTCGATCGCCTCCCTAAAATCCCTCCTTGACGACCTGCACCAAAAAACCACGACTCTGTCCACGCGCATCAAGACGCTGCAAGACAAGGCCGCGGCCGCGGTGAAATCCGGCAACAAAGCCAGCGCCCTCTCGGCGCTTCGCTCGAAGAAACTCGCCGAACGGACGCTCCAACACCGACTCGACACCCTCCATCAGCTGGAGGAAATCTACACCAAGATCGAGTCCGCGGTGGACCAGGTCGAAATCCTCGCCGTAATGGAATCCTCTGCATCCGCGCTCAAGACGCTCAACCAGCGGATCGGCGGCGTCGAGCGCGTCGAGGACGTCCTGGAGAGCCTGCGGGAGGAAGTGAGCAAAGTCGACGAGGTCTCTGGTGTACTGGCGGAGCCGGTCGATCAGAAGGCGGTCCTCGACGAGGACGAAGTGGACGAGGAGTTCGAGGCGATGGAGCGAGAAGAGCGCGAGAAGGCGAGGAAGGCCGAGGAGGAGAAGACCAGGCAGAAACTCCAGGAGCTGGACGCCCTCGAGCACCTGCGCAGGGAGAGGGAGAGAGAAGGCGAAATGGAGAAGCCGCGAGAAGATCAGAGGATGAAGCAAGAAGACCAGGCGGAAGACAACGAGTTGGAACAGGCCCTGTCGACGAGCATCGAGAAGATGCAGAGACTGGGCATTGGTGGGCAAACAGGGGAAGACGCGCAAAGACATCAGCAACCAGAAAGACAGGGACAGGCCGAGCAAATCGCCCAAGAAGCATCATAGTTCGACTCCGGAGGAATGCTGTACCTCGTCAAAGATACTGGGTTCAGAGATATTGGAGCCAAAGGGACCTTCCTCAAGGAAGCCTAAAAACGCATTCCCTCCATTCATCAATATTCATCGCCAGAGCACTTATCCATGTCATCAAATCCCCAGTTAAGTGCCATTGCTGAAAGCATACAGGCTTCAAGTCTATCTAAGATCTGACTATTTTTACAAGACTGATGAGTGGCACTCGCGTATATAAGCCCATCTTCGAGCATGCCCTTCACACAAAGTACCTCCCATGAGACCTTTCCGGAGGTTGCAGATCCAACTTTGGTTCAGGTGCATTCTCAAATGCAGGGGGTGATGGGATAGTTATTGCAGTCTCCTGGGTCTGACCATCAGTGACAGCGTTTTCCGGTTCGACCAGCATTTGACCTTGTATGTTGACGACATTTCCGCGAGCCGATACTGCTCCAGCTTCGTTTGGGCCCTCCGAGGGTGTTGGGCCAACCCCAGAAAGCTCCACAAGGGTGCCAGTTTCTGTTAGCTCCTGTGGAATGAGCTCTGGTGTTGGATTTTCTGCTGCAGATGATGGTTGTCCCTCGGGCCCTTTTGGTTTCCTGGCCCTAGCCTGGCGTATCAGGTCGTCAAAATTGCTTTTCTGAGTCTTCACATGGCGCTCTCTGTCAAAGTCCTTTGCCATGAACCCCGTGGTTGATGACTTTTCCGGTTGTCGTCCCAGCGTATCCTCCCAGATCTTCAACTCTCTGAGTAATTCCCTTTTCGTGACAGGGTTAGTGGAATCGCAGTTGGCGTTCCACAGATTCACCCACTCAGTGTGGCGCCTGCGCATAAGATCCTTGGAGCCGTGATCCGGGATGCCCAGGTCTCGCAACTTTCTCCGCAACGCGTTATCGGCGAGGAGGGAGTAGTTGATGAAGGGCAGCCGGTCCTGTTGTTTGGATGGTTTCCTCTGGGCATAAGCGATGGTGCCAGGCGGTGCGACAGGTCGCGAATTTGAAGGTGGAGCAGGAGAAGACGAGGATGCGATATCGTCGACCGGGGTGTGGCTGTCGCCTTGTATGCATTTATCTAGATGTGAATTTATGACTGCTTCCTTCATGCGACGGTGGCAACAGGGACACTGAACGAGGCCGTCCTGGGGCTCTGGATTGCCATTACCATTGACGAAGTGTGGGCTCTTGTGGCTGTCTGGATCTTCGTAGACGCTTCCTTCTTCTTCACTGTCATCTATGACTTCCTGGGTGGATGCCAGGCTCTGTTGACTGGCGGCATCCGAGGCAATCTTCCTGCTCTGGCTTCGTGTACTTCGTCTTTCAATGCCGTTGCTTGTGGGTTCCGCTGCCACTTTCCGCCTCTTCTTTGGTCTCTGAGCCTCGTTGTCATTATCTCGTTCTCTTTCCGTCGCCAGACTCGCAGTTGCAAAAGCAAGGAGGTCTTTGCGCGAGACAGTGAAATGGGCGACCAGCTCTTCCACGGCCCAGTTTCTCCGCAACTTGATTTCCTGATCCGCCTCCCGACACGCCGGGCATCTTCCTTCCTGAGAAAGACATCTTCGTATACAAAGACTGCAGAAGGTATGGGAACAACTGGTCATCATAGGAGTTGTGAAGTAGTCCTTGCATACTTGACACCGGAGTGAAGCGTCGACAGGCGCGAGGGAGGCGAGAGGAGTTTGAAGCCAGTCTGTGCTGTCTGTGAAGCCATCGCGATCTGCCATCATAGCCTCAAATGACGAGTGCCGACTAAGATGTTGCTGTTGCCCAAGCGGAAAACGAGTCGCAAGTCGCAGCTTAGCACGAGTCCACAATCGCTGTGACGACAATAACGAAATGGGCGGAAAGGACGGCGCGGTGGCAGTCGCTGGGCTTAGCGTGTTTTTGGCGCCTGGTAGCTACGCGTAAAGTGGCAGTCGCGTGCATGTGGTGCACAGTATGATATTTTCACAGAGCACAGATACTCGACGTTACCAATGTGTCTGCTACCATCATCTTATCACTAAACCGCAAAACAAGCCACTCGCTGTCCCTTTCGATGACTCTTCATGAGGCATTCTTCAGTCTTGTGGTATGCCTCGTTCAGCGTACCGTATTGAGCCATGTCTACATCGTAATTACTGCCGCAGATTGGGCCAGAACAACAATAGAACAGGCTCCAGAAAAAGGGACGGACAGACAGAGTCTAGAATGGGTGTCGCTCTGCCCAAATGCCTGTCCACCAACCCTTTCCATCATCCATATAAGTACAGCGTCTGCCCAGCACCAACCACTGCCAAACGCCCCCTTCATCTTCTAGGATCCGATGCGTTCAATAGATCTCGATCTTGACTCCCGTGCTGTCATGACAACCTGACCGAGACCAGGCATATGTAGGGTCAGCCTCGCGATGCGTCGTCGGTGAGCAAGATTCGCTGCCCTAGTCGCCCCTTGGTTGGAGATCGACGTTTCTGAGCGCATCAGGTCAAGACTGGGGCAGTGAAGGTATCACCCGAGAAGTACTGGTCATAGGACAATGCTGGAGCTGGAATACCCCCACATGTGTTGAGAGGCGCTTTGATAACGGGATCCGGGAGTCGACCCATTGAGCGCAAAACCCGCCAATTTCTGCGACATAGTATAGCTGGGGATATGTGAAATCACCCCATCCATTGGACGGAGAGTATCAGTCTTCGCTCCTGACCCAAATACCGTAGCATGCTGACTTCCAAGGCTCAAATGGTGCATGAACCAAAGTTGACAATTGGAGGCATTTGAAAATACCCTGTCTTGACAACACACCATTGAGCATATCTCATCGGGTTGCCATCGTCGTTGGTCTCTTTGAAGCCCCTAGGTCATAACTTCCTCCCCGATTATATGAGTTCTCCGTGTTGAGACCAGTTTTTGGTGTGTCCTCTGGACATGAAGTAATCCGGTTGATCGTACCATGTTGAGCATATCTGGGCGCTCACGCTTGGTCACACCCATAGCTGGAAAGTGCGTCCATCTTTTTCATTCAAAATCATCATCTCCTCGAAATGTGTCGGCCCTGTTCAGCCGAGCCGGACTCAAGGGCGTGACGGGCTCCAGCAGGCTCGTTCCTGTTCCGACGGCCCCTCCTAGGAGACTTCTCCTGTGCCCTTTGCTGTCGACCTTTTCCAGCGCATTCATTTCTTCCATAGTTTCGTCTTCCACATCGGCTTGGACGTCCATGGGCCCCTCCAGCTCAATCTGTCTTGTTGCTCCGCTGAAGCCTCTTCTTCTTGCTTCCCCCAGCTTCATTCTCACGGCCAGTCGCAGTTGTTCCAGATATTCGGCCAACTCGTGAAACTGCTTGTGTGAGTCGCTATTCTTTGTTTCACTGTAGAGTTCTTGTGCTTCATCAAGCCTCTCGGCAGCGATCTCTGCTCGGCCAAGTTTCATCCATTCGTCTGCAGCCATGATACTCCAAAGCGCAGCCTTTCTTTTACGCATGCCCCAACCGGTGTTGCCGGTGCCGATGCGGTCGGCAAAAGAAGATGCCACCCGCTCACTGATCAAGACATGTCCAATGCTACCGACCAGACCCAGTTCGAGGCTGCGAATTGCCCATTTCGCCGCGAGTTCGCCGGCTGCGCGACCTCGGACCTTCAACAACTCGACACCAAGTAAGATAGAGCGCAATGCAAGGGCTGGCTCAGAGCACCGGGTCAAATATGAATAGCTCGCTGTTTCGAGCATACTGTCGAAGTTTTCAATTTTGAATTTGGAACTACCACTGCTTGTGAGCGGGTTCAGGAGAGTAGCGACACAGCACATTTCGTTCGCCCCAGCCAAATGTTCCCAGGCTTTATCATTGGAGTAGTCACCTCGGAGCAGCTCATAGGTCGATGCCGCCAATTTGTAGTCCCTCAGCATAAATGCATAGTCGGCAAGCTTCCGCAATAAACTCTCGGGAGCATCAAAACGGTATGTCCCCTGCAGGCTGTCATAATTGCCGCTGGCTCCAACGTTGGTGGTCGACGATGAGCTTCGAGAAGAGCTTCCAATTGCGGTCCATCTCTTAGAAAGCGACATGAACCGGCCGGAGATACCCCGACGACGTGAAGCGATTTGATCATTCCACAGGGCAATCCTCTGTTCCATATGGTAAATTATGGACTGTGCAATAAGCTCGCGGACAAATGCTCGCAGGGCGGTCGCATCCGAGGAAAAGATGTAGGGAGATGTAGAGGTGTTGAGATCGATGAGATCTGCAGTGTCGTGCAAGAGGGCGAGTTGTTCAGTGGGCGACAGCCATTCGCTTGCAGGGAGTTCTTCGGTGTCATCGTCGGTCTGGGTACATGGTGCAGATTTCAGCCTGAGAAGATGGCAGTGGAGGCCAAAGTGTCGCTTCATCTGATCAAAAAGGGCCGACGATTTGTTGAAGTCATCTCGGTCTTCATCGTGGACGAGCACATAATATCTGAGGTATTCCGGATTGGCGAAAACGGGCAAGGCTCGCGAACCCGACGCAGTTTGCTGATAAAGATTGCGCAAGGTCTCGATAGGTTGTTTCGTGGAAGAGCTGATAGCAATCACCGCACCAACTGGATGGCGGAACGATTCATGCGGGCTCATGGTCTGAGAGGACAGGAGCCGGGCCAGAAACAGTCGATAAAAAGGAGAGGTCTCGCCCCGCCCCAGGACATCTTCGGTCTGGTCGAAGCCCTCTCCTACGAAATGTTCCATCAGCTCTTCTAACTTTTCCATCGAGTTGGCCGCAGGATGCGAGGACGTGCCATCTCGAACTAATTGGCCCAGATCTGCAAAGTGCACACCAAAATCTTCCCATGCCCTGCTGGCACCTGTGCTGTCTCGCACCACCACCTTTCCATTGATCTTGTCGCCGAATGGGCGAACCAATCCGATGAAGCCATTCCTCAGCCCTTTGCGAGCGGCGAGTTCGTCCACTTCTGGCGATGCGTAGATCGCAACAGTGGGAGAGAACGCTCGGACAATTAATGATCGTGTGTCATCATATGTCTCTGAGGGATTGCCCAGGGGGCTATTGGCTCGCGACCTCCCAAATCTCGATACGGACAACGATAGCCTTCCATTAGGGGAGCTAGAGCGGGATAGAACGCTGGAGAGGGTGCTGGTTCGGGAACCTAGGGCGGGAGGGCTCGATGTGCGGATAGGGAGACTGGTGGTGGATGTCTCGGGTGATTCGTTTCTCGCGGGTGGTCTTGTCTTGTGAACCTCGAGGATTGGGATCGAGGGCGAGGACAGAATGTCGGGCGACTGAAGAGGGTCTCCATCACTCGGCGAAGAGGTCATGGACAATGATGGAAGAGGGTTTTGACAAGGTCGTTGTCTTGCGCGATGTCATGGAGTGTCTGTTCTGGGGGCGTTGAAGGGCTCGAGATTATCAGCATATCAAGGAGCATTCACAACTGGAGATTAAAAAAGCAAGTCCCTTCCAGTCACTCATCAAGGATTGGATAACATCACTGCTGGGAAAATGACAGAACATTGGCCAGGGCTGGGGATTGTGTAGGATCCTCTCGCAGCCTCGGGATCAAGTTGATCCGCCGTACCGCAGATAAGGCGAATCAATGCGAGACTCGATGCAATTGTGTAGAGAACCGTGAGGCCTACGGCGCCAATAGTTACGTTGCGCAAGGCAAATATCAATCACCCTGAGCAGTCTTTGCGTCCGACAAAAACAAATAAAAATGAGCTGCTTTCTTCACGAAGTCTAATGTACACATACTTTCATAAAATTCGTTGCTTGGGGTGTCTATCTCTGGCCGAACAAGGTATGCCCCAGATCAATGGAGGCCCATCAACTGCTTACTGTTCTCGTAGACAATATAGCTGATGCTGACTGCCGGCGCTACCTTCAAAAGGTTCGGCGTCACTCCCTTGAACAATCCTTTCACTCCTTCTCCCTGGACCGTTCTGATCGTAACATCGACGATGCCCTTGTATGTGGGCGGGTGCAGCACTGTGCCTTGGGCTTGCAACCTCGTCCTTAACAGATTGATCGGGTAGACAGCCGTCGCGCTGATCGCCCCCGAAGTTGCTCCAATGATGCCTGTGTGAAAGTTGCTCATTTCGACATCCTCCTCGTGGCAGCGGTGTTTCTTGGCTTTTCGGGCCAGCACAAAATGCTTGCAGTTTTCAAAGATGAACAGGTCGATTGCGCTGTAAGGGAACATACCCGCGAGGCCCATCCCTAACCCTCGGTAATATGGCATGAGTCCGCCCTGTTTCCACATCTTCCGCGCCGTTTGGGCGATCAATGCGTTTCCATGTAAGCCGCCTTCAACCGTTTCGCATTGCATGCGGCTGTCTCTCGTTAGTCCATGCTCTCCGGGCATAAATGATGGATGACCAAGTCGTCGCTTACAATTTCAAAGTATCAAGAGGATAAACCACGCATTGAGCAACCGCGCCACCAATGCCACCGGCTAGGAACTGAGAGGTCGGGTGTAGATGCTTTGGATCTGATCCCTCAAACTCGGCAAACATCTTCTTCGCGGCCTCGTATGCACCGAACTTGATTGCTGACTCCGGCATGACCTTGACGACATTGAGTCCGTTCCCGGCGAAAAGGCTTCGCATTCCTCCAGCTCGCCACAGATCTTTACATGCGTCGACCAATGGCCGGGCAAAGTTCTTAATCACCTGGAGAGGTGCCCCCTTTTTGGCCGCTTCTACCGCCGCCTGTTTGGGATTCGTCTGTGCAATTAGGTAGACTTTGAGTCGGTCCAGTGGAGCTGTGGCTGTCCGCGAGATCATGCCTGCTAAGCCACCTGCTATGAAATAGCCTAGTGGGATGAGGATTTCTGTCAGCATCGTCAATTAGGTTATAGACGATGAACGAAATTCCCGCGATGAACCATTAAAATTGACAAGACTGAGTCTGGCCGAACCTGGCACTCTATGCAGCCAAGGGTCAAAGCAGTGTAGAGTATTGCAAGGTCATTCGACGGCTCAGTCGCGACTGGAATGTAAGTGCCGAACAAAGGGGCCAAGTAGTCCTTACCAAATCCTTGAAGGGTGTCATTGATATGGACATCGCCCTCTTGGTTGACATTTGCTGTCGCCGAGTAATATGATATAAGAGACCCGAGAGTGGGTGCGCTCGCAGGTAGGAAGAGAAGAAAATTTCTGCGGACCATGTTAACAGGTGTTGGACCAAGGACCAATGGGTGCATGTGCATACCTCCATTCATCAAAGGAAATCTGCCCGTCATGGTTGACATCGACCTCGTCAAAAAATTGATCCAGCTTCGCGTTACTTATTGTCAAGCCCGCTCTGCTGAATGCGGCACGGAGCTCTGCCTTGTCCAGCGCGCCGTTGTGGTCTTTATCTATACTTTCGAAAAGTTGCCAGAGTTCGCGCTCGGCATGTTCCACGAACACCCTAAACTCGTTATATTGTATGCGTCCATCGCCCGAGGTATCGACCGCTTTGAGGACATCGTGGAGTAAGGCATCGGCGTTTTTCAGAGGGTGGTCGATTTTGCGCAGGCCTTTCTTGAGGGCAGACAGGTCGAGCTGACCCTCATTTCGAGTGTCAAGGTTGCGCCATAGCTCTTGAATCCGCTCATCGCGGCGTTCATGTGACTCTCCGTTCATGCTACATCCGATGGTGCAAATGATAAGAAGGGCTATCTGTGGGGGAGCATGATTGTGTCCTTCTCTTCACCAGGCGAAGCTTCGGAGGTGACTGATTGAGAGGTTGGTGAGGCGGTAGAGGTGTCGGGGGGGTCAGCTAAAGGGTCAGAAGTGGCCCAGCCGACTGCGAAGCGAAAGTATTGAGGAGGGAAGAAGAGTCTGAAGCTCTGTTTGCAGGGCAAGAAACGAAAAAGCTGGGCAGTTGGTGAGGGATTGCTGAGGTGTGCTTTGGGAGGGTGACGTGCTGTGGGGTTGTACTTGACTGGCTCATAATACCTGTAGCTAGCTCAGTAACCACCAGCGCCACTGACGATGAACTTTGAGCCTGAAGCCACTGCAGGCCCGAAAATCCCCCTTCGACCCCTTCTGCCCAGTGGGCCCCGTGGCCCCCAAGCGTCGAAAGGCATGTGCGGTGGCCACTGCCCAATGGTCAGCCTCGTTCAGCCTTGCCAAGCCATATCTCAACTTCCTCTGCTAATGTAAACGTTGTTCCCAACCTCTGTCCTTCTGCTCAGTCTGCCGGATATCAATATCAGCCAAGGAGAATGGAATTAGGAGACTGTGCCATACCCTTGTGCTCCGGAGAGAAATGCAGTGTCGGTTCTTGACGAGGTTCGCGGCCATCAACACCATCGTCGAGCAGCAATGGCGGCCAACTACTGGGTCTCGACCCAGCGCAAATTCTGGACGTTCACACCCGAAAAGCTGTTCGAGATCCGCGACGATCTGGAGAAACAAAATTCCAAAGTCCTCGAACAGTGGCCCTATCCGGATAGAAGGCTGATGTTCATCTTCCTGAGAGACAAAATCTTGCAGCTAGGCAAGAGGCTGCAGTTCCGCCAGCAATGCGTTGCCACTGCCATGGTCTACATGCAGCGCTATTTCCTCTCGACACCGATGCAAAACGTCAACCTCTACTTGCTTGTCGCGACAGCTTTCTATCTTGCCTCCAAGACCGAGGAGTCACCCCACCACATCCGCCTCGTCGCCGCTGAAGCGCGCCAAGCATGGCCGGAATTCGTGCCGGGAGATGTCTCGAGGCTGGGGGAGATGGAGTTCTGCCTCATCTCGGAGATGCGCTCACAACTAATTGTCTGGCACCCCTACCGCTCCTTGATTGCGCTAAAAGAGAATCAAGAGCTCAAGTTGACAAATGACGAGCTTGGCCTGGCTTGGTCCATCATCAACGACAGCTACATGACGGATCTGCCGCTGACGTGTCCTCCACATCTTATTGCCATTATTGCAATGTTTTTAGCTGTGGTCTTTTTGCCTTCCGCGAAGGCAGCGGGCACATTGCGTCCCTTGCCCCATGAGACCCTTTCAAACCCGGACTCCGGCCATTTTTCGTCTCTTGGAGTCGGTGGTCGCCAGAGCCTGTCCACTCCTTTCAGCAACGCCCTGAGCAACTTGCAGATGTCGAATCAGATAGCCGCTCAAAGCAACGCCAGTGTCAATGGAAAAGCTCCGTCTCTGAATCAGAATGATCCAGCTTCGCAGCAGCCATTAGACAAAGAGAAAGCGATAATCTTGAGCAAGGAGAATGAGAAGATGCAGAATACCTTGAAATTCTTGGTCGAGTCTGGCATCAACATTGAACAAATGATTGAAGGCACCCAAGAACTGATCAGTCTGTACGATATTTGGGAGCAGTACAATGAAAAGGCAGTCAAAGACGCTGTTGCCCGATGCATGAAGACGCGTGGATTGGATAGCTAGTTGCTATGGCAATTTACCAGCACATCCATTCCGACACCTTCAGGCTTCTGACTTGGTGGCGCCCGCCCCAGCTGCACCAACCTGCTTTCGGATTTCGAGAACGACGGGCTTTATTCTGGCCACTGGTTCGTTCCAATCGCAAGAGGCCAGTTTCTTACTGGGGTAGTCGACATAGAGAAAATCGGCCGCAATATTGCGAATCTTACACGGTTAGCCCAGCGTGATACCACAAAGGATGAGAACGGGAAAGTACCTTTGGCCAGCGATGGAGTAGCTGTCGGGTCAATTTATCCAGCGCCCTAGCACGATAGGCATCTAAAGCCAACATCCTCGAGTAGACATTCAGCGAAGCTTCAATTCTCTGGAGGCTTGACATGGGGCTGTGGACTTTTTGCATCACAGTCCACAAGTCAAAACCAATGTTGTCTGAACAGTCGCTGGAGTCGACAACGTATAGATTTTGATCAATGATGAAACACAGAAAGTCAAGCAATGGGAGAACCTGGCGGTCATCTTCTTGAGCCTTGAGCGCAAGCCCTTCAACAACAATGGTCGAGACCGCCCCAGCAAGGGTTGCCTGCGTCTCGGCGTCAAGAGACTGCATGTGCAGGACGAACGCATTACTTGCAGCACGACAGAGATCTTCTGCGCCGGAGGTTGCCGACGAGACTAATCCAAGAATGAGATCTCTCTGTGCCCAGGGTATGCATATTAGTTCCATCAGTTGCCGGAAGTATGTGACTGACGACACGTCGGTGGGATAATGGAAAGTATTCTGCGGGACCGGCAAGCAAGAGTCCGTCTTCCAGTGGCTCTCGAGACACTTCCATGCGCGGAAACGCACGTTGGCTAGCTTCTCTGCTGCCAATTTGACAACAAGTGGCATCACGTCTTTCGAGATTGCGCCAGCTTGTTCTCGAGAGTCGAATTGACTCCGGTACATGTCGACAGTCTCGAGTGTCTGCAGTCGGAGGGTTGAGCCGATGTCCCCTCGCTGGTCATTAGTGTAGTCCTTTAAACCACATTGGAACGCACTGTATAGTCGGCTTGTCATATCTTCGTCAGTCTCTGGTATTGCACTGGCTAATATGACGCCCAGAGCCTCCATGGCATCAACTCTGGTCTCGATTTTGTATGGTCCCTGGACAACATCCATCATGTACGAGACGATTTTCCGGCGAATGCCATGATTAAACCCGATCTGCGCCAAATATCCATGGATCAAACTGAGCGTTTTAAGGCGTCCTTTGCTTGTAGAGGCGGCAGATGTTTCTCGTTTGCCCTCGAGCCACCCTTCAATCATCGTGGCATCTGCAGAAAGTGGAAGGACCTTGAACAGCTCCACAAATGCATCGGCGCTCGTTTGAACAGCAATTTCCCTCGTCCCCGCCGTGGTGCAATGATTGAGAACTCCGGCTGCCGCGGAAATCCATGATTGCAACACAGGCGATGGCGCTGGCTTGGCTGTTGCGCAGCATTTGCTGATCCTAGAGATGAGCGTAGCTATTCCTTCCATCACAAGTTCGATATCCGAAGTTATGCGGCCTTCGATCTTGCCGGTTAACAGCTTCAACTCAAGAGCCTTGTTCCCATCTTCCTCAAGCCAACACAATGCTGTCTCAGGCTCAAGCTCCGTAAGTGAGCTAAGTGCAGAGGCAAGCCCGAGGAGCAATCCGTGCCTTGCTGCAGCAGTGCTGCCCATGTTGACTGGCTTAAGATCTAAGAGTTGGCGAAGGACAACGTCAGCAAAGGAAGAAATTTCGGAGACGGGAAGGGACTTTGTGAGGATGTGAATGGTCGCAGCAGCCCAGCGGCGCTGATTGACATCGGCAGCGCAAACACCTCGCCATTGTCTCAGGGCCTCCAATAGGGCTCTGTGGTAGACGCTTCCAAGGGCAGCGGCCTGTGGGGCGACTTCAGTCATGGCTCGGGAGAGCCGCGCAACAGCATGGTAGTCAACAACTTGGACCACCGAGATTCCATTGATGATTGTATCGGGGTGCCGACCGATTAGCTCTTGTAGTGCCGCTGATGATCCTCGGCGAATGTTCCCCGAAGGGTCGAGACAAGCAGAGACGGTCAATTTGACGGCGATCAATTGTAGGACACTCTGGCACTCTGTGACGCTTGGCTCAGCATAGTCCAAAAATGGTACGAGATCCAAATCTGAAGTGCTGTATTTTCGGGCCAGAGCCCAGAGACCAAAGCAAGCGGCATCCCGGACACCGACACCAATCGAAGTCCCGACGTTGGACCTCTGCTCAAAATCCAAACCCAGGAGCAAGGACCGGATGATTTCTGAGAGCATTTTGGGTGGAGGAGAGCGGCGGAACAGCAAGTGAGCCAGTGTTAGCATCAAGCCATGCCATTTTAATGGGTCGACCGCGGTTATGACTCTCTTCATCCTGTCACGATCGGTGACGGTCCTGTCGGTTATTGCCATGAGCTTATGGCTGCGGGGATCTTCCAACAGGACGTTTTCTTCGAGACAACCCAAGATGGCTTCAACGACGTCTGCGGACATGTTAGAATCAAGGTTAAGGGTCACTACACTCAGTGCCTTGGCAGCTGCCATTCTGACTGGCGTATCCTTGTCGCTAAGGGCATCGAGGAAGTATTGTATGCTCTCCTCGAGCATGTTGTTCAGGCTCTTAGGTTGCAGAGAAGGATAGGTCGAGCTCAAGGAGATTGCATGCAGCAGAATAGCCCGCAAAATCTTCAGAATCCATTTCCGCGCAGGGGCAGGATCTCGGATGGCTGCAAAGTGGCTGCTCTCACTGCTCTCGGTCGTGGCGATCTTCAATATAGAATTGAAGAGGTTCTCAATGTAAGATGCAACCTCGCTATCCGAACCAGAGTTTGTGACGCCGTAAAGAAGAGACAGCAAACCCAAAGCTTTGTAGGGACTGAGACTGACCAAATCCGGATCAGTCAGGAGCTTTTGAGTCGCAAAGTGCACGAGCTTTAGGGGCAGTTCATGAGCCAGCATGTCTCTCCGTAAGCTCAAACGCACTAGCAGAACACTTGCAGCCTCCCGCTCCTTACTCGAGCTTTCCAGTTGTCCGAGGGCAAGAGAAATGACATCGCCGGCGATGCCAGGAAGGTTACCAAGGTCATCAGGAAGGGCAGTGACTGTGTCGCTTATGGACATAGTGGCCAGCTCGAAGGGCGCAAGCATCAGATGAGACAGCCAGAGAAGCATCACGTAGCGCTCTTCCCAGGTCATGCCTTTGGACGGTGTATTCCAAGCTCTGAAAGCAGACAACATGGGAGCCAAGTATTTTGGCTCATTATTGAGCAAACGAACAATGACTTTGTAGCCCCTGACTTTACAAAACGAGTAAAGAAGTCTGCATATCGCTCGGGACAAGGGATAGACGCTAGCTGCCCCGTGTCGCTGCGTTGGGCCATATTGATTGCTGGATTCTGCGAGGTATCCCACAAAGGCATCGGTTAGGAGTTGGATCAGCGTGGAAAGATATGGGTCAAGCAATTGGGGCCATTCTTGAAAGCGGTCAAGCTGATACAGAGTTAGCAATCCGATTAGTGACCTACACATCTATGGAGGCAAACCAGTCGACTCAGTTCCTCGCATTTCGATTCGAGAACTCGGACACGGCGTCTTGGGGGAAATGTGCCGCGTTCGAACAACAGCAAAGGGAGTTTCTCCTGCAGTTCGGAAAGGAGGGTCCCTGAAGCCTTGTAGAGCTTTGCATCGAGATCGTGTTCAGCTGCGTCCATGTAGGCAATGCTTCACCAGCTTGACAATGGCTGAGGGCGGCTGGGTATAGTATTGTTACGCCCTCCACCTCCTTTGGAAGTGCACAACAGGCAGAGGAGGATCTCAGGGAGGGAGTCAGACTGGCACGTGACTGCGCGATCCCCTTGTCAAACGCTAGTCCAGAAACGGCGAGGCTCCGACTGTCTATTGTGTTTCGGCCAATTGACAGCGCGCATGCCAACGACGTCAACCTGAAACCGAAACCGGCCCAAGGCTGCCTGTTTCCAACATCCCAGATACCACTTCACCCCAGCCAACAAAGCGCAGGGTGATACTAGGTCGCTGCGTCCGGCAACTGGTCATCTCGACAGACTCCTCAGTCATGCTTTCCATGTTCAGGCTGCGGCGACTCATCCGCCCTGGCGTCCGACCTCTACAGGCCTTCGGCTAGCCAACTACATCCACCACTTGATTCATTTCGGATCTGATTAGCTGCTCCTCACCGCCAGCTCATCGCTGCGCTCCCTCTTCCCTGCACCATCTTCACGACATCCTTCGCAATCCTCGACAGCGCTGCTTCGCTATCATGGCCAAATCAGCCTTTGCTTCTCCCTTTCGATACCTTTCCGGCCTCTTAAGCTCGCCAAGGGCTGCTCTATCCCGCTCTAGCAACCCGACAACCTCAGCCTCACTAGCGCAAAAAAATGACGCTGGTTACACCCCGAGTCCTGAAATGCGTGCAGGGTCCTATGACTCCGTCAGTCATGGAAAGGGCAAAAGGAAGGCTGAGGAAGAGGATCACTCTGGGCCGAAGACTAAGAAACGTGCGATAAGCATGGACCGGGACGCTTTCATACCATACGGAAATGACAGTGATTTTGATCAGAGTCCCTCCATACCCAGCACAGGCATAAGAACAAAGGCGGAACTGGATCGAACCTTGATGCCGCCCCCGGCAACCCCTCGAGACCGGACGACGCTTTTGCTCACACAGCGTGCCGACCCTAACATGTTGCAAGACGCAAATACGAGAATCCATGATGATGATTCAATATCGTTCGTGTCGACAGCAATGGCAAGGCAAAAACTAGATTCACTAGATGCCGATACGATGGAGGAAGCAAGACGGCATGCGGCTGCGGTGACTCTACCTGCGAACTCCGGGCTCTGGTCTCAGGCTGAACGCGAATTGTTTTTCCACCTTGCCTATCGTGGCTTCGAGGCCCTTCTTCCCCAGAACTGGATGATCGACTTCGACACATTACCGATCAGTGTGTTTGTACACGAGAATTCGGCAGATCCACCACTCATTCAAAACATCCGAGACAATCAATTCAGGGCAAGCCATGCTCTCCGTCGACTCTTTGAGGCTGGCCATGACATTCGAGATAGAACCCACGTCAGCCCGGGAATCTCAAGAGAAAGGATTTTGGAGCAGTCTGTGAAAAGGTATCTCTACTGGGCTCTGACAGATGTCGGCCTTCGCCCAGCATCAAAGACCAACTACCTCCCAGTCCACGTTGTCGTTGCGAGGAAGAAAGGTCGAAGTACGCTACAGACGCTGGAGGAGATTGCGAACAAGCTACAAAGGCTTTCGCAGCGGCATCAAAGAGCTCAGAATATCCATCCAAGCATCGAGACCTATAGCCCAAGCTTGAGTGACACGGATGAAACTCGAGTAGTCGACGATGATGCAACATCGCCTACTCTCATTGGTTTCGTCATTATCTCATCGGTCCTCGTCGTTGTCACACTCAGTTCCTGCCCGACGTCAACTCTAGAACCCCAGAAAGAACAAACAGCGTCTCCGCTTATCCCAGGATCTTCGTTCCAAGGCGCCACGAGCGTCAAACCCGATAGACTCCGCATCATTGCTGAATTGGATTTCAGCCAGAGAGATCAAGATGTATGGAATGCGCTCGGCGTGGCAATTGTGGCGATGCAGGTGCGCAGAGAGGCTCTTAAAGTGAATCACGGATTCACACACGATGACTTGAGTGGGATTGATTGGGATGTAGTGTCGGAGGCCGATTCTAGGCTCCAGGACGATTTCGAGGGAGGGAGTACTTTGTCAAGGTTACAGTTGGTTGATGACGACCCCGACCTCTAACATGTGGGTGGTAGCGGTGGATTCAGCCTTGAAGATGAGATATGTTGGAACTGGACCAGTTGGAACTCTGCGCAGGCTCCGAAGCGCTTTCCTTAATTTGACAAGTCTTCGTCAAACAAATCTCTTTGGTGCTCAGACGACAAGTGAAATCATCGTCCTGCTATCTGTATGTCGCCGTATTCATGAATATTCGAACACATAGGCGTGCAGTCGAGCAGCGGTCTGTAGCCCCGAACTCTGCTCTTTCTCGTCAAGCCCAAACCAAGCATCTTCTTCATATCGATCGTAATATTGGTCTTCCTTTTCTTCTCCTGGTAGTGCTCCACATTTCGCATATAGGTAGCTGCGACGATGACGAGCCGAAAGGTCTCACCCTCATCACGCGCATATGGCGAGTTGGACAGGGGCTTCCATCAGTCAGTCGGAGCGTCAATCAGGACGGCCATGTCGATAGAGGAAGGAAGACTTCCATTCATTACTTGTACGTATTGCCAAATGCTGATTCTAAATGCCATGTAACCCCAGGGCTGGTCTCAGATGCCCGTCGTTCACCGACCAGCAGAGTGCTCCAGCCCTTCAAATCCCCGTCGTAATCCCTCTTGGGACCACCACTACTCACATTAGCTGTGGTGATGCACGACAGCTTGTCCAGAAGAGAGCACTCGTCATCCCAGTCAATAACACCAAAACGCAGCTGTCAGCCGAGCATGTCATCTCGATCCCACCATTTTCTATCCAGCGACCCCATCTCTACCAAATTGCTCCAACATCGGCATCGAATCTTGCTAATTCTTTGCCTTGCTCCTCGACCTCCTTTCTCGCCTTCATCCTCATGTAGAAGATCGGGCAATCCCTACTTGAGCAAAGCACTTCGGAGTGCATACTCCCTTGACACCGTTGACACTGCGTCCACAGCCTCGAAAACCTTACTTCCAATTCACCGACCTTTTTGATGTGTTTGGTGTACAGTTCTCCTATTCGGGGGCGGCAGTTTTCGCACACAGCGCCCTTCGATTCTTGGGCGCTGACGAGAGGTTTTTTGCAGCCCATGCATGTCTGTGTCTTTTTGGCGAATTTCATCAGTCCACCGAGCGTAGGGGCGGCAACGGAGATAGAGCGTGTGTGATCACCAGCAAGCAGGGAGTTAGCACGTCGTTCGCCAAGGATAGGATCGAAGATTCTGCCCAGAGGGTTGGCGAGTTGATTGTCCAGGTAATATTTTGTGTCAATTGGGACATTGTTTTCGAGAACATATATCGGGTCTTCAGAGTTTTCGTAATTTTTGGATCCGCAGGCGCCTTTGACCATGACATACGCAACGCGGTCGCCCAGTGCTGGGGCTGAGCCTGCGTCGCGTTTCTTCATCCGCTCGGCTAGTTCCACGTGCGCTTGTTTGGCAGTGTAGTCGCTTTTGCTAAGTGCTTTTGTAATCACTAGCATGCTAAGGTCGATCTTGTTTTGCAGAAGGTTGGCAATAGTTTCCTTGACATAGTCTTGCGCTCCATCTAGGTCACGGTCGATCAAGATCTTCTTGAGGACTGTCTCAATGACGACTTGGACGAGACGACAATTGTCGCGACGGACAGTTTCAATGCCTTTGCTGTCCATCTTGTCATACTTCTCTGGATTTGTCCAATACAGTCCCGCATATCGCTTCTTATTGATCAGCAAGTAGGGGAAGTAAACCTTTTCGAACTCCAGTTTGATTGGCTTGATGAATTTGGAAGAGACAAAGTTGGCAGCTTCCTGTCCCAGTTCCATGGTCTTTTGAAGATCTTTCTCGCCGAACTTGACCATGACTGAATCAGTATCACCGTAAATGACCTGGGCGTCATGTGAGTAGCCATTTGCCATTGTGTACTTTTGTTCCACCTCATGCTTTGTCTTCTCGATCATTTGACGGCCATATGCTGTGGTACTGGAGGCAATGGCGAGACAGGGCAATTTCCCAACTGTGGCACCAGTGATACCGTAGACGGAATTGGCAGATACTTTGAGGGCGAGTTGACGGCCATTGAGCACTGCCTTCTTGAATGGGTCTTTCTCTACGGCTAGTTCCTTCTTGGCTCTCTTTCGTGCGTCCAGCAATTCTTCCAGAATTTGGGTGAGAAGTCCTTTGCGAACTTTGGCAGTGCAGAAGAGATCACCATTCGGGGTGAGAATATAGTCTTCGTCTTTTTTCATGTCGAGTTTCTCAATGATGTTCTTGTTCAGTAGCGTGGTATAACACAAATTGTGGGCTTGAATAATAGAGGGATACAAGGATGCAAAATCCAGGGTAGCAACCGGCACATCATAATAGCCTCGAATGGGTTCAATGACCGTAGCGCCTTCGTACTGCTCGTCCGTGCTTTCATTTCGCAGATTGGGGATGACCAGTTGCTGTTCCAAAGCCTTCCGGAAAAGTTGGCTGATAAATTTCACCTGTTGCCCTCGAGCCAGGAGGTAGTTGAATGGAACCCCCGTGACTCTAGCCATTTCGGTGTAGTTGACGAGGCACATAAGTTTGTCCATAAGCCGTTGGGGAAGGTAGGCATCCTTCAGACAATAGACAGCCAATCGTCTTCTCGAATCTGGAGTTCCATTGTATAGCTCTGTAATCATGGTGTGGTGGACATCCTCTTTCTGCTCGCCCAAGAAATGAGCACAGACAGAGTTCAAAGTGTAGCTGCGAAGTTGGTGGTCTCGTTGAACAAGCTGCAGTAAATCCAGTTGAATTCGTCCATTGGTATTTGTGGCTTTTGTATCACGATTACCCATTTGCTTGCTGGAGAAGTTGGTGTCTTTGGCATGAGATGCCACACTCTTCAGTCGAGACCAATAAGGAAATTTCGTCAGTTTGAGGTGTTTTGCCCTATCAAGGAGGTAAGGGAAGTCAAAGTTTGCAATGTTGTAGCCAATGATGACATCCGGGTCGACTTGTTCAAGAAAATGTCTCCATGCCATAAGCATATCGGACTCCGATTGATGTTCATATATCTTCGTATTCACAATTAGACTGCACGTGTCCAGCACAAAGACGTTGCGGATAAAAGGTTTCGACTCGCCATATTTGGTGACCACGTTTGCGATCTGAATGACTGGATCTTGGTTGGCTTCAGGGAAGACACCTTTACGGCCCGCGCATTCAATGTCGAAGGACAAGATTCGGAGCGGTGCCATCTTCGCCCATTCACCGTCGTGTCCATGCGCGACGAGATCCCGATAGTGACAGTATGCCTCGATCTGGCAATTAGATTGGCGGTCATGCTGAGGGAGCACATGATACTTCTGTGGAGGGACCTCGACCCACGACATCCCGGCGACACCGGTATCGATCATGAAGCGCAGAACATATTGGATATTGTCGAAGGTCAAAATTTTGCTTTCGACGCCCTTCCACATCCCTTTATAGTTGGCATGTCCGTCCTCTATCGCACTTCGTAATCGGTTTACGAACTTGGGGTCTGTCACCGTGATCTTGAGATACGGGCTCTTTTGATTGCCTTGAAATCCAAACAGGTTTTCGCGAAGTACCATCTGGACGGAATGGATGGTGGGTTGATGTTGTGCCAGTTGGGTTTCGAGGTACGCTTTGTAGCCTTCCACGTCTGACCGTTGGAAATTAATGGGGGCTGCCACATAGAGGTAATGAAGAAAGTCAGTCACATGAAGGAGGATGGAGTGGCCGGTCTGCCGTTTAGTTAGCGGGTGCCGGTTCAACGCAGTGGTCAACAAACCTCTGATACACCGAACATCTTAAGGGCGATCTTTCCCCCGTGCAACGTGCCTTCCTCAATCTCAATTTGTTGGAACCGCAACGGATCCGAGTCTGGGTTGAAGTCGTCGAGACTCGGTCTCTCCCACTGCTGATCTTTTTCCGAGTTGCTCTCCTTCAAGCCTGCAATGTCCTGTGTCATCTTCTCAAGGACTTCGGTTTCAAACTGGCTCTTGGGCTGGGACGAGCCCAGCTTTGATCTGAAACCATTCGCGCCGGGCTGCGATGAGTGGAAGGAAACATTGAGCCCGTTGCCGTTGAGTTTCCTCTTCTTCGCCGACGGCGGGGATTTGAGGACGTTGTGGGTGTTGGTGGTATCAGTCAACACCCTCTTCTTGGGCTGGTCGACCACGCGTCCAGGCATTGTTACGATCTTGTCGTCGAAGAAAGAACCGGAATCAGACAAGAAACGTGATGGGACGTGATAGTTGGAGGGTGGAATGAACAGTCGCGGAGAATCACTTATCAATCATTCGAGCAGCGGGCAAGTGACGTGAACGCGACGCGCTTTTCTACTTTGGCACTAGCGTGATATTCTGCGGCCAGACCGCCACAAACCGCCCACCGACCTTGGGCTCCAGCCTCAGGTCAGCGTTGAAACGGTTTCAAATGTCCTGCCCCTCCATACACTTTACAATTTCCTCTCGGTCGTTGCACAGTTGTCCAAAGAACTCAACGACGATAACTCTGGTGGCTGGAAACACTGCACCGATAACACCGTCTCTTGTCAGCGAACATGGCGGACGATCTGCAAGCCGAACACACCCCAGGGTTTAAGGTGGGGGAGAAGAAGACGTTGGAGGAATATCAGAAACTGGGTGAGTTGACCTGCTGTCCGCCACCTCAACGAGTGTCTGCATGGAATCTTGTTGTCAACATCACGGATAGAAGGAAGACGGAGAATGCAAGAATGTCCAGAGGGGTTTTGAGACAACTACCATCACCATCGCCTCTTAAGACAGGACCCGTGTTCTCTTTTCAATCTGCTTTGTGACCAAACACTGACCTCCTCGATTCCTCTCAGACCAAACCGACGATGCCATGAAACGATGGAAAGAATCACTCGGCCTAGGCTCCGGCACGATGATCGGCGACCCAAACGACCCACGTACATGCATCATTAAATCTCTTGCCTTGGTGAGCCCATCCAAACCCACAAATTCTTTACGGGGTCTGACAAGAACCAAAGGAAGTCGAAGGCCGACCAGATATAACCATCGATCTGACTCAACCCGGCGCCCTCGAAACTCTTAACAAACACCCATTCACGATCAAAGAAGGCTGCAAGTACCGCATGAAGGCCATCTTCACTGTGCACCACCAGGTCCTTTCCGGCCTCAAGTACATCCAAGTTGTCAAGCGAAAAGGTATCCGTGTCAGCAAGGACCAGGAGATGATTGGCAGTTTTGCGCCCAACACCACTGATAAGCCCACATATGAAAAGAAGTTCACCGAAGAAGAGGCTCCTTCCGGCATGCTGGCTCGTGGCCATTACGAGGCAAGCACCAGATTTGCGGATGACGACGACCATACACATCTCGAGTTCCACTGGTCCTTCGATATTTCCAAGGACTGGAAGTGATCGGGGAGTCGCCTTTTAGGGCACCAAATCCATTTTTCAGCATAGCCGGCTTGGAACTGAAGCTTGTGTCATGCTGATGATCCATGCCCTCGAGCCTTCAGCAATCGAGAGTTATGTCGACCACGAATTTGTCGCAACGGGCTTGAGAGATTTTGCTGTGCGTGATGCCTTAGAGCCTTCAATATCACCGAACGATTCAGATGATCCAAATACTAGAGAAAGTACTCAATGTGAGAGCCTTGACCATCTTTTCCCTGCGTCTGTTGCTGCTGCTGCTGCTGCTCGTTTCGATGAATATCATTTTCTGGTGCCGCGTCGAAGATATTGAAGTAGCGATCGCCCGCATCACTGACTTCAAGAACACTGGCCAGATTCCCGCAACGATAGCAATAGTTCGGCGCACTCCAGACTGTGCTCAGACGATCGTCATACAAGACCTGATAACCTTCCTGGCACAGCTGATGGGCACGAAGAATATGTGACATGCTGTTGACTTGCAAGAACTTCTTGACCACATCTCCCCCGAATGTGTATCCAGCTCCTCTCGGCGAAAGCGAAAACTCATCTCGCTCCGGGTCGGGATCTGACCATACCAAGTCCGCCATAGGTCCTTCGTGGGGGATTTCTCGGTATCGGTCAATGATTTTGATTTGGTCGATGGAGTGAATGGATGGTGAAAGGCCGCCATGGACACAAAAGATCTGATTGTTGATGACCACGCTCAGGGTAAGGAAATCGAACATGTCGGTGAAATAGTGCCAAACATTTGCATTGCCGTATTTTCGTGCGCATTCCGTGTAGAAGCCGTAAGATTGCGTGACGCCTCGTGATTCATGATTGCCTCGAATGAGATGGACGCGCTGGGGGTATCTTAACTTTAAGCAAACAAGAAGGGAAATCGTCTCGACGCTGAATAGACCACGGTCTACGTAGTCGCCTGCGGCGGATTAGCAAGGGGCCTGGACATGCGTAGGCCACACGCGTACCGAGGAAAAGGTAATTGGTATCTGGACAAAAGCCTCCGATCTTGAAGATTTCCAACATGTCAAAAAACTGGCCGTGGATGTCGCCGACGACCGTGACAGGAGCCGAGATATGGACCACATTGCTCTCCTTCATCAACATCTCCTTTGCTTTTGCACATATTGCCTCGATCAGGGATTCGGCCAGAAGGTTTTTCTTGTACAGTTGGGCGATGCATTCATCAAGATCAATACTGGCTGCGGCATCGCGTCATCAGCGATGTGCTCTCTTTGCGAACCTCGGAAGACCTACCAGGTAGACCAGGCATTGCAAAAGATTGTCCAGGCCTGCCACTGTTGCCGCAACGGGTTTTGAGGGCACGGGAGCGTGCAAGGGGCTGCGCTTAAAAGGAATTCTTTGAACCGTTGCAGAAGTCGCTCCGTTCTGTCATGATGCCCAACGCCGGGGAAATGCTAGCAATCCTGCAGAGGGAAAGCGCGTGAGGAACGCGGCATCAGCGGAGAAGAAGCAGAAACAAGGAGTCCGGGGAATTCATGCAGACTCGAGCTCCAAGGAATCGAGGTGGTTAGAAATAATCATAATAATAAATGGATGGCGACAACGCGGCGGCGGCAGAGGCTGCGGGCTCGCGACTCTTCCTCAAAGGGGCAATTGTCCACACTCTCGCTCTCACTCTCTCCCCTCCAACCTCGACTTCATTGCCACTTCACTTTCCACCACTATCCTCATCATGCATCTCGAGGTACCGGCACCTTGGCTATATCCCATCGTCCGATGTTCTCCTTAGCCTTGATCCTTCCCACTGGTGCGGCCTTCTCTCTAACTCGATCCCGCACTAGCTGCTGGCATCTGCTGCTTCACAACCTCCAAGGAGCCTGCAATAAACCGTCAACACTCGGTTACAAGCAGCTTCCGCCTCGTAGACCAAGAAGTCATGGACTGCCGTTCTCACAGTATAGCACAGAATGGCAAGTAGCATTCATCTCCACAACCTCTGCTTTCCTCTCTCCTCTGTGGGCGGCTGGTCCGGGCGTGTAGAAGCCCAGCAGCTGTCTCTGTTCTTTGTTCTCTGTTCTGCAACATGACATTCATTTCGTCTTAGGTCCCTAGGGATCGAGGCTTCTATCCAAGTATTGTGTCTCCAACTACTACTGTCAAATCCACTGCTTTCCCACCCATGACACAACTCGTCGATGATCCTCTACTTGCTTCCCACCGCTCCTACGGCCCTTGTCTACCAAGTCCTCTGCCTCTTGATAGTCCTATTCTCTCACGTTCAGCCTTGCCTGTTCCGGAGGACAACATCAGTTGCTTTCCCATCGCCACACCCCTTGGCTCAAGATGGAATCTGATCCTCACGAAAACATACTGCCATGGCAGCCTCACGAGGTGACAGATCCTGTATCCGATACCGATGCCCTCGCGGGTAGCTACTGCAGAGGCAAAATCCCTATCCTGAGCGGCGGTCGCGGTGAATGTGGCAACCAGATCAACTACCATGAAGACAGCGGCAGCCAACAAACTGATTATACCCTGTGCGTGAAGCCGGGCCTCCTTTGACCAAGTCGAAAAGTTGACAATCTTCCCAAACAGGGCATCTTATGGAAATCGAGGAGCTCAGCACACTGGACAAGCCGTGGCAAGCCAAGGAGGATATATATGTGATCAGAGCCACGACCTGTCGGGCACTTCGCGTTCTACAAATCAAGTGCGGTACAATGACCCTACTCGTCCCGAATATCCGACAGGCACATCTCGCTTGTGGCAGCCTATGCCTCGAATCCCGATAACCGAACCAGAAGGAGCGCTGATCGATTCATGTTGGAGTGCGACTTACGGCTACGAACGACCTGAATCCGTGCCGCTCTCACACAAACCATTTCAGGAACCCCCGCCGTCCAATCAGTGCCACTTCAACACGCGCGAAGAGCTGCGAGACGAAAGTCCGCAAGAATATGACGTCCACTCGGAAGATGATCTGAAAGCACTCGAATTTCCCGATGACTTTGGCATCGAGGCCGAAAAGTGGTTCTCACCAGTCCAACGAAGGATACAAGCATTTGGCGCAACCATTGAAGAGAATGAATGGATGGAATCGCAGCAACAAGTCATTGTCTCGAAATATTTCCGCAATATCAAGGACGCCACGTTCTTCAAATCCGTGCGTGACACCAGACATTGGCATTCTGTCAAGGACGATCCAGCTTTTGCAGAGATTTCTTCCCATGGAGCTGTAATTGCATTTGAGGAGCTCCATCAGCACAGAGACGATACTGCTTTTAGCAACAACGTCCCTGAAGCTTACCGCCGACGATCGAACTCATCAACAGCCGGTGATCAATATGATTATCCAATATTTTCGGTGCAGAAGGCGGCCGCGATAGGTCTGTCTATGGAACAAGAAGAACGTCTGGCTGCCCTTGGAGTAACTGGTGATCCCAAACCAGTGCAGCCTCGCATTCCCACGAAAGGAGAGGGTCGGAGAAGGTCGCGGTCACCCGAACCGATAGGCCAGCGGAAGAACGGCCAGAGCTACCGCCAGCGACGTTATGCTCACGGGAGTCAAGCAGTGCGATCCGGAGATAGGCGCGAAGACCAAGAACCGAGAGACCGTAGCTCCGACAGTCTGGGCGCGAGTATGGGCAGAGAGAGTGGCAGAAACGTTGAAATAGGGCTTCGGCGAGGCCAGGAGAACCAGGACAGAGGCAAAGAACAGAAGATAAAAGGAAAGAAGAGACAACAGCAGAGCCAGAAACCATCCGGAAAATCGAGGCGTCAAGATCAGCAAGCATGACACCCACATTCACCAAATGCCTTGACACGAGAAACTGTCCCCAAAATTAAGCCAGCATCATCCAACCATTTCCTGGAAGACTAAACATCAGTAGCCCCCCAAGAGAGCGCAGACTACGTGAAAAATCGCAAGGAGGGGTTCCACAAAGGCGGCAAAGTTTCAGTAAAGGTATGGCACAGCGATGGGGACGGCAATGACTGACTGGCTCCAAGTCAGGAGTGAGAAATGGTATCGCTCACAACCCTGGCAGACGGGGCGATGCTGCCCAACGGTGGTCCTCATATGGCACATATTCCACGCCCCATGCGATGCGGCATCGGGAAGAGCTGCTAGGCTTGGTATTTCAACAACAAAGCAACACCGGATTGCTGGGACGACTTACGGTAGCTGTTCTGTGACATTTACGCATACCCATGAGAGGCACGATGATCACCGAGTGATGCAGAAGGACTGACTATTGGAAGACAACATACGCGAACACAAGCACGAGCTTCACCCTTCACGTATGTACCGTCAAGTTCCAGAATCCAGACCCTCTCTAGTGTTAGAATCTTTGTTCGTCTTTTCGGGGCTCCACTGAAACGGTATAAGTCTATATGTTTTTAGATTCTGTACATATTGCATCAAGTCTGTTCTGGATCACATCCTCCACCCCTCACGCAACCGCCGCGACGCCACTGGGATTTGGAAATGGCTCTTGGACTTTGGAAGAGTGCCTGACTGGTTAGATCCATCGGTACACGCTCACCTGCTTACCTCCATGCCGAGTTTGAACAGTGCCTGGAGAAGCGGGCTCGTCGGCTATGTTGACTTGCGATGCATGGTTGTCGCAGAAGCCTATACTCAAGTTGTTAGTACTTTGTATGTTGTAGAGCAGCTGTTCGAGAGAACGCTCTCGCCATGCCACGCCACGCCACGGAACAGATGCCATGAAAACAAATCGGGCTGAACGGGGTGAGAGCCTGACCTGATGGTTCGGGAAGATCAAAGAGTCCGCAAGCACGACGTTCTCCCTCAGTCCGGCAGCAAACACGACAACCTCTGCGATGTCGTCGGGTGTCAGCGGCTCGACGCCTTTGTAGACGGCGTCGGCTTTGGCCTTGTCGCCGTAGAAGCGGACGATGGAGAATTCCTGTGAGTCGCGAGGATGGTCAGTATTTGGGCTCATATCAACCACTCTTGCCCGAACGTTTTTGGAGGGAAAAAGTCCAAGGAGGAAAGGGGGGAAACATACAGTCTCGACCTGCCCTGGGTCCACCTCGATCACCCTTATGCGGGTGGCAATCAACTCCTTCCTCAGCGCATCTGTGAACGTCCTCACGGCAGCCTTGGTAGCGCAGTAGATACTTCCACCAGGGTAGCCCTCCCTCCCTGCAATGGAACCGATCATAATGACGTCGCCTCGGCCTCCGATGTCCTCTCCGTTGTCTCCCTTTTTGGCTTTCATGATGGGCAGGACAGCCTGGGTCATGTGGATGAGGCCAGTCACATTGGTGGCGAACATGACGTCCATGTCTTCGGCTTTGATCTCTGGCGCTTTATCCATGCCCTTGACCAAGCCCGCATTGTTTACCAAGACGTCAATGTTTCTGAACTCCTCGGGCAGCTTCCCCACAAAGCTATTCACCTGGTCGGGTTTCGAAATGTCCAACTGCACGGGTAAGACCTTGACCCCGTCACCGACTTCCTTGTTGATGTCGGCGGCCACTTGCTTGAGCGTGTCGACCCGGCGGGCAGTGATGATGATCTTGAGGTTTTGCGGCGATGTACGTGCAAACTCCTGGGCGACGCTGCGGCCGATGCCCGAGGAGGCGCCGGTGACGAGGATGGTCTTGCCCGAGAGGCGCTTGCCCATGGCAGAGGAGGAGGACATGCTGCGTATCGCTTGCAGGGAGATCTTGGACTGCGGTCCAGAGAATGAGAGCGAGATCAAGTGGTGCGGGGAAGTAGTTATCCAAGGTCTGCGCGCGGCGGCTGGCACGAAGCTGCGTGTGAGAGCTGTGAGGGTCGATGTAAGGTGGGAAGGCATGTACAGAGACACCTGAGAGAGATGTGTAAGACTCGGGGGTGTCAGGTCCAGGGAAATAGAGGTCAACGAGAGTCAGAGATGCATTGGAACTTGCTGGTGGTGGTGGTGGTGGTGGGTGAGAACTGCGGAGTTGTCGCCGAGGCGGAGAAACGCCAATGTGCTGTCTGTCTGTCTCGAGGAGCAGATGTAGTTCACTATTATGTCGGGAAAAAGGCGATCAACGGCCATAAGCGGCAAAGGAGCCGGCGGCCTTGTATCAGAAATTGACATGCTTGCGATATAGGTGCTGATATGATCTATACGAAAAGCTGTTGGTGCGTACCTGAGCGAGCCGGACAGAGAGAAAAGGGCGCCGAGAAAGAGAGAAGAACAAAGCCACCCATATCCAATCCACGGAAATGGCCCTCTGTGTCCATCCTCTGCAGGGCCCCATGATCATGATCCTGACTACCGCATGTTCATGCACCTCCCAAGCTCGCCCCTTCAGCAAAGCCACAAGGACGCCGCCGGTCCGGGGGAAGACGAGAAACTCCAGCTATCATAAGCACAATAGAATCCCCAATGCAGCCAGATTTCCATACTCACAAGCATGCAGAGCTTCGTTAACTTGACGTGGGCACATATCTCCTCATCCAAATCCAATCCCAGATGTTTTCATCGTAACACCATATGCTTGCCATCATTATTCCCAGGCCGTGCGCCAATTGATTTCATGTCTTTGGGTGTCCAAGTCGTGGGACGCAACGTGCCCGACGTCGAGCTGTGCTGCGGTGTGCGGTGCGCGGTACTGAACTCGTCTGTATAGCGAAAGCCGTATTATCACGGAGGAACCATGCTTTTGTTCCGGACAAAAACAAATTGTGACGGTAGATTCAACCTTTGTGCATCTCCCATTTCACAGGAACCCCGATTCGGACAGCAGCCGCGCAATTTTCTCTTCTTCTCGCTCGCGGGGTTCAACCCTAAGACTCTGAGCAAACATGTCGTCGTGGGAGTCTCCGGCATTTTTCATGTTATCGGAAATCCACTCCTGTAATTCGGGGACTGGATGGAGACTGTAAGGCACATTCTGATACTGCTGAATGTCTCGAATAACTTCGGCAGTCTTGGTCCGTTTAGCGAAATTGATCAACTCCGTGTTCTTGGTAAGTGACGGGATTCCATCCTCAATGAACGTCAGGTCGGTCAGATAGACACCCAGAAAGGGAATGCACGGCGGGGTTGCCTGGCGCAGTGTTTCGCGGTAAAGTGCAAAGTTCTTCGAAGATGCGATCAGATTGCGCATCGACTCGAGGATTGCGTTGGTCTTGGGGTTGACAGCTTGCCATGTTCGACTCAGTCGGACGATGTGGGCAGTGCCGAGCGCTGAAATGATGGCCGTCACAGCCGAGAAATTGTTCAATACGCGGCATTGCTGTGCAGCACATTAGTACTGGTACAAGGTCGAAACAGGCGTAGCACAACTCACCTCAGCAATCAGCACAAAGTGTTTGATGATGACCACTCTCTTCTTCACCTCTGACTGCCCCAAAATCATGGCAGAAACCCAGTTAGTCAACTGGTTTGAATGTAAGATGAGAGCCTGCACGTTTGGAGCAGTATCGCTGCTGTCCGACTTGCTCTTCCTCTCCCATGTCTTGGCCAGGCATTCTACAGGCTTGATCTTGCCATAGAGCTTTGATTCAATGATGGTCAGCTGCCGCGCAAATTCTTTAGGATCAATGTCCAGGAATTTGAGCTTCTTCATGTTCTTGGGCAAGATAGGGGCCGGCGCGGAATTGGTGAGGGTCAACACAAGCTTCTTGGACAACGCCTCTCCTCCTTTCAATCGCTGGTCGATGATGGTTGTCAAAGCCTTTGCCAGTGGAATCTTAGTCGTGGTATATGTACGGTTCGCGAAAGCCAGCATTCGCTCAAGCAATGCTTGACTATTGCCATCGTCCGCCTCCATCCAATATTGTTCCAGCCACGATTTGAGGATGTTTAGTACTCTAAATCTTGCTGGCTTCTGCTTGTGCTCTTCCCAAATCGAGTATTCGTCTCGATTCAGGCCGGCAGGTGGTTGAAGGTTGAACCGCCTTACCAAAAGCTCAAAGAGCTCCGAAGCTGACGTGAAAGAACGGTAAGTGAGCAAAAAGGTTGTTGTAAAGTTCGTATCCGGCCGATCATGTCGAGTAAGTTGCTCGACAAGTCCAGTAAGGGTGCCGCTTTTGACTTGAGGAGGGTCATTTTTGGTATCATAAGTAACCTCGTCGGCGTGATCGAGTTGCAAATACCACGGGACCTCATCCACAGGAAAGCTTGGTTCAATAGTGGCTTTAACAGGGTTCAGATCCGGAGGGATCTGTCCAAAGAATTGTCTTGCCTTGTCTTTGGTCGGTGGTCGGCGCAGTTTGTCTGCCATTGGATCTTCACCAAGCGTGTATGATTTTGACTGACCGAGATCTGCCAGCGCAGGTCGCAGATTGGCCGCATGCTTCGAATCGGACCGAAGATGGTGAGTCTGGTAGGTTTCGCCTCCGTCTGTCACGCGGTTCTCCCGCTTGTTGGTAGCCATGGCCGGGTTTAGGGAGGTAGCGGGGAGCAATAGCTCCAATGCGTAGCCCACATTGGCCACGTGAGTATCAAGCTGCTGGCAAGCACTTCGAACGTGGTTGATTCGAGTATCCAGCGATTCGCCACGCACTTCAGCCCATTCGTCCGGCAGAGGCGTAGTGACAGCCTGACAAGTTGCCACCAATTCACCAATGGAGTCGTAAGCCTTTTGCTTCTGAGATCCAAAGTCCACCAACGATGGTTTCTGGAACACATTTCCCAGCACAGAGAGATCGATAGATTCGACGTGGGAGATCCAAGGTCGAAATTGTTCGAGAACCAGACCTGCTCCTTGACAGACCGTATCTCCAATGGCAGCTAGCCGCGCAGGAGTGACGATCTTCTCGGTGAGTAACAGGACTTCCTCAAGCCGACGGATTGCAGCTGATAAAGTCTTCTTGGAATCCTCGATGCGCCGAAGTAGGTTTACGTCGAGTGGTTCCGATGGTCGCCAGCCGATCTCGTCATTGGAATCCATAAATGAAACCTCATCCAAATTGGTTTGGCTTTCAATATTGTTGTCCCGCCAGTTCCCTCCAACGGTACTGCCCATGATAAAGCCAGGAAACAACCGCGGAATCTCTTCTCCTCTCTGTTGTCGGGCCACCTCTACATATCCATAAACTCCATTCATCACACCATCGGCCTCTTGTAGACATTTCGTCAATGCGTCAGGTCCCGGCCAGTCGGCGGCGGCAATATGCGAAGACAGGACGAGCTTGGAAAACTTGGACATCATCTCTCGAAAGTGAGGGTACAGAGCCTTGTTCGACGAGATTATCGAGGGGTTTCCCGAGTGATTATCCGTAGTGCCTGATCCTGCGGCTAGCAACATGCGAAGATGATCTGAGATGTCTTCTGCCCTTCGAACGTAGTCTGCGCGCGCTCGTGCGCGAATTGCATGACGATACGCCTCAATGGCCGTGCGCATATTGTCTACCAAGATGTTCCATGTGACGGCAGTGACACCTCCGTCGTCCAGGAAAAATCGGGGGGTGGGCGATTTGGACAGTTTTGGCGGCAGTCCTACAGCGAACGAAGTCGAGCTAGTCCCAAGAGGAGGCAGCACCATTGACATGTTGAGGTGAGAGTCAAAAGTGGTGGAGAAAGGATTGGTTATTTGGTTTCCAAGTTGTCTGACGGAACTTACGTTGAGAGAATCCATCGAGGTTGAGGTTGAGATACTGGCAGAAGTCATAGAACCGGACCCTTTTTTGCGTGAAGACAAGAACGATTGTTCACCGTCAGCCTCAGAGGCAGATCCGTCATAGTCCTCTTCATTCTGCGCGTAACCTCCTGCCATCATCTCGGGCGGCGCCCTTGTTTGCTCTGGCACATGAAAATTGTTTCGATCGCGTGGTCCGCTCTCATCCGAACTTGTTGGCGTCTCCAACGGCAGTTCCATTGTACTGACACCTGTCAAGGTGTTGAAATAAAACAATCGGCCATCTGGAGTCGCCTGGGGAACCCAAAACGCCGCCTCTTCCTGAGCCTGGGAATGGCCACCTTCAATCGGCAAGTCCGAGTCCTCATCTTGAGTGTGAGCGTCTGAATCTTCCTCCTCTTCATCATAGTCTTCCTCGGTGCCTGATCCAGTCTCACTCTCGTCGTGGCCTGCTAGTCCCGCCTCGCTCAGTTCATCCAGATTTGTGATCTCGGCGGTATAATTGCTGGGGAACCAGCCCCGAACATCGTTGATCACGCCATCCCACCACCCACTCTCCAACTGGGTCAATACCTGGATTATGTCTCCCTGACGAAAGCTCAAGCTGGTGTGGTCATCGGCTTCATAGTTGTACAGGGCACGGACAAAGATGGGTGGGGGATGCGGAGGAAGGTCAGTGCTGGCGACGTAGCTGTTCATAGCAGCCTGCTGAGCACGGCGACGCGGCGAGAGACCGCTCATGCCCGCCTGATGGACGCTTGATGATCTCGACCGGGAGGCGGAGTGGGAAGGTCGACTCGGTTCGGTGTATTGAAAGGCGGCGGCAAGGACTGAGCCTGATTTGGCTGAAGCACCTTGCGACGTCGAATCTTGTGTTCCTCTGCGCGACGCTGACATTGCCCCGGTGGTTCACCGACTCTCGGAGAGGGTCTGCAGCGCCAAATGTTGCCTTTCAGAGCGCAGCAAGGCGGGCAGGCTCTGCATATTCGAATGCTGCGACAAAACGTGGGCAAGCGGACAGAGGGCTAGGCATTCGTCGTCAGTGGAGGAATCTAGAGGGCGGGAATAGCGACGGTCGTGTCACACATGAAATGACCTGGATGGAGGAGAAGAAAGGTCTTTCTGGGGGTTGGTGGAGGTTCAATGATGTGCGAATCTGAAGTTCTGCGGTCTGTAGGACGGAGCACGCTTGCAGTCTCTGGCCTCTATGCGGGCTGGTTGGGTTAATTGGGAGGAGTGGGTGGGAGCAGGGGCTCGATAGCCCGCCCGATTGGATGTCTGATGGATGGTTCAGAGGGGCAAAGGGTCAAAAGCAAGCCGCACGAGCCTGTGAGCCAGACTCTTGAGGTCGCCGAAGAGGTCAGAGCAACAGGCTGACTGGGCCGCTCGCTAGCGGCTATCTGCACGAAGCTGTTGGTCGAGAGAATGCTGCCACTGGGGGGGCTGAGGACAGCGGACGTGGGATGAAGGGGACGACGGTCAGCCCACACACAGAAGACAGTCCAGCCTCGACCAAAAAGGAGAAAGGATGAGACAGAAGATAGCACTGGGCGGTGGGTATACGGAGAGTTACAGTAAATGAGATTCCTTGGAAGTTGAGTGTGAGGGCGCAAGATGTGAGGAGTCTGAGGTGCGAGGTACAGTACTCGGTACTACTGTAGGTGCCCAATGTCCAAGCCCACCAGCCTCAGTCTCAGTGTCTTGCTCTAACAACTCTCGGTTCTCTCTGTCTCTCCCTCTACCTTCCCCTCTGCCTCTACCTCTCGCTGTCGCTCCCTCGCTTGTGTCTCGTTTTCTGCCCGCATCGACCGCCCTTCGCCGCCCACCATTCAAACTATTGCTCCCTGGACCCTCTTCGCCTCGTCTGATATAGACAGTTAAATTCCGTTGCCTTCGCCTCGCCAACTCTGCAAGCTGCTAGTGACATCCATTTTCCTCGATTCAGCTAAACCACTGTCCGGGCTGAGCACCGCCCGTTGAACCCCCCATCCACTTGATGCCTTGCCTAGACCCGACCGGTACAGCTGCTCGTCTCGACGGCATACGAGTAGAAGAGGGGGGTTTACGCCATCCACCAGGGTCAATAATACGAGGGTCACACTCTTCGCTCGCGTCAATTACGCGTATTCTGAAATTCACATGCCTTCATTTCCTCTTGTGTGTCCATCGGAACCTTGTCTTTCCGTTCGTCTCGAGCCTTACGAGTTGCGACACGCAGAAATCTGGAGGTGGCTGAGCCCTGCCCTGACCCGCGCCGCGCTGGATCTTTATGCCCCGCCCTCGGGGAATGTTCGATCTGAAATGAAGACAGTACTTGAACAGAGAGCCTTGAACACGGTAGGATATGGCGAGGCCATGGCTGACTCTTCTTGTGTCTTTTGTCTCTGCCAAAAGAGCATACCACACTGGAACTGGACGAGTTTGACTCGTGTCACCGGTGGCATGGGCAAGCACCGGGAGAGGTCCCGTTTCGCGTAACCGAGAGAGGCTTTTTCAGGGGCTTCAGGAATACAAGTCGCGTGCCACAAAGTTTAAGTTACGAGAATGATCGGGAAGCAAGCATCCAAGCATTGCGCTCTTTTCATGGAGGAATGGCCCTGAAGGATGCTGGTCCAAATCGTGGCGATGGGCCTAACAGACAGGTTTGCGTCAATCTGAAAACTTGGTAGTCATCTACGAGTATTTCAATGGTCAAAATCGACTCGAGATGCCACACATTCCTACTTGTAGTCAAATCGTTGCTCCTTAATCATGCTGCCGTAGGTTGCGGACATGTCATTCAGTACTCCTCTGGGCGGCCAAGAGGCGCAAACGAACCTGAAACAAATTACTTACTTGTATGAACTGCACAAATATGGAATAACATGAATTACTGCGTCGGCCGTCAGCGCCTTTCGGTCAGTCGCCTAAATCCGGACGCCTCTCTGTTCTGTTCAATCCCATCAGGCGTCCCCCCTGGACAGCCTCCCTAGCGAATCTCGACGACGGCCATCTCCTCAGCTCTCCACGAAATGCCTACATCTGCGGGATACGAACACGAGACGCCTGAGTCCACACCGCGCAGTCCTACAGCTCCTCATGTCAGCCTGAAGAGTGAGATTTGCGGCTCATTGTGGAGCGCGCCAGCTCAATCACCGACCCAATACAGAAACACCGTGCATCTGTCAGACTGCCAACAGTTGATGCTGGGGGACCCTGAGAACGGAGAGTGAACCGCCGCCTGTGTAAGGCTGTCGAGGTCCTCCGATTCGTTGTGGAAACAGACGTCCATTCTCAACAAACCCCCGGTGTTGCCTGATCTGCGCTCTTCAGAGACCCTCGTCCAAAATGCCTCCAGTCGCCCTCCACGCAGGGATAATAGGTGCCGGTATGGGCGGGCTCGCCGCTGCTATTGCGCTGCGCCGAGGAGGAGTCAAGGTTACGATTCTCGAGGCCGCAACCGAGCTCGGCGAGATTGGGGCCGGCATCCAGATATTCTCCAACATCTCAAAGTACCTCATCCGCTGGGATGTGGACGAGATCATTGGCGAGAACTTGGTCCAAGTGGATGAGGTGCGGACGTGGGGGGTCAAGGACGAGGTGGTGACCAGAGTCGATCCGAAGCGAGTCCATAAGATGACTGGGTTCCCTCACTTGATCGCTCGTCGAGACCACTTACACGCTGGTCTTACCGAATCGGCGCGCCGCCACGGCGTGGAGATCATTGTCGGAGCACGGGTCCAGGAACTCAAGTACGCGGAAAAGTCGGCGACGGTCACCACGACCAAGGGGATCTCCTACACGTTCGATCTGGTGGTCGGGTGTGACGGCATCAAATCCACGATCCGTCAACATCTGTTTCCCGAGGTCAAGCCTCGCGCTCCCTCCAAAGTGGCCGCCTACCGCGGCGTGCTGACATACGATGAGATCAAGGCCAAGGCCCCCGAAGCGGCGTCGATATTGACCAACACGATGGATATGTGGACGGGCCCAAATGGCTATATAATGACGTACCCACTCTCAGGTGGGAAAGAGCTCAACGTCGTCACATCGTTCTGCAAGGACTACTACGTTGAGAAGATGGAAGAAGTCGACATTGACGAGTTCAGAGGATACTATAAGGATTACAGCCCCGCCATCCAATCCATCATCAAACTGGTCAACTACACGCAGCGATGGCCTCTTCTCGTCATGCCTCCAATGGACCGGTGGTCGAACGAGGCGCGGACCGTGGTGTTGCTGGGGGACGCCGCGCATTGTATGCAGAACCACATGGGACAGGGAGCCGCCACGGCGATTGAAGATGGTGTCTTCCTGGGCCGTGTGCTGAGTGAAGTCGTGCGCGGGACGCTCACAGTGCCCGAGGCGGTGTCTATCTACGAGCAGAAACGAATCCCCCGAGCATGGACCAAACAGCAAGTCTCACTTGTCTCGGGCGAGCTGAACATGTGCTCCGACCCGAAAGACCTGCTCAAGCGGAACGCGTCGTCCTTGCCGGAAGTGCAGGGCCTCGAGAACGGCGAGGCCAAGAGTCAATTCCCGCCTCTGCCGCCGGAGTATCGGTCGTGGCAGATGTTTGATTCGCCGGACAGCGTGCCTGGAATCTTCTACTATGATGCTGAAGGCGATGCCGATAATGCAGTGTGCGAGTTCTTGCAGGCGAGGGATCGAAAGGCCGGGAGGGTGGATGAATTGACGATGGTAAGTGAGGCTTTGAGGAAGAAGTGGTGGGCAGTCGTCGATTTCAATGGGGTTGGGTGAAACAGTTGTTGGATTCACGGTCGAATGACAACGGTTATGTCTTGCAAGGACCTCGCTTGTCTCGAAGACTGTCCGCAGTCCGTCATCCTGACTGCCTTGGTCGCAGCACCATTCCCCCCGCTTCACCCCAAGGCACGTTGCAGGTCGTGTTCGTGTTAGTACTTGGAGGATGGCATGAAGACCTCTCCAGTGCATACTACTTGCAGTGCTGAACCCGGAAAGGAGAGCCAGAGTCCCTCGAGTTTGCTGCTTGGGTGGGACATGAAGAGGGCCTGCGGCGTTCTCTGCCTGGTGCTCTTGTGCTGGTCTTCACCTCGAAATATCCATGCTGTCCAACACAAGAATTTGGGATCGGGGATATATTCGACTCAAAGGCGCTGTGAGAATGGCTGCATCGATAAGACCAAAGTCACCCCGAGAGTCACGTAGGTAGAAGAGATGGCTCAACACCAGACACCAGGCTCCTCTCTGGCCATGCGTTGCTGTAACAAAAGGGGTCCAGCCTCGCGCTCGCATCTGGTGTACAATTGTCCCGACACAGACCGCTGGCCTTGTCCCTCCCACTCTCTTGTGTGATAATGCACCACCGACACCAACTAGCTACAAGATGACTCCGCATCGAGTACAAGGAGGCGTCGTTGACTCATGTCGGCCAGCAAAGGATTGGCAACCCATAGTAGATACCGGACAGCCCTTGACTGCGACGCCGAATCGGAACCGACCGGACAAGGAAGATGAAAGTACCATACAGACGTAGTAGAATATCCACTCCGTATCCTCATGCACTGTACGAGCTGGGTATAGGTTGGGCCCACCATCAAGAGAGAAGAAAAAAGCCGACAAAAAAACTTATAGGTTCTCCCGCAGAGATTTACAAACCGCCGGTGGTTCCGCAATCCAAGACCAATGCATTCCATACCAGGTCGTTGATGCCAGTCAAGGAGAAGCAGCATCAATCAACCCTCTTGTTCTCCCGCAAGCAGGTCGTGTCAAGGTAAAGTGTTGGATATCATTAATTAAGTGCTTGTGATCTCCTATTTCTGCCTGGCTCTGCAAGATCAAGCGGTGCTCTGCCGTGCTCTGCCGTGCTCTGCGCAAAGAAAACCCCAATGTATCCTACTCCGGCGCACCACTTCCGCCCAGGTTCACTAGTATACAGAGGTAAGAATAATCAAATCACAAAATCGGCCGTTACTCAGTCCTAAGGTTTCAAAAATGTTGCAAAGAGATGAATGGTCATGAGGCCAGAAATTCCCGCTGGCCGTAGTGGACGCTCAAGTCCACCCTTTTGGTTTGAGCGAGAATCGTCATCAGGAAATGCAAATAGGTCAAGTCTTGCATCTGTTAAGCGCACAAGGTATCAAGCGGAGGGGATTAGATTTGTATGTGATTCGTGATGAGATCGAGATGTAGGTTGCGCGGTGAGATGAATCGTGCTTGCCTTAGCCGCTCAAGGCCATCGACGGCCGGTCGAGTGTCGAAGGGGGACCAAGTGTTTCGAAGTCGAGTCGAGTCAATGCTGTGAAAAAAAGACAAACCCCGCCATGGCGGTGAACACCGTGTTGTTTCTCCCGAACAAAGCCACCATTCGCCATGCAGGGGATAGAGAGGAGTAATTGTGCCGACATAGATCACAAAGGAAATGGTTTAGTATGCTGTTTCCATGCCCATCAGGGCCTGGTCTGACACTTGTGGAATGCCAGTGACCGGATCCACATGCATCTCATCGACATATCCAACGAGAGCCTGAGCATGGAGCTTGAATGATTCACCCATGGTCTTCGAGATACTGGGACAAAATTAGCATCGCCGGAGGCGTCACTTTAAGGTAACCCGACTTACCCCCAAACAACCACCCCATCCAACATAGACCCCCAAACTCGAGCCACGGTAGAGCTCAAGCGTGATCCGTTTGAATCAACAGCGTCGTCATCGAACAAGCCCCGAACTTTCATGTACATAGAAAGCTCTTCCTCGGTGGCTTCTTGATCGTCGTGCTCAATGCGATAGAGCCATAGACTTAGTATGGTGATCAAATCCAGGCCGCAAAGAGGATGCTCGATGCTCCAGTTGGTGGAAGAGGTCTTGGTCACCCAGTTGATACCTTGCATTGCAACAATCTCCATGCACTCGTAGCATTGCTCGATCACCTTGATCATTTCCTTGGTTCGTTTGACGGCGTCTCGGGATAAAGTCATGGCTCCTGCAATCTCATACGAGTTGTGATAGCGCAAAGCTTCTTGGACGTTCTTAAGGTCCACTTCGAGGAAAGCCCTGGTGTTTCGATACACAGCCATGGAGTTGAAGATCAGCGGGTGGCTCTTGTGTGGAGTGCTCAGCGGGACGACGATGGTTTCCGGTTCGCAAAGATCAAGGGATCTCTCCCAAGTTTCTAATGCAATTCGAATCTTCCACTCCAGAACAACGTCTTGCAACGATTCAAAACTTCGTCGGAGATTCCAAACTTCCAAAAAGAGTGCATTGATCATCACCCGAGTTGCAAACGCGCTGTACCTGGCAGCGTCACCCTGGAATAGACTGTCGTGCGCTTCCCTGACGGTGATTGTAGGCGAAGCGGCAAAAATGTCTTGCCATGAATCCTCATCGCTGGGTTCAATGTTCCACAAGGATTCTGACGAAGGCAGGGGTAATGAATCAAACTCGTTGAAGCTGATAGCTGGAGTGTGATTGTAGGTCAAGGTCAACATTCCAAAGAAGATGTAAACGGCATAGTACGTTCTTCTGCATCCTTCTTCATTGACCCATTCTTGGTGGGTTGGAGGAGCGCCAGAACGTGCGTCAATTCGTAGTTTGAGCTCATATTTGTTACCGGCGACCATCTATCAAATTTAGCTGGTGTTGACGACAGCATAGGGAAGGAAGCACTTACGTTTGCAAGCAGGCTTTTTATGGAACATGCCCACTCCAAGCCCTGAGAGCCTCCACTCCAGCTTTCGAAAACCATGTTGAGAAGCGTGCTCTGCATCGTCCAAAGGGGGCATTTGCGCGAGTCAAAATTGTCCTTGTTCTGGAGGAACTGGTTCACAAGCTTCTTAGATCCGTGATGAAGAAGATATGCATGTTCTTGGTCGAAGTTGTACAGCGCGCCAATGGAAAGGATGGCAAGAAGAAGAGCCGGCTCAGTGGTCTCGGGCCGGAAACTGACAGGGTGAAGGAAGGGGAGGTGGTGGTGGAATAGATTGAAGTAAGTGGTGAGATAGAGGTTAATAGAGGGCAACGAGGGAAGGGAAATGTCTCCGCCTAGTTGATTAGCAATCATAGCTCTCTCATCCTCGTTCTTCAACTGTGGAGCTTTGGGTAAGGAAAGGGGCTGGGCTGGGCCTGGCGACTTGCGATAGTTCACTGGCGAGACGGGACCAGTCATTGACGGAAAAGGTGAGAGTGCATTGGGTGTCGGGGTGCCAGAGACGGGGAAGGCGTCTGCCAGACCATGGAAAGCGGAGGGTAGAGAGGCGCTGAGCGAGCTTGTGCGTTCCATAATGGGCGGTAGCTGTGATTGATGGGGTTGTATCGATCCCATGTGGACGTACGGCGGCTGCGACAGGTTATCTTGCGACGACATGCTGGACATGGAATGCGCCTTGGGTACCGAGGGTCCCTGGGGCATGAAACTGTCCCAGGGCATATGGGGTAAGCTGTTGGCGCCACCGAGATAGTCGGACGATTCGAGAAGCGAACTGCGATCTGGAGAGTAGCCGGGGATGGATCCTTCGCCGTTGTTCAGATGACCGTTCGCCGCTGCGGCCGCCTTGTGTTGGAAGTCTGTCATCAACATGGCGGCAGTTTCAAGGTCGAGCATACCATCGCTGCTTGCCTCTATCTGCTCCAACGTGCCAGGGTCGATGGTGATGGAGGGCTTGGACGGAGCGGGAGCCGTTGAGGGCGCCGCTTTCGTCCCTGCGCCTGCACCTTTATCTGTACCTGTAGTTGTACTCGACTTCTTCTGCCTTCCCTCAGACTGCAGAGGTACACCGCCATCCTTCGCATGTACGGTTCGGTCGTGGCGTAGGAGCAGATCTCGGCGCACGAAGGTGCTGCGACATTTCTGGCATTTGAAGGGACGCTCCTTGGTGTCTGTCAAGGGATAAAATGTTAGCAACCCGTCAAACAGGAGATGGATTGTTGATGGCGGGGTTGGGTTTCTCCTATTGCCCCACGTCGCAACAACCGAAAAAAAAGTTGGTGACTTACGCGACCGCTCGTGTCGACTCCTATGTTCGCTCCGACTGAAGGCCCGGTTGCAGTACTGGCATTTGTACTTTTTCTCGGGCGCAGAAGCTGCCTTTTTGGGTGGGACGGTTGTCGTCGTCGTTGTGGTTGCGGCGTTGGCAGGCTCAGCGGCGGTGGCAGCGTCAGACTGGGCCATGGTGGATGTAAATTGAGGGTTAAAAGTCCTCCGACCAGGCGCAAGCCTTTGGCTCGAAAGTGAGTTGGTTCAGAGGTGTTGATGTCGCCGTGATCATTCCGTGTGGGATCAGCGCACACTCGAGTTCGATTAGAGGGAAGAGTGAGAAGGGAGGATTTGAGGAAGGGTTGTTGGTTGCAGCTGTGGGCTCCCTCTGCAAGCAACTGCTGGCTGGGACGCTGGGTTGGTTCGCGCGGTGACTTGAATGGATTCGTCTCCGAGACTCGATTGGCGAAAAAGCACCAGTCAAAGTGGATCACGTGTATGTGCGTGAAGTCTGTATCGAGTATCAGCCGACCTGCAGCGACAAGCTGCAACGATGGCGAGGGTCAAATTATAATACAGGAGTCGACGAGGTGACGACGGCGAAAGGGTGTGTTGGTACAGCGCAGGGGGGAAGAGATGTGTGCGATGAAAAGAAATGAAAACGGAGGAGGGGCAAAAAGAGGGAGGGAGGGAGGGAGAGGGAGTGCACGGAGGGGAGGGCTGCGGTGGGAGGCGTCCAGCTCAGCGAGAGAGATTCCAGGCGAGGGCCCAGGCATCTCCCTCAGCCCATGATCCCGCTCGGTGAGAACCCTGAAGCCCCTGAAAATTGCTACAGTGACCAACTCATCACTGGCCGAGGGGCTCCCGAACAAACCTGAACGGACCCGCGCCATTCCCAGCTGGCGGGTCCCCCGTTCCCTCCCTCTCCCCTTCCCACACACAGCTTCGAGTGCCACCCTTCGAGAAGAGACCTCATCCATCCACCAGGTCCCCATTCCTCCTTCAACCAGCTTCCCCGGCAGCCTACGACGACAAACCCATCAAACCGGCCTGGACTCTAACGTTAGGAAACTTAGTATGGCCTGTCTACACCTGTAATTCCCTGCGGAAGACCACTTTCGAGGTACCGGAGTGCTGGCTGGCAGCCCACTTCGAGGCCTCATCCCTGGTTCCGAGATACTGGTCAATTTGGTCACGGACACTCAGAACCAATTCCACGAATGGCGGCCAAGTCAGTGTGGAAAGAAAAGTGATGGTGAGTTGACCTTCGCCGTCACGAGACACATGTTGCAGGCAAAACTGCGCAGTTTACCGATACAGAGAAGGCGCCCGAGTTGCGCTCGTCATCACATCCCGCATGCCATCCTGCTGGATGGGTTGATGTGCCTCAGGCTTGGATGTTGATCCCCTCTACCCCCCAGCCACCTCAGCTTCACCAGCCATCTCTCGCATCTCACGGCCACAAGCTTCGGACCGTACCCACGCTTGTGCCGTTGCCCATGCAGCGTGACGCCCAAAAACGATGCTCCCACTCACAGCACCTCCGACACCCACCGCTGTTCCTCCCATTGGATTGACTTGCGATCCAATTAATTGCTTATGGCGGTCGCAACGGTGAACACAGGTGGCCACCTGGCCGAATCAAAGACTGGTATTTGTTGCTCCGCGCAGATTAAAGCAATCGTGGCACCAAGTAAAAAAAAGTGGGAAGGGAACAAAATGTCGGATCGTCAGCACTTAGAATCTCGCCTTGGCTTCTGTTCCTGCATTTTCCCATGCAACTTGCAGCTCCTTGATCTCATGGGGGGGGAGGCGGTCTTCAATCACGACGTGGAGCTCGCTAACCAGGTCTGCTTGCAGGATCCCTCGTCTGACGGCCTCGCCCGGGCGAGAACCTGAAAAGATGGCCACGGTCAGACAGCAATCCCTTTCCCTGACGTGGCGGCACCAGTCGAGGACTAGGAAGCATCACCCCTCCTTCCGCGCCCTGGTTCGAGGCATTTCCCAGACTCCCGAGTCCCATCCTCGTGGACAAACCCACTCCAGTGGGCCTGGGTGGGTAACATTGCGGGAGTCCGAGGGGTGTCGGCAGAAACAAACTTGAGCCCCCCAAAAAGAAAGATTAACAGCAGCTTCTCCTGACAAGATAACGACGAGTCGACCTACTCAACCTACTCAACACGAGTCATACAGGAGGAGGGTTGGGGATGCGTCGACTCCCGAACAACGACCTGGTCCGGAACAATCCAAAAGGTTGTGGCACTGAGGCGATGAATGATTCCAAAGTCAATCGTACAGCATCCAGCTCTGGCTGCGCGAGACGAGTCGCCCTGCCCTGTCGCATAGCCCCGCGAGGCAACCCCTCCCTGAGAATCTGGCTCAAGCAAACTTCTGATGAGGTTGCCGGTCACTCCCTCCCTTATCACGCCATTTCTCATCTCCAGGCGATCTAACTGGTGGCACTGCAAGAGACGGTGAACACATTTCGAACATTGCATTTCCGGAGTACTTTCCCCGCCAGCCGCCTTCTCCTCTTGAACCGCTAAGGCGCTCTGAAAGCCAAACCTGCCGGCTGGTCGCCAATTGTGGCTTCGAGCTGCTCCGTGTGGTCGGTCCAAGTTGCAAGGGGACAGCCCACCGAGCAGTTTGCTACCACCCCGGCCAGGGCTGGCAAAGCTCCAGAGGTCCAGCCTCACCAAGTAGCCACAGCGGACACCGCCTCCTTCGCGCCCGTCGGAATACCCACAACCCGTCAAAGCTACCAGAGCTCTCCACTCACCCACTTTTCTTCTGGAGACTGCAGGCAATCCTCCTTGTGAGGGTTGGGACAATTTCCGTTTGTGTTGCATCGGTTGGCAAGTTTGCTGTTTTCCAAACCCCTTGTGCCTTAGTCACTGCGATTCGAGAATCTCCACGGAATCATGAATCTCCTTCGCTTGGCCGCCAATTTCGCACCGCCAAGTTTGCAACACCCTGAGGAACCGAGGGGCTTGGAGGGGTACGGCCAATTTGCGTGCGTCGAGTGTTCTGTCCTCCCTGCCTTCGAGCAAGCTTCCAGAAGGAAAGCAGGCGGTATCTCTTTGTAACATCCATCAACCTGCAAGAGGGAAAGAAAACAACATGGCATGCAGGCCCGTATGAACAAGTGCCAGGAAACCCTGTCGTGCAAAGGTCGATTTTGTCCTCGGATGGGCAGGCCGATGCCACTTGTTTGACCGCCTTGGCTTCCAGCCCCCCTGACGAAACGATTGACCGATACGTTGTCCAAAAGTGTGGCACACGAAAATGCTAATGCGTCCTGCTTGCCATCGTCATCAAAGAATAGGACAAGGTACGTAATCCGGTACATGGAATACGTTGAGTCTAGGTACCAAAATGTCCCACTGGATGCAAGCCAAAACCCAAACGCATCCCTCTAGCCGAAGCCAGCGCACGTCAGACACACCGATGGCATCTTTCCAGTCTTCGCATTCACCAGATTCGGCCGGAAATGGCGGTGGATTCTCCAGGCATCTTCCAGGCATGCGGTCAAGATCCTCTGAAAATTCTAGGCTTCTATTTCCCAGAAAGAGCCGTTCAGGAATGATGATCAGCTCGCTATGGAAGGATGTTTTGGCACCCAGTTGTTTTGAAACTCTTGGTAAAAGGGCGGAGGCATTGAAAGTTCAGCTTTGCATCAATACAGTGAGTTGGCCTCCCCTATCTCAATGGTACATGTTAACGAAAGAGCTCTGTTTCTGCCCCGTACCGGTTCTGCTGGGCCGTGATTACCTTGGCCTGTCGTTTGCTCTTTTCCATCCCAGCACATGATATCGCCCTTCTTGCAGCGTCAGTGTCCGAGATTGACTCCCCTCTTCAGCCTCTCGACGAGCGCCTCCAGCTCGGCGTTGCGGTCCTCTAATGTTGCTACCTCCTTTTGCAGGGCCTCCTTCTCTGACCTTAACTGCTGGACTTTGGTCGCCATCTTTTCGCGATGTCTCAGACTATCTTCGAACATGGTTTCAACGCGATTCAGCAGCACATCTCCTCCCGTTGCACCGCTGGCAAGTGAAATAGCGCCAGTGTTGGGCGCTGTCATGGATTGAGTGCGCAACTCGGTATTTGCCTTCTCGAGCTCCAAAACACGTTGCTCCATTGCGGCTGTACGAGCTTGTTGCCAAAGATCATCAGAATCGGACCGTGACAGCCTCTGTGGTAGGGGTGTGGTTGCTCCACCGCCCAAGACCGACCGTCTGTCCTGTGGCTGGGACGACTGCAGTCTCCCCGACCAAGTCGCTTTGGCAAGCTTCCCCCGCAACATCAATACATTTTCCAAGTCTTCATCTCTCAATTTTCTCATGGCTGCATGCCCTCGCCTCTCTTCTGCGAGCAAATCCCTCACTTTGATCAGATTCGAGAGATCTTCGTTCCTCAGGGACAGTAGATCAGCGTGGTTCCTGAGGATGGCTTGATTCTCGCGTTCGAGCTCGGTGATGCGACTTTGAAGTTGGTCGTAGTCCTTGGACATGATCGTGGGATGAGACCGTTCGACGTCGGCGACACGGAGGAGGATGGAGTGGAGAAGGTCGGACATAGGACCAGTCGACTCGAACGGAAGGGCTGGGTTGCCGACAAGCTGCTCTTCTGGCTCGTCAGAAACTCTCAGTCCGGTTACCGTTGGCGTTTTCAAATCCATATCCGCTTGGTCTATTGTCGAGGCGTCCTCAGCCAGTGTGGCGTGCGAGTCGTCTGTGGCCACAGATTCACTACGGCTTCTTTGCATCTCTAGGCTCTGGTGCACTTCACGGTGCTGTTTTGCTGCGACGAGGAAGTGCTCTCGTGAGTTCAGGTGGAGTGTTCGCTTCTTGGGCTGCCAGAGGGGCATGTCCTCCAGGTTGAAAGGTAACTCTTGCGGCTGGACTTGCGGTGGCAGCGATGCATCCTGATGCTGCTTGTCGTCTTGGTATGAAGATAGCAGGCTGTCATGGTCGTTCTCACTGTAGTTGGTTTCCGGGCTCGATCCCAGCTGTGACGAGTGCTTGCTTGAAGTAGATGTGGCCATTGAAGCTACAGACATTGCGATAGAATGGCTGGAGGATGTGCGGGTGATGCGACTGGGCGACCACATTGTCCCTAGAGCCTGTGATGGAATAGCTGGCTCTGGGAGGTATAGGCAACAGAAGCAAGGGGATAGTGCGTCAAGGGGGATATGCGGCGCAAAGAGTTGCCTAGCAAGAAGCAATAGCGAGGCTGTGGGGGAGTAGATCAAAAAGTAAAGGAAGCGAAGATATGACGAGACTCTGCGCCCAGATCAAGCGTCCCATCGACCTTTTAAGCTTTCGTGATATTGGCACTCTGTGTTCTTTGGTAGTCGAGGTGAGATAGAAGGGAAAAGGGGGCGTGTGCGCCTGAAGCAGCCGTGAAACGTGCCCCTTGCTTCGGCTTGACGAGGCTGTGACCGAGTTGAGACGATGCCGTTTCTGCAATGCGATAGGACGAGGCTGCCACCAATCGCCGTGCGCATCACAGCCCGCTGTTCACCCTCGACTCCCCAGCCCAGACGAGAAGAAGAGTGTGCGTGCTCCGGGGAATCCCTCAGAATGGTCCGAGCTATGCGCTGCCGTGGACGAGTCATATCCCTTATCAACGGAAAGGGGGCCAGGCATATCTGCGGAACTAGGATACATGACAGCTTCATCACGTTCACCACTTGGCTTACAAAATCAATCTAGACCAATCACTCCGTGCCTCCATCAACTTGGCCGAAATACACCATTGCTTGAGTCAACACGGTCCTCTGGTGCTAGTTGCCGCATCTTGGATTGCCTTCTTTGCTCAAACCCCGGTGTCACCACAAACCCCACCCTGCCCGAGAGATCGAGATCTGCCCCCTCGCTTCCAGAAGTGATGTCCTTGATGTCGGTCAAGTCGCGCGGCGTCAGTTCTCCCAGGGGGTGTGGGCAGAAAGAGGCGTACCTCGTACACGACATCGTCCCAGGGACATGAAGGGAACAAACTCGGGGGCGTGGTGAAGTAGCGCGGTGATGGTGGTGTTGGCCTCCCCATCAAGGGTGCCTGACGGCAAGGAGAAAAGCCTTGCGAGCCGCGAGTGGACGGCTGAGATGTTGTCCTCAAGACTCGACCTGATTTCCCGATCTTGGGTCATTGGATTCGTCGGGGGACTTCCAGCAACGTCTGAGGCGGTCGATGGTTGTCGTAGCGGTCATTCCTCTGGCAAGAAATTACTCGGCGTTATTGGCCGCCTAGGGGGGGACAATATGTCATATCTGGCAGACTCTGCTTTCAGAGTGCTTTTCATGATCTTGACTTTGAGATTGTGTCCTACGTCCGTTTGCGGGCGGGTCTTTTTTAGGGTCCCTGCCAAATGTGTACAATTGCAATATACCACCAGAGCTCCTTGTAAGTAACCTCGTCCGCGAAGTCCAGTGCATATCAAAGTCAGCCTTTCGGCCATGATGGCTCGTGGCGAGTCGGTACGATACGCAAATACTGCGTGGCTCTGCTCTTAAGATATCGCACCTTGGCTTCGACAGCTTGAGCAGTCTTCTAAGCGCCGCAATGTGCTGTAGTCCGGTGGCCGAAGGCGAGAGGGGGATTCATAGGGGACTTGGTTCTCAGTCATGGAACTTGGCTGCAAGCTCTATACAATATGTTTACTCGGTAGCTTTATCAGAGTCTATATCTGCTCTATGGCCCTGTGCAGAAGGACTTGCAACCAGATGGGAGGAAGCATGCTCTCAGCCTTGTCAAGAACCCTTTAAAGCGGCCGGCGCATTCCGCAAATCACAAGGCTGAGAGGGCGGCGAGGGATGCCGGAAGGCTAGTGAGGCCAATGCGGCCAGCCTTGCCATGCCACGCAAACGCCCTTTTACCTCGTCCTGGATCCTTTGACTCGACAGACTCGAACTACACGTTTGGATGGAGAATCGTCCCTGGATCGACCTTGCATGCGGCTAACAATTAACACCTCGTGCATACACTCCTTTATATACTAGAAAAATCTCTAAATAGCTCTGCTATCACCGTCGGTTGCCAACGCCCATGACCTCATCCTGAGCCTCAGCCTGCGACTCCTGTGCCCTGCAACCAGCATCCGACGAATAATGGCTCCCTCTCCTACGATCCGACGCCTCCTCAAAGAGACTGCCGAACTCTCCTCCCCTTCTTCGAACCCGAATCCCGCTTTCTTCGCGGGTCCCGTCTCCGAAGCCGATTTACATGAATGGCATTTCACCCTGCTGGGTCCTCCCTCCCCGTCCCCCTACGCCGGGGGAATGTACCACGGCCGCATCACGCTACCGGCCACATACCCGCTGAAGCCGCCCAACTTCAGATTCCTCACCCCGTCGGGGAGATTCGAGGTGAACCGCGAGATATGTCTGAGCATCTCCGGGTTTCACGAGGAGACGTGGATGCCCGCCTGGGGGGTGCGGACCGCGTTGACGGCGCTCCGAACGTTCATGGCGGAAAAGGGCTCGGCCGGCCAGGTCGGAGGCTTGGAGGCGCCCGCGGACGTGAGGAAGAGACTTGCAAAGGAAAGCCGGGGTTGGAGGTGCGACGCCTGCAAGAAAACGAACGAGACCATCATGCGCGAGTGGTGGGACATCTGTCGGGAAGCCGGGGTCAGTGTCTCGGCAGAGGAGGATCTGGGATTAGAGACTCTGCCAGAGGGGATGACGCTCGAGGCGCGAGATCCCAATGCGCAGTCTAATGCTTCTTCGCAAGCAACCGCTGGGACGAAAAGTGGAAGCGAAGCTGGTGCACAGGACGCCCCGAAGGGGACAGCGGCGGTATCACAAGAGCGGCGGCCGCAACCCTCTACAAATCCAGATCCCAACACGTCGACGCCATCTGCATCGGTGCCGGTACCACCCTCCCAGCAACCTCAACCCCCCTCATCGTCGTCACACTCGTCACGATCCAACTCATCCAACCTCACCCGACCTACAAGCCAGAGATGCATCCCCATGGTCCCCACCCCGTCCGCGGAAGCAGCCCAGGCCTCGGCCGAAGCAGTCCTGACGCCGGGCGACTTTGTCCAACCTCCCTCTGATGGCTCCACGGCATCCAACACCGGCTCTTCCACCACCCATCGACGGCCCCTTTTCACGGGCCTACACAATGCCCCGCTCGCCGCCGCGAACGCGGCCATCGCCCAGAGCGCGCGGCCCCTGACGCTCCAGCGCGGTCGGGGACGGGACAGGGAGCAGCAGACCATCACGATCGACCGGGCCATCGCGGGCGTGTTCCTCGCGCTGTGCCTGATGGTGCTGAAGAAGATCTTCTACCCGGCCGGCGGGCCCGGGGACCGGTATAATGGGGTGGACGAGTTCTACCTGCAGCGAGAGTAGGTCTGTCTGCGCAGCCCTCAGCATTTTGGCTATCTTTGGAGACATGCTTGGATTTGCCATGGTCGGGAAAAAACCATTGGAATATGCCGGGTTGTCGGGGTGGGGTTTGGTTTGGGATCCGGGCTTATGATCATGATGATATTGGTATGGATGGAAACATCAAGGGGTCAGTGGATGTAAAGGAACGAAAGGGGGGTTTGCTTTCTGGATTATTTCCCCATGGCTTTTGTCTTCTGAAAAGCGTGAGCAAGCGTACAAGCCAGCGAGCGTCCAAGCGAGCAACGCCGCAACGACTAGAGAGCTCGGCGCGAGTCTCATACCAGGCCTCAAGGTACCTACCTACCTACCTACCTATGTAGCAGGTCCACATGCGTTGCGTACATTTATTTGTTATTGTATATATGGCACTCTATGGTGGGAAATTCTTTTCCCACGACCCAACCCGGAAAAGGGATTCTCTACCTCTTCTTCCGGACCGCTTGGAATGATAGAATAGAGCAGGCTGCCCCGAGCGCAGCCTTGGTTCATTTTTGCGCCTTGTGGCAGAACGCTAACCTACATACATGCATGCATAAAAGTATCCAAATCCAGTCCAATCCGATCCAATCCAGCCCAGCCCAGCCCAGTCCCGCAATGCGCCCATGGTCGACCGTGTGATACATAACCAGAGCCGTGATCGCGCATGCATGCCAAGGGGATTTGTTTGGATGTATCCAAGGGGATCGGTTGATCGACCCATCCATCGTAGCCCGGACCACGTTGTCCCGACCAGATACACAAGATGAATCCCCCGACCCATCATCTTAGTCTACCTGCACGGTTCCTCCTGATCCAGCCTCTCTCTGCATCGTCTTCCTCAGCCCTAACGTCATACCCAATATCCGAGTCGCTGTCTTCGTCGCCACTGCTGACCTCGAACGGCTCGTTCTGGTCAAAGTCCCTCCTATGTCTTCTCTTGTTCTGATCGGCCGTCGAGGCGTTCTTTTGGTTAGGAGGGAGATGCTTCATGGACATGGCGCTGCGGGAGTACACGTCCTCGTCCTCGGTCCGTGGGACAGTAGTTTCGTGGTGCTCGTCAAAATTGATGGTGTAGTCGCGGTCTCGATCCCTCTCGTACTCTTGATACCCATAGCCCCGATTGTCTCTTCCATTTCTAGGTGCTGCATGTTGATCATGGTCCATCATTGCCGCCAGCCTTTGCTCTTTTCGCCGCACTGCTTCTTCCTGCGCCGCCATCCATTTCGGGCTGACTTCCCACCGCCATCCGTCACCTGTGGTATTACATATGGGCAAGGCCCAGAGAAACCGATTAGGTCCAAACAAGTGGTTAAGATTCCGACGCCAGCCTAGATCGAATGCATTGGGCATCTTCTCGGACTCTTCATCATCTAGATATTGAGAGTATCTCTCCCGCTCGCGAGCGGCCTCCATGTGGGAGTAAGTGTTTCGCAATGACCGAAGGGCTGGGGTATCGCTGAAAGCGTCTTGGTGGTGGCGGCGGTTGTCGGGGGACGGATCTGGGCTTTGAGAAAACGGGTTCTCGCGGCGCGCTGTGTTATAGACACTCGGGACAGGCGAAGTATGTTCTTCGCCTTCCTCATACCGCGAGGCTCCAGGGACAGCATTGGCATTCCACTCAAGAAACTGCTCCCCAGCTCGCTGCAACCGACCTGCAACACCTTCGGAGCTGCGTCTGCTGTGGTTTAATTGTTGCTCCTGGCGATTTCGTTCCACGAGAGTCCTGACACCACTAAGATATCTCGTCTTCTCAAGTCTCTCGATAGTAGTTTGGCCGTTCATGCAAAGATAAATATGCCAACCGGTGAACGCACTCAGTACCAGACCGATGATTCCGGCTATGACGGAAAGGAGGATAGTATTGACTGGTGCCACTTCATCGAGATAGCCACTTTGCTCGAACAGCTCTTTCCACATCCACCACGCTGCATTGAAAAAGCATACCCAACAGAACAGAGACGTATATATGAGGAAGAGTACAAATGCTTTATAGTTCCGCAAGCCCAGGCAGGTGGACAGCCAGGGGCAGTGATGGTCCATCTTCAACACGCATCTCTTGCACGTAGAGCAATGATGTGTCCGGTCAGGCTTCGGAGTGTGGCACTTTTTGCAGAATCTGGGCGCTCCGGTCGAGGAAACGGTGATGCTCTGGACCTGGCTCGCATCGGTGGGGGGTTCGTGAGTAGGAAGCATCGAGTATCTCCCCTGGCTCCTATCCGAGGACTTCGCAGGAGATTTCAAGGGTGAACCAGGATCCGTAAAGGCGGCGACTGTGTAGGACCAGTTCGCCAACGCGTAGAGGGTGACCCCCAACATCGACATGGCTTGGATCAACCACCACACATGTTTTGACCGGTGAGATCCGAAGCCGATCGACGCCACCACCCACACCGCCCATGTTGTTACACTATACACAAAAGCGAGAGGGAAGAAGGTGGCTATGGCGCAGCAGACACGCTCGCACGTCCGGGCGCATGATCGTAGTCGGCGGCGCGAAGGGGTTGGAGGGGGCGAGGAGGACGGACTCGAGTGGCTGGGCATGGGAGAAACGGGTACGAGAAGAATTCTATATTGGCGCTACTCGAAGGAACTGTTGGTGTACAATCACTCAGGCGGTCGAGTCCAGTGTCGTGGACGAGTGATCATCTCGAAGGCGTTGACTGCATGGTTGCGGCAAGGGAGGAGGTAAGAAATTCTTTATCCAAGGACGCAGGCTCATGAATCTAGGAGAGTAAAATGAATGGACTGGAGCACTCTGTGTAGTGTCAATGCTGGTGGACTGGGAAATACAATGCGTAGGTGATGCGTCTAACATTTACTGTGCGTTGTGAGGAGTTTTGAAACGGCGCAGTTGAGATGCTGCGAGGCTGGCGGCGGAGTGACGTGGTCCCAAGGCTCTTCCTCAGCCTTGCTATGAATACCTACATACGCGAGGCTGCTGCCTCCGCCACCTCCGCTGCGAACCTTACCATCTTCTCGCCTCTCGCGTCTCATCTTGGTGGCTGGGATCTAGAATGGGCGGTGGAGGAAGTACATCAGAGTGCAGATATTGCATTTGTGTGTCTAAACGAGTGTAGCAGTAGTTGGATATTCCATGTGATATCCACTTCTGTCTCTTGGACCCCAGCCCTGTTCATTTGCTTCACCAGTCCCTTCAATGTTGCCTCATTGCTCTTTTTACTTATCACCTCGTCCATCTTCAACCAGACTTCACTGGCTCGGTGTTGGCATTCTCCTCCTTCTTCTCCAGACCAACCGGCTCCCTGACCATGACATCCATCCTCAGCTCCTTGCCCGCAGCGCGTTGCAAGTAGATATGCTTGCGCAGTTCAAAGCCCAACTTGCCATAGATGATGATGTTGATGTCGTGCGAGCTCTCCAGGTAGCAGGGCAGCCCTTCGGTATCGGCCTGTCTTTGGTTAGCCAGTTAACCAGGAAATCTCTGATATGAAGCCCATACCATCTTCGTGACATATTCAATCAGCTTTCGGGCATGACCACGGCCACGTGCCGCCGGCTTGGTACCTATGTAGTTCAGATACCAGGAATTGTTGTCCCTCTCCCCCAAGATTTCCTGCTTAGTGTGATGCAACAGGGGCAAGAACTCATCGAAGAATCGCACGTTTCCCTCCTTGGACAGCTTCCAGCTCAACCGCCACATGCCGCTGCGAAGGATGGTGAACCAGTCGTCGATGTTCTTGCCTGGTGGCAGCCACAGAGCAACGCAATCAAAGTCCTCACCAACCGTCAAGACCAGTCCTTGGAGACAGTGAGCATAGGTGACATACTCCATGGAGGCTTTGTGCAACTCGAAGCGCTCCTCTTCCGTCATATCCATGCGGTCCGGAGTGTCGATGGCGTAGCGGACGATGTTGTCAAGTCGAAACGCCTCGGCCAGACAGGCGGCGGCCTGCTTGTACTCGTGCGGAGCGACGACGCGGACTTGATCCTTGTTCGGGGTGGTCGCGGCGACCTTTGCGGGTTTCTCGTGGATGATGGCAGCGTCCAGAATGGGGACAGCAGCACTAGGAAGAGCCATACTGAAAAGGATTGGGGATTTAGCAGTTTCTAGGTTTTGACTCTTTCTTTTCTTTCTTTGGTCCTTTCTTTTACTTTAGTCGAAAGGTCAAACATGGTCGGTCAACCTACTCTGTGATCAACCTCGATCAAGGGGTCTTGTAGAATGGCCTGTATGCTCGGAACACAGCTGAGCAGTAGAGACAGTGTCGCTTCTAAATGGGAAGCGGAGGCTGGGGCAAGAGGTGCGTATATCAACCGACATCAGCGTATGATACGTCTGAGGGGTTAAACTTTGCAGAGAAAAGGCAGAGACGAAAGGATGGCTAGCAGAGCAGTATAGATAGTTCTGTTTGATCTCGCGGGTTGCACGAAAGCGTTGGATGCGTGGCACGACGGGTCGAGGGTCGAACGGAGGATCGAACGTGGGAGCTGTGCTAACGGTTGTGTAGCTCCAAGGTCACGACAGGCAGCTGATGATGTCGAAGTCGACACTTCAGTGATCTTGTACGAGGCCTCGAGGCTGGAAGCAAAGCAGAAGAAGGGTGGAGGTGTCTCGTAGGGAGGCGGGCGGGAGTTTATCAACCTGCCAACGATGGAGACGCGAGGCAAGGTTCCTGGGTGCCACTTGGCGGAAAGGATGTGGTGAGAAGCCAATCGCCAGGGTAGGACGAGTTGGACGAGTAAGTATTCGTGGGACGAAGATGGCTGAAGCCGACGTAATTCAGTCAGCACCCACGGGCTCGTCGGATTGCTGGAATCAACGGCAATGGCTCCTCCCCACGCTATTGCATGCTGGAGTGCAACCAGAGGCTTCACATCAGCAGCAGCTGTGCATATCCAGCTTGTCTGCCCGTCTTTCGGCTGCCACGCTCCTGTACGGTGCTTTGTATCAGCTCCACCCTGCAACCAGTGAGTGGAGGGCAATGGACATGAGCGAGAGGGAAAGGGTCACGGGGTCCAACGCATCGACATGCTCGTTGAGGTTTAGGCAGGAAAATGGGTTGCAGACGGAGTGAGGCGAAACTTGGGGGCAGCCAAGGGGGCATGATTGGTGCATCTTCTCGTTCCTTTTGGGTCCCCGACAGCAGTGTGCAAAGGCCTGAGTGGTCAGCCTGCGTGGGATATCTGTGCAATCTGATCTTTTTCCGCGAATCCGCCCTTGTGACCAACTATCAATGGAGCGGGAAAGGGGTCAGATGGAAGAGCGGCTTTTGCGCGTATCATACACACTTACCTGAAGACTTTGACAATACCTATCCTCGATATACATAGACCAAATGGCCCTTTCACGTAGGAAAAATACCGGTAAAGAACAGTCTGACAATGGGGAATCCCGAGACCGCCGCAACAACAGCAGTCCGAGTCCCAAGGCGCTGATCAAAAAACGACCCAGTTGCCGCTGTTCCGATCGAGCCAGGCAGGAGAAAATGGAGCCAGCGAGAGCCCACAGCGGCTGCCAGAGATAAGGTAGCCTCCATTTCATAACATAACAGATAGATATATGCTTATGATGATCAGCCGGCGTGCTTGTATATGCCATTTATATAGGATGGTCTTGGCACAATGGTGGAGGTTCAAAGTTGCGAGACATCAGAAGTCGGCACGGCTTGACCAATAACTATATATATATATCCTCTCTAAACCCCTGTCATCGATCTTTACGCATGATTCATGGCGGCAACAGCATCATAGATGATATGGCTGATAGCAGGATATAAGGCGAGTAGTGATTGAGCAGTCTGGTGGATCTCGGCGCATTTTAGAGATTTGTTGTCGAAGTCAATGACCTTGAGCGCTGTGATGAGATGTCATTGCGCACGTCCATGTTACTGCCTCACTTCACCTCGACATGGATGGCCTCGACGTCGTGCTTATGGGAGGCTACTCCGACATCTTCAATTCCACTGAAGTCGGTCATTCCGAACAACTCGTCCATTCGCTCCAAAGAAATCTGGGAACGTTGTCAGCATCCAGCAGCCCGAGAGACACACCGAGAAGGTTCCCACTTACTCCTTTGGTCTCTGGCACCAAGAAAAATGCTCCAATAGCGATGGTGAAGCAGAAGCAGCCGTATATAAAGTATGTGCCGTAACCATTTGAACCCACAGTATCCAGCATAACGGGGGTGGCTCGAGCAACAGCCAGGTTGAAAACCCATTGTGTTGCCGCAGCGTAGGATACGATCAATCCTCGGAGCCGTTGAGTGCTGATTTCAGAGGAATAGATCCCTGCAGACAAGTTTAGCACCACCCAGGACCCGTGAGCGAAACGACTTACAGCAAACGGGACCCCAGCCAAATTGGAAAGCTGCCGCGTAGAGATAGACCATGACCAACGCCGCATATCCCGCACCAGAGATAGGAGCACCTTTCTTTGGCGGGTCAAATCGGACGAAGAAGCCCAGGTAGAACATGCAGAACCACATGAACAGTCCTGTCCAGACCAGCGACCATCTGCGCCCAAGTGTGTCGGCAAGGAAGGTAATGAAGATGGCGCAGGAGCCCATTTTCACGATCCCGTAGACCCCGGTAGCGAATAGGCTCTGTGCATTTCCGGTGACGCCGAGATCGGTGAAGATGGTTGGCGCATAGTAGTTCTGCAATCGTGTTAGCTGGGACACCTCGTGTTGGAGAACGCCAAACGCCTACGATAGCATTAGTTCCAGTCCATTGTTGAGCAGTCATGAGCGCGATCGCCATGATTGCTCGTCTGCGATTTCCAGGAATCGTCCATGCCTCCTTTGTCAACGCCCAGTAACTGTTACCGCCAGCACGGGCCCTCTCGGCTTCCAACTGTGTTTGCATCTCGAGCAGTTCGGCTTGAACGTAGGGGTGCGTGGTTGGTAGGTTTCGCACTTTCGCAAGAATCCTGGAGGCCTCATCCCAGTTGTCTTGGGAAGCAAGCCATCGAGGACTCTCGGGACAGAGGAGGATAGAAACAAAGAGGAGGAACGGAGGCAGGGACTGCATCGACAACGGGACTATCCAGGTGGCATGGCCTTTCAGGTGGAGCAGGCTGCCGTAGTTGATGAAAAAGGCCACCATGGCCCCCATTGTTTCGAAAAGCTGATAGAAACCGACGAGCAGACCTCGAATGCCACGGGGAGCATTCTCAGCAACGTAGGTGGGTGCGACCATGGTGGCTCCGCCCAGACCTAGACCTTCAACAAACCTGATAGTATTGTCAGTTTCCAGGCTGTAATAATATCTTCCATTGTTTACGTACCGTCCAATGTAGAAGCAGGATAAATGGCCATATGACAGAGCCTGAAGGAGGCCACCGACGAAAGCGAAGGATGCCACAGTATAAATGGTAATCTTTCGACCCCATTTGTCGGCCAATGGATTCGCGGCGAGCGCACCGACGATGGCGCCTGCTTGCATAACGGAGACCAAGTTGGCTGAGAGATTGGACTGTGCGATTTTCGACTTATTTGTGAGGCCGAATTCACTTGGAGCAAGCAGGTTAGTCATTGCCATAGCCAGTTTTAGGGAAGATTGGGCATACTCTTTGAAATCGGGCAACGTTATCACTCCGCCAATAATCCCAATGTCCATGCCAAAGAGTGTTCCTCCAAAACAAGCCTGTTCGATCTCAGTACAAATCTTTGTCTTCCTCCCGGATGGCATGACTTACGGCTGCTGCCAAAGCGAAGACTCTCCAGTTGTAGACCTCTGGAGGGTCCAACTTGACGGCATCATTGTGCACGATTCTCCTGAGGAACGACATATTGGCCAAGTGCGTGGAAGAGTCTGGAGGGACCGTGGAGCTGAACAGTCAAGGCTGGAGGACTGACGAGCGAGGTGGTGAGGCGGGCAGGTTATTAAATGCAACCATCGATCGGCCTTCTCAAGCTGCCACATGTTGGACAAGGATTGTCTTCAAGCGAAGGGACTCTGTCGATTTACTGCCGTGTCAGCGGATCTCCATCTCCTCCTGGAGAGAGGACTGGAGACTCCATAGACCATGGGGCAAGCACAACGGATCTTTGCACCGAACGTGCCCAGATGGAATGATAGAGGCCGGACATTTGCCAGATGTCGAATAGTTCAGCCGTTGGCACACCACTTAGTGGCCAGCGCCAGGCTATATCCAGACAAGATGTGCAAGCTTCAACAAGCATTGGACGTAGCATGGTAGGGTGCCGACCCTGTTGTAACGTTCTGTCGCCACTCTCGGTGAGCGGTAGGTGTCTAGGTGTCATTAAACTGCGGGGACAGGCTGGGCTCGTCTCCAAGAGTGGTCGGTGTTTTCAGCCTGAAATGAAGGCTTGGTGTAGATGGGGGAAGCTGGGGGGAAGACGGCATCCTCCCACCAGCTCAAACAAGCTGCGATGCGGAGAGGCCAGCATTTTAGCAGGAGGTTGACACTCCACCTGGGGTACGGGACGACGGCAATCCATCCGCAGATCCTGGATAAATTGATGGATAAATAGACCATGGCTGGGGGCGGGCAAGGTTGAAGGGATGGTGTTGTCCACCAACTCCACCAGGCTTCGGTACAATCTTCTGCCGAGTTTATATAGTCCAGGACCATACCAGGTACACCTTTCGCTAAGCGACGGGAAGCCTGCTGTCGAACAATTTGACATGTGGGAGACGCAGCCATCACCACGTCCTGTAGAACAGAGGAGTATATATCCAAGGTCGGACGCTCTGTATGTACCCAGGGCGACGATGGCAATTCGACCAGCCAGCCAGCCGGCCAGAAGCTGTGCAGCGAGTGAACAGTCTCCCTCGAGCAGTTGACAAGTCCAACATCGTCTCCGGAGCATGTTGTCCTCTTTGCCACAGAAGCCTCCGAATTGAGACTGCCTAGGCCATCTTGTTTCTCAACCAGCCTGGGATTTGTGGTCGCTGCATCCAGCTCTGCTGCCACTTCTTTCGATAGTCCGGAACACTGGATGGCATAGCAAACACGCCAGTTGCCACCCAAACATCCGCGTTCGCAGGTATATCCATCGCCAGGCTAGGTAGGACTGATCTGCTCTCCATCAGGTTGCTATTCGCATCTTCGTCCAATACGCGGCCAGTGCGGCCGTCGCGTTGGTGCAGCTCAACTATACCAACAGCGCCGCCCCGCGTCACTACCACTGCTTCGCCGTTGTCTGCCTGCCTTCCCTCAGTCTTCTCGGCGTCCATCTGCTGTAATTCGCGTTCGTCCTTCTGCGAGACGCCGTTCAGTGCAAAGGCGCCCTCGCTCGTCTTCAAGGTTCTGCTGCCTGTTGCGATATGGTGCACCCGGAGATGCCAATTTGGTGCGGCCTCGGTAGGGGGAAGCAGATAAGTCTCGACATGGGTATCTGCCCACGGTTTCCACTCAGAGATCAACACAGGAGTGTCCTCCATAGTCTCCAGCCTTGCATTGAGTGGCTTCCTCCGCACTTTCCACGTCTCGCCTTGATCGTCCGAGACCCCAAGGACGTTATCGCCTCCTATCGCTTCCACAAAGTAACCGCCGGTAGGAACAGAATACCCAAAAGCCGTGCTGTATGCAAACTTTCCGTATTTGCTTTCGGCAGCTCTCATTGGGTAGTGGCACATCTGTCCCGAGGACAACAGAAAAGTGTGTCCTCCTTTTCTCACCGTGATGTGTTTCGGGTGTTTGAGTGCCACAACCTGCGCTATTGAATCGGAGGGATATGGTTCTTCTCGGCACCGCCAGAACTCATGAGATTCGGGCAAGGCCAACGCTGCAAATGAGAGCATGAACCAGTAGGTCGAGCCGGGCGAGTTGTAGTTCTCGGAGATGAATTGGTTGGGATAACCATAGCCGATGGTCAATATCCCGGCTCCATTGAGGATGTCCTTTTGCTGAGACCAGTATCGTAAATTCCGCAGGAGAATGCCTTTGACCACTCCCCAACTGAGAGGTGGCTCGAGATCTAGGTCCGCAAAAGCGACTGCCGCCCAGAAGCCGGCCATGGCGAAGCGATAGGTGAGCGATCGACCGAAAGTCATTGCTCGGCCTGCGACAGTCAGAAACAGAGCCTCAGAGCCTCTCTTGCACCGGGTGTCCTCACCTTGCTCGTCAAAGTAATGGAGGAAATCCTTCGCGTACATCCTCGCCCGGTCCCTATATGCCTCTGCTCGTTTGGGATCCCGATCACCATTTAGCTTTGCGTACAGCAACTGAAGATACTGGATGGCGAACGAGCCGGAGTAATAGTCCATCTGTAGCGTGTCAGGCGGGCCGTCGTTGCTCCAGCCGCCAGAGAGGTGAAAGGTATCGAGGTGGTCGAGGTCAGCTTCGAGTCGGCCCGCGTCATACTCTGCACCATTCTTCATCAATGCCAAGTTAGCAAAGACACGAAACCAGAGCCAATTTGTGTTTGGCATCTCTTTCTTGTTGATATCCAGCCACCTGCGAACATTCTCGCGCTCTCTCTCATTGAGTGGCTTCCAAAATTGGTCAGGGGCAACGCAGAGAGCGAACCCGAGAGGACACATTTCGACCATTCTTTGATCCAAATCCTTCGACCAGCCCCAGAACTCCGGATGCTCGGGATCTGTACCATTCCTTATCCCTTCCAGCCAGAATTCGGAACCTTCAAACGACTCACCACCCGCGAGCAAGGCTCCAAGACCCCACATAGGTCGTGTAAAGCCTTCGAGCTGCGCGCCTGCTTCATCGTAACGGGTGGCCGTGGCTCCAAGTCGCAGCCTTGTCTTCGCTGGCGAAAAGAAAGGGAACAAGGGGGTCAATAGTGACTTGCAAGCTTGTACAACGTCGGATCGCGTCACGAGGGGGTTGTTCAGCGAAGTGAAAAAAGGTGGTGATGTCCCACCTGCCATGGCTGCGGATTACGAGGTGTTCTCTCAAGGAAGGAGTCTAACCAGGTCTATTGATGCCGTTGGTACGCTGTACAAAATATCGGAAGAAACCTCAAGCCCTTCACCGAAAGCAGATGCTTGTGGTTCCCGGGGCTTATATTGATTGTATCCTCAAGAATCCCGGGCATTGCCGTTCAAAACAACTTACAGAATGACGTCGCATCAGTTGGTGTCGCGTTGCCCACCGGCCTCATACCGTTGAGGACCCAGCTCGCCAGACATTGAGAGCCTTAACCGCTGGAATTTAGCCGTAAAGTAAGAGATGCATGTCCTCAGTGGATACGTGGGGCGGTGATGGGCTTTGCAATTTGGAGTTGATCGTCTCCATTGCCTCAAGGCCATCTCTCCGAACTCGAAAGCAATATCCCCATAGGCTCTCTTGGCTGTCCCATGTACTCGTACATTGATCATGCAAAGGGCTCACAGTCATGAACTCCTTCGGTTACTACCCTTTGTCCTGAATTGCCATGTCTCATATCACTGTACCGTACAACGTTGTGTTGCTAACCCTTTCTGCTCCGCTGCAAGCCTGTCAATCCCGATGCCAGTGAAACTCCAGTCTTTTCCCGTTTCACCCTTCCAGAACTGCCCAGGTATTATCATCGACGGTCGTGAAAATCTTACCGGCAGCCACAAGTTCTTCGGCGCCCTTGTACACGTCACTTGTTGACAGGCTCATCGCAGAGGCAATCATCTGCACATGCAAACCTTCATTGCTCTGCGGTGTGTTCTTCAGTGTCGCAAAGATTCTCCGTGCCAGTGGTGAGCATTGAGCCAGCTGCCCATCTCCGGCAAATTCCTGACGCATTCCGTTGCCCGTCAATCCATTCGCTGCCCCATTTCTCTGCTGTCCGTTCGCCTGTGCGTTCGGAGGTGGTCCTCTCGTGAAGAACAGGTGTACAGCTGTTGCTTCGAGCAAGTGGTAATTGATCTCGTTGTAGTCCGTAATAGGCCGAATAATATGTGCTCCAACATGTCTCTTGTTGTTGAATGCTTTTAACCTCCCCCATACTCGACAATAGCCATCTTCCACCAGCTTGGGTTTATTTGAGTCAACATCCATCTTCTCTGCGTTGTTTGACTCTCCGTCAATCCATTGCTTCGCTTCGATGATACCCGTACCGTCGTCGATTTTGTAGGTGATGTTTGTCGGTTGCGTGCTTATACTGCGGATCTGGCCGACAAATGTGACCTGCACAAATGACCATTAGTCTCGCCTTCGTAGACCTGTTGCGAATTCGAATTACCTGGCTGAATGGCTCTCCATCGCACCGAAAATCTGCGTCTGGGTGGGGTTGTTCTGCGTCGAGAATTTGTTTGATGGTCATCGGCCTGACAGTGTCTTTCCCGTAACCCTTATGAGAACCGGTTAATCATGGATACTAGGCCTGGAATCATGGCCTAGGACCTACTTTTCCAGCAGCAGGGCTACTCTGCGGCTCTCCGGCCACGAAGCCGCCACCGTCTGCGGCGCCATGAGCGCCGTAAGAGGTTGTATACTGATTGTCGTAGCCGTAATCTGCGAGCGTCAGATGGCTCTCCAACCTATCGAACCTTGGTTTACATACTCATTGTGGTCGCGTTCGGGGGTTACTCGAGCGGTGGGATGCAGTGGGATGAAAGGTCTGGAGAAGAATTGATTCCAAACACGGACGCGTTGTCAACGCGTAAATTGATTTTCCGCTGCGGCTGCACTTTTGGTCAACCGTATTCGCCCCTCTACTGGGGCGCATATCATGGAAGGCGCAATTTGTAAATTTGATAATTTTGAGATTTCCCAAGCGCAGGCACATTTCACAATGCCTGTATGAATGGCAATGACCAGAGATGGCACATTCAGCTATGGAGATCACTATATACTGCTAACTAGTGCAGAACAGGGCTCGAATTCCACGATGCCTCACAGGGCGGGCTCGCCTGCCCGTTCAGAGAATGAATTTGACATCGGCAGCGCATTGTTCGGACATGATTCTGAAGTTACGCACGACACTCTACACGAACAAAATGGGGCTCTACAAAGGAATGACTTGGATGTCATGGCGGATGACTCAGAAGTCGATGAGGAGGCCATTATTGCTGCTCAACAAGCCGCATCAAATCGCAAAGGTGCCAACTTGAAAGGGCGAACAGTGAAAAAAGGTGGTGGCTTCCAAGCCATGGGCCTCAATGCCAATCTGCTGAAAGCGATAACGAGGAAAGGCTTCTCAGTCCCTACACCTATTCAGCGCAAGACAATACCTCTCCTTCTCGGCGACAAGGACGTGGTGGGTATGGCAAGGACTGGATCCGGGAAGACCGCTGCTTTTGTCATTCCTATGATTGAAAAGCTCAAGGTGCATAGCACGAAAGTCGGGGCCAGGGCTCTGATTCTGGCGCCCTCGAGGGAGTTGGCTTTGCAGACATTGCAAGTGGTCAAGGAGTTGGGCAGGGGCACAGATCTCCGATCGATCCTCCTCGTGGGAGGTGACAGCCTGGAGGACCAGTTTGCTGCCATGTCCAACAACCCGGATATCATCATTGCCACCCCCGGCAGATTCCTCCATCTCAAGGTCGAAATGAATCTGGATCTCCTGAGCATCAAGTATGTCGTCTTTGACGAGGCAGATCGACTCTTTGAAATGGGCTTCGCGGCCCAACTGACAGAGATCCTCCATGCCCTACCCGCATCCCGGCAAACTCTTCTGTTCTCTGCTACGCTGCCTAAGTCACTAGTTGAGTTCGCGAGGGCAGGATTACAGGAACCTATGTTGGTTAGGCTTGACGCAGACAGCAAGATATCTCCCGATTTGCAAAGCGCCTTCTTCACTCTGAAGTCATCGGAGAAAGAAGGGGCATTGCTTCATATCCTCCAAGACATCATCAAAATGCCTACCGGGTCCCAATTGATCACGTCAACCACGACTTCTACGATAGCAGACAAACCAAACAACAAGAAGAGGAAACGGCAGGAGACAGAAGAAAACAGCAGCAATGCATCCGGTACCAATCCTTTTTCAACCATAGTCTTCACTGCCACCAAGCATCACGTCGAGTACGTAGCAAGTCTACTCCGTCTGGCTGGCTACGCTGTCTCCTATGTTTATGGCTCACTCGACCAAACCGCCAGAAAATCCCAAGTCCAGGCTTTTCGGACAGGTCAAACAAATATACTTGTTGTCACGGATGTTGCTGCCCGCGGAATCGATATTCCGGTGCTCGCAAATGTAATTAACTACGATTTCCCTTCACAACCAAAGATATTTGTCCATCGTGTGGGACGGACTGCTCGAGCGGGACAGAGAGGTTGGAGTTATAGTCTAGTCAGAGACGCTGACGCACCATATCTACTGGATCTGCAACTTTTCCTTGCTCGGAAATTGGTCCTTGGTCGAGCAGCGAGCAATGAGCTTGTCAACTTCGCACAGGATGTCGTGGTTGGTAGTTTTCGACGGGAGGCGATACAGACGAGTTGCGAATGGGTGACAAAATCACTAGAAAGCGACTCCGATCTTTCTGCGCTCCGAAACGTTGCGTTAAAGGGCGAGAAACTCTACCAGCGGACCAGGAACTCTGCTTCCTCAGAGAGTGCTAAGAGATCGAAACAACTTGTGTCGTCCTCGGCCTGGACGGAACTGCACTCACTGTTCAATGATGAAACAGATGATATGGAAGTTGAAAGAGAAAGGATGCTTGCACGAGTGGGAGGATTCCGACCACAGGAATCTATCTTTGAGATTGGCGCTCGGCGTGGTGGGCGAAAGAACAACGAGGATGCTGTGGACGCCATACGCAAGATCCGCTCTGGTTTCGAAAGTAGGAAGCAGAAGAGCGTGGATGCGTCCCAAGCTCTGAGAGAAGCTGGCAATGATGATGCCGTCGACCCGACCAACAGTCCGTACGACCCAGCAGAAGATGAGGCTCACCCAGGTTTCATTGATGGCAGCAACGACGTCGATCGTATGTCCGAAGCATCACTAAGTGACCTGGAAATCACCTTTTCTCAACCATACTCGAAGAAATCCCAAACACCAAAATCACCGAAGCCTGGGCTACGCACCACGGAGGGAGACTTTCGCGATCCCGAGAACTTCATGTCTTACCACCCCACTGCTCATGATCTTACTTCCGACCGTGCGTACGGCGTACACTCTGGTTCCAATACCAATGCGAGCGCCAGCTTTGTGGAATCCGCACGTACAGCCACTATGGATCTAGGTGCAGATGAATCGTCGAAGACTTTTGGCGAGAATAGAGCAATCATGCGGTGGGACAAGAGGCATAAAAAGTATGTGAGACGCGACAATGACGAGGATGGTTCCAAGACAGGCAAGAGGCTCGTAAAGGGAGAGTCTGGAGCAAAGATTGCCGCGAGTTTTAGAAGCGGGCGTTTTGATCGGTGGATGAAGGCCAATCGAGTGAACAGACTGGGAAGAGTAGGTGAGGAAGAGAAATCCTCGAATGCTAATGCGGATGGAATGGGTGTCGGCGGTGGAAGGGGAAGGAAATTCCAGCATAAATCGCAAAGAACACCGAAACAGCCAGATAAATTGAGAGGGGATTATGAGAAGCAAATGAAAAAGGTCAAGGGTGCGAAAGAGCGAGAAGAACAGGCCGGCGGCAAAGCCAAAGGGGAGCTTAGAAACGTCGATCGGATGGTCAAGGAGAGGAGGCTGAAGGAGAAGAGGAGGGAGAAGAATGCACGGCCACGACGAAGGAAAGCATAGGCAAGACCAATGGCAGAGAAGTTGTGGTTGACGTCCGACACTGGCGGGTAATGGTTGCTATGTATGACACCTGTGCCGCAATAAGTACCGTGCAATAGTACACAACGGCATCGACTAGGCATGTTGCTACAGTGCTGGACGAGGCTGTGAACCCAAGTAAAGGGGCGAGGCTGCCTCTCGCGTGCCGTGTCTCTTGGCAGTGAGAAACGAGAAACCGTCCACCTCATCGAGACAGCACATTTCCACCCTTACTCATCTTTTCCCGCTGTCTATGTGCCTCTCAATATCCCAATCAGCGATAGGTCTGCTAGGCGTTGCACAGCAGTCATTCTCAAGAGTACCGGAAACACCGGAATCCCGCGAACAACAGCCATCAAGTCTCGTGACTGGACCATCGACTTCGTCACGTTACAAGCATCACGAATTGAAGGGCCAGAAACACCGACATCAAGTCCCCATTCGAATTCGCTGGGATACCTCCAATCACCGATAAGCTACGTCTCTGAGCCATGAACCGCAAGCAGCGGCGGGCCAAGGAGACAGCGAACACGATCAAGAGTGCGGATGACATACCGCTCGCCAAACCAGACAGGACCACGACACCGGGACAGGGCCGAGATGGCAAGAGCAAGACGAAGACGCTGCTCGAAATTGCCGCAGAGCGACAGGCCCAACTGGGCTCGACGTCCGGGGCTGGAGGGAAGGGCATCGACGCTCGTGCCATCCAGCCGGAGAACATCGTGCAGGTGAAGATTGGGAAAGGGGGAGAAATCATCCCAGACCCAAACTCGCCGGTGCCACAATCGTCGCTATCGTCATCACAACCACAGGAGGCGGAGTATCCCTGGCTCGACACGCTCCTACTCGCGTCGTCGCTCAGCGCCGTCCATTTCACCCTCTCCGTGCTCGCCATGCACCAGTACGCCGAGGAGGTCCGGTTCCGGCCGTTGATCATGCAGACCGTCTTCATCGCGTTCCCCACGCTCACCATCTTCATCTCTCTCTTCCACGGACACCTTCTACCTGCGTCGCTCACGAACATTCCTACCTCAGTGAAGTACTGGATTGTTCTTCTGCGGTCCATGATCTACGTGGTCACGGCGAACGTCGCGGGGTGTTACTTGATCCAGTTGACGAATGACAAGGGATACTACGCGGTAATGAAGGACGCGCCGGGAGTAGGCACGATCTGGGTCTGGGCGGTTCTGGAGATGGGATTGCTGGGGGCGCTGGCTGGAGTGGCAGGGCCAGGAATTTATGCTTGGTGGTTTGGGTACGGGATTTGGTGACCAGAAAGAGACGTGGTCAACACCAGTGCACGGGTTCAGGAACGAAGTCGTCTCCCGCTTGGCTACAAGACTCTGGATTGTCGCATATGACAGATGTCCGAGTCCAGTGGCCCGGAGATGGCGGAGAAGCTGAGAAATGTTCCCCTCTCCGTGTGACCAGCCCATGTGCAAAGCGCCTTGGCCTGGTGGTACAAGGACGCTGCCTGCCGCGGACGCCCTCCTTGGAACGTGCTCAAGGTAGTGCAGAAGAAGGTCAGATCGTGCGCCAAGGTCCTTCTAGAATCCACCTGGCTACTGGAGCGGAATCACGACATAGTCACAGATTATTGAAAAATTGGATGGCCTGCTGCTCCCAGCATTCGCGCCGAATCCACGTCTGGACGTCGGGCCGCTCATAGTGCCCATTTTGCGCGGGTCTGACTGGAGTCGGAGAAGCCCGACAGTACTGCTTGGAGCGAAATATTGAAATTTTCGGTGGTACGAACAAAATGAGTTGGGGACTCGTGGCCCAAGTAAAGCATTGGCATTGGATTTTCTGGTGGATTCCATCGAGTAATGATGGAGTAATAACGGCGAAGTACCAGCAGAGAGAGATCCAGCGGAAGACCACCTCCGTCGACACATGGGAAAATTTTTCTGTAGCAAGGCGCGCGTCCACCAGCCAAAATGGCAACATGGTCTGAGTCAGTCGCGGGAATGTCACCTTAGGGCAGGTATTTGGCTTCTCTTTTTGGCCAGCTTGCAACAGTCATGTTCTCATCATCCAAACATAGCGACATGTGCAATTGTTCAGGTCCCGTCTCTTGCTTGAAGCCCTTCCAAGGGCCGTGTTATCCGCGCCTGATCTCAAAATTTTGAGGATTGAAACTCTGTGACCAGGCCAAGGAGGGGGTTTGAGGTATTGGTAGCGAAGGCATCGATCAAGTTTCGTCCAAGTTTGCGGGGTACAGCAAGGGTGGCGTTTTCCGGGCGCCATTATTGGATCTTTGGTGGTCCGGGTACTTGGAAAGCGATTTGCTTGAGGCGTTGGCGGTGGGCAGGAGGAGCAGGGATTCGTGGGCGGCACCTCGTACGATGTTTTGCACCTGTACCTTAGACCGTAGAGAGTAGTCAGCTGCCCCATGAATCACCAGGATAGCAACAGACGGCGCTGGGATTGCGTGTGTACGGAGCGCAGACTGGCCCAATCGGCGAGGGAACTGGCCCAGCCCGGGTCATTTGTTTGGCGGAACAAATCTCCCCAAGAGCAGGAGGTGGTGGTGTCCGCGTTGTCCGTGATGTCAGCTTTCGCTCATCCATGATCAGGTTCGACACGCTGCGCGCAGGGGGGTGAACTGGGTGGAATGGTGGAATGGAATGGCGCAATGGTGAAGTGATCCAGGCGGTGGACCGCAGTCGTACCAGCAGTGAGTGGCATGAGAAAAAAGAGGACAACAGAGCGACCTCTGGTCCGGGTTGCAGTAGTTGGGCCTTGACTTTGCCCTGATCGAGTTTCCATTATTCATAGTCCTGCTCTTTTGGTCACCGAGCGCCCAACGCGGCTGAACATACAAAGACGGGCGCAGATGGCTCATGACTTGATGAAAAAAAATTTCTCAGTCAGTCTCTCATTCAATCTTTCGCCCATTTCTTTCGCTCCCTCATCGAAGAAAAAGTTGTCAGTCCAATATCACCCGATTGAGTCGGACGAGATCGAAGACTGCACCGAAGATTCCATCGAGCCACGCTGCACATCCCCCGGACTTTTTGGCGCCGACAAGACATTTAGAGGCACCTGGCGCACAGGCACATGCGGCGTCGCCCCCAGTCGACCTTAGTTAAAGGCACCCACTGAAGTTTTGGTGCTGCCCTCCCCAGAGTGTCCCGGAGTCTAGCGAACTGCGCCCTTTGGCCGGACCTTACCTCATCTCCCCACCTGCGCCCCGATCTCGCCTATTCGCCCAGTTGGTGTCCCGCTGCCCGCTGCGCGCTGCGTCACCCACTATTTTCTTTCGATTCTTGGTCGCAGCATCATGCCATCGCGCATTCAAATTCACCACGGCACCTCGACCTCTCCACGACAGGCACCCAGTACTGTCAACGACGTCGTCAATGCCCTTCACCGCAAATTGACAGCCAACCATTTCGAAATTTCCTCCAACCCCCCCTCGAGAAGACCCTCTTTCTCAATGGATTCCTTACTCCATCCCAAGAAAGACAAGAAACACGAGGAACTCAAAGACCGTGACTCGCGAAACCAGAAGCGTCTGTCGCTGACCGGTCGCCATGCCAGCAAATCCAAGGACAGGGCCGCGGGTCATTCTCCCAGAGTCGTGGCCACTCAGCCCGGTCGGTTTGAAATGGTTATTGAGTCTCCCCCTCTAGTACTGTACGGAACCCCGAGCACCTCCACTGGAGCACTGCTTTCGGGTCGCTTGAAGTTGCTCGTCGACGATCCGACCCGTGAACTGCGTCTGGAGAAGTTCACCATGGTGCTACGAGCAACCATCACTACCAAGAAGCCTGTTGGCAAAGACTGCAAAGACTGCAGTGAGAGAATCGACGACATCAAGAAGTGGGAGTTTCTTTCCGAACCAAAGACGTTCTACGCAGGCGACGACAACCAATTCCCCTACTCGTATCTGTTCCCTGGTCATCTACCTGCCTCCACACAGTCGCAACTGGCTACCATCCAGTACTCACTCGTGGCTACCGCGACCACTTCTCATGGAGAGAAGATTGTCTTGAACCATCCGCTCACCCTTTCACGCGCAATCCAGCCCGGCCCTGACAAGTCCAGCATCCGAATCTTCCCGCCGACAAACCTTACTGGCCGTGTTCAGCTACCTCCCATCGTCCACCCCATTGGCGTCTTCCCAATCACCATGTCGATGAGCGGCGTCGTGGAGAAGAGAGCCGAAAGCCAGATCCGATGGCGGTTGAGGAAGATGGCTTGGCGGATTGAAGAGCACTCCAAGGTCATCTCCACCCCGTGTTCGAAGCACGCTCACAAAGTCAGTGAAGGAAAGTCGATCTTGCACTCCGAAACACGGGTGCTGGGGAACGATGAGTTGAAAGGCGGCTGGAAGAGCGACTTTGACACCATTGGCGGAGAAATCACCATGGAGTTCGAAGCATCTGTAGCTACTAAATCGGGTCACAGGGCCACTTGTGATGTCGAATCTGCCACAGGGATCGAAGTCAAGCATAACTTGGTCCTCGAGTTGATCGTCGCCGAAGAATTCTGCCCGAACAAAAACCCATCCTTGGTCACTCCCACTGGCGCTGCTCGTGTGTTGAGAATGCAGTTTGGCTTGGTCGTCACCGAACGGGCCGGTATGGGCATCAGCTGGGACGAAGAAATGCCACCTGTCTACGAAGACGTTCCCCCAAGCCCACCGGGCTATGGCAGCTCGGACAGAAATGACGGAGCCTGGGGCGGCGCAATCATGGAAGATTACCATGGGCCGGAGCTCGAGTATGAGGATCTGGAAACGATGCACAGTCAAAATCCCCATGGACCACCATCTCCACGTACCAGCAACACAGGTCTCCCTATGCGCGATCGACCTCACAATTCGACGAGAGATAGTTCAAGCGGTGAGGGGCCGTCGAGGAGATTGAGTCCTGTCAGAAGGCCCCTGGCGGGTCTGACGAACGACGAGTTGGGTGCAGAACCGCCTCAATATGCGCTGCGACCGATGAATGAGTCTCGAGATGGTCAGCAACACAGTTCGGTTGAAGATTATGGGGAAGGGACCTCATCGAGTGCGCAACGGGGATGAAAAGATTTTCGAAAGCGACTGAGACGGCAGCGACGAAAATTCATGCTGCGTTTTTTATTACTACTGATTCATCGGAGTGCCATACACTTCAACTCACGATACGAACTGGTAACGACACGACACGAATATTTTGATTTGGTCACTTTTGCCGAAACTCTCTACGGGGGACAGCTTATGGGCGGCTGCTTGTTTCTGACACTTTTTCGACCACAGAAAGCATTGATGATACCCAGCATGCATGGTTCAAGACTGACGGCGAAGCATTTGTTTGATTTGAGGGGACAAGCGGACCCTCGGTATGGAAGCGAGCGTATGTGGGTTGGCTGCTCAACGTCGCTATGGGAGTCATGGGGGTTTTCTCTCCTCTTGTTGTCATGTTTGGTTCTCGGTACTCGCTGCAAGCATATACGGAGTAATGATACGAGGCTGCAGCAGGTGGCTAGCAGCAGGTCTGGCAGGGGGATATGTCCCTCGCCGTTTTCCCACGCCTTTTACCTCATTTCGAAACCTGGTTTCCTGTGGCTGGCTGGCTTCTGTGCCCTTTGGATGGAAAAACGAACAAGGCCGTGGAGTCCCCCAGGGTTGCATCGTCGCTTTGATGACGTCCAGCGGGAGGGAAACATTCAACCACCGCTGGAATGCCCCTGCTGCTCGGAAGACTCGTCCCTATTCTCTGCTCGACTACCTAGGCTGGTGCCGGTGTAGGCCATCTGCCGGTCTATCAGAGCATGGAACTAATACGAACGAGTACATACATATCTTGTTGGAAAAATAGACTTTTTGCTCTTTTTCAAATTTTGAGTTTCTCTCGCTAAATGGATGTTTTTTTTTCTTCCCTCCGGACTGACTCTTCCCCGAATACATTGCGGTGGACGTGTCCTCTTGTCCCTACAAGTAATATCTGAACACACTTCCTACCCGCCCCTCTTAACCCATGTAGGTAGGTACTGTAGCTAGGTCGATATGTAAGGAAGGAGGAAACAGGACTGGGCTACTAAGGTAGTTGGGGAGTTCAATTGGTTGGTGGCTGCGACGGCGACGAGTGGTATTGTTCCCATTTTTCTGATCGACTCCTGAGCGAGGACGACGGTGAGGATGATCACGATAGGACACCGCTGGCCATCGCGATCGACTTTAGAATTCTGAATTTGAAATTACATTGACTTGATATCATAATATGATGCTAGGCTGCTATGCTGCGTCGCCGTCGTCATGCCGTTGCCCTTCCCCTCATCTTTCTCCGCGGTGTCGCGTTGCACTACTATCAACCGTTCCAAGACCCCCAAACAGACCGCAGGGTCCTCGACGACAGTCCCATAAAGGAATTACCACTCCACGGAGAAGTATTTGGGACAGGCATACGATGGGTTAGATGGTCCTGCTACTCGCTCGGGCGTGGATCGTTCCCATGTCCCCCACTACCGCTGCACCACGCACGGCCACGCTCATTCATCCACGTCTCGAGGGTCGTGTCTGGACCACCAGTCGTCGTACTCGTCGGGCGTCATGGTCTGGAACTCGGTCGGCCGGGTAATGGGCACCAGCGACTCGCCTCTCTTGGCGAAGTCCTCGATGCGCTTGCGCGTCTGCGCCCGGCTCTTGTTGACGCTGTAGATCTTGACCCGGTGGCACGACGACGTCACATGCAAACCCCAGTTCCACGAGTTGCGCACCTCGAGGGGCTGCGTGTTGAGGCTGTTGTCCCAGCAGCGCACCACAATCTCGATCCACCCTTCCACTTCGCAGGGCAGGTCGAACTCCCACGTCCGCCACGCCCATTTGTGCTTGGTCGACAGGCTCTCGTTGGGGACCGAGTACCACGAGAAGCCGCCGTCCGCGGAGAGCTCCACTCGTTCAGGCCAGCGGCCGCCGCCCGAGTAGGCCCAGCCCTTGCATGCGATCTTGCCTTCGTGCACCACGACCTGCTTGGCCCACGGTGACATGATGGCGCTGGAGACGGGCATTTCTTGGATCTGGATCCCCATCACGGGGAGCTGGTTGTGTTTGCCCACTTGCTGGTTGAAGTACAGGTACTCCTTGCTCTGAACCGGGGCCCGAGTTGGGTGAGGGAGGGCGCGGATGCGGTACACCCATTTCACGGAACGGGCACCGATGTAGCCCATGACGACCATGCGCACAGGGTAACCATGGATCTTGGGCAGAGGCTCCCCATTCATCTCCCAGGCGAGCATGACCTCGTTGGCCTTAACCTTAGACCATGGTACGCTGACCAGGTAATTCATCACCTCGTTCTGCTTGAAGTAGGTGTCCGCTCCATGGAATTCGAGGTGTTTGCCGCCCTCGGCCATGCCACCACACTGCTTGATGACTTTCTTGAGCGAGACGCCCACATAGCGAGCTGTGCCGATAGCTCCTTCTGCCCATGGAGCGTTGATCATCTCGTCACCTTCACCTGCGTACATCTCAATTTGCTCGATACGGCGCGTACCAGAGCATTGGATAGTCACCAGTTTCTCCATGCGCGGGAAGATCTCTTCATTCTGCAGGTCCTTTAGAGTAAAAGTGCGGGGATGCTTGACCAGGCCGTCGAGTTTGAGCTCCCATGCATCCGCATTGATGTCTGGGATTCCACCATGGTTTCGGATGAAATGCAAGGGATTCGGGGTGACGGGTTTGGCAGTGACGAGTCGTTTGGGGGGTTCGCCGTTGTAGGGGAACTGCAACAAGTGCAGCATTTCCGGGTGCTTCTCCTGGATAACTCGCAGCCAGGATTCTTCGGGGACTGAGGTCAGAGGGCCTCCAATGGCCTTGTGCCACAGTTTCCAGCGGACGCCTTCCAGAACTGGGTTTGTATCGGGAATCTGACCCAGTTGGAACTCTGGTGGAGGGGGGAATTTGTTGGTGATCATGATCTTGTGCGCAAGGGCCTTCTTCTCCGGATACTGTTCCCACTCGATATAGCTGGCCTCGTCTGTCAATTGAGATTTTTCAACCAGGAACGAAGATCCGGGTGCTCACCCGTGCCAGCCTGCGCGTTCTTCAGCAAACACCACATTGGGGTCAATATCCTCTTTTTCGAGGTACTCGCGAGCCGATTCGACCTCCTTGGTGATTTCTTCGTCGACTTCTACCTCTTGGATAAATTGGCCTTCGGGGAGAGTCTGGTCGCGGATGGGCAGCTCGGCGGCCGCGAGACCTTGCTCGAGCTTCCACTCATCTTCCGGCTGTAGACAGATCATGGTCAGTTTTGAGATATCCTCTGTGGCTCGAGCAATGGACAAGGACAACCTGGATGGGGTGGTGCAGCTCTCTTGCCCGGACGTCGGTGTGCATTCTGGCGACAAGGAACACTACGGGTAATTTCTAGATTTCAGACGTCGCCACCGAGTGGGATGCTGGATGTCGTAATAACGGTGCCCGACCGTGAAACAGGTGCGAAAGAGGGACTGGGAACAGGAAACCAGGGAGAACGTTGAGTAGATAAAGAGCGAGAGGAAAACGAGCGGAGGGGCCGGGCAAAACTTATCAGTCGCTCAGTTGGAACACGCTGGTCACCCTCGGCCTCGGGGCGGCAGCCTCATATATGGTATTCAGCAGCGAGCCTCAGCGAGCTCAGCTGCTACGTAGGGAGCTGTCTGGTGAAGCTTTTAGCCATTGGTAGCTGGTTTACTCCCAACCTGATTAGGGAGGTGACGGTCTGGCCTCATCCGCTACCTCATCCACCTATCAGTTTGGCGCCTCGGACCTCTTTCTGTGCCTGGCACGCCCAACGCTCTTCACATCATACTGGAGAGGCAGCTTGGACCACTAAGCAAACCATTTGCCGAGCACGGGCCCTGTCCCAGAGGTGTGTTCCACACAAAAGGGACTGCTGACGGAGCAAGGTCCGAGCCCAGAGATCGAGGACCAAGGGCAAAGCGGATGTGGTAACCGGAGGCGCGTCATGCAAGGCTAAGGCGAAACCTGGAAACTGGCAACGAGGTCAATTCGATGGAGGGCAGGAGGAAGAGGAGAGCGAGGCGAGGGCGATGGCATTTAATCGTCATGGTGGTGACGGTTTTCCCGGATACAGACATGAAGCGCGAGAAAGTCGATCGCGCGAGATCTCAACGAGGCTAGTGGCTGCGCGGAAAGAAAGAAGGCGGTCTGACAGAGAGATTTGCTTTCTTTCCATGGGCCACAGAGGCCCGATGCCGCCAACGACGCGGAGGTCAGGCGGTGATTCTGTGTGTCAGACTGAGCGTCATTTGATTATCCTTCGCGCGAGATCGTTTCTCTCATGCGAGGCTCAACTATTTTCCCCCTGCGGCCTTCCATCCTCCAACTCCCACTCTTTCATTTTCATTTTCATTTCTCTGACCGATCCCAAACGATTACGTCGTAGAGCTCTAGATGTGTATCTCTACAGCGCAACTTGCCATGCCATCCATGTCCGTGTCCATATGCCGATCTCGACACCGATCTCAGTCGAAAGCGAAATCTCAACCCCGAAACCTTCCACCTCCTCCCCCCTGCTCATAGATATCTGACAAATCCTGCATGAGTCCCGTTTAGGAAAATCTACTCAGCAACCTGTATCGTCGAATGTCTCCATTTTCGGACCTGCCTCACATACCTCACGAATTGACTCCGAGGCCGAGGTGATACTATTGGGACATTCTGACATCGGGTTTGACGAGGGAAAGGTGCTGCGTACAAGCAGGGCGTTACTGTTCCGAGCAGAACTATCCGCCTGGAGTATCACAAGACGATGCTGGTCACTGCAGCTAATAGAAAGACAAGCTGGCCATAGCTTTTGGACTGACTGAGCCCTAGATAGAAACATCCTTGTCCGCCATTTAAGACGATTGTCAATAAACAATATGCTACAACGCTTCAATGCCTCAAAGTAAGCCAACCTTCTTCACAGCCTCCCACGTGTCCTCGACTGTCTTCTGGAATGGGGTAAACTCCAGTTTCAGCACGTCCTCCGCTTTGCTCCTGTCGATGCCAAAATGCTTGTTCGGATCACAATGCGCCCCTTCTTCTCCCAGCCCTTTCTCTCCTTTCGCCCTTAGTCCAGCGAGCCCGTCCTCAAAGTAATCGACTCCGCCGCAGAGCAGAAACCTCTCGCTTACACCCTTCTCCAACTGCAAACTCTTCAGGTGCGCTTCTGCCACATCTCTCACATCAACCCACGCAGGCAACCCCGGGGTCGCAACTTTAGGCGCAAAGTTTGGGTCCTTACCCTGGACCGACGTGATGAGTCTCTTGATGCTCGTGTTCAACCCATCGACTCCTTTCGCGACGGCCACCTCCTGGATTGGGGGTCCGTAGACCATCGGCGGACAGAAGGTAACCAGATCCCAGCTGATCTCGCCCTTCTCCTTTGCGCTTCGCCACATGTCCCATGCCGCGCGTTCAGCAAATGTCTTGGAGGCGTGATATCCGTAATATCCGTCCTTGGCCGCTTCTTCCATGGTGACCGGATCCCAATCGTCCGAGGTATACTTGTATCCCGGCCGAGGGTTCTTGGAGAGATCCACCACGCTGGCAAAAGAGCTCATGATGGTCATTCTCTTCAACGTCTTCGACTTCAATGCCGAAGACACCACATTCCGTGTTCCATTCACGGCTGGCTCCACCAGCTCTTTGATCGGGTCTGTGGAAGATATGAAATACGGGCTGGCAACGTGACAGATATAGTCCACTCCTTCGACAGCCTGATCCAGCGCCCCGGGAGCTTGGATGTCTGGTACTTCAACAAATGTGAGGTCTCCAGATTTGGTGGCTTCGGGGTATTTGTCGGCGACAAAAGTGGATTTGGAAAGGGAGCGCAGGGTGCCTCGGACGCGGTAGTTGTGGGCGATGAGTGTGGAGAGGACATGGGCTCCAACGAACCCATTGGGCCCGGTCAATAGGACGAGAGGCTTGACGCTCGACATTTTGTGCTATGTGTCTCGAGAGGCGTTCGGGTGTGAGGCTGTTTGTTCGGAGATGGTTATTGATATTTCGAGGGACTCGACAGCGTCATGCTCCCTTCTTATACCAGTGCAGGAGGTTTGGGAACCTCATCTTTATACCATGTGTAAGCAAAAGCTTGTCTCCGGGTCACTGTCGATGGAACCAACCTCGTTGAATCCAGCCGTCCAGTCGAATGGCCTCCAAAATCCTGCCGCGTCAAGGCATGTCCGGCGTCGAAAGCAGCGTCTCCGTATCTTTCCTCTGGGCTTTTGGCCTTCTCGTAATGACCTCGCAGTTGCTGACCAAATGGCCGTGTACCTGCATTAGAGCCAGGCTGTCCCACCTGTCAGACAGGGAGTTGAAGTTCGGGGGAGATAAGCACGGATGGACGTGCTCGCCTGCGTCCGAGTCGATAAAGACGATGATGTCATATTTCGCGCTTTGTATCTTCCCCATCACGTGCCATCCTCCACAGGTTTCCAAACCTCCAAACCTCCAACTCTCGCCTCGCGCACCGTTCCACTCAAGGCCTTGCACTGGTCTTCGCAGTTCTATTCTGACTTTGCGCTGGTCGTCAATTGCCCAGTGCGGGAGCCAATGCTTGCATTGAGGGCAGCAAAAATCGTACGCACCAAGCTTCATGTGGAAAGTCACGGCGATCCAACCAGCGGCGCTGCTGTGCGAGCAGCATCGAAGCTGCCCCGAAATCCTGCATCGAAACCATTCATTACATATCGCTCGGCTGCTGCACGGAACTGCTGCCTCGTGTTCCGTGAGCCAAGAGACACAGCTGGTTTCGCACAGGTTTCGCCAGCCTATATCCTTATGCCGGCGGCTTTATGACTAACCGTGCATGAATTCCCAGGCCAACAGCTGTACCCTCGAGAAGAGGACCTTTTCAATGGTTAGACCCTATTTCCATTTCAACCAAGCAACATCTCCAGCTCTTCGATGCGTCTCTTCTTCTTCTCCTCTTCGTTTTCACCCGCCCCCGATTGGCCGACACCCAGGCTTCCTGCAACTGCCATCTTCCTCTCTTGCACGCGAAGCATCCTTCCTTCAATGCTCTCCTTGGTCACAAACCGAATCACCTCAACCTTCTGCGTCTGGCCCATGCGGTGCACCCGATCGATTGCCTGTGCTTCAACTGCAAAGCTCCACCAAGGGTCCATCATATAGCATCGACTCGCCGCCGTGAGGTTCAACCCCACGCCGCCAGCTCTGAGAGAAAGCAGCAAGACACGAGGCGCTTTCGGGTCGGACGCATTCTCCGCGTTGAACGCACGAATGACCTGTGCTCGTACCTTCTGTGACATGGTGCCATCGAATCGTAGGTACGAGAAGCCGTGCTTGGCAAGTTGCGGAGCGATGAGGTCGAGAAAAGATGTGAACTGCGAAAACACCACCGATTTAGTAGCCCGAGGGAGTGCGGACAGGTGCCGCAGCAGCGCCGCGATCTTTGCTGATGTTGAAGCAGTCGGCGAGTATGGATGAAGGCGGCGCAATGAGATTCTGGTTGGTTTTGTAACACCCTCGTCAGCCGCGTACATGTCTCCCTCCGAGTCGGGAGATACAAGTGGGCTGTTATGCCTGACGACTTCAAAAACATCTCTTGGATTGATGGCTTCTCTACATGAAAAGCAGCGCGGGATCTCTCCTTTGTCCGTTTGGACCGCGATCGACTTCTCCAAACACTCTTTGCAGGCACTGTGCCAGCAAGTTGTAACGGCAGGGTTGATCATTGGTTCTTCGTAGCACAACGGACACTCGCCGCTTGATTCCTCCTGGATTTGGCGCAAGGCATTGGTGGTGAAGGTGGTGATTGGATCCTTTGATGTGGGATTTTCCTTCTCTGCAAGGTCGCTGTCTTTGGTAAACCGGGCTATGAGTTCTTGCAGATCTATGTCGTCGGCAAACCCGTTCTCATCAGCTGCAGCGGCAACAGCAGCGTCTTCTTCATCTGCCACAATCTCCTTGTTGCGGGTCAGGACAGGATGACAGCAAGACTGCCGTAAGCGTAGGATCTGTGCGAAGATTGTCGTGTATGACTTTAGCAGAGTGCCGGCCGCCACGGACTCATTGAAAGCGCGCTTTGCTCGTGTGAAAATCAGATCATATACTTCGCGCTCGGTCTTTGAGAGCTCGACTTCTTCGACAATAACGGACTTTGGTGGAAGCGGTACAAGTGCTTCGCCCTCGGGCGTCTTCATGTCTTTCGTTCTTCTCAGCACCAGAGGCTCCAAGACAGTCTGAACAACATTGAGCGCCCGTGCGATCTCCTTTGACTCAAAGGGCACCGTGATGAACGTTTTCCAGAAGGAAAAGTTGCTCCAAGGTTCGACTTTAAGGAATCTAACCAAGCTGAACAAGTCTTCCAGGCGATTGACGATGGGTGTTCCAGTCAGGACCCATCTATGCTTGGCCTTGATCTCATAACACGCCTTAGACGTCTTTGCTTGCCTGTTTTTGATGGTGTGTGCCTCATCAAGTATGACCCGATGAAAGTCCACGGAGAAGATGCCGCCCTGAGATGCACGATCTCCTCCAGCAGCTGACACTTGTCCAAACTCTGAGAGGACAGTGCCGTAACTTGTGATGATGACATTGGGAGCAGAAGCCGCGTTCGTGGCAGAGCACAGAGTTTGTAAATTGACCGACTTCTCGCTGCCATAATAGACCATGGTCCTCAGAGAGCCGGGCTCAGAACATTTGGCAGCTTCGCTCTCCCACTGTGCCAACAAGGACATTGGCGCCACGACCAGTGTCGTACATGGTGCCGGTTCGACTGATGTTGAAGATTGGGGGAGTCTGGCAAGATGATTGACGGAAGTCATGGCCTGATTAGCAGCATCCAAGTCGATTTGTGTGCGATTGGAATGGATAAGGCTGTAGATCTCGATTGTCTTGCCCAATCCCATCTCATCGGCCAAAATGCCTCCCAGGCAGTTTTGTTCCTGGATAGGGAAGTCAAGACTGATCTCTCCAGAATAGAGATTGACGTAAAACTTGTCCTGTCCTTCAACCACGGGAAGTGGTTCGTCATTTGCATCTTTCGTGGGCCAGGTATACTCTTCCCAAAGCGGATGCATTGATTGCTGCTTGTCGGGCTTTTCGTCTCGCTCTTTGCTAAGCATCCAATGTAAAGCCTGTTTCTGGTATTTTCGCAGTTCCAACTGGAAAGTTGGCGCTGGATTGGCTTCCGGTGTGTTGAAATCAAACGACTGTGCCTTCCGGTAGAGCGTATCTAGTTGATCTTCCTCCAGCTCTTCGCCCTCCTCGTCCTCAGAGACGGGAGTAGATATGCCCGACTTGCCCTTGGCTTCCTTGTCTTTGTCGTACTGCTCAGCTAATTCAGCAGCCCTGAGTAGACCTTGCTTCTTGTGCTTTGCGGTTGTCTCACTGGTTGTGGTCGGAGAGAGGTTGACCTCCTCAAATAATTTGACGAGGCCCACCTGCCGCAATCGAAGATCCTTTTCTTCGCTGCTCTCTTTCTCTTCGAAGAACCCTGTAGCGCGATTGTCGTCCTTTGGCTTTACAAAAGCATTCGCCTCAAAAGCCGTTCTGAGGAGGTACGCACGTAGCTGCAGATAGATCGTGTCGTTGACGCGAACACGGTCAGGCGCAAAAACACAGGTCCCCTCGAAGCGACAGATCTTTTGATCGAGCAAAGATGACACCCAAGAAGCCGTCTCTTCAGGAAGACGGCCAAGCTCTTCGCCTCTCGCATTTGTAAAACGTGTGATTACATCTGCCTTTTGATTCCTGCCTACCATCGGCACCAATCTCCCGCCTCTTCCAATCTTCGTCTTAGGAGCAACTTTTGATCTTTCTATCCTCACTGATTCACCATGAGCTAACAACCCTGAGCCGCTTTTTGTCATCCATGCCCCCACGCCAAATGACCCAACATAGCGTTCAGTGGGCATCGTTGTTAGGGCTGGTACTGTCTTCGCGCCGGTCTCTTTCGGGTTTGTGTGTAGTGGTACGGTGGGAATGCTGCTGGAGGATGCAGGTGCGCTCAGCCACGAGTCTACACTTCTCGATGGAAGAGATGTTCTCATTTGCGATGCGGCAGCAGTTTTCCACGATCCGTCAAAGTACATGTTGATTGCTCGCTCGAGGTTCCCATCAGAGGCAACCTCCACTTTGTCCACGACATCTTGAGAAACTTGCTCTCCGACAAAGGCTCGAAATGTGTCAGCGTCGAAGGATTGAGGGTTCTCATTGTCGAGGGCGCCTTGGACATCCACCAGGTTGGCTTGACAGGATTCGGAATCGTGGCCAGTAGACGAGGTGGCGGAAGTTGGTCTGCTCGACGTAATCACGGACGAGGAAGGATTTTCGGGCAGAGCTTCAGAGTCGTCGACGAAAAACCGCCGCTTCTTTCTGGGTCGCACCTCGACATCCATGAGGGCAGCCAGTTTCTCGCATTGAGTGCTGAAGGAAAAGATCTTGTTCGAGGTGGAAAATGGGACGCGTTAATTGATTGATCCGACGCGCGCTCACACGTGACGCGAACTCGAAAATTCACGTCATGACAGACCAATTTCTTTCTCGACGAGCTTGAGACTACGAGTCGGTTTAGTGTGTGGCCTGGGAGTTCTTTTTTTCATACTGAACCCTTCGAGCATGGGAGCAGAATGTCTCTTCCTTTGATTTCTTGCTCGTTGAGATGGCTGCGCCCCTAAGCTGAGGTGTTAACGCGAGAAGGTCGGGCCGTGGGAGAAGTGCACAGAAAATCTTCAATATGCCTCTTGCGCGGGAGCATGGCCGAGCCTTAGCGTCAACGCGAGGGCTCTCTCGTGGCGGCTCCATCCTGAACTACCGTACATTCACAGCAAGTACAAGGAGGCTACTTTCTCTTGATCGAAATTCTCCGGATGTGGAGAAGGCGCAAGGCTACTGCTCAAATCTTGTTCGGTAAGCTCAAGCATCCTCTATACGCGGGGGGCGGGTTGCTCATTCGAATGTACCAGTAACTATGATTCGCCCTCATACACTCTGGCCCATTTCATCCAGCCGCACATGCTTCCGGCCTATTTCGCTATCCGCGCTTTCAACATCGAGCTGGCCAGGATCCCCGACGTGGTTTCAATGCCACAGATCGGTGCCATGAGAATGCAATTCTGGCGGGAGACCATTGACAAGACTTTCAAGCTTGCGCCTCCATCAGAACCTGTCGCCATTCTGCTTGCTTCATATCTAAAACAAGGGAACAAGCTCAACAAGACCTGGTTCCACCGCATCATCACGGCCCGAGATCGAAAATTGACGCATCCCGGCTTCACCAACATGGCTGAGCTCGAGTCCTACGCTGAATCGACCTATTCAACGCTCCTATATCTGACTTTGTCAGCGCTTCCGTTAAACTCTCTGACCATGGATCATTTGGCTTCTCACGTTGGCAAGGCAGCTGGGATAGTGGCTGTGCTTCGGGGAGTGCCATTGCTTGCTTTTCCACCTCCTCCGAACCTCCATTCCAACAATCCTCCTGGTATGGGCGCCGCTCCCGTCCGAGACCGGCAGGGTGTTATCACGCTACCCTTAGATGTCATGTCTCAAAGTGGTGTCAGGGAGGAAGATATTTTTCGAAATGGGGCAAACGCTTCGGGCATCCGTGATGCGGTATTCACAGTCGCCACCCGTGCCTCTGACCATCTCATAACCGCACGTGCCATGCTCAAAGGTATCCGGGAGAATCAAGATCCAGGCCACGAGTTCGAGCATATGCACGATGAAGGTCATGAGTACAGCAAGTACGACGTTGGTACCAAAATGTCTGCTGACAGGAGCAAAGAAGAGATCGAGGAAGGTTTTGGTGTTGTAATGGGCCCAGCAGTCAGCACTCAGTTGTGGCTCGATCGTCTGCAGAAAGTTGACTTTGATATTTTTCATGAAAGTCTTCGGAGGGTTGAGTGGAAGCTGCCATTTGTTGCCTGGTTGCGCAATAGGAGCGGCAAGTTATGAGCTTCTCAGCCGGAGTTCATCTCACGGCGTCTTGAGGGCCTCTATCCGGGCATTTGTCCTTGCTTCCTGCAGTTGAGACAAGGCGTTTGCGTCGACGGTGTTTCTCCGGCTTCTGCTCAGGGCCATCGCATCTCCCTTTTTGCCGAGAATTGCCTCAATGGCGCCAACTAAGGCTTGCGGATCGTAGAACATTTCGCCTTTAGGACTCTTGCGACCGTATAGCTTCAAGCAATCAATCCCGAGGGAGGCAAGATGGTTTCGATCGACGTATGGAGTTCCTTCACCAGTCAGGTGAATGACGTGGGTCACATATTTGCGGTAAACCGAGTCGCGAGCAGCGTCTCGTGGATGGTGGTTTGTCCCTGGAAACAGAAATTCTCCGTGTCGAGTAGCGGCAGGAGTTGATGGCGCTGACGACTTTAAAGTGTCGTCTGATCGTGAGGTATGAAGCTTAGGTCTCCACAGACGTCCCTGGGACTGTTCGCAAGCACGGGCGATGGCTTCCACGAAGTCAAATGCAGAAAATGGACTCGAGCTTGGGCCCGTCTCACGATCCAGAGAACCATTCAGAATGAGAATCTTATGGCGGGCCGGGGTCGAATTCAGGGCCTCACCGACTCCTTTGAGGACAATTGAGGGAATGATTGAAGTGTATAGTGAACCGATAGAGTATATAACAGCTTGCGATTGCTTGATCGCTGAGATTACTCGTGGATTGGCGGGGGGCAACATTTCTTGTCCGTAGGGATTGATATACCATATCCGTTCGATTCGAGCTGGGAGGTCTTGGTCAAGGTCTTTGCTGAATTTGATATTTCGCTGGCGTAACGTCGGAAGTGTCCCTGGCAAATGAGCGTCCTCGATCTCCTCAGAGTGCTCGACATAATGGCGGGCGCGGAAGTCGGGTGGTGTATTTGAAGACGACACTGTCGGCATCTCCAAGGCTGTTTTGGCCGCAGGATGCGAGATATTGTTCTGTCCTACTATGGTCTCGCCATTCGCCAGCCCAGCCGCGATGTGGTGGGAGAAATTGGAATTGATGCTGGGGATGACTCGCACCTCTCCGTCGGGGATGGCGCACAGGCTGCTCAACAGGTAAATTGCAGATTCGAAACTGCCACTGAAGAGCCGTGCACCCGTCAGAAACAGATTGCCGACACTGGCCGACGTGAAGTCGAAAGTCGACGAAGGCCTCGCTCGCTTCAGGATCTCGAGGTTCAGCAGGTTAAGAAAGGACCGGATCAGCTCCTTCTTGGCCGAGGGTATGCCGTTCCAGAGCTCAGACGTACCCCAGACTATGCTCTGCCATTGATTTGCAGCATCCGCCGAGGAAGAGGACGACAGGCGGTGATTGAACAAGTTGGAGATGGCCGATCTCTCAGCCGAAGGCGGGTCGGTAGGGATCAGACGGACCAGTCGACTTCGCACGTCCCCAATCCCCGGTCCCCCAAATACACGTATCAACTCGGAAGAGGAACCGCCGTTGTCGCTTATGGGAATGATGTAGGATAATGGGCAGGCCTTGGTCTCGCGGACCGCTTCGAAGACATCGACGAGAGAGTTGGCAGCGCTGCCGCCGGAGAAGACCACGATGCCTTTGGCGGTGAGCATGGTGAGTTTTGTTTGGGGGGGGCCTGTGGTGTTGTAAAGCGTCGGCTCAAAGGGGCATGTCGTAGAGACTGGGGTCTTTATACTGTTAGCGTTGGCAAAGCCATTGATCAATGTCAGGGCATGAACACTGTGTCCAGGATATCATTGGCAAGGGAGTGACTCAGCCTTGCGATATGAGCTGAAGCAGCTGGCGCCAATAGTGCGGAATGGCTAGTTCAAGAAAGAGAGCCGAGCGCTAACCTGTGTTTAGTGTGGCCGTATTAGGCAATGGTCCCGGCGCCCTTGTTTGAGGAACCAGCATCATCTGCCCTGGAGTATTCGAAACACCATTGTTGATACATGGGATTGCATAACTGGCTTCCTCCAAAACACCTTCTATGAGATTCTTTCCTCCTGGAGTGGAGCACATAACGGATCCACCCTGCCAGATCGAGTCAAGCTTGGTCCGTCCAACTCACCAATAATGCTTACTTGTAGGCACCGCTACTAAGAATACGAGCCATTACGATAGCCCGTACAGTCTTTGCAGTCTTGACATTCTTAGCGCAGTCCGTCCACGTACTGTACAAGTACTAAACGTTTACAGATTTGTGCCGATCATCACGTGAACAAAATTTGCGAGAACTAAATCAATTCGTCAGACTGGTCAATTCCACACAGGTGTGATCACGTGAGAAGGTTGGATTTTCCCCGCCTTGTTAATTTCAGCCTTTGCCTGCCGCGGCTGCGACCCAGAGTCGCACTTCAGCCTGATTGAGCATTCGCCGACATGGGCCCCTCCGGTTCATCTGAATAGTTCTGGCCATGCACTTGATGCAAGCCTGTCTCGATTGTTCATCTTTCTACCATGTGTCAAACCATCACTTCGCAGAAAAAGCTAATCAAAGGAAGATCATTCATTACTCTGCAGAAGACTCATAAGCTACTCGCGTGTCAGGTCAAATTCGCGACCTCTGGAAGTCCCAATACAAAGTCAAACAGCGGCTTTGCATTCCACGTACATTCGAAGAGCAAGCTCCTTACACAAGCTCGCAGAGAAGACAGAATAAGAATGGGCATATCTATCGGAACAGTCTGAGCGCCCGGTACTCCCTTCGGATACAACTTGTCGAGATCAAGATCGAACTCTTGGCTCAATCCGAATACAGAGGGTGTTCGAAGAGTAGAGTCCTTGACTGACAGCTCTACTCCAGGACTAGAAGGGGCTCCCAGGTGTCTCGCTGATTGGAGCATGAGCGTCCGGAACTCCTCGTTCGTGAGAACCAGGATGCCAATCATGTCACTGGCCACGGGTTGGTGGGACGTCAAACTCTTCAACTTGGTCTCGAGTCTGACAAAGCAATCTACCGCTGCGCGGCTCCAGGTAGATTTAGAACCAAGTACTAGCGAAGCTTCAACAAGAGCCACCAGCTCCTGTTCATCGTCGTCCTTCAGACCAAGGTACTGATGCCTCTCAGCTATTCGAGAAAGCAGTCGAATGCATTCAGCTGCAGATGAGCAAAGCAGTTTCCGGCACAAAGATTGCCTCTGGCCTCCGAGAAGGTAGCCTTCAGAACTCCAAGGCAAATCCAGCAGCACTTTCGCAATGATCTGGATGTCCCATCGTCGTATGACCCATGTATCATCGTCTTTCCCGCTGCGAGTGCTTTTGGATTCTTCTGGGTTGGAGAGCCTCACCCAAGCACTGGACGCCGGTACATATGTCATTGAATAGTAGTTTTGTAATTCTGGGGCACTGGACTGGTCGATGTCGATCTCTTCGAGCGAATGAATAGAGCCCTGAGAACTTCCGAAGGCGCGGAAATAATCCAGCAGCCAGTTCTCTGTTTCAGAGAGAACGGTGTAGCCACATGCCCGTAGAGCGCCTGGCGCAAGAGGATCAGTGCTTTGCACCCTTGTGACCCAACTGCTGTCGCTTGTGGTTCGTCCCAGGGCTCTCACGGGCTCGTACGTTAAATCATCTTCAAATGACACACCTCGAACACCATTCTCGTTGCCATCTTCCTGGATCTCTTTCGACGGCACATCATCTAGACAGTAGGACACAACCTCATCGAGCGACAACAACCCCAAGGCCAAACGGAGGAGGCGAGGGAGAGACAAGATGTCGGGCTGAATGTCGCCCACATCCGCCAAGTCATGACCCGTGAAGGTACAGTTGCCAATGCTTTCATCCTCAACTCTAAGCAACTGGCCCGTGCTTCCATAGAGCGGCAGATTTGTAGCATATCGGTAGAAGCTTGCGCTTGTCCGTGATCTGAGCATCGGCACTCCGTAGACCGACCCAACCCTGCGAAGTGGCCTGGGTTGAGCACCAGAAGGCCCGGGGGCACTCGCTTTGGGAGTTTGAGGGACTTTAGTGCCTGTGTCGCCAATGCGACAGCTGTAGCGACCAAGCAGGCCAATGACCAAAAACCACAGGCGATGAACCGGTAGGAAAGTCGTCTCATCGCGTATGCGGAGGCTGTCACCACAAGTGTACTTCACCCCGTATGCTCTGATCAACAGGCCGAAACGAACCCAGGACGTTGGCGATTTAGAATTCAGAGAACTGGTGTTGAGATGCAAGGAGTTGGGTCCAAATTTAGGCTTGGAATCCAGGATCGGGGCTTCCACTGTTCGAAACAATGTTGTATGTCGGCTGACTCTCGTGCCTCGAGAAATGAAACCCCCACTATCATGCACCGCTTCCAGAGCAATGTGTCTTTCGGTCCTTGTAGCCTTTATAATTAGGTAGGGACCAACAACACCTATTAGGGCAATAAGAGCAAGCCCAACAGCGACCCAGGTGCCAATAGTGGCGGCAAGGCTCGACTTGTCCAACATGCTCTCTTCTCAAATGGCTTGTACCCAGGAGGATTGGTAAGAAGCTGAGAGCATCAAAAAGTCCAGTTGGCGTGTTACAGTAGGCAGTCCAGATGAATGTGAGAGGACCATGTTAACGCATGCTCAATCAGGCTGAAGTGCAGCTTTTGATTTCGGTGTTGGCAGCCATTTTGCACGTGATCACATTGGCCGTCCTCGCTGTAGACAGGGACGGTATGCTGCGCTTGGAAGCCGACTGTCTGACGGACGGCATTGACGGAGGCAAACTCCCATCAGCTCCAATAACGTGTTCACGTGACCGTTAACCGAATGTGGCATGCAAGTCCATGCAATACGCGAATCTGTCAAATCCGCCACCACATGTAATGGCTTGTAACATTTGAAGGAGCTCACAAACATAGTTGGTCAATCTAGCGAGCAACGCTTGACTATATCTGGCCAAGGCGGATCTACTAATAGTGCTCTATTCAAAGACAAAAGCATCTCAAAGAATGTCTTTTAAGGAAACCGGTTTTGCAATCCTCTGTACATACGTGGGCAGTTGGTATATCTTTGATCGGAAAATTCTTTGTCTGCTTCTGTTAGCATCTGACAGGAGCCCAGAACTCTCAGTGCCTTGGTCGGTTAGAACGTCATTGTTCCTGAAACCTACTGTTCTCGTCCAGGTCCCCACCGAGAACGGCCCAGACTCGCTCACTGGAGGCTCCAGGTGCCTAAAACTGACCTCTCAAGCTCCCAAACCCCCCTAAGGGGCAGTTGCATCGTCCAAAAGCATGGGTTTTGGGGGCCGCGCTATGCACGCCGTTGGTGCCATTGGCGTTAGAGTCGCAAGTAAAACTGCAGGCAGCTCACGTGCGGCTCACCTCGAGCATGCCGCTTTTAAAAACCCGTCGCGCACGACTCACCCTCCTCCCACCCTCCTCTCACCCTTCGTTACCTCTGCTCACCTTTTTCATCTGGCCAACACACCTACGGTTTAGCATGGATCCCGTCGACGCCGTTCGTCCTGCTGATTTCGCGCTGGGGGCCCAATCAGTGGACCCCTCCCCCCCTCCCTATGCAGTCTCACATGGTCGACTTTCGCTCCCTTCTTCCACGCGCCGCGTATGCTATGTGGTACCAATCCGGGTCCTGGCCTCCTGGCTTTGAAATTCCTTTTCGCCCCTCCTCCCGTCCCGTCCAGCCTTTGGCTCCCTCGCCTCTCAGTCTTTCGGAACACGCGACTTCAAGAGAACCGTTCTCCGGCGGGCATAAGCCGGCGACAGGAGACGGACGATCAACTCCGGGCTCGAGCTACAACGAACGGTTACGAGAGAGGTGCACATGTTGAGGAAGATCGAGTTCGTGATGCAGACAAGCACATCACTACAACCAAAGAGCGCCAAAATCAGGTCCTGAACGTTATCTTCGGTAAGCATTCCGGGCCCCTCGGACGCTTTATAGTAATTAGGATTATAAGTCGCTTAGTAACAGAGGAAGGGTGATTCTGAGTCTATTCGACTAAACACCCTAGGTGTTAGTATGTTTAATAAGTCTTAGGAAGTCTGTTAGTCTAGAGAGAAGAGATCAGAAAAAAGATTGGACGGGCTTATCGCTCAAATCGGGGCTGGCGATTTGCGAGGGCGCTCTATAGAGGATGAAGAAGATGGCTATCATAGATGGTCGTGTTGTGGACAGTTGGCCGCAGTCGACAGCAGTTGGCCAACACCAGGATTCCATTGGCTTCTCCACGCCAGTCCACCGGCAGCCCCAGAGTGGGGAGCACTAGCTGGTGATCGTCGTTATTAACAGGACCGGTATGGCATCTAGTGGCGCGCGCTAAGCAGCTATGACCTATCAAAAGTATACAGTGTAGCTAGAGACGACGAAGGGATAGACAGCATCCACCATACTGCCACGTGATACAAGCGTGGTGGTACTGTGACTGACAGGGTAACCAAGGCTATGTAATGATTGTCACGCCAGTCCACTGGAGGTCTTCGGCCGAAGGCTTCAGACTAGCCGCGGTAGCGCTTCGTAAATTACTCGAAGGTATATAGTCAGACGGTCCCCAGGACCTAGTAGAATTCACTATGTTCCTCCATCGAGCCACAGTACTATTCCCTGCCGTGATCATGACGGAGTGACTTTCCGCGGCTCTGGTTCCGGATCAGAGTCAGGCCAGCTCCCGACGATACAGCGGAGACAACTATATAAGATAACCACAAACAATCTTTCGAGCAAGAAGCAGACCTCTCGCCTTCACAAATCCAGTCAAGTCAAAAGCTTATGTCGAAAATAGTCTGATGCACGATGTGGGTTCATACTTTCTGCACAACGACACTCTGGCTCAGTGCGACCGTTTCCTCACTCGAGATACACCCTCGTTACAGAGGTGGTCAGATTGCACCGCAGTTCACTCATGTCTCTCTCCCGCGGACGGATGAAGTCACTCCCACCGCAGTCTATAACATCCTCCTATCTGCCGAGTCCAAGATCTTGGCATTGTAATTACCCTCAGATGGCCAGATACACAACATTAACGATTTCTGGTGCGTCAACATGGTTACGGGTGTAGGGGTGACATGTGGCCATCTTCAAATTTCCGGCATCGCACTGGCTTTAGGCACATCCGCTTGCAGCTTCATTGGGGGGGGACCGATCCATTACAAATGTCACCGAGGATGAAGTCTTCACGATGGTGGCACCAGCGCATGGAATTAGGTACGCACGCTGCGGGTCGAGTGCTGGGGCGAGAGGCGGTAAAGCTGCAGCATAATAGTCAAGAGTGGCATGAAGGAGCTATTTAGGTGCATCATCGACTGTCGGAGCATTCAAACAGCCTCTCTCTACTGCAGGGCCACCCATTCTTGGTGACATCTTGGTCGGCAGAACCCCAAAGGTTTGTCCTTCAACTCAACATTCTCTCTACCTATTTTTTTGCGACAGATCTTCCAGAGTAACGAAATAGGTTTGTTCGCTGACATCTGCCGGTATCGCTAGATCTCTTTTGCGTTGTGTCGCTGCATCCTTTGTCGAGTTGGATAGCAATCGAGATATCTCCTTGATCGCTTTTGACAGCAGTCGGGCAGGTATACCTGAGTTTTTTCGGGATACAGAGCTACTGCAACTTGCTTCTCCGTATGAGACATGGCGACGAAGGATGATCAGTCTCGAGGATTGACGCGACGTTCTTTCTGAGCACAGAAAACCCTTTTGGTAAGCGGTTGAGGAGTCTATCATCAACATGTTTCTTGTTAACCCCTTGGAAAGCCTCGTTGGAGAAGTGGGAGTCAAGTAAAGCGATGTGGGGCACAGAATTTCTTTACTGATGCTGACTTCCAGTTGCGTGATCTGTGCTTAGGTCACCCAGGGGTACTGGAGTCTGTTCCCCAGTCATAGTGTGGAGATTCCAGCATAGAGAGGAACATGAAATTTCGCGGGAGTACAACCAGGACATAATTCTGCCTCTACGCCCCAGCTGTGAAAGATGGCGGACCACTAAGCCAACAGCAGTCAGCCGACTTCTCTCCAAGAAGCGAGTGTCAAGCTGGCGACTCAGTTAACGTCTGCACAGAGGTTCCCCGCCCTTTTTTTCTTGTCTCCGACTGTCCCGTAACAGAGACAGGCTATCGAGTGTCACGTGGAAATATGGGAATTAATGGTTGAGAAGAAGTAAATCAAATAGAGGTGAAAAAAGCGAATCAGAGCAATCGCTACTCATTGAGGCAGTAGTTTCTAGTCACACACCCATCAGACTCCTTCTCCGCCGCACCTCCTCTGGCCTTGCATACTAGGTCATTCATTTGATCTATCGTAGTGATGACCTCTGCAAATATCGCACGGAGAAGCAGCTTCTCACCTTCAGGGCACCATCAACCCCCATCAAAGTGTTCACACAAGGGCCAACTTCCATCGTCTCATTCGCTATGAGTGATGATATTGAGCTTTTTGACCAAATTATGGCGAGACCAGTAACCACGGTAACGCTTTCCAAAAACATACAGAATTGGAAGTGGGATCATGATGCCGAAAGTGGTGGCTCCAAATATGTAGTACACCTCTTTGACACCGGATCGAGCTAACCAGTTGTTGATGAAGAAGCTGAAGCCGAAAAAGAGAAAATTTTTCATGACCCTGGTGATGATGAAGATCTCGGAGCTCATCTCACGATAGGGGTCCAAGATATATGCTGACGTCGAAACCACGGTCCCCATGATGCCGAACATCAGGATTCCATGCAAAGTAGTGGTGACGTAGTAGCTACCATGATTCGAAACCACCAGTCCAAACAGAAATTGGCCGAATCCCACCAGGAGACCCGTGATAGCTGTCACCAGACGATAAGAAGCCGGCTGGTAAGAGCAGCGTACAGTCCACGTTCATGAACGAAGAATAAGTCTCCGATAATCACGAAGCAGAGAGATTCGTAAGCCGCAATTGAAAATCCTTGAACGACCCGTCCTGCATGCAAGGTGCGGTATGTACTGGCGCAGCCACAAATGATGGAGCTAACGGCAGCGAAGAGTGTCGAGATGTTGAAGAGCAAGCGTTTCCCATACTTCTTGGAGATGCTAACATTGAGCTCCGTTGCAAGGACAACCATGCCTGCATTGAGGAGTGGGCCGAATACAGCCGCTGTCAGAATGGTGCCAAAACTGATAATCACAACGACCGTAAGCTTCTTCGGCTGTGGCCAGTTCAGAGGATCATTTGGGTCGTTGGCCGGCTCTGGTATCAAGACCAGCGCGCCGTCGTGGCCTTTCGCGTGCTTCAGGCCTGTAGTTAGATCCTCCGAATGTGCTGCCTTTTCGTTGAGAATGACCGCGCCAGGGACACGGTCTGCGTCCCGATCATTTAAGATTCTACCGAAAGGCGCCTTTTCTTTGGTATCTATATCGCATTTCATGCGTCCTGTCAACGCTATTGTATTTTTCAAACGGAGTTGACTCCAGAAGCAATGACTTACGAATTTAGAGCTCTACTCGTGCATCAATGGAAGCGTTATACAAGAGCAGACAGATAGTTGGGCGCTCCACGACGGACGATGCTGGATGTAGCTTTGAGGGGAACAATGTGAAAAGTGATGAAGCAGGGACTTGGAGCTCATGCGCCATGCGCCCAATCTCCGCAGCCACGTGACCTTGCGTGCCATTCTGGGCCTTGTGTCTCGTCCCCACCACTTTTCGGGGGGCCCCGAGGGGGGGAGGGGGAGCCAGCAGACGATGCTAAGTGGTATAAGAATTGTCTCAGCGACATGTGGGGCGAAGCTCCCTTGTTATGTATGTCTTCTCCAACGAGCAGGTGACCGGGGATAGCTATTAGCCAGCTGTAACGGGTAATTGGGGTCACCTTCTATATGTCGGCGTTGATTTCTCTGACCACAGCATAATATATAGTATGTTCGACACCGACACTTGGATCTACCAGTCAACAAGATCGCCTGCGCAGGATAGCCCATCATGACGTCAAAATTACCCGTGAATACCTATGCAGACCCTGAATATGACCGTGCGCACCAAAAAACGTTCGCGCCCCCCCAAATTGCGCCTATCAAACCGGTGCTACCGCCAAATGTTTCCCGAGCCGACTTCGAGACAGCGCTGCAGGATCTCGTAGCCATAGTCGGTCGGACCCATGTATTCATTGGGGACGCACTGGCGCACTATATCGATCCATACGAGCTTCATGAAGATGACGAGTCTAAGCGCAAGATGCCGAGCGCTGCTGTCTGGTAAGTGTGCATACCGCGATGAACCTGATACATTCTGTCGGTACTGATGTAATAATGATTCTCTCAGCCCTGAATCGACCGGAGAGCTCAGCCAAGTACTTCAAGTGGCCAAGAAGTTCAACATCCCATTATGGACATTTTCAAGGGGAAAGAACCTCGGGTAGGTGCTTGCTCTAAAACACCGCATGCCGGTACTGTACTATGTACTAACGAAATTGGACCTGGCAAGATACGGAGGTCCAGCACCTCGTTTGAACGGTTCTGTCGCTCTTGATTTACATCGCATGAATCGTGTCCTGGAGGTGAACGATGAGCAGGGTTATGCTGTGGTAGAACCAGGTGTCACCTTTCACGACCTCTACAATTATTGTATCGAACATGGCAAAAAAGTGTGGCCAAGCATTCCATCTCTCGGCTGGGGAAGCGTCATAGGCAATGTGAATGAGTATCCTGTCACGATTCTGGCGGAGTGGCTAATTCTTCTTGCAGACCTTAGACCGGGGCGTTGGCTATGGAGCCTATGCGAATCACCACCAATATACAGCTGGTCTCGAGGTCATGCTTGGAGACGGTGACCTGGTGCGCACCGGGCAGTGGGGTATCACAAATTCGCCAACGGCATTCGTATCCAAGTTCTCCTACGGTCCATCTATCGAAGGTTTATTTCTGCAGAGCAACCTGGGTGTGGTTACCAAGCTCAGCATGTGGGTTGCACCCCGTCCACCTGGCTTTATGTCATGTTCATTCAGTGTGCCCGAGGACGATGACATAGAGGTGTTGGTGGATGCTCTGGCAGAAATGCGGCGATCCTTACTGATTCCAAACATGATTTGGGTTCAAAACTTCGGAGAGATACTATGCATTCGCGGTAAACGAAATAAATTCTGGAAAGGCGAAGGTCCCATCCCAAAATGGCGCCTGAAAGAGCTGCAGAGGGAGCTCAAAACGGGCTCTTGGGTCGCCCGCTGGGGTCTTTACGGCCCGGAACGAGTGCTCAGTGCACAGTTGGCCGAAATTAAAGAACAGCTCTCTCGAAAAGTACCCACAGGCACCATGAATGGTTTCCTTTACACCGAAGAAAACGGAAAGCCTCTGGACGCGAAGTCTATCCCACCGGAGCACGGTCTTATGCTGGCGGGAGTTCCGTCCTTGTTCAGCCTCCCTCTCATGGACTGGCCTCTTCGCGAGTCGGGGAAAGCAGCTCACGGTGATTACGCGCCTGTTCTCCCGTCTACAGGCAAACATATCCAGGGATGGGTACGTGCCTGTCAAGATATCTATACCGCCGCTGATCTCGACTTTATGGTGGATTTTTTCATGCACGAACGTCATTCAATTTGCACCAGCATGTATGCATACGACCAATTGAGTTCCGAGCAGTGCAAGAACGTTGAAAAGGCCTACAATGAGATGCATAAAGTCGCCAAAGAGCGGGGGTACGGCATGTACCGTGGTCACGTCAATCACATGGGTAAGCGACTCCCACGCAGAACGGATTAAGACTTGCTCACTCGAGATTATAGATCAGATTGCGGAACTCAACGATTTCAACAACCATGCATACAACAGGTTCGTCGAGAAGATTAAGGTTAGTCATATTTATGTCCCTGTGGGTCGTTATCAGCAAGATGGTTATGCTGACCGTTTCAATGCAGGATGCTGTTGACCCAGATGGCATACTTTCTCCTGGGAAACAAGGGATCTGGCCGAAAAAATACAGACAGTTTCGCGAGGTTTCAGAACCTTCCCGGTCAACTCGCGGCAAATTGTAGCTGGGCCAACGCCACATGGCACTCTGGGGCAAGACCTCTTTGTCTCTGCCTATGCTTGGCCTCGGTTGATCGTAAGAGCCACCAAGACGACATCATCGTCCAATCCATAGTACATAGCCACTGACTAAACGCCACATCTTCTCTGAGTGTCAGACAAGTCCTCAGACAACACAGACATTGCTCCACTGAATTTGATCATGTAATCTACCTTGATGCTGCAGAGGAAATATGCTTCCTTAGATCTACACCTATTGCGTGCTCCACTGACTTTCCTGAGATCTCTGCGAAGCTTTATGACGAGGTTAAGTACTAACATAAGTTTCGAAGCATACAGGCGAGAACACCATTCATGAACATGAAGCCAGCGCAAATCCCCATTCCAGTTCGGTAGTAAGGACCATTGTTGGCCGGGAATATGTTCCTGACAATGATAGGTCCGCACTGCCCCTGGGGCCGCTGAGCCGCTGGCGGTGGCCCCCGCTCACAGGAGAGTGGAGAAAGTGTGTCGTCAACCACGCGCTGGCCTTTAGCCCCAGTTAAAGTTCCCCCTTCCTCCCAACGGCGCCTCTCCATCCATCGCGTCATGGGAATTTCGTTTCTGGGGGCGCATTTCTTTTCAGCTGATCCCTTAGCACCCTCGCTCATCATGTCCTCGTCGCCAACTGCTACCCCTTTGATCTCACCCTCTTCTCCCTGGCTGTCGTGTTGATGTCGCATACTACTCTTGAATCCTACCACATGTCCCACGAACTTCCTTAGGACCTTCTGTCCACACCTCACAATGGTGACCCATCCCGCCCATGTCGTAGCCTCCTCGAAGCGCACATCCATCGAGTCCGCCGGTGAATCTGAGACTTCCCTGACACGCCACTCCCGAGAACATGGCCACCGCGGGCGTCGCGAGGAGGACTTGGAGGCTCAGAACTCGTTCATCGTTGAGAATCATCCGCAACATATCCGGATCCGGGACAATGCGGAACACCATCACCACGATGCAGACGGGGCACCACCGAACCTTCATCGCAGTGAAACCGGGGTCTCCAAATACTCGACAAGGTCTCTGCGGAGGAGGGGTCGAGCAGAGACCGCCAATGTCATGTATGGGGCGGGCGACATGGGCAGAACAACAGGCTGGACTCCGGGGCAAGAGCCAGGAATTGACACAAGTGACCCGGCTCCTCCCTACAGTCTGGGTGCCACCACGCCCGCTGATGCTGCGCATCTGGAAAGATTGAATCAACGGTGTGAGATTACGGTGGTGGACTTCAGCAACGAGACGGTGTCCACCACAGACCTGGACAACGACAACCTCGAAGAATTTCTCCAAGAAGGTCCCCCAGAATGGGCTGATGTTCGGTGGATCAACGTCAATGGCCTTTCTTGGGACGTGATTCGGGTACTGGGCAACCACAAACACCTCCATCGGCTTGCCATTGAGGATTTATTCAACACCAAGAATCGCACAAAGGTCGACTGGTACAGTGACCATACCTACATGATCCTTCCCTTGCAGAAGCTCATCAACATAGAGGAGAATGAATCCGATTATGATTCTGACACCGACGATAAAGACGACTCGAAATCTGACGACGCCGAGTCCGAGTTTCGGAGCAGGATCACTACAGAACGCCAGCGAAGACAACGGCAACGGAAACGGAAAGGTGCTATCCGGTCTTTGATTGAGGATTTACAGAAACCGCTTCAGAAGAAGAACAAGAGGAAACAGACCGCTGGACCTCCAGATATCGTAGGTAACGGACTCCAGCCCTCGAACAGCTTCAGACACTCGAGCAAGGTGGAAACGCCATGGGCGCCCAGGACCATCCGCACTATGCAACGATATCACGCCGGCCCAAATCAAGACCGCATCGAGTACATGGAGCGCCACGCTGTGCTTGCTCACAAGGGTTATGGTGTCTCTATGGAACAAGTCTCTATTTTCCTCTGTGCGGACAACACTGTCATCTCCTTTTTCGAGTACTCGGCGCACGATGTGCAGACACCCATCATCCGCCGATTGCAGTCCCCTGGCACAATTCTCCGTCAGTGCTCGGACGCCAGCATGCTTTGTCAGGCGATCCTTGATGCAATCATCGACCTTGCTCTCCCCGTGACAACGGCATATCAAGATGCAATAGGGGATTTAGAACTCGACGTTCTCACCGACCCGGACATCCATCAATCATCCACTTTGTACATCTTGACCTCTGAAATCGCCATCCTCCGCAACGCTATCGCTCCGGTGGTTCAGCTCATCGGGGCACTCAAGGACCACAAGACCAGCGCCCAGCCCGCGACGACAAACCATTCGCGCATCGCCAGCCCGGCTGTGCTCGACCAACAGAACAACGACCCCATGAACAAGGCCCCGCTCTATCAGGCCCAGACCAACAACCTCCGAAAGCACTACAGTGCTCCACCGTTAGTGAGCGGCGTCGAGATCTCCCCGCTCACAGTCACCTACCTCGGAGACGTGGAAGACCATGCACTCCTCATCCAGGACGGCTATGACCAGATGCGCCGCAACGCCGACAATCTCGTCGACCTGATCTTCAACACCGTGTCCGCGTATCAAAACGAGTCGATGAAGCAACTCACCATCGTGACCTGCTTTTTCCTCCCGCTGACCTTTTTGACCGGCTATTTCGGCCAGAACTTTGTGCATTTCCCCGGCGTGAATAAGCACAGCGACGCCTTCTTCTGGGTCATTGCGACGCCCGTGTCGGTGGTGGTGTTCTTGCTGCTGATGAGGGACGTCATGATCCGCTGGCTCGCCCGCTGGGCGAACAAGGCGTTGATCGCGAGAGGGAGAAAGCGGCGGTTGGCGCAGAGTGGACAGGAGCGTTGACCGATCGGTCTGTCTGCCTAGCCGCCGGGGATCTATGGGATGAGGTAGAATTAGATGGGGGGTGGGTTTGGGATTTTCTTTCGAGCAAGCGTTGGACACTGCGTTGCACAGTTGTCCATGTATCATCTTGGATTTCTCTCCCGTTCCTAGCTAGCTCTGTGTTTTGTAGTTTCCTTTCTCGTGAATCAGTCACGTCACGCGTACATACCCCGTCTCTCTGTATACGAAGAGTACCTTTTCTGCCCAAATGGTCTCCTGGACTACATATGTGCGGTACATATGTCCAGGACACATAGATCTTGCAGAGCCGGATGGGCATTGCGCGTGTCCTCTTCACCACCGCAACAGATATCGTTCGAGACAGAGTGAGTGATTTGTAGAGCTAGGTATTGTTTCAGCCCCGGTCAATGGACCTGATCCCATCTTGGGGGTCCATCTCCTGGTCTATTCTTCACATCGAAACCTCTAACCTAGAGATACTACCATTTCATCTCACGGAAAGCCTCTTCCTAGAAATAGCACCCCCTTCGTCCCAACAATGCAGGTCATCAAACTCATTTCATGGGTATCGTCAAACGAATAACGTAGAAAGAAAAGAAAAACAAGACTGAAGCAAGTTTCCCATCCAATAACACGCAATACCACGCCATGATACCCGTCTTCGGCCGTTCCATGGCCAGCCCCATTCCAGTGTTGGAGCACAATCTCCCACATAGGCTGTGCTCAGACCATGTACCGAGATGATCACCTCCATCAAGGTCCGAATTCAAGAAGCAGCCTAGGCTTGTTCGTTGATGAAGGTGCCCCAAAGGGCCTCGTCCAAGGTGTCACGTTCTGTCTTTTTTCCTCCCCGATCACTCTTTCCGCCGTGTTCGTCCCCCTCGTCGTCGCTCAGCGTTTCAGCCTTGGCTAACGATGTTCCCCTGGCTTTCCCCTTTCCTTTCCCCTGGACCTTCTCATCCGAGTCGTCCTCTCTTTTCCGCTTTCTCACCATCAGCTTCAATTCCAGAGGGATCAAACCCCTGCCCGCTCCCGGTGTGTCCTTCATATCCAGCGTTTTGCGGCACACAGGACACACGCCTTTGGTCTTGCGAGACGCCGGCATGTTTTCTCTTCGTGTTTCAATAGACCACTTGAGAGTATCGACAATGCAACGATGGCAAAAGACGTGCCCGCACGCCGTAGACGTTGCATCAGTAGGCGTATCCATGCAAACTGGACATTTGTACGCGGTGAGTGACGTGCGGCCGCTTTCTGCCGTTCCCGGGTTCTGAGCTAAGATGGCGTCTTGTCTCTGCTTTGCAAGAGCAGCGGAGAGGGTTTCAGAGTCGTCCACAGCAGTGAGATCAACGGATTCGATCAAGGGATCTTCTGCTTCGGCGTCTGATGTGGACAGATGGTGACGGTGAGAAGAATGAGTGGTGCTCCTCAGAGATGAGGAGGGAGGCGACATAGTGCCTTGTGGAGGATCTTGGCTCTGGCTCTGGCTCTGGCTCTGGCTTTGGGTTTGTCCCTGCTCGGCACGCTGACGGTGTCTACTTCTGGCTTGAGTGCGCTCCCAATTTTGGTGGTTTTCTCGTTGACGACTAATGGCCTCTTCCTCGAAAGTTGGTGGCAGCCGGCCGTCCACCAGCGGGTAATTTGTATCCAGGAGAGCTCCAGGGCCGGCGTGCCAGAATCTGAAGCTTGCGGAGAGACCAGGTCGGTGGTGGTCGGAGCTGGTGTGCCGAGGACCGTAGACGGGTTCGTCGAGGGCGTTCAGCCTCCTTGACCGATGGGCAGAGGAAGAATCGTGAGGATGTGTGGTTTGGGAGATGTAATGACTTTGGGCTGAAAGTGAACTGTCTGATCTTTGCGGGGAGGCGCTCGCCTGCGTCTGCGCCGTCAAGTCCACTGGCTGACTGGGCACCTCGCTGTCTGTCCGCAATCTTCTAGCCTCGTTTCCTCTTATCGGTCTTCTGGCTTGGAAGGCTTCGTTGGCGTCTTGGACGGCGCGGTTTGCGTTCTCGAGGGCGCGGTTGACTTCGTGAGAGGAGTCTTGGTGACTGGGCACAGGACGAGGGAGTATGGCTTGCCTGTGGGAGGCACCATCTGACATAGCATTGAAGAAAGCGCGGAAGAGCCTGGGTGAAGATTGTCGGAAGGGCTGTGGCAGCCGCTGTCGAGAATGATCGTGTGGCGAGGGGCGGATCGGTTGTGGTTCTGGTTGTGGGAGAGGAAGAGCGGGTTCGACAGAAGAAAAGGGAGTGGAATGATAGGAAGAGCTAGAGCTCATGACTGGAACCAGAATAAATGGCTCGAGCAGTCTAATACCCTCACATGCTAAGAATATGATCCACTGTAGCTGGATGGTCAAGAAATAGGATAGAGGCCGCAGTTCCAGAGTGGCAAGGCTTTGTTCATCACTCTGGATGGCAGCGTTTTTTGCCGCGGTTGGTCTGGCCGCTTTATCAAAGAGACTAATTTGGAGAATCCGCCAGTGATGCGGGGGCACAGCCTTGTCAGGGGCGCGCTGGACAAGGCTGACCACTACAAACTGAAATGTTCCTGATCCTTCGAATTACTGCACTGGCCACCGTACAATCCTCTCTAGTCAAGTGGCCAGGGTCTCGCGGACTGTAGCCTCTTCGGCGTACGAAAGGTATCCCACGTCATCAACATCATCACCAATGCCAGTGGCCTGAACAGAGCAGGCTGGAGAGGGCTTAAATACAGGGAGTAGAGGACGCTGGAGAAGGGCAACTGTGGCAGCTGAGGTGCAGAATTTCAATACGGCAGATCATCGCTACTGAGTCTCAGGGACTTACTTAAGGTGCGGTTTATACTGGTAACCTCAACGCCAAGGTACAACCAGACTTGACCCTGCGCTTGCTGGCCCACCCACAAAAACAAACAAACAGGGAGTGTTCGAATCTCGCTGGGAGCAAAAACAACACTCTCAGGAATATTTTCACACACTGCATCAGTAAAATTGACAAAAACTCTAACCTGAAGCCCAACTCCCCGGTGGGAGTTGAGGTTCAGGTCGAGGGAAACCCTCCGTGGAGGGTTTTTTCCGTCGGTTCGTCAGGTTCTCTCCGGCCTCGGACAACCCACGTTTAGGGAGCCGTATTTGGCGCGGAACCCCCTGAAACTACCTTTTGGGTAGCAACAGGTGTCAGGGCAGTTACTTTCTAGGATTCGCGTAACTCCCAAGGGAAGCTGTCCCATCTCTGGTGGCCACACCCTCGCCCCAACTAGCTCGTCATTTGGCTCACCGGCGGTGTGAGCCATCAGAGGTTAGGACCCGGGATAGATCTGGGAATTGTTGGAAGAAATTGCGTCGTTATAAAATATATTATCGAAAAACAGGCCCCGGTCAAGGTGCTGGGCGGGCCAATCAGGTGGTCAGAATTTTGCGTACCTTGGCGCGGGTGTGCTTTACCAGGTTTTCCAGCGTGCACCGCATGCACTTCCCTTGGCCAGCCACACTGATATCTGTTGCTCTTCTGCCTCTATTTCTTCTTCTTCCTTCTCTTCTTCTCGGCCCCTGACAACGATGTCAACCGAGCCATCTCCTCCCTGGTGGGGTAGTGCGCAGAGAAGGTGGGTTCATTCATCCCCTCGCTCATTCTTTTCCTCGGCACTCCTCTGATCCATGCAACAAGAGATACATGAGGGTACTTTGGCCCTTCTAGATCATTCGATTCGGCCATTGTCATGCTGTGCTCGGCGGTCATCGCGAAGGGAGACGCTGTTGACAGGTCAGCTTTCCTCGCGGAACAAACATCTCAAGGCGACTCTGGATCTTGTCCATTGCAGGACAAGTCAGTCACCGGCACAAGTGCATCAATCTTTGGAATTCTGCCTGACAAGCATTGGATGTTCAAGCGCTGCTGGCATCTGGTCCTCCAGAGCATATGGAGGAGACCAAGAGCATTGAGGTTGGAAGAAAGATTCTCGCAAGTTCTTGGCACCCAGAAGCCAAGTTCTGGAAACCCTGCTCGCGGCTCACCCTCAAGGGGCCGAAACGCCCCGGCGTCTGGCCGCGAGAGGATCAACCCCCGATGCCGACTCACCCAGTGGAGATGGTTAAGATTGGCGGCAATTGGCTTCTTGGGCCACTATCGCCTCGATGGCGAGAGCCCTAAGCTCGTCTAATCGAGCTTGAGGTTCATTCAAAAGCCGCGTCGCTGATTCTACGCTTCGAGGCCCGGCCTCGCCGGGCGACACCTCCAAGAGCTCGAAACTACGCTGCCCATTGAGGAGATATATTCACGAGAATCCCTCTTGCTGCTTTCACCAGCTTCTACGGAGCACTTTGTATGCTTTCAGATTCTTGACGCCACTAACTCTCTCTCGCAGGCTCCACTTGACCGCCCAGGACCTTGACCAGCTTAGAGCCACGACTTTCCTCTTTCTGCTAGCCCTTCCCGTCGAGTAAGGACCTTCGCAGCGACGCGATCCCGCCTACTAACGGTCAGAGTGGATGTTGGGCCTCAGGGAGCACTCCAGCGTGCTCACGACGATTGTCCTGGGTGCACTGCTCCACTCGCCTGACGCATCAGAAGCATACATATTGTCTCTCTCGCTGGACAAGCAAAGTTGTGACAGTCTTAACGTTCGCCCGTCTATTTCTGGCTTCGTCATGGAGGATATGAGCTTGGAGCGGCCTAACAATCGAGTAATCGCAGAAACACCTCTAAAAGTCGGTTTGCAAACATGTCAGACCTCGGGTTTTCCATATAGCCCAGGATCATCCTGCGTACGAGTGACATATCTTCCTTTGTCGTGACCTCGGGAGTGAAGTTTTTGAATATATCCGTGACGTCGATCACGCTTAGGTGCCCTTGAGTAGGTCCACTGGTCTCGATTCGCAGGACGTCGCGTCAGAGGGTCGAGCCTTTGCCTGGAGAGTCGTCTTGGACGCTGGAGACGCCCATGGCCTCGTGCACCTGCCCGCGCATCGTTTGAAAATGATTTGCTTTGCGAACCTAGTGCAAAGGCGACTGTCGCGAGGCAGCGGCATCCGAATCATAGCTTTTAGAATGCTGCTTTTCCCGGATGACTGATCATCCACCACAATAATCTGAGGCATATCGATGAGTTGCTCGTGGAGATAGCGTGCTCGAAGCTTGCGAGCCCGTGGCGTGAGTTGGAGGCCGCAGAAGCTGGGCCCGAACGACATGCTGTCGCCGTAGCGTTCATACTGGCTCACCAGACTGTCTGGGAGGAATTGGCTCCGCCGTAATTGGCCCCCAGGCGGCACGGACGGCTGGTGGCTGGGGTGAATGTTCCTGGAGCGCCTAGGCGCGGGAAGCCCGGCATCGTCACGGCCGCCTCGTTCGTGCCTAGTTGTTCCTGTATCATTCACCTCGTGAACAATGTCAGCGAACAGAGCGAGAATACGGAGGCCAACGCCGATGAGTTTCTCTGCATGGCTCTCGGCGGCTGAAGCAATAATAAACTCTCTACTCAGACCTGAGCCCGAAACCCGGCCCGACCCGACCCATGACAAGGCCTCGAACAGACGCTTAATTTTGTGGCATTCTTACGGAGTGGCAGGGCCATGGTAACGATATAAGCGCGTTGCAGCACGTTGAAGGGCGTTAGGCAGAGGGAAGGGCCACAGATTAGATAGAGAGAAAGAACAGCTCCCCGGATAACCTTGGGTCACAATCGCACTTTCTTCGGCTTCCATCCCTTCTACGGGTACCTCGTACCTCCTCGTATCGCTTGCCGACATCCCCCCTCACTGTGGCTTTTGCCAGCTGGCTAGGTGCAAGCCTCTTATACGAGTCGCCCCCCATCCTAACTACGTGGGGAACACATGTCGGTCTCTACACATGCCAGGTATCTGAGATCTCCCACCTTGCACAAACTTCTCTCGGTCACATCTTGTCAACCTCAAGTTCAGTTCGAGTCTGTTGCGTCCTCTTCTCTGCAGATTCCCATTTTCTGTCTGCGCCGATTGCGTTTCTGGAAATCTGTCTCTGAACAAGGTGGCCTTGAACACTCAATGGATGCTCCAGGTGAGGCTGAGGCTGAGGTTGATCAGGCTGAAGCTGATCAGGCTGAAGCTGGTCAAGCCTCCAACACTTCGACTCAGACGGAGCGCAACGGTAGGGCGATTTGACCATGGATTGGGCATGTGCTGATGGTTTCATTTTGTCCTTCAGATGCGGCAACTACTTTTCTCAACTTCAAACTCAGCGACAAAGAGCTACTGTCAGCACCCAAAGGAGGAAGAGTCAAAGCCGAGATTGCATTAGGCGATGAGGGCACTATTGCCTATATTAGCGAGTATGGTGAGCTTGTGATGATGATGAAGTACCTTGGCGTTGGAGCGACTGGCATGGTCACCGCTGCGTCAATGACAACCGAGGTGAACTTGGCCATGGAGCTGGATGAGCAGCTGGAAACTCCTGGCACAGGCATTGGACTGCGCCTCTATGACTGGTCCAGTTTCGAGAATCTGCAAGTCCAATTTGTGCACGATCGCTGGCCTAGAATATCATTCACTTTGCGTAAGTAGTAGTGCTCCGTGAATCTACGCCGTGTCTGTCGCGGAGAATGTCCCCCGCGGCACCCTGGCAACATTTTACCCCTGTTGAGCCAACTGGAGACTGACACTTTGTACCTAGCTGATGTCGCAAATGTTACAATTCAGCTAGTAGTCAAAGATGGCTGTGTCTTTCAACAATACATTGTGGATAGCATATCAGATGGGTCGCAAAAGCTTTTGTTCAGGGTTAACACGGACATTGGTCTATGGCCAACAAGGTTTTGGGAACAGGAGTACGATGTATACGACATTAAAGCCACCAAGTTGCATCGCGATCAGACGGATCTGAGTGCGCAGCTCAGAGTAGTGCCAAAGCCAGCCGAGGATTGCCACACTGAACCTCCTAAGGTCAGTGAGTTGATGTTGAGCTTCGCCCTGTTTGAGGACGGAAAAGCAGTGGGACTTGCGTATGACGACGACGTTGATCCTTATGACTACGTCCTGAAGCTTGAAAAATACCAAAAACGGGAGTTGATGGCAAAATATCAGTTGGGAGCAACGGGCTTGACTGGGTCTGAGCCAGAGCCGGCAACTCCAAATGAGCCTGAGTCAGTGGTTTCGGCTGAGCGAGATCTGGCGGGTTCAAACGAGCCTAAGCCAGCGGGTTCTAATGAACTTGGGCAAAGTATTCAACAATATGTCGACATTTGTGCCTTTCTGACCGAAGAAGGTAGGAAATATGGAGCATGGAAGGCTTGGAATAGCCAGGAAAGATCTCACTTTGTCTTCAGACGTAATTTGGAGCATATTCTCACAGTTTGCGCAATTCCGTTGCTGGGAGCGGACAAGGAACCAACACCAATAGCGGTCACAGATGGTGAGATGCTGGACTTGAATATATTAAAAAGGTAAGTCGACTTGTCCTCTTGGCTATCTCATCAGAGATATTGAGTTTTCATAGCCATCCATATCGGTTTCTTCTCAGAATGTACGAGATATTGAACGTCGATGTGGAAGACAAGATTGCGGATCAGACGTTGAAGGCGAACCTGAAGCGCCGCATCAAGCACGCATGTGTCGGCATCCTTACTTGGAAGTATGGCTATGCAAAACTGAGTAACGACACAGGCTGGTACGAACATTACCAAATCAATGGAGACCCCATGAACGAGGACAGTACACAGGCCCTTGCTCAGGCTGAACTTGTGGAAATTCTCCACGAGTTTATCGTTGTCTTTCCCGAAGAGGAAGCCCTCGTCCTGGACATGCTCCAGGAGGAATATATTGCTCTCTGGTTAAAGGCACTATTGAGGCAACAACATTCTGCTTCCAAATTATGGGCCACCAAAGAGATAGAACAGACCATTGACTGGTATGATTACGACCATGACGACAATAATAAGATCCAGCTATCTCACTTCAAACTCGTCGATTTGGTCAAGCTTTGGAGAAGTCTTCGCTTCCTTCAAAAAATCTACGAGCGAAGGGAAAGAGACATCACGACGATCCAGTCCACAAAAAACAAGAGCTCGGCCAAAGCAATTGTCGGTACGGCTGTAAAGAGCAACCCCAGAAAGGATGGAGATGGCAATCGTTCAGAGCCAAAGGACATGATAGCGGCACGCGATCCGCTTGAGGAGCTCAACAGAAAAATGAACGAAAAGGAGCAGGATCGGCGCAGAAACAAGATCAACAGCTACCTTCGGGAATTGGATCCAGCTGGAATCCGCTCCAAAATAATCAAGGCCTTTACCTTCAGTGACACCAAGGGTGACTTCAAGACAAGCAGGATTGCGGTGTGTCGTTGCGCAAGACATTCGAGTCCTCGAACATCCTTCCACCAGCTTGACTATCGTCTCTTGGAAGCTGTAGATTGGGGTTTCTTTGATGATGAGCCAGAAGGTCTCCTCCCTGCCTGGAGTGAGACACTCAGAGCACAGGATAGGTCAGACAAGGACTGGGACAATTCCTTACGATATGCTACCGCAATTTACCGAGCTGTTCAAGAACAGCCAGTCAAGAAAGACGATTATGCATTCGTTGAAAAACAAGACGGACAAAGCAAACCTTTATCGAGGAGGGAGCAAAGCTCAACCAATCCTCCACATGGCTCCAACTCACCCAGAACAGTCTCAAATTCCAAAGAGGCCAAGGGAAGGCCCCTCCGAGGGCAAAATTTCCGAGATACCCTTTTGGGATCTGTGTTCTCAAATGGTCTATTTGCCCACGAAATTGATATATCCAAGAAGCCTGTGCGGATTATGTGGTTCGCTGCAGCAGGTCGCCGATATGCAGCGGCTCACCTTCTTTTGGAGTCCGACTTCAGAGACATTCTACCACGAAGGTAAGTGCTTATCCACGTGGACGACCAAAATTACAACGTGGTTAAACTTACATGGTCCACTGGTCCGGGATTAGAAATGCTTACGCTTCTTGTGAAATAGGGAACGGCTCATCATGACTCGTTCGGATATGGTTGAAGATGACAAACAAAAAGAAGACAACGGGGGCCAGTCCACCGCGACACAGGAACTAGACGAGGAGATGCGAAAAGAGCTTCGAAAAATTCGAAAAGCCAAAGATGGAAAGGTGCCAAAAGTTTCACAGGCCGGTGAAAAGCGCATTGAAGAATGTCAGTCCTGTCTCTCATACATTCAAGGACATCCTCCCTTACTGTCCTCGACACTTAAGTCAGATGGGAAAGGTTGAGACGTGTCCCCAGTTGAATATTGACAGTGCATCACAGATCATGAACCGGAATGGCTTTACAATGAATTGCCATGCTTTAGCAAATACACGGAAATGGAAGCCAGCGACTCCGAGCTACCAGAATCGGAACCCAAACTTCCAAATGTCATACGGAAGAAACTCAGACAGCTTAAAACACTGCTCGATTCCGAAACAATGGTCAATAGCGACCGAGAGCTACTACATGGGCCCCTCAAGCCTCGGTTGAACTATGCCCCCCTGAAAGCACTTATCATCGATGTCCGCAGATCCACGGCCTGGAAGTCAGAACCCAAGCCGAGGGAACTGTGGGGTATGGACGAGATGTTCAACGCTGATGAGCTAAACGCGTTTCTAAAAAAGCAGAGAACCAGAGCCGAGGCCAAGAAAAGATTGATGTAAGTGTGATGTTATCGTACGTACGTGGCTGTCTTTCTAATTCCCCAACAGAATGCTCCATTCGGCAACCATTGGCTCCGCCTGGGTGCTGTATAAACGCTGCCCATCTTCAGAGAGAAATTTGATGGCACACTTCCTCCGTCGACATGCCAATTTCTCAAACTTGACATCGAAAAGAGTAAGAACATTATGTGCCCAGGAGTCATCAAGGCTGTTTACTCACAGATTTCAGACCAGCCGACTGGCCAATGTGTGGACAACAGAGCTCCACATCAGCTTCTACGAGCCATACGTGCAAACTGCCGACTCTTTGGATGCATCAGAACGTGCTTTGTTTGTGGAACTCAAGCCAGAACTTGAGTTGAAAAGTTCATCGCGGGTATCCGCATTTGTCAAGGCTACGGTAGGGTTCCGGATAGTGGGCGACATGTACGATCGGTCTTGGACATGTTGGATCTTGGCGGCAACTCCTGAATCGATACGCCGCGCGTCAGCTTTTACAGAAGAATTCAAAGATGATTCTGGGGATGAGGAGCTCACGGGCAGCAACCATCGGCAATCATGGCTGCCATGGATATGGACGTCTAATGATGGGTTTCATCAACAAAGAAGAGTGCTGGAGATCCTGCTATTTGTGAAAATTGCGAAGGAGGCCTTCACAAGTACCAATGCAATTCTTGAGGATGTCGACAAGTATCTCCGTGACGAAGTAAGTAATGCTTTGTCTCAACCATATCGTGGAGGCCGCACTGACGCCTGTACAGGTCAACCGATTTCCTCCAGGGAGCACCAACTCCTCTTTCATCCTTGCAAGCCAGCGCAACCTCGAGATCTACAGTCAGGTTATCCGTGTTCTTAAAGCACTCCAACTGAATGCCGAAGCAGTTAATAAAACGGTAAGAGATTGGCAAGCAGAAAGCTCAGAGGCGCTAGAAAAGCCACGATGGTCGAGATCCGATGAGGCAAAGTATGGTATCAAGCTGAGCCACGTATTACAGCGTAGTCGTCGGATCAGGCAGGATTTGGAAGAACAGGAAGAGAAGATAAAGAATAAGATTCTTGAGGTTCAACGGTCAAACGAAACGGTGAGCTGAGCTGGCGGCGTTTCATGGCCCCTACTTACTCTACACACCTGTGGAAGCTGAAGACTGATCCTTTCTCGCCTGGCAGACTGTATCGGAACTGTCGGTGAATCTCACCATCGTTCAAAGTCGGACGGATGAGAATGTGCGCCTCTTCACGTATGCAACCGTGATATTCCTTCCACTTGGCTTCTCGTCGGTGAGTCAGAACCATTCTTCCCTCCCAATGCTCGCCAGATTACCGAGAGAGCCGAGCTTTCTCTTCGTGAAGCAAAAACAGAGCTCTAGCATGAACTCCGTTTGGTTTCTAGGCACCACACGTCCAAGGCCACCGTTGCTAACAAGAATACAGAGCCTGTTTAGCATGGGTGGCTCACCGTATGTAATCCTGACATGGCCTTCGCAATCCTGTTCCAGGGGCTAACCGTTACCAGGGCACACGAGACGATCCAGAAGTTCTCAGTGACAGCCATAGTTGTGCTTGTGCTTACAGGACTATTGTTGCTGAACGTGAAGAGTCTTGTCTGGGGCTTTAGGAAAGTGGGCGACTCCTTTATTCGCAACACGCATTCAAAGATGATGATGAAGAGCACGCACGGCTTCTGGCACGAAAAGGCGAACGCTTTGAAGGGCCAACAACTTCGCAACGCGGGAATCCTCCGATCTCAATCTTCTGACAGCCTGCCGAAGGAACGGATCCTTGTCCGGGAGAAGCTTCCACCGAGCAAGCTCTGGTATATCTGGTTTTGGATCTGGTTTTGTTGCACCCCGTTTTTCGTGCCATTCATCTTGCTTCGGCATGCGTTGGTGAGCCTCAAGACCAAAATCGAACGGTGGAACGTGCGGAAAGAAGAGGGAAATCCTGCAGAAAACAGTGAGGAGAATGGCACTGACGCCGAGGACCGTGATAGGGCACCAGGGTATCGTTTCGGCAGGTGGAAACTAGGGGGAAAGAGCTCGAAATCCCGGGTGATGATTGAAACCCGTTCCAACAGCAGCTCTGCCGCTCAATCTGGTGATGGAGAAGAGAATGATATTGAGGCCCAGACTCCGAGGGCATGAAGATATACTTGATGGTTTTAAAAGCGGCACGGTAGGGGGGTGAGCCCCAAGCGAGCTCCGAGCAGATGTCGCCGTGCTTGAGCTGCCAAGTCGGAACTACCCACAAGTAGAGCTGATGAGCAACTGACCCGCTTCTATACCTACGTACCCACCTTCGCACTTAGTCGCTAATTCCTCATCAGATAGTGGCCCACTGGCCCTACCATCACCGTCGGTATAGTCATTCTACGATTGACCTTCTAGAGTCCTATGAATTCTACCCCCGCCAGGCCGCCAGGGGCTAGCGAAGCTCCGGAATATGGCCTAGCGTTACTTGCTGCAGGGCCGACTAGCTGGAATGTTCCCCCCGTGTCTCCGGGGTTGGTTGAGGTGGGTGACTATTTCGATGAGTCGGTCACTTGCCATTGGCGTTATTGGTTCTTACTGACAGTTAGCCGCCGAGCTTCGCTTGCTGCTCAACACCGATTTGCCACTGATGAATGATCCTTGACGAGACTTGTTCTCGTATACGCTATACTGTCGATACGATCAAGCGACAATGACCGAGTACCCCTCATCGTACGCGGCCGCAGCGTTCAAATGATATTTGAGATGTTTTCATTCTCCACTGCTCCGGCTCAGCTGATTGTTGCCTTTTCCATCTCACAATTGTGGCGAAACTCTGCTCTCGTTAGCCGCACGATGCTCTCGCCGCTTGCGTCTCTTCTATTGCTCGGCGCTCGTATCGCCTCCAGCCAATTGCTGACGCTCATGGGGCCAGACTGGAACGCCACCGAATGGGCCTGGCAATCCTGTAAGATACATCCCTGGAGTCTAGGATGAAGACCGGGTCTAAGTCCTTGTTTTGCAAGCTGTCGTCGTTGACAACTCGCTGTTTGTCAATGGTGGTGAATTCTTCAATCAGGTCAACCCGCCAAAGCCAGCAGTCCAGCCGTACGAGGGTAATTCCTGCTGCCTCAGTTGACCCCAGACAGTACTAAGGGTGTTTGAATTTAGAATATGGCACCGTTTGGATTGACTTGTCGTCTTCCTGGACCAATGCCAGTCTGAGCAACTATGTCTGGACGGTCCCTCCGAATCTCCCACAGGGCTGGTACACAAACTTTTGGCACGACCCAGTGGACGATCAAATAAATGCTTGGGGAGGGTGGCTGGTAAACAGCTCGCATCAGTCGAGTCTGTTCTCAATGACGCAGTTCGCCAACGATACTGTCAGCTGGACCATAGCTCCTTCTCCTGACGAAAATGGACTGAGTATCAATGCGACTGCGCCCTTCGGGTGTGCGTCGGCGTCCTCAAATACAACATTTTATTGTTTGGGCGGCGCAAACGTTGGAAACAACGCGGTCTACCCATACACTCATCCCACCTTTCTCCCAATACAAGGACTAGTACAGTACAATTTTAGAAACCAGACTTGGAGCAACATTTCCACCCCAGGCACAGCCTCGGCCGCGTACACTATCGGAGCTCGTGCCGCGCATGCTTCCAACTTTGGCGATTCTGGATTTCTTGTCTTCATAGGAGGGAGTGAGCCTGCTGACCAAACATTCGTTTACGGGGGCGACGTGCCGTTGGTTAGCATGGCAATCATTACGCTCTTTGATATTGCAAGCTCGACATGGTATACGCAAGAGGCGACAGGGGAAATTCCACCCGGACGAATAGATTTCTGCTCGGTGGCCGCTGAATCGCAAAACCACTCTTTCGAGATGTCAGTTGAGTTGCTCACCACGTTTCGTCTTCGCTTTCAGACTGACCCGGTGAGCCAGCTTCGTCTACGGAGGAGCCACAAACACCACGTACGATCTAAGTCATCCAGGCGACGAAGGCTTTCTCAACACTTATGCACTTTCGATCCCTGCTTTCAGGTGGTTCAAGTCAAACGATAGCACGCCTGTGAGACGTGCCGCTCACACCTGTCAGCGCATCGGAAACAGACAGATGCTATCTGTTGGGGGAGTCCAGCCCAGCAGCAAAGTCCAACGAGGTCAAGCTCTTGATCCGTGGACTAACAGTATCGGAGTCTTTGATATGACGGCATTCAAGTGGTCAAGCTTTTACGACGCTGATGCCGGTGTGTACCAGCAGCCGGACGTGGTGAGACAGTACTATTCAAGCAGGTAATGACGATATCCATTCACTGTGTTAGAAAGAACGCTGACTGGAGATTTTGTATGTAGCTACCAGAGTCCCACCTGGAGCGACCCTGCCTTGGCCCAAGTTTTTGGCAAGTTCTTGAAAGCAGAGGGAACCGTGGTCTTGCTGTTACTGACTTGACGACTAGCTTTCACGCCTCCGCCTCCGCCATCGTCGTCGTCGTCGACCTCTAGGCCGTCGAAGTCCCACACCGGCGCCATCGTTGGTGGCGTCGTAGGGGCCGTAGCTGGCATGGCGATCTTGGCCGTCTGCGTATTTCTTTTCTGTCGTCGCCGCCGCCGTAGCCGTAGCCGGGAGCTACAGCGAGTCCAAGCAGAGAGCGAGCAACGTCGTAAGCTATCCGAGCTCGACAACATGGGAAAGCCACGAGCCGAGCTTGCGTCGCACATTCCCGAGCTTCCATCGTCGATTCCCGAGCTTGATTCGTCCTTCCCTGAGCTTCCGTCCTCGTCGACATCGGAGCTGCGGCATAAGGCCCAGCACTTCGAGCAAGGCTCGACAGTACGTGGCTAGCATGCGAGCAGCTGCTCAATCGCAATGCGTCTTTCGCGAGAATTGACAGCCTCTCTCCCCCGAATCCGCATTGACACTATGGCTCAACGTCTCAAGAAATCGAGTGGTTGATGGATGCTGTGCCACGGACCTGACCCTCTTGGACCCGGACTTTTAAGACGGTCGATTATCCGCCCCCCTTTTCTCCAGACTGGTGAGGCTCCGCAGCCGGCTAGAAATCACAGCTGAGGGCTGGACGAAAGTGATACCCCTTCGAGGACTTGCATTTGGTGGGATTTGATGATTGTCAGGGGGCTGAGATTTGTTGTAACATCCGATATAGCGTGGAATGCTCACAAACTTATTCCCATGTCCCATTTGTGACGAGACACGGTCATTGTCAGATTAATCAGACACCGAGACATCGTAAGAGAAGGTATTGAGTGGCGGCGAATGTTGACGAGCACCGCAACCACCACCCGCGATCTGTGCTTCGAGGCTTCATCTTTTCGAGTCATAGTAGAACCCTTGGGCAACAGGTGTGATTTGGGGATTGAACAAGATCCCGGTAATATTTCCCTTAGAATCCATCCGGAGTATATCTATCTTGGCCTGCCGACGCTGCGACAATTACCGTCTATTCACAAACAATCTATCGACAACCCATCGTCGACATCGTTAGAGAACCAAACCCCCAACCCACCCCTTTTAGTCGTTCATCATATGAAGCCGAGTAGCTTTTGCCGTGACACACCTAATGCGTTTGCGCCCATTCGCGGTACCAATCCAGACAGCCACTGTTGGCCACGCTGGCACTGGTCTTGATATGCATTCCGCTCAAGATCTGCTTGACCGCGCCTTCGACCTTCTTGCCGTTCGTCGTGACTGGGATTTCGGGACATTCGTCCACGATCTTGGGCACGTGGCGCGCACTCAGCTCCTTTCTGACCACGGCTTGGATCTTGTGCACCAGCTCCTTGGAGAAGGCCTGGCCTGGCCCCATCTTGAGAAACAGCACGACGACTTCGTCGGTGTCTTGCTCCCGCTTGCGCCCGATGCACAGCGCATCTTCGACCTCGGTGCTAAAATGCTTGAGGAGGATGTTGTAGATCTCGCTGGAGCCGAAACGGACACCCATCGGGTTGAGCACGCCGTCGGATCGGCCCAGCATCCATATGCCACCCGTCGAAGGGTTGAAGCGTACAAAGTCGCCGTGGTGCCAGATCGGATGGCCTGTTTTGGGGTCCGTGAAGACCTCAAAGTATGACGACTTGTACCGCTTTTCGCCGCTCGGGCCCGGCGGCCAGAACATGCACGGCTGGCAAGGGAACGGCACAGTGCAGACGAGCTCTCCCGGTTGACCAGTCGATGTTATGTCTTGGCCATCTGCGGAGAAGGCCTTTATCGCCATGCCGAGGCCACGGCACTGGATCTCACCAGAGTGGACCGGTAATATCGGACAAGGAGCGCCGAACAGGGAGATGATGTCGGTTCCTCCGGTTATAGAACCAAGAAGTATTCCCGGGTGAGGAGCCGGAGGCGATAGGCACTTATAGACGTACTCAAAGGTACTGGGCGCTAGAGGTGAGCCGGTAGAGAAGATAGATTTCAGAGAGTTGAGGGTGGCCTTTTGGGGAGATGCCTCTCGGGGTAGTGTCTGGGCCTGTTCCAAGATGGACAGGTATTTTGCGGACGTGCCGAAGTGGTTGATCTCAAGCTCGTCAATCAGAAGCGGCATGCTCATCTCCTTGTGTGGGTGGAATGGAGAGCCATCGTATAGCACGATAGTTGCTCCGCTAGCTAAACCCGACACAAGCCAGTGCCACATCCTAACATTCACCACGTCAGCATCCAAAACAGACAGGGGAACGAGACAAACGGAGAGCGCCGAAAAGCTCCTGCAAATAACGGTACAAGGTTGCAGAGAAAAGACTCACATCCAAGTCACAGTGGAAAAGTAGAATACCCTCTCCAGAGGTTTGACATCAGAGTGGATCTGGTGTTCTTTCTTGTGCTGGAGGAGAGTTCCAAGTGAAGCGTGCACAATAGGCTTGGGCACGCCAGTGGTGCCGGAAGAGTACAGGATGTAGACAGGATGATCGGGGGAAAGGTACGCAAAGCGGAGTGGTCTTGACACGTCACCCTTAGCCAGGAATGAAGAATACATCTCCACGAGTGTGTCTGGTTTCCCAGTTGTAGAGATGTCAAATGGGTGGCCAGGAACGCTTTCGAAGATAACAACATTCTTAACCGAGGGCAACTCTGAGACAACTTGCGACACTTTGGCATGGGTCTCATGAATCTTTCCGTTGTATGTGACTGCATTGTCGGCAAACACGAGGACGGGTTCAATTTGACGGAGTCGATCGAGAACGGCATGCACACCCGTGTCAGGACTGACTCCCGTCCATATTGCACCCAGAGAAGTCGCCGCCAGCATAGCAACCACCGAGTTCGAGTGGTTGGCCAGATAACCCGCCACTCTGTCTCCTTTCTTGAGCCGGTGCTTTTCCATGGCCGCGGCGCATTTCCGAACCCGCTCTCGCAGCTCTGCCCATGTCACCTGCTCGCGTGTGTTCTCGGTGGCCGCAAGGATAGCAAGAGCGTCATCGGGAGGGTTCGAATGAGGGAATAGTAGGTTCTCAGCGAAGTTCAATTCGCAGCCAGAGAAAAAGGAAGGCTTGGGGAACATTGGAGCTGATTCGTTCAGCACCTTGCAAGCTTGTCAGTGGGCGTCAAATCGTCTCTTGTCCCATGGGTCGACGTACGGAGTCATACTGCTTGTTTGCCTTTATGCCCGTATAATGCCAGACCTCCTCCCAGAAGGCACTGGGGTGGTCGACGCTCCACTGCCAAATGTCATGGTAAGAGGCGGTCGACACGCCGAACTTGGTTGCGACGTGCTGCTGGAAAGCATAAAATTCGGTCGACTCGGGACGAGGATGTCTCCAGAGTTCAACAGAGCTCGTGGACTCACCTTGTACACCGTTTGTTGCCATTACAATCAAGTCTGGGGGGAGGGGAAGAAAATGTTGTGAACAACCATTGAAAAGAGACTAGGGCCTGCGATTTTGTTTGGGGAAACGAATCGCCGCCAAAACTCCGATTTTCTACGAGCCTCGGTGGGCAGCGACAGATCCCAACTGACCGTTCACCGTTGACCGTTGATCGCAGACGGAATTCTGTCCGGCCTTCAAAACTCACTCCGATGAGCGTCATCTTGTGTGTGCGGCAGTTTGGGAGAAACAACTCGTTCGGATGAGGTCTACCGGTGCGACCATTGAGATACGAAGCTGAATAGGAGCATCACAGGACAGGCCACCAAGAAGAGTTCAGCATGAATGCCCCATCTTCTGAGACGAAAATATGGCAGATGGGTTCGGAATCTCCTCCCGCCAAGGTTGATACAGTATCTGCAATCTGCTCATCTCGTTATCCAGGGCGTGCGATAGAAGCAGAGCAGATATACGAGTGCTTGCAGCATCCGACTAGATGATCGGGAAATGCACGCGATTTCTGCATGATGATGCCAAGCGGCCATGCTAGGGCTAGCGCTGCCCCAGCGAGATTCCTCAGCCAATGACGCCCTGTTGCAATCTGCGTGCAAATTCTACCGGCCTCCGGGGGCTCTTCCCCCCCTCTACAATTTTAAGTTTAGCCTTTCATTGCCCCTGATGGCCCCTATTCACTCCCGCGCATAGCGCCTGTGAGGCTCCCCTCCTTCCCCCCCCTGGGTCCCTGGATGAAAGTGCAGAGACCGCCTGGACTCCGACTCTTCGTTGAAACGAGACGCCCACTGGGTGCCCAGCAGTAATTTCGCAACCAGCCCACTGCCCCCCAGGCTCCAGTGGTTTCAATAATCAAACCATCTGGGTCTTGTCAGCAAAATCGGCTCTGTTTCCAGCTTCGCGTCTTTTTCGTGTCGTGTGCACCTCTCCTGGACTTTGCCGTCGTCTCTCTTCCTATTCTGCATCTTTTCTCCTCAACTTTATACCGCAGGCTTCTGGCACCCCGATCATCGCTGCTCTCCGCAAAGAGGCATTGGGCGTGCGGCTGAGGGCGGGCGGTTCCTGCAAGGAACAGGCTCCTCGTGTCCAACCACAGCGCGGCGGATCAGGGCGGAATATCTCAGTCATCCGGCCAAACCGGTGCTGAGTTCCCCCTTCGTCATACGCTCGACAAACTCCTATCGCATGATTCCTGGTTACATGCGCGGTGGGAAAATCAAAGCGGCATTCTGAGCTTGCATCGGGCACTCGCAGTCAAATTTCAACTGCGGTATCCCTCCTCCGACTGCTCCAAGTCACCTCTGTCGACCACCTCCTCGACCAACCTCCTTTGTTCGCAAGCAACTGTACAACTAATACCAAGACTGCTACCGAGGCCCCCTTCGAAAACCTTTCCTTTTTCTCGCCCCTACACCGCCACACTGTCCACGCTCTCCATTGGAGAAAGAAGAAGGAACTCGAACAACTGTCTCTCTCTTTTGCGCTTGCACAAAGCGTCGGCGTCCATCACGAAGAACCGTTTGTCGTGAAAATACTGAGCAGTCCTTAAAGCGATCCTTTTGGCCATGCCTCGTCGAGTGTCCGGCTCCCTCCTAAGCAGCTCACCTCCGACCCCCTGGCCGTCCTTTTCGCCGTCAGAAAAGGGCGGCAGCCTCGTCAACAAGACCTCTCAAAAAGCAAGCAAAATTGCTCAATTTTTCTCGACTTCGCCAAAGAGCAAAGAAGCTCAATCGGCTGCTGCTGCCCTGCTGGCAGCTAGCAAAGCACAAGAGCAGGCATTTTTGGCTTCGGGCTCGCCTCCCATAAGCACACCCTCGCTTTCGTTACCTAGCATCTCCTTGTCAACAGCGCGCGCAGACTCCGCAAATATGGACGAGCCGCCTACCACCCTCTTTCAGCCACCTTCTCCGGCCGAGACGCGGAAGCTGGCTCGACAGCATGCCCAGTTTGGTCCGTTAAATTCTCAGTCCCACAGATACACGAGTCGGCACCAGGGCGGTGAATTTCCAGAACCTATTATGGATGAACCGCCCTACTACTATCTTTTGACAACCTACATCTCCTATCTGATTCTCATAATATTCGGACACGTCAGAGATTTTTTTGGCATGAAGCTGAAGGAAGACAACTATCGACACCTCAAGGCACGGAATGGCTATGCGGCCCTCAACAGTGATTTTGATAATTTCTACGTCCGACGGCTGAAGATGCGCATCAATGACTGTTTCAACAGACCCACCACCGGGGTCCCCGGAAGATACATTAATCTGCTCGATCGAACGTCGGATGATGGAAACGTCCATTTCACCATGACTGGCACCACGACTGAAACTTTGAACATGAGCTCCTACAACTACCTAGGCTTTGCGCAATCTGAAGGTCCCTGTGCCGATTTTGTCGAAGACACAGTCAGGAAGTGTGGACTATCAACAGCCAGCTCGCGAAGCGAGGTGGGAACTCATGAGCTGGCCATCGAATGCGAGACTCACATCGCAGAATTTGTCGGCAAAGAATCTGCTATGGTCTTTTCAATGGGCTTCGGTACCAACGCCTCCATTTTCCCTGCCCTGGTTGGGAAGGGCGATTTGATCATCTCCGACGAACTCAACCATGCATCAATCCGATTCGGTTCCAGGCTTTCCGGCGCCATGATCGCGTCGTTCAAGCATAACGATATGAAGGATCTTGAGGGCAAGCTTCGTGAGGCAATTTCTCAAGGACAACCGCGCACCCATCGCCCATGGAAGAAGATCCTCGTTGTTGTGGAGGGCCTGTATTCGATGGAAGGTACGATGTGTAATCTTCCTGGGTTGGTCAGGTTAAAGAAGAGATACAAGTTCAACCTCTTTGTTGACGAGGCCCATTCGATTGGCGCATTGGGACCGCGCGGAAGAGGTGTCTGTGACTACTTTGGAATCCACCCTTCGGAAGTGGACATTCTTATGGGTACTCTGACGAAGTCATTTGGCGCTAATGGGGGATATGTGGCCGGTGACAAGGCTGCCATCGACAAGCTACGACTGTCCAATGCTGGTACCGTCTATGGCGAAACTCCCAGTCCCGCGGTGCTGGCTCAGATTATTGCTGCTCTCAAAATCATCAATGGCGAGCTCGTGCCGGGTCAGGGTGAGGAGAGATTGCAGAGAATTGCGTTCAACTCTCGCTATCTTCGACTGGGTCTCAAGCGCCTCGGGTTCATAGTCTACGGTCACGACGATTCGCCTATTATCCCACTCATGCTTTACAACCCGGCCAAGATGCCCGCCTTCTCCCATGAAATGCTCAAGCGCAAGATTTCGGTTGTCGTTGTCGGATACCCGGCTACACCCCTGATCTCCTCCCGAGCGCGATTTTGCGTCTCGGCTGCGCATAACAAGGACGACCTCGACCGATTGCTTGCGGCATGCGACGAGATTGGCAATGTCCTTCAGCTCAAATTCGCGAGCGGCATCGCTGGCGGTGCGCCCCCCCTTCCTGAAGGCGTGACGTGGGAGATGGAGCAGAGCCGAAAGCGACTGGAAAAGCACGACAAAGTCGCCAAGTCATTGGTGGTGTCGCCTCGATGGAGCTTGGATGAAGTCATTAAGCGTGGCGTTCAGGATGTCAAGGTACCGCTGCGGTAGCGATCTCGGCCGCAGCACGGCTCTCATCAGTCAATTCAGTCTGGCACATAGACATATATGTGTACACTTAATGAGCGGGGATGCAAGCGATCACAAGATTTGAGATTTGGGGAAATTCATTTTCGACCAAACCGACGCGACAGAGCCGATTGTACATAGATTTTGGGTCTCTGAAAGGGCGTCGATGGGTATCTGGAGCCAACGGGCTGGTCAGGCTGAAGGAAGCACTTCAATGTCCGCACAGAGCAAGGAGTTTTGACGGCGACAGTCACTGTAACCGTGTTCGGCCAAAAAGAGGTTCGAGTCATCTGAACGATACATTCTATCAATAGCCAAAGCCTAATAACGTCCATCATCACAAACTCATGCGTCTTCCCCGTCGTTACTGTCGCTTTCTCTTGCCCCCGAAATGAGTTCGCCGAAGGGAAACAGATATGCACGGTGCGGAAGTGAGGCAAGAGATCTGCGAGCCTGCTCCATCGCAATCGGGCGTAACGAAGTCCTCGCATGAACGCCTCCTTCTGTTCTGGTTCGTCCGCCTGCGCACTGATCTTTTGGCCTGCAATGTATGTCATGCAGGATGTTCGACATTGCCCCAGTGTGCTGGGACCTTCGCAGGCGAAGAACAGGCGATTGACCTGTTGTGGCATAGCTTGGCAAGGCACAGGAAGACAAAACAAAGCAAGGGACTTTCTCCCCGATGGATGCTGGGACTGGTTGCGTGGTATTTTTACAGAGCATCGAGTATTCACCCTCTGTAAGTGGCATCGAATCCCGGACGGGGTTAGATGAGCCAGCGCATTCCACACCACCACAATATTTTTGCTATGAACTCGGGCAATCGACTCCCGTCCGCACTCCAAAATGGCCGGCAGCAAGGAGAGGCTATCAAGGCAGGTCAGCACTATTGAATCAAGTCTGTGGCCGAAGAAAAGCTTAGTGGCCTCATAAATAGGAGGGGTGGTGTGGACGAAGGGGTTCGGATGGAGGACGTCAGTGGGCTCGTGCAGTCTTCAACGGAATGCAGTGCGTTCCCGTCGGGGCCATGGTCAACACAGTGTGTCTGTTGGACAAGGTAGAATCTTCAGAGCATTTGGAATCTATGATCATGTACCGAGTACTGCAGGTCTCGTTGCCAGCGACTCTACGCAGGGGCCAAGGGAGGGGGAGTGTCACGTGGCGGAACCTTTGGGTGCGGGAGCGGGCGCGGGCGCAGGCGCAGGCGCAGGCCGTTGAGTCTTCCCCTCTACGCCTTCGTTTCATCTCACCATCTCTGCCCGTCTCAGCAATGGCCACCATCTTTTGCGCCCCTTGCTATCTGATTCAATAATAACCACGGGCAAAAGAATCCTTACGCGCCCGACTGCATGATGACCGAACCTGGCCTGGACTGGCATGACCACAGCTACCCCGTACTCTCATGACCGCAGTGACAGCCGTCTCTGATTCGTTCTCTGCGTCCTCCATTTCAATCTCTCCCTGACCGCGCTACTGCACGTCCTGCATCCTTTCAACGAGAGCACAGCGACACCGCCGTTTCAAGCACCGACCCTGTCCTCTCTCGTTCATTCTTCTCCTTGCTGCCTACCGTGGGCCCCGCAAATCATAGCCCGCATGTTCCCGTTCCTCGCAGCGAGTGCCACCAAGAGAGGCATGGCTCGCCACCCGCTCTTGAACGAGAGGCCAATGCGATCCATGCTTGTTCTGCAAGGCAACCGTCACGGGAGTTGTCTCTTCTCCCACTGCTGAGAAAAAGGGCGGATCTTCCACACCGGTCGGGAATAACTTGATTTCCTCCACCCACGAATCCCTCCTCCCTTGACTCAGACAGAGCCTGGGGCCACATACCTGGCTGACCCAATGGTCGAACATTTACAGAGTTGAACTGCTTTGCAAAGTCAATTGAATCTACCAAGCATTCCTCTGGCGTTCCGTTTACCGTGCGTTGCCGTTGCATATCATTGACCCATTTCCCGTTGTGCTGCCCCACCAAACTTCCGTTCCTCCTACACACCGTCTGTTTGGTCGTGTATCTTTTACAAGACGCATCCTCACCAACAGCAGACTGCGCCTGGCTTGTCCAGCTTTTGCGGCTTCCTCACCCGCAACTATGGAACCACCAATCCCCCCGGATCACCTTTTTGCTCCGGTTGATCCTGGTCGTCGTATGCACGACCCGTTTGAAGATGGCTTCGATGACCGTTTCGTTGAAGAGCCTGCCTTTGTTGAAGAGCGGGCACCAAGTGTCCAACAACGCTTTGACAGAATGACACTTGACGATGACCCAGAAGAAATCCGTCCTCGTGCGGATCGGATGCGATCTGCTGACATTCTCCCAACCTCACAAGATTATCTATATTATCGTCTGTCAAAGCGCGGCGACGATTGGGGCTCGTGTGTCAAAAAGCCAATCAATGCCCCGGTCGATGAAATCGAGAGGAAGGCCAGGAAAGGGAGAGGTGGTGATGCTCCAGTGTTAGAGCAGCTGACTCGTATGCCGCCGCTCCGCCGGAGCATGCTCGATGAAGTGGTCCGGAAGGTCAATGGCCAAGAGGCAGGAGATACCCATTGGGAAGTTGTCTACATCAAGTCAAAGAGAGTACAGAACCGAAAGGGCAAAATGGAAGTCCCGGAAATGGATGTCATTCTGGCCCGATCTAAAGACAGGTCGAGATCAAGGGCCAAGTCCTTCGGTGGGGAGAAGGTGAGGAAAGTCGAAGCGGTCCGAGAAAAGAGATACACCAACGACAGCTACGGCCGTGCAAGGAAAGATTCAGTCCTCGACAGATTAGAGGATCCTGTCGCGAACTTGCCACTTTTTGAGGCAGACGGGACGCCACGAGACGAGCTAGGCCCGATGCATTTCAATAACGCTAATCTTCCTCCATATATCGCAAGAGACACGCCACTGGGGTCGAAGCCCGAGCAGAAGAAGGACAAGGCGGAGAAGAAGCGCAGCAAGTCTCGTAGTAAGTCGCGAGATAGGGGTGGACTTCATGATGAAGATGGTGTCTTCGTGGTGCCTGAGGCGCAGGATTATGCCACCGACGCCGTGGACCCCGCTCCTGTGGATGCAGTCTTTGCTGAAGGCCCAGCTGATCATCGCGGCCGTCGAGGGCATTCGCCACAGGAGCATCCCGTGGTCGTTGTTGAGGGTGATGCTCGAAGATCTCATTCTCGACATCGGATGCAACCGGAGACACGCTCCAAGTCTCGTCGCCGAGAGTCTGTGCATTTCCCCAATCAGCATACTCAGCAGTATTTTGACGGAAGTTACGCATCGTCGGAAAATAGCGATGCTAGCCATTATGGTTTTGTGCCCGACTACGCAGAAAGCTCCAATACCTCCCTCAGCACACCTGGAGGTGTTCCTCGCCGAGGAAGCCTGGTGTATAGCCAGGGCCGCCCCGACGTTGTGTATAAGAAACATCACCCTGGACCTAGCAGGAGACAGTCCTACGTGGAACGACCATATCATGGCGAGCAACAGATTGTCGTGCCAGCAACCACACGTCGGAACTCTTATGTCGTCTATGAGCAACGACCATCAGAGGTCCGCCAGGAACGCCATCCCCGACTAATGAGGCAAGCGACAGCGCCCATCCCCGAGGATAGACAGATCGTCCATCGCGACCTTCCTCGACGGTCGAGGGAGCAAGATTTTGCACCCCTTCGTCGCTATACCACTCACGAGTCTGCCATGCCAATCGTTCACTATCACCATCCAGAGGATGAACGTGACGGCTACTACCGCGACGAACTCGACCGCCAAAGTATCCGAGTAGAGGACTATCAGCGTGATCGGGTCCTCGAGGATCATTTGAGTCAACGCGAACGACAAGTGACTGCCCGCGAGAGGCAACTGGAGATCCGAGAAGATGAACTCAGGCACGCAAAGAGACAGCGCGAGCTGACAGGAGAACGAGAATACTACGACGACAGAGATGTCAGGAGGGAGAGGAGGGAGACAAGAAGGCTCTATTACGACGCAAGAACAGGGGAGCACTTCTTCTACAATGATTAGTGCTGGAAGCTCGACACGCAGTTGACGATGGCGTCCGGAGATGTTTTAAGATTGCAGACCTCGCTGTTTCAATTTGTGGGATGTTGGCATTTCCAAACGCATGTTGCGGTCGGAGGTTATGGAACCGCGCAGCCCAGGAGAACAATTGTTCCCGGCTCAAAAAGGAAACCTTTTTTTCTTTGCCTGCCTCGATTTGTTATTACCCTCGGAAGACGTCATCAAGGCTCGCTGCCACCATCGGTGAAGGAAGAAATAACTATTACCTGCCATGCTGGACAGGAACACCAATCAAAACGGAATATGTGATACGAGAAACCTTTGGCGGTCTTGAGGTGAGGACCTCATCGACGTGACCTGAGCTCGCAGCAGACTGAGCGTATGAACTGATGGAGATCGGAAGTGCAGATTGACGACACTCTATCTGCTACCTCTTTCCAACGATGCTGTGTATGCGACGATTTTGATATGACTGGGGTATGATGGATTTCCTTGTTTTCACTTCTTGCTGTCTCTTCTGGAAGATACCCCGCCGTTCTTTTATTTTTGGCGAGCAGATTGGGAGTCTGATCTGTACCTCTTGTATTGTTTCTACAGTTGGTTGTTGAAAGGGAGCAGGAACGAGCGAGCAACCAAATTGATTGAGAACCCTTTGGAGATCTTGATGTTGTTTTCTAGGGAAGCGTGGCTGGGTCCACGTCGGTCTCTGGCAATGGGATATTAAGTGCGAGACTGAGAATGATGAGCATGGCATGAGCATGAGCATGAGCAGGAGACTGAGAGTGAGGTTGAGGCTGTGGCTGAAAAGCAGGGACTGAATTGTACCTCCAAAAAGCCTTTGATTGAATGTCATGACAACTTTTGCCCTCTTCGCCCTCTTCGCCCTCTTTGACCTCGTATCTCTGAGGCTCGTCCCTCGGTTCTCCTGCTTTTCTTTCCTTATTTTCGACCCCTTGAGACCGGTTTTGTTCAGCTGCTCTTCCTCAAAGGGTCGAATCCCCAAATCCACCTCTCTGCTCGTTCCTCCCATGCATCCAGTCGCCGTGGCGCGCTCTGACCCCTGGACCTTCATGATAAACGCTCTCACAAGAAGCCGCGCAGGGCTCGCGCAACCGCCCCGACGTCTTCAATGACGTGCCAATGGCCCACGCCCTCGAGGACCTCCAGTTTCGCATTCGGCAGCCGCCTGGCGTACGTGTCGGCGAGGGCGGGTGGGGAGATCTTGTCGTCCCGCCCCGCGATCAGCAGCGCGGGCACATCCAGCCTCTCGATGCGGATCGTTGTATCCTTCGACTTGGCCAGGGCCGTGCACCCTTTCGCATACCCCTCCGGGTGCGTCGCGAGTAGAGACTGTCGCACCGCCGACACCAGCACGGGAGACTGCCGCTGGGTGCGAGGCGAGGTGGCCGCGCTGGCAACGGCCTGGGCCACCCCGGAGGCGTCCATCCCCTTTGCTCGGACCGATGCCGCCCTGTCGCTGAAGACCTTGACGGCGCCTTCGGGGAAAGGATTGGGTCCTGGGCCGAGCAGGACCAGTTTCTCGACTGCCGAGGCGTGGCGCTCGGCGAAGAGCATGGCGATCAGTCCGCCCAGAGACCAGCCCACGACGGTGGCCCTCGTGATGTCCTTGGCGGAGAAGAGATGCTCGAGGTCGGCGACGTACGACTCGACGCTCACGACCGACGAGGCGGCCGTTGGCGTCAGCCCATGGCCCTCCAGGTCGTAGAGAATGAGGCGACGGCTCGCGTCCAGGCCGGCTTCCTGGATCAGCGGCGCGTAGTACTCCGACGAAGCGCCCAAGCCGTGGACGAAGACGACCGTGTCGGACCCGGATCCGATTTCTCGCACGTTGACCATCTTGTCGCCCACGCGCGTCAGCCCGGCCGCCCCCCACGTGCGCTCCAGGTTGTACACTGGGAGCCTGGACCCGGGCTGTCTCGCCAGGGCATTCGGCCTTTTGTCTGACACCCGATTGCTCAGCTTGCCGAGGCCGGTCACAGACACCTCGACTACAAGAAAAGGCATGTTAGTTGCTTGGGAGAACCGGGCAGAAAGGAATGCCGCAAAGAAGATGAGCCCGACTCACCTAGATCTCCCGGCCTGAGGAACTTCGGTGGGTGGAAGCCGACACCCACGCCGGCGGGTGTCCCTGTCGCGATGACATCGCCTGCTTGGAGGGTCAAGCCGGCCGAGATGACCTCGATCAACTGGGGAATCGACGTGATCAGGTCTGCCGTGGTCCCATCCTGGCGCTTCTCGCCGTTCACAAATGTCTGGACGTGCAACGTCTCCGGCAAGGAGTCCTTAGGAACAGCGATGGGGCCCTGGCACAGCAATAGTCGTCAGCTTCTCAAGGGACGAGCAGCTCCTTTTCTCGACAGAAAACGAGACGCACTAACCATGGGACAGAATGTGTCTGGCGACTTGCCCATCAGGAACTGGCCGTGGTCCCGCTGTTTTTCTCTCGCCGTCACGTCTGGAGGCATTGTAAGTAAGCAGCTCACAGGTAGCCCATCTCTGAGTGAAATGGACAGGGGCTTCACCACGGCTTACCGTTGATGATTGTGTAGCCCCAGACATGCTCCATGGCGTCCTTCTCGCTGATGCCGAACCCCGGCTTGCCGATGATGACGCCGACTTCGCCCTCATAATCGAGACAGCCGGTGAAGCCCGGGTGGGCGTAGATGTCCTCATTTGCGGCGATGACGCTGGTGCTGCGCTTCGTGAAGATCGTCGGGAAGGAAGCTTGAGGAAGGTCGAGTCAGATTGACCTGTTGTATGAATCGCAGACACTTCTACACACCTTTCTGTTGGATCTTCTGCACGTCATACCCGCTCTCTCGGTACTCTTTGACGTGATCCGCGTAGTTGTTCCCGACACACACGATATCCCGGTCGGTGATTGGAGCCAATAACTTGACCGACGACAGCGGGAAGGAATCCCCCGTCTGGACGATTGTATCGTGCCCTAATTCGATCACCTGCTGTAGATTGCTCAAGGGAGACCCCGACGGCATCGCCAATGTGTGCACGAGCGAAGTCTCGAGGTCCAGATGACCGACACGGGCCCTGCCTAGGTCGTCTTCGAAAGTGACAAAGTTGTGTGGGTTCTTCGGTTGTGGTGATGGAGCAGCAGGCTGGACAACCACAAAATCGGCCGGAGATGACTTATGGATCCTGCCATTGATCATGATCACGTCTAGCTTGTCGTGGTTCTGGAGCACGGCAATGTCCTGGAGGGGGTCGCCGTTGACGAGGATGCAGTCGGCGTAGTATCCCGGCAGGATCTTGCCCAGTTCACCCTCCTGCATGAACAGCTTGGCCACGCCGGCCGTGGCGGCGATGATGGACTCCATCGGCGTAAAGTCGAGCAGCTTGACGAAATGCTCGAGGTCGCGCGCGTACGTGCCGTGAGGACACCACGCGAACCCGTAGTCACCGCCGCTTGCTCCAGGTCAGCGGACTTTGGCTCAGCACTGCTCCGGGGACAGACACCATCTTACGGAAGAACCGTGATTCCTCGCTTGTTCATTTCCTTCAGGGCCGTGATGGCGACCTCCAGCTCCTTCTTGTAGCCTACCTGCTCGGCCTTCTCAAACGTGTATCCAAAGGGCTCGGCCTCGTGGACGGTCGTGTAGAGCCAGTTGATCGCCGGCGCGACCACGTGCTTGTGCCGTGCTTTTGTGAGCATGTTCATTCCCACGTCGTCGGTGTACGATGCTGTTCCATTTGTTAGTATCAAAAGGTCCAATTCGGCCTGGGGACTGCCTCCGGCACGAACCATGGTAGATCACGTCCACGCCGTGTTTGACGCATTGGATGACCGAGTCTCGTGCCCGAGCATGAGAGCAAACCCTCAGGCCGTTGCGGTGGGCTTGCAAACTCGTTAGTTGATGAGAAATGGTGAGAGTACGGGAAGCTCGCCTTCGTCCACACACGCCGCCGTCTCTTCGTCGGCGAAGAAACACTCTTCTGCGGATCTCGTTTCAGTGATCTAATCAACATAGATTTTAGCGACTGTTCCCAAAGTTCAGGTTGTCCTACAACCTACCGATTCGCCCGACATGCTCAGCTTGATCTGGTCGACCCCGATCCGAGCGTGATGTCTGATGACTTCTCGCATCTCCAACGGCCCTGGGGGGAGTAAGAACTTGGGTTGGCAGCAAAGCAATTTGAGACTAACCATCAGCGAAAGCGGTGATGCCAGCGGCCAATTCGCCGTCCCTTCGAGCGATCTCCCGTCCATTGGCGAGGTATCGAGGGCCAGGTATATCGCCCCGGTTGATGGCGTCCCTGACCACGCAGTCCAGCCGGTCTTTCGCTGACGCGGCTCCATAACACCTAGTGGCAATCAGAGTTGAGTCGCACATGCTATCACTGGTGCGTGGCTTACATTGTGTAACCAGAGTCGAGGTAGCATAACGCAGACTTGACGGTGATCAACACGTGCTCTTCCACGCTGACATCACCCAACAGCTCAAGGGCGTTGTTGTTCCACGTCAAGTGAGTGTGCGAATCTCCCAATCCCGACATGAGGGTACGGCCGCGTCCTTGGATTACCCGCACGTCTGGTTGAGCTTGGAGGTGTTCAACTCGAGGCACAGATCCAACAGCGACGATGCGCTCGCCTAGACTCCCTGGTTAATCAGCGCCAAAGTGCAAGTCCGGTAGAGTTACCTTCAATGTAGACATCTCCTCGATACGGCTCTTTTCCTGTAGAGTCCAGACTGTTCAGTGTCAGCTTGCAATATATGTTGATCCTCCATGGGGGAGCCTACATATTCACGCCGAGGAATAATATCTTTGAAGACGGAGACGTCCCTGTAGAACCACGCGTGAGAGTGGTGACCCGTCGAAGAGAATTGTTTACTAACCTGCTATTTCATATCTCTTGGGTTGTAGTTTTGGGTCAAAGGCAAGGTTTTCATATGGGTAGCGTGTTTGTGTCGACTCGGGCGGGAGAGCGACATCGTCATGCCAACCATTCGCAAGTAAACCAGGAGCCATCGTGGGTTATGCGAAGCCCAAGTTCTGCGGAAATGCCCAGGGTAAAGCTGAATAGAACATCCCTCAATCCATTCTTTCCTTGCGAACTTCGGTATTTAATTTCACTGACCCCACGTTGTACTCGCTGGTGATCCCCATGCACAACCCGCACCAGCCGCCCTCTGCGGCGCGTTGCATCGCACCTGGCTACATGGTCTCTTAGCCTCCATCTAGATCTTTGATCGAGCCATGATTGTCGGTTGGGAGACTGCTGCGCAAAGTGGTGGTGTCTCGATGGTAGACTGGACCTGCGGGAACAAGAGCTGCCGCAATATCCGCAACTGCCGCTCTGGGAGGGAACAGAGAGGATTACAGTTCGAGACGCCCTCCGCAATTTCTGGAGGACGCGGGGTTAGTCTCGTTCCACTCTGTCCTCCGCGTTCATATTCAAGGCGGAGGAAGAGTTGATGTGGAAAACTCAAGTGGTTCGGTCCAGAACTGGTCCCAGTTCACGTCGCCTAGGGCGGGCGTGTTCCAGAGAATGTCGGTGGACCACTGATCAGGAAGCCCGTCCTCAGCTCCTCCCATACCATTGCCGTTGCTCATGTGACATTCTTGTTCCTGGGTAAAGCCACTCTCGAGGCAGTTTTGAAGCAAGACCATGTCCTGTTCCTTTCGGTTCTGTGCGATGCGAACCAATTGTTCGATCGTCGCCAAGGCTTTCTGGGCGATTGGGGTCTTGAAATGGTTCACCACCGTTCTCAAAGTCAAGATCGCTTGATGAACGTGTGAGAGAGACTCTTGCGTATCCATCGCCAGAAGGATGCAGGCAAACTGGAAAGGGACGTTCGACACGTGCCACCAAGGGGAATTTGTTCGGGTCGCTCGGATTGAGGCTTCAAGGCCTTTGCAGCCCACTGCAATGACCTGTTCTAGGAGTTGGCTTTTGACATTGGTAGTGGCAAGGCGTAGCCGTCGATAGAGGGTGAAACAGAGGTTGCTCTGTGAGAGGGTGAGCGGATTGAGGGAGAAGCGAAAGCCTGCCACTTGCATTAGGCAATTCTCCAGCGCTGATGGCTCGCTTGGACTCGAAGGATCGAGGACCTCGGATAGCTGGAACATGGCTATGAGATCAGTGGTGTAGTCTCCGGGGATGGGCGTCGGCGATTGGCAGGATGCTCCTTGAAGGGAAACTCTTGATCGCCCATACTCGAAGCTGATCCAGGAGTTCAGCAGCTTAGCAACCCAGAAGAGTCTCCTCCTCCTCTCAACATCATGCTCTGGGGGCTCGGCGTCCGAGTAGACCAGTGATACATCGGCCGACTCTCGGTGCAGGCCAGCCGCCTCAACGATGTGCATGGTCGTGCAGCTGGCCATCCAAGCTGCGTGCGGAGGACTGTTACATCTGAGGTAGAGGGTTCTCAACAGCCATGCTTCTGCGTCGTGGACTGTTGGGTCTCTCAGAAGACTTGTCGATTCCAGAATCTCTTTTGCACAGTCCACGAGAAGCCCTTCGCGGTTGTCTGTTCTCTCGGGGGAGAATAGCGTCGCAAGAGCTGCAATTCCGCATAGCACGTGGTCGTAGGCGTTGGTGGCATGAGGATCTTGCCATCTCCTCGAGGCCTTGAACAGAACGGTTTCGGTGTCGAGGAACCCATACAAGCAGTGAATCTCCCGAAGGTAGACGTCAAACAGGCTGTGCCACTCCTCTCTGGTTATGATCCACGTCATGCTCTTCTCGGAGCGGGAGTGATGGTAGTGAATTCCCAGGTTCCAGCCAAAGCCTTGGACCTTGGGAGCGCTGGTGGGATTGAACTTCATGCCGAGGATGTGTGGGAAGACGACCCCAGAGTTTGCCTCCATCGACTGTTCATTGTGCTCGTTGTATTTGATTTCCTTCTCTGGGGATATGGGAATTGCAGAGATGGTCTGAGAAGCGTCGGGCAACGGTTCAGGAGCCGGACGGCCCTCAGACGACGGTATTCTTGCTACTCTCTTTCTGGGGTGAGTGGTGTAATGGCACTGGTACTCGTACCTGGTGCAAGAGATGCAGGGCTCGCCTCCATTGCACCGACGTTTTCGAGCTTTACATGGCTCACACGCCTTCCTTGCCCTGCGCCGACCCCCATCTTCAGCTGCGGTGGAGGGCTCGGGACGTGGTTCCAAGTGCTCTTGTACCATCGTCTCTCATCGTGTGTGGAAGAGGCTAACATGGACTATCAGAGGAACGCACCGTTGTCCACTGGGATTGTGTAGGTGATAAAGGAAAGGCAGACAATAGCCAATAAGTCAAGCTTGGTTATTAATAAGTATCGGTGAGAATCTCTCCTGCTATTCCCCCGCCCCCGACCTTCCAACCCCACACTTTGTCGGGGGGTGCATAATCCGGGCACTGCAGACTTTAAATAGAGGTCATCAGCCTATACAATAGTGGGTTCGAGACCCTGGAGAACGACTGTCGGGTGTATATAGTAGTCCCCATCTACTCCGTGACTATCTCCTTCTTTTCTCCTTTTCCCAAAGCTTCCTTCTCCAGATGCACAGCGGTATGATTCGTGAAGTACGGAGAAGGATCCCGCACGAATATCGCAAGGCCACAAGCAATGATTCCAAACGGAATGGTGGCCAGCCAGGTGATTCGGAAGGCATCTGCCCATCCCAACTGGTAGCCTTCGAGAGCTTTGCTGAGGATCTCGGGACTAAGGCCCAAAGGTTTTGTCGTCCCGTCCGCAATCGCGGAAACCAGAGATGAGACCTTGTCCGCGGGATACCCCAAGGGTACTACAGCCGACGCCACCCTAGAGATGGTGCTGCCAGATGCCCGGTTGCTCAAAATCGTGGAGAAGACTGTTGTTCCCACGGCGCTGCCCAGAAACCGAAAGGTGCCAATTAGACCCAGGGCCAACCCCAAGTCTTCCTGTGGGACGTGAAGAGACGCCGTGATATAGCAAGCAAGAGTGATCCAAGCAAACGGTGCATTGGCGAAAAGCTGAAAGACCAACAGCTTGGCAACTTGTCCTGGCCAGCAAATCGACTGCAATGCAGTGAAAATGGTCTGAACCGCAATAGCAAATGTCAGTTGCCAGTGAACGTGTTTGATCTTGGATATTAGTCCGCCCAGGAAGACGCCGCCCGCAGCCCCGCCAAACCCGCCAGGAATGTTGTAGACCCCGGCCAGGGTGGCGTCGCTCGTCAAGGTGTAGACAATCTGCTGTGGCATCAAGGTCGTGAGGGTGAAGTAGACGACCCCAGTCACAAAAATTATGACGAGGAGAAAGGTGTACTCCCTAACCATCGAAAACAGCCAGCGGGGGAACAGAGGTCTGCGAGCCTTGCCACTGAAATCCCAGACGAAAGTACACACGAACAATACTGCGCCCACGAGAAGAGGGGCCAGAACATGGGCACTGTTCCAGGCATATGATGTGCCCGCCCAACCGAGGCCGAGAAGGAAGAGAGTCAGTCCTGAGACGTAAAAGAACAGCCCGACATAGTCCAGCTGGGCTAGGATTTGCCTGCGCGAATACTCCCGAATGGGACGAGCTGGGGGAAAGTAGAAGGCAGCTGTACCTGCCAAGGAGATGACCCCGGTAATGATCCCCAGGTAGAAGATCCATCTCCAGGTTGCTCGCGCGACGAACTCCCTGGCAATCAACGGCGCCAACGTTGTGAATGGAAGGAGGTTGAGCTCGGTCCAGGCCAAACCATACGGTCGATACTTGTTGGGCAGGATTTCTGAGATTCCAGGGTAGAGAATGAATGTTGTTCCCGTGCCAAATCCTAGGATCACCATTGCTGCAATGCATTGCTCGAGGCTCTGAGCTGTGGCGCCAACGATATGGCCCAAGACGAGGAGGCTTTGACCAAACATCAAGAGGTATCTCCGTCCAAAGTAGTCGCTCATCTGTCCTGCAAGTGCAAAGGCGATGCTCCCGGCGAGTGACCAGCTCGATGCCAGCCAGTTAGAGTTGTAAGTCGAGCCTTGTAGCTCCATCGCGATTGGGACGATGACTGGGAACACAAACAGAACGGTAAAGGTAAGAGAGGGCTGGAAAGTGAACCCCAGAAAGAAAACAGCGAGATAAGTGGATTTTGTGACGTGAATCTCGGCATCAGCGTCTCTCAACGCTGCTTCGTGGGCATCTTGCTTCTTGGAAATGATAGACCGATGGGGGCCTTGTTGATCTTCGAGATGGTCGGCCGTGGCCCCGGACTTGGAAACCGGCTGCAGCTCCATGTTTGCGGTATTTTTGAGAAGAGTGTCGACGTGGCATATAGCGGAGGACGATCTTATTATAATACATGCCATAACTTGTTGGATCTGTCACCAAAATGATATTTGCAACCGAAAGCGACGGTTGATGCGGAAGTTGCGGGTAACTATTATTAACGGGGACACAAGTTTCATTGACTTCCTAGCCGCCTCTTCCTCGATATGCCGCTGTCAAGGGTCGGAAGCCATTTGCACTTGATCGCACACCCTCTCTTGGTCTTCATATTCACTTCTTCGGCTTGGGATAAGGATTCTTGACGCCTTCGGTCCGCCCGACTCTCAAAACAGGAAGCCACTTTCGGTTGTTTTGTAGGTCGTGGAGCTTATGGAATTGCCCTGCCATATGCTCGTTGTAAGTTTGTATAAGGCATGGCCGACTTCAAGTGATGTCTCACAGGAACAATCTTTCCCAGCAAATGATTTAATGACCGTGTCCCCGCCGGGATGTCTGTTCACGAAATTTGTACAGTCATAGACTATCTCATCGATAACGATCCCTGAGACATTTGATTAGGACGGTAGTCTCACCGGGTGCTCAAATTTGTGCTTACAAATGTCTGGACAGGATTTCCCATTCCTTGTCGATACTTCATATGCAGGTATTGTTGGTAGATCTTGATTCGAGACTTTCTTTGGAATAATTCGATATTCACCAGGAGTGGAGCTCAGCTCTTCCCTTGGTTGTAGCGCCTTGTCTTGAGCTATGCCCACTTTGGAAAACATATCTTCTTGCGAGTGATAAAGGGCGATTGAATGCTAGGGGACGAACCTGCTCGCTCGAACGCGAAGCTGTTGGACGTATTCTAGCGAAGAGAGGCATCCCTATTCCAGGTTAATTTCTCTGATATTTTCGAGGAACATGGCCCTTTGGCTGGATCGCAAATCAGAACTGAGCGGATATGGGGGCTACTGCGGCTACTGCGGCAATTGCCCAACTCTGCTGTGAATTGAGGCTCGGTAGACGGCGCAGTCAACAAGTGGACAGAGTCTGCAACTGTAAATGCCATGTGCGGCACGGCTGATCTAGCAACACTTCTCCTTGCGGTGAGACTTCCTGCGAAGGAGACCAGGTGTGCCATTCCAGCGAGGTTGGCTGTTCGCCATGTCCTCGTCGTGACGTGCACGGCAAAACTCGTGGCCTTTTCGCTTTGTGTCCCGAACATACCGGAATGATCACCATCTATTGAATGGCTGTTGTCGCTGGAATGATATCAGCTAGGTATGACGGAGAAAAAGTGGTGGTAGCAAGGATAAGAGAAAAAGGAGCAGGAACGTGTTGAATGCAAGCCTCGACGACATCTAAAAGCGGCGGCAGTCAATTGCTAATATTAGCCGCGGCCTTCCAAGCCAACTCTTAATATCCATTGACTACCACCATCCGAACTTATCTCGTGGAATTTGACTTGAAAAGAGCTTGCAATGGAGTCATAGCATAACTTTGGATGCATTGCGAGCGTGTTCAAGATCGTCTCTGCAACACCTACAGGGTAAGCAGGCAAATATCTCCCTTCCACTTACGTCTCTCCGTGCCGCTGTTGTACCATTGGGTCAAGAGAATGGTCTCAGTCGCCGAATGACCTAAGAGAGGCAGGCCCCTGTTGCTGGTGATCAGCAATCTCCAAACCGTTCGGGTCTGTCTCGCGTGAGGGGCAAGAAGAGCTTCTGAAGCAATATTGATGTTCTGTAGCCAAGGGTTTTTTGGACATGCTCCCGAGCGAGATCCTGAGACCCCTAGATTCACCCGCCCACGGGATCCCGATGATTCCTCAACCCCTGGCTTGGCAAAGACACCATTTGACAACACTCTCTCATCAACTGTCGGTAAGTACACGGCATACATCCGTGCCAGCCTCTGGACGCCAAACGCCCATGGCACCACAAGCACAAACAATGCCTCTACCGAGTGACGATCATGGCGCAAGAGATCCAGGCTCTAGCCTCAGGAATTGTCCAATCGTCCAGTCAAAGACGTTGCCGTGTTCAAACCATTGTCGACAAAACAGCTTGTGGAACACCTTCCGGAGGTGTGTCATCGAGACCTGAAGCCAGTTGCCCAGCAGTTCAGGCATATGACGGCCGCCCGTTTTGAAAAATCCAATGAATTTACTCCGATTTAAACTCCAGGTCCAGTCGGTTATATTTCTCAGACCGTCGGTAATTTGATGTGCTGACTGGCCAAGGCAGCAGCGCCAATTTAACTCTTTTGACACAGTTTGATGCAGTTTCGCAGCGAGTTTTCTTCAATCCCCAGATATGAGCCTTCTAGAAGTCGAAACCGATGGATTTGAAGCAGGCGAGGTCTTTACCGGACCAGACAATTATCGAATAACCCTTTATTATGATCACCATCGATTTATTCTCGTCGTGACGAAACCTGAGAGCCGAGAAGATGGCGATATTGTGTCAGACTTTTTTGAGAGGATCGAGGTAGCCGAGAATGATCCCGATGAAATGATGTTCGATCGATGCCTGGAGGACATGAGAGAAATCGCGATCTCGGCCTGCAAGCATACGATGTATACGCTTGCCGCATCAACCCAGAACCCGAACGGCAAGCAACAGTCTCTTGAGGACTTTCTGCACCCAACGACTTTCTATCTACAACTACGCACCGTACAAGGAAAGCTTCAAGCCGTCGAAATAGACGACATCTCGGAAGTCGCTAGCATGTACGAACCTGTACGCTTGGCACTGGACTCCGTGCCCCGATCTTTCACGGCTCCCACTCCTTCGGCTGACATAGAGTTCATCGAGGATCTATTTATGGGGAAGGTCCTCAAGGTCAACAAAAATGGTGAAGTTTGTGTCTTCAAAGCAGCAACTCACGGTAACGAAGACCAGCTCAAACGAGAGATAAACATCCTTCAGCAAATATCCGAGAAATGGGAGCCAGATCACCCCCATCGACCCCAAATTCCACAGTTTCTTGGTCTCGTCACATCGGCAGGTCAAGTCATAGGAATGCTTGAAGAATTCGTCGATGGCATGAATCTACATGAGTTCGACATTGATGATGTTTCCTCGGCCCAACGTCGAAAGTGGAAACGTCAGATCGAGCAGTCTATCACGCAACTGCATCAAAGTGGTATTGTCTGGGGAGATGTGAAACCGGAAAATGTTCTGATCGACAAAGCAGCCTGTGCGTGGCTTGTCGATTTCGGCGGCAGCTCGACTGATGGTTGGGTTGACGAGGATCTAGCGGAGACCATTGAAGGCGACTTGCAGGGCTTGTATCGGCTAGTGGAGTTCTTGGGCGTCCGACATTGAGAGATTTGCCTATTTGACATGGTCAATAGCCACAAGTCTTGAAAACTGCTCTGTTCATCATCCCACGCTTCCCCGGCGCGATTTCTGTGGGCTCGTGTTATACCGCCTTCCTGTCCCTTGTTACGCCGTCAGGCTGTTGACCTGGGAATCCCTGTTTAGCGAGGCTAAATTCTTAGAGGACAACCTACAATGAGCGAAGCTGGAAGAAGTACTTCAATTGCAGGGGCTCTTGCAGCGTGGGAAGGAGCTGACGTTGAAATTTGTGGACTCGGATGGTGCCACCAATATGCTAGTCAAGACCCGCACGACCCTGTACAGCGTCCTTGTCGCATTCATGTGTCACGGCTCTGTTTGTACATCTGAAACACTGGTGCTAACTTCCGAGAGCACTTACCCGGATTGCTCCTTCTGCTGTGCTGCGCCTGATACTGTGCTTAAGTTGTACACGTACACTTCCGAGTTCAACACCGACTCATTTCGCAAGTACTGCAAGCAAGCAAGAAGTTGCCTCTCATTACCAACCCGAATCCGATCGTTTACCATGAGAAAGTCTCCGTCTCGGAAACCGACTCCGGAATCATCCATTAGAAGATTGACCAGCTTAGCCCAGGACGGTTCTCCGGAATGGCGATCCATTATATCACGGATGGCGATGATGTCTTGTCTTAGGGCTTCGTTCACATACATCACATGGAACACCATCTCTGTGGTTGAGAATGAATCACCGGCAGAAAAGTTGTTATGAGGAACCCAGGACATTTCTTCTTTATCTGGAGATGAGGGTCTCACCACCGGGATCGGCTGAAACGATGGTATCGTACATGCTGCACCCCTCGCCACAGACCTTGCTGATGTGGTGACCAACTCCGTGACTGCGGTCACGTCTTTTGACGCTCTGTTGAAGTCCTTCAAACCTGAGACAGATACACCAGCCGTTGAATCTGGGGGAACAGGGCGGCGGAGACCGAGACGATTTTGCAGTTCCTGTTTTACCACTGATTCCATAGCCTTACTCAGGTCAGTCACAATGGTCTTATATTGTCTATAGACGGCTATGTCGGCTGCGGGTGGAGGTCTCCAGTTGAGATAAAGCTTCTGGTGACATGAGGACACGTTGAATGATAGAGGATGCCTCGCGAGAAACCATTGGCATAGAAAACATGATTTCTTGCTGACGCCGATGAAGCGGAAGGACGGTCTTCTCTTAGGGTTGCTGTCGTAGAAATTCAGGAGCTGGATCTCAGCATGAACAGGCAGGTGTAAAGTGCAAACATCTCGGAAATAGGCCTCTGGGTCCTAAACTCCCCAGACCTGAGCAAGACGAGATATATATTAGTTCACTTCTTGACCGCTGGTGAGTCTTCGGACGACACTCGTTAACGGCATCTCTTTTCCCGAGCATGTGAGTCGGATTGTTGAAGGGGCTTGTACAGGTTCCACAAGCATAGGGTTGAATAGAGTCGAAAATTCAGAAGTAAAGTGGAGGAAAGCCATGGAGGCAATCGCATATCGTCCGAGCTTGAAAATTGCGTAAACCCATCGGGGCAACGCGGATGGGAATAAAGCTTGGAGACACGCTAGGTAAGTACGTCGAGCCTCCAAAGCCCACCGAATGTGATCGACCAGACTTTCGGGAGTAGGCTCTGAAGGAAGGTCTCGCATCGTGAAGACGTGCGCGATCCATTCTGGAAAGGTTATTACATAGTCGATTTGGAGAAATGCCGGTCCTGAAGTAGAGCCCTCGATGATGTCCCTCACATCATCACTGACGCTGTGGATATCTTTGAGGTAGGAACGTATTCTGACAATGTCGAGGCTAATGATCCGCACTAGGACCTCCGATTCTTTGTCGGATGCGGTGTACTCTGCGATAAGGAGCAACGATCAATCGTTGGTTTGTTTGATTTAACCGTGGTACTTACCACCGCTAGCAACGCCATTCAGAATCGTCATCAATTCCCGCAGCTCAAAAAGTGTAGATTTTGCGACCCCCTGATTGCTTGCGACACGGACTATCGTTCCTTCTGGAAAGCCTTCCTCTAAACAAGCCGCAGACACCGTGTCACTATCTTTCTTCTTTGCGTAGATCAGGGCGAAAGAATCGAGAAACTTCCGTTTCAAGAGCCGCTCCCGATTCTGTTCAAGTGTGTTTGAATCTTGATCGAGGCCATATGCTGTCGGTTCGCCACGGACTGGGTCAAGCAGGTGAAGTAGGGCTGCAGCTTGAACGAAACGACTTTGAGCGTTTCCAGTGACTTCATAAATTGGCATCGTGCTAAAACGTATCGTTCCGATACGACGCGGACACTACGGTCTGGTTTTCGATGGTGGAGTGATCGAATTTTGCGAAACTGATGCTCGTGAATGCCATGCCTGGCGGACGCAAGGCACGCGGGCAGCGTCGAGACAGTGTACGCCTACCCGAAAGATACATTTTGCGGGGTAAAGACGCACGGACAGACCCCTCACAATCAAAGCTAGCCACCCTGGCTGTCCAATCAACTCATAGATTTCAATTTCTTAGCGAAGGAGTGATGGGGTAATCGAACGGTGCTCGAGTTTAATAGCCACTACATCACCCGTAGGAACATCGCGCCCTGAACTATCGTACTAATGTATACTTTTCCAAACGAGTCTGATCCTATACGTCGACAAATTTGGTAACGCCCGCCCAGGCGTATTTCGAGAAAGTGTTGAATAAATGGCTCGTCCATCGTAGGGTGCAAATGTTGTACTGAAAACACACCCGCAGAAAAAGTTGCGTCATTCGTCCTACTCAGGTGACCTTCCTGCTGGCGCAGCTAGGTTTGCAGGATACTGCGCACGAGACAGGTAGGAAAATTGTGTCGGATGGTGTTCAAATCCCACATCCCTCTTTTTCGCTTGCCGCTGATGAGAATTCTCGAATTGTCTAGTTAGAGGCCTTCTGAGAGGTTCGCCAGACTGCTGTAATAGTTCGCTTCGGGGGAGATCACCATTCTTTTGGGACCACTAGTTATCCCAGGGTATGGACGAAGGCCCCGTCAACATTTTTGAGGACCAGTTTGTGCTGGGAGGTTTCGATGGAGAACATACACTAGAACCTTAGAGTTCAACCATCAATCCTTAACTTATTCCGAACCATAGCGGTCTCTCGCAGAGTAGAGATGTTGGTGATATAGGACCCGGTCGGCAGTCCACTTAGAGCAGGGGGTCAGCATTATAATGTGGTCGCGGTGTTGTCACAAAGCGTCCGTAGAGAACCACACAATAACAACTGCGATCATCCACAATCAAAAATACGACAAGCCTAGGAGATAAGTCCATATTCAAGCTAGGGTAGGAGATGCGTAATGCAGCACAATAAGTCCGAACATTCGGCGGGCAATTACTGGACGTAAAGAGGTATCTTCAGTCCTCTGTCGATTAGGGCCCGGACCTGACAATTTCTGTAGATGCAACGAGGCTCTTAAAGAAGTACAGAGCGAGATACCTAATCTTCAGGCCAGAACATCTCGAATTAAAAAGACATTAGCATAAGTCTTTGATCAGATAAAGCAAATAGAGGAATTAAATAAGACGATGATAGAAGGGGTGCGTACAATATATGATAGCTTAAATATGATGACACCCTCATCTACGTTACCCAATTTTATAGGGCAGGAAGAGTCATGATTAGACTCCGTCTTAGATATAGAAACTGGAATCTCTTTTATTCAGAGAAGAGCCCCCGGAGAAATTTCTCGATATTTAGCTTTCAGGTCCTGTAGTGCTTTAGTCTGTCGCGACACCTTTACGGTATTATTAAATACCCTGAAACTAGTCGAGTTTGAGGTTCCCCGAGAATATTATATCGACCGCACTCGGACTCTACCCCGCCAAGATTAAACATTGTCGAATCCTTTTCCCAAGGGTAAAGCGGAGTGTCCCAGTCATCCTCAGCCCGTACGTGATTCTGGTCAGCAATTGACAGAAGTGGAGGGAAAATTGTTGGACTCGTGAAGCGAACCTTCTTGGTGAGGGGGAAGGTCGTAGGTGAAGAACATCGCGTACGAACAGATGGTGGCACGCTACAGGCTCTCGTTCCGGAACGTCATCTCTGCCGGAAGTCTTCCGCTTGCGAGTCAAGTAGTCAATTCCACAAGCCTAAGACTGCAACTGCGTTTCGTGTTTATGCCAATCATGTTTTCTTGTTTTGGAATCACACCTATGCCAGCCTCTTCCGGTCGAGGAGGGCGCTACAGTCCAGTATCAGTATCGCTATCCCTCTTGCCCTCATAGCATTATCCCGTAACTTACTACTTACCTATACAACCATCTCCCTCGAGCCAAACGACATGGCCACCACACCTTCTCACAGGTGCAACTGTAACGGAGCGAAGTTTTATACGCTAGGCGAAGTCGTCGAGCATGTACGGAGTATGCACGCCCCAAAAAACTATGTCAGGCGGCCTTATGCTCTTGGCCAGCCTGATACCCACGGGCATATCTGGTACTGCTTCGCTCCGGGCTGTGAAACCCAATACGGTAACGACCATAAGAGCTTCAACAGTGACACCGCTATGTGGAATCACATATGCCAATGTCATGGCGATTTCAGAGAGGGCATCTACCAGATGCCTCGCAGTTGAGGCGGCGGGGAACTAATGCGGCCGACCGAAGAATGCATGCGAAGAAGTGCTTTACATTATTATATCGACTATATACCATCAATCGTCCAATCCATTAGGCCATTACATTTGACTCAAGCAAGATCACCTCCGACCAGATAGCCTCTTCAACCTCGACCCAAAATGTCTCGGCGGCCTCCAGTATACTATGAGCCTGAGGCACCACGGCGCCGGATTTTCTCGCTTACAGCTTCATATGAGAGAACGCCGTGCCTCCAACAAATGCCCGCCACCTGCCGCACGAAACAGGCCCGATCGTTACTCTTCCCGACGACCAGTCCCCGCCAGCCTAGATAGAGCGACCACAGCAGGACTGCCAACTCGCTCTCGGGCAGGGATTCATCACCAAGGAGACGATCGTCTTGTTTCCGCTGACGGCGTCTGCCACGTGGTAGTCTGCAGGGTTTCTCGGCTCGATCGAGCCGCCAGGTTTCCTCTTGGGGGCATACATGGTCCAGAGCCCAGGCTCTTGGGTGCCCCTATTCCGAGATATGCCCTCTTCCCACCCAGGTTCCGACGGGTGTAGCTCGGAAAATATGGAATAGGAGGCCTTCCCGTGAGGCGCCATGACCTTACGGCAGCCTTGCCCCGGATGAACCAAAGTTCTCAGCGGCTGAGAAGGATGAGAAGCGCTCTACGTGAGCTGAAAAGGTCTCGGCGGCGGGCTCGCCGCCCAGATCATGCGTGAGAGGGTTGAAGCGGTTACAAAATGAATAGAGAGCGAGAAAAAAGCCACATACAGCTCACAATATCGGAAAAGGGCGATGTCGGCTTCAGAGGCCTTGGGCAGTCAATTCATATCTGATGCTCATCTCTCCGAGCACTGCTTGGCTTTCCAAAAACACAAGGCAAAACGTACAAGTCCTTCCCCTAGTACATATCCAGACCGCTGGGACACCCTACGGGCTTGTACCGGAATAACTGCTGCCGCCAGAAAGGCGCTTGGCAGAGTGAGCCCCATTAACCAGGCGTCTGCTCCCCGAATAGAAGACCGATGGTAAGTTACGTTGCCGTCTTCTCCGGCTGCTCCAGATCCACAGCCTTGTTATCGTGGTGGCCTTCCCCAAGAATATTCTTTTCCATGTGCACTGCTGTGTGGTTTGTCAAGTATTCCGAGGCGTCCTTGATGAAGAGTGCGGTGATAATCGCAATCACACCAAAGGGAATTGTGCTGTAAAAGACCCGCTGATAAGCGTATCCGTATGCTGACTTGTAGGCTTCCGCAGTTGCAGAGATGAGAGCAGGAGTGGCACCTTGGACTTTCGCAAAGGCGTCAGGAATCCCCTTTGCGTTATTCGACACAGCTGTCACTAGACTTTCAACCGCGTCTGCATCGCCATGGAATCCGTTGGCTGTCGCTGCCTTCACAATGCGTGGCACGAGTTGGCTGTTGAGAACGCCGTTTCTGATGGTGTTGAAAATAGCAATACCAACACTGCCTCCAGTATTGCGGAAAGTTCCCACCAACCCCGACGCAATCCCGAGATCCTTGTGTGGCACATGAAGCCCAGCGACGACGTATGAGCAAAGAGTGATCCATGAGAAACACATCATGCCGAAAAGCTGGAAGATGACCCATGCGGTCTTGTGGTGTGGAATGATACCATAAGCATACAAGGCCGAGAACAGGGTCTGTAGGAAGAGCGCGAACACAATCTGAGCTCGAATGTTCTTGATTTTGTGAATCAAAGCAGGGAGAACGGCCCCTCCAATGAATTGGCCCACACCGTTGGGAATCAAGGCGACTCCGAGCTTGATCGGATCGCTGTCGTAGACCGACTCGGTGGCTTGAGGCAGCAGGGAAACCATGGCGAAAAAGACCATTCCTGAGACGAAAAGCGCAACCAATAGAATGGTAAATTCCCGCACCATGCGGAAGATGTGGAGCGGCATCAGTGGAAGCTTCGGTTTCATGGTCCAGTCGTAGACAAATGTGCCAATGAAGATTAAGGCTCCAAGGACGATTGGCGCAACCACAGAGGCAGAGTGCCACGCGTGGCCTTCCTCGCCAGCCCAACTCATTCCGATGAGGAAAACAGTCAAGCCTCCAGCGTAGAGGAAGTAGCCCACAAAGTCCAGCTCGAGGAATTCTTCCCAGCGGGTCTTGTCGTAGTCTTTACGTGGGCGAGCTGGCGGAAAGTAGAAGATGGCCGTTCCGACCAGACAAACCGCCGCATAGATGATGGATAGATAGTATACCCACCGCCACGTCGCGTGTTCGTTGAGTTGGTTGGCGAGGAGAGTGGCGAGCAGACCCCATGGGATAGTAATGCAGAATTCAGTCCATGCCAAACCCATTCCACTATTTGCCAGAGTCAGCGATCGCTCGAAGAGCTGGTCCACACAGGAAAAAAGGAGCAGCACGAATTCGACATTTGGGGATGAGGACTTACCGGTACTTGTTGGGCAAAATTTCGGGAATACCGGCGTAGGCAACAAAAATGAGACCGGCGCCGAAGCCAATAATGGCAGACCCAGCAATCACATGTTTCGTGGTTTGAGCGGTGGCAGCGACAATTCCTCCCACGATGTTGAGACCTTGTCCGGCCATAATAACGTATCGACGGCCGAAGATGTCGCTCAAACCACCTCCAAGGGACATACTAACTGCTGAAGTGACAGCCCAAGAGGAGGCAATCCAGCTGATCGGTTCCAAATCGCCCAGTGCGCTTCCGATCGGGACCAGAATGGACGAGGCCAGAAGGAATGCAGTCGAAATGCATCCTGAGAAGGACAAGCCCATGAACTAGATTGCACGGTTTTGGTAAGCCAGCGTTGGAACACGGCGGGAAGGGGAGAGGGCGAGCTCTTCCTCTCTGCAACTTACAAAGACGGCCATGATCGTGGACCAAGTGACACGTTGGGGGGTCTCAGGATTGTCCTCGAGGGCAGCTCGATGAGGGTCATCCTCGATGTCCTCGCTGCCCTCCGCGGGTGTCACTGCCACCTCGCTATGTCGAGGGACTGCCTCAATCTCTTCAGTCTTATCACCCATCTCTTTCCGCGCAGCTTCTTCGGCCATAATATTCAAAGTGTAATGCTACCTCACGAGTACGGCAGGGAAGCGTCTCTGATGTAGAAGGTCAGACCACATATCATGCGGACATGGGATGTTTTTGCATTTGAAACCCCAGACCCCAGAGTCAGTCCGGGGAAAGGACGGGGACGACCCACGACACAGGCATAACTTGGGTCGCGCTGTATTCGGACGGCCTGGATCCGTGGCGCGTGTGATAAGAGGGATTACTGAGAGACGGTTCGGAGAGTGACCGGGAGTAGCTGATTCTGTGCCATAAGACTTTTCTCGGGGTGGATGCGAGGTGCGGGGAGGCTTTGTCGGGGCCCCAATCAGCTGCTGCTTTTCTCCGCATGCTGGACTGGCGAGTGAGCGGCGATTGATTACCACACGGGAGCTTCAGAGCTGGATCGTTGTTGAACCAGGAGTATTGGTGGGGGGGGGCTCGCTTATGGCGTGCCGCGATAAGGCCACGTTCAAGGGTTCTCGCCACGCCTGCAGCTCTGCATCAGATAGACAGATTTGTTGCATATACCATGGTTCTGTGTGGACTGGGGGACTTCAAAGACCTCAGGGAATATGTACGAGGCCAAAACTTGTGGTTGTGCCAAGGCGCCAATGCAGCGGATGCATCCGGAACCTTGCAACCCTAAATTGCACGGGGCAACTCCCCAAGCTCCCCCAAGCTGCTCCAAGCTCCCCAAAGCTCCCCCAAGGCCCTAAAGCACCAAGCCACTCTCTCAATACCACCCGCTCTCTCCCCGGCACACAAGAAGTGTACATACAAAGAGACCTTCATCGGATCCCGCACCCCCTTAATTCTATCGGCTATCAGCCGCGCTGAAAGTGGATTTCAACGTCGGACATTCGCCCGTTTAACATTCTATTCATCTGTTGAAGCCTCGTTGCCTCAAATCCCTTCTTATTCCCGCGGGTAAGGATTGGTACAGGCGTTCTCGATTACGGCTTGACACTCACACTCACACTTGAAATTTTCGAGGCCCAGAAGCGGTGGTGGAAAATACTAATAGCGGCATTACTCTATTCCCCCTCGACAAGCCCCGTCCCAGCCGCCTTCATGAGGTTGAGACACCATGAACCGAGGGATGGAGGAATGTTTATTATGGAAGTAGGTGAATGCAGCCGGGCACCATTGCCCGTCCTGCCCTCATTCGAAGTTCTCTCCCGCGACCCCATCGAGAAGTTCATGTGAACATGCCACGATCCCGTGCCAGCGTAACGAGATTAGGTCGATTGCTGCTCAGCCATGGTACAGCCGCACCCAGCCCAGACCAACATGTCCGCAAATTTCAACCTCAATTTAGACATTGTCACAGAATCTTTGTGCGATTAAACAGACTCAAAGTCATGTCAATTTGTAACCTTAGGATTGCGGCACTAGGACCAACTAACACGAGAAGTTGGACTGATCGAGCCAGAATGGCTCTCCAATACTATATCAATTCCAGTAAATACGAACTTCTTGCAAAGCCGAGTGCCGGTTTTACAATGCCAGAGTTCTTGGGGACGTCCTAGTCGCAGAGAGTTTCGTCAAAGTTCGTTGGATTTGGTTGATGTTGCCCTTCCTGCTTCTATTGGTGAGCCTCTTTATTCTTTCAGTAACAACCTACCGGACCAAGCGTTCAAAACTCGCTCTCTGGAAATCGTCAAGCCTTCCTTGGTTATACCATGGTCCTGACGGTATGCCAGTACGAAGCAAACTGGCATCCGGTCTGAACACAACTAGCTCAATGGAGATGGATGCTCGGCAGATTTTTGTGCATCTAGCAAAACCTCAGGGAGCAGGAGAATGGAAATTCAGACAGATGGATCCCATGTCCATTCGCGCGACCGAGCGCCGTCATCTAGGCTGGGGTAGAACAGACGCGATTGTAAGGTCGCCAGTAAGGCCTTTTGATATCTGTGGCGAGAACAGGACGGTGCCGAGGGAGCATAGTCAAAATATCGATGACACATGTTCGAGGGATCGTAGCAGCAAAGTCGACTTGCCAGCAGATATAGAGGCAGCTGAAAAGACTGACACGCGGGTGGCAGCTGGAGAAGGAGAGGTGTTTAAGCCCAGTGCTACATGATGGCGAAGAAATAGAACCAAGAGAGGGAGGATGATGGCGGGGAAGGGATGGTATCCGACTCGAGTGCATCCACATGTTTCTATTCGGCAAATCATCGGTGGTTGGGAGGAACAATATCAAGGCGAACCCTTTCATTCCATAGAGAACAATATTAAGCACCGGCTTTGTCCCGCGCCTTGCGTGACCCCCTTTTCTGACAATCCTCCCACCAATTCCAGCGTCGTCCTCTTGGGAACCAATCTCAAGGACGTCTTGGCTCTTCGAAAGCGGTAGAAGACTTTGTTCGAAGCGTTCTCTTCTACCTTTCAAACAAAGCCTCGTTCTAAGAGAGGCTTGCTACTGACATCGTGCTGTACATAAATCGCGACGATGGATCCCGAATCCCCTCTGGGAATATTGCCGAGTTCAGGTTATTCTATTGGCTTTCACGCTAACAATCTACAAAAATGGTTGTTCTTAAACACGCAGTGGTCTTCTTGGCCTCCCTCGCTACTTTGGCCGCCGCTTCCCCTGCCTCTGCTCAATGGCAAAAACCAGACGTCTCGGCTACCGGGATGGCACACCAGGGTAAGCCCAGTGGCGCTGGCGTAGGTGCTAATGGAGAGAGCCACGAACACGGTGACTGGCAGCACTCGGCACAAGGGGACGACGAGGAAGGTGAACACAAAAGTTCTCTCCAAAAGGGCGACGGCGGTGGCAATGCAAATCACCATCAAGCCCGCGATGACTCTGCGCCGACTAAGCACCGAACCTTTGCCAATCACAAGGGAGCTGACGCCTCCCAACACAAGTCCGGTGGGAAGGGAGATAACGACAAGACCTTCAAACAGCATCATGCTCGTACTGAGGAGGTGCTCGAGACCCTTCGGAGGATTGCCCAGCATGAGCATGAGCGCGATAAGCAGCCACGAGACGTCGATCATGATAGCCAAATTGACGACCATGGCCATGGTCATGATATGGAGCATGAGTCGCATGACCCGCATGACCAAACGCAAACTGGCGAGCATGGAAGGGGCAAACACCATGATACTAGGGCGTCAACTCAAAGAGGGGTCTATGAGTGTGCCAATCAGAACTGGGTTCACCCGTGTGTATGGACCCCATTAAAAGATGGACAATGCTACAACAGGTGAGTGTCACGCGTGCAGCTGAAAGTAGAACTGAAGAAACTGTGCTGACATGCAGGGTAAACAGGCTGTACGGCTACCTTGGCTCCATGGGCCCCGACAACGGTCTATCCTGTACCATCTACGAGCAACCAAACTGCAATGACAAGGGCTGGAACACATGCGGGCCGTTTGTGTGGCCAGGGATGAAGAACTATCAAACCAGCCACTTGCTGCTTTACAACGGCATGTCTGATGATGGCCCACTCAGCATCAAGTGCAAGGTCAGTGCCAGTTCTGGGTTGATGTAGACGACGAGTACTGACGTGTAGCAGTATACTTAGCGGACCCCACGCCCTTCATTGATTCGGTGGAGATAGACAGGACAAGAGTGGAACTACATCCAGACTACGCTGCTGTGGACGCACGGCACGGATGTCTGGCGAGATGGGTGATTGCTCGCTTTCTGGTTGTCATGAAGCCGACATGGCATTCAGATGGTCTTGTAACGTTCGATCTATGTAATCTGTAAATCTGCCGAGAAGAATATAGTACTTTAGTCCGCTCAGCTTCAACTCGGGATCGCCCATTTGTATCTCCATTGCCTTGGCATCCACTATGCAAGGCTGAGACGAACGCCACTCGCGCGCCACTCCAGCGCCACATATGACGTCGATCCCCTCCCCCCGATCTCTTCTTTTCGATCTCTGAGCATCTATCCCATTCTTCCAAACCCCTTCTTCAAGCCACCGATCTGCAATGACGTCCGTCATCTGTCGGCAGCGTGACACCCAGCGCACCAGAAACAGGTTTTAGATCACGGTGAGTATATTTCCATTGGTTGTTCGTCTTTCAACCTAGCCGTTTCTCAACATCGGGCTTTGCTCGATATATTCACACCCCTCGATCTCGAGGCTGTGTCTGGCACGAACGTGGACTAGGAAGGACCCTGTATGACATCGTGGTTCGCGCTTGCTGCCACCGCTGCCCTCGAGCAGATGGAAGCTGCAGACGACCCGCACTGGTGGGTATATATTCGCGGATTCTACTTTCCAAGCTCTTGCTATTCTCCACCACCAAACTGAATATCAACAGTCCTAAAGCTATCATACAACAACACCTTTACACAAACTAGCCCTTTCAGAACACTGCCAACAAATCAGCAACCATGAACTCCCTCAGATCAGCAGGCAACTGGATCTCCAACAAGACAAAGGGCGGCGCCCACTCCGCCAGCAAGGAGACAAATAAACAGTATGTTCTCCCAAATCCGTTCTTGCCAATCTGGTTCGGCGAATACTGATATCACCTGCAGAATTGCCAAAGACCCTCATGTCCGGACTTCCACTCGCCTGCGAGCCGCAGGGAACGCCATGAAGGACAAGGTGCACGAGACGAATTACAATCGCCAGGCAGATGTGAACAGGCATGCGGCCAAGCATAATTACTGATCTGTCGCACACCGTCCTTGCTGTGTTTGTTAGTGGAAGCTCAGTGGACAGCTGGAGGATGACAGAAAGGCCTTCGGGGACCAAGACTGGTTATCCATTGCCAGAATGACTTGCGAGAAGCATTGCGACTGTCCAACTGATGTTGCTGACGACATGATATCCTTGTATTATTACGATTGCGCGGGAAGTTGTTTCTCATAGATCAAGATTGAAGATTCATTGACGAGAATTCCGACCTCAGTCTTTCTCATCTGCTTCTCCCGTTGTCATTGCTTTCGTTGCCCGAAGCCAGCCTTTTTTGACATAGACCCAGCCCTGCACGACTGGGTGCCCTGTGCTCCGTATCCTAATTACAAACAGGTGTTTAGCAACGCATAGAAATGGCTACTGTTGGTGCAATGTGATAGAGACAATATGTAGCTCCCTGAGCAGCGTTGTGAAAGTGTAAAGACCAAGATGTGATGGTGTATTCTTGTTGGCTTCTGTTTGACTCATATTGTTATCGATATGTACACATGATGCCTGGGCGCCTGCATTCGCCAAAATCACGGGCAAGGCGTTGCATGGCTTGAAAGCGCTCAGGTATCGCCCCCTGCTATACTCATCTCAGTATTCCCTGGGCTGATCTTCGGTATTCCCGCCGCTTGTCCACTGTCTCCGGCAGCTCGAACCGACCGCTTATTTCGTCTTGATATGCTTCAACCTGGTCCCGGACTCGTGCAAGAAGTTGTTTGCGTAGGCCTTGGGCACGAACCTCCTCTCTTGCGGCTCCTGCACGTACCACTCGTAGCCTTGTTTCTCCGCAAACGCAATCGCATCCTCTTTCGACTTGAAGCTCACTTTGGTGCCTTGCATGAAGTCGGCCGACGACTGCCAGCCCATCAGCGGGTTTTCCCAGCGATGGCCTTTGCCCAGGACGTCCCAGTCCATCCGCCAGGCGTGGGAGCCCCAGGTGCCGGACTGCGTTGCGGGTTTGACGGGTTTGTAGATCCTAGGATCGAGCCGTCAGTTTCGGCCACGACAGACAGACAGCTGCGCGGGCTGGATTTCCCTTACCTGACTGTGCGCGCCTGTAGATCCACGGGAGCTCCAGACAAGACCGCGGCGGGCGTGACGTGTCCCGGTTCGCTCCCGTTCATCACTCTCCTCGGCACAGGGGAGTATGTAGACGTTCCGTGGTCGACCATCGCGGTGTAGTCCGGCTGGTGGTCGGGGTGATATTTCTCGACGGAGGGCTCGGGTTGATGCTCAACCTCGACCATCGAGGCTTGGTCCTCGGTCATTTGCATAGCTTGGACGTCGGGGATAGCTCGAGGGTCGGGCTCGCCTAGGCGCCGTCGCGGGGTCTGCGACAGGCATCTCGTCAGTCTTGGGACCTGGGTGTACGTTCGTAAGAGCCGCGCTGAACTCTGGGTGGGTAGAGGCGCCATCTCGGGTTGTCTATTTCAATTGGCGACGGAATGAGTTGAGGTCATTGTCGAAACGTCGAAGCCGCAATCGAGAAATGCCAAGCTCGCAGCTTCATCCTGTTTTGGAAGGAGGGCGATGCCGCCCTGTCAATGCCCAGAGCTTAACTCGTCTTGGAGCCAGAACCTCGTGTGCCAAGAGCACCCTTCCCAAACCACCATAAAAACAGCGTCACGGCTGGAACGGTTCTGACACTGTAAATACCTCGTACCTGAGCTCCCCTCCACGACATCTATACCTGTGGTGTGTCCTTCCCTCTGGATTTTCATTCGCAGCGTAACTAGAATTCCCCTCTCTATCATATAGTAAATTCTATTTTCTTCTCCACTGTCACGCTCAACATGACCTGCCTTCCTGGCTCGGGACCGCGTCGCAGTTCGGCTCTTCATTCGAAAAGGAAAGCCCGAACCTCAGTTCTCGATGATTATCTCACGGGTACCGAGTAGATCTCGAGCCTCCTAGGCCCCCTGTCAAGTATATGCGCACCTGTCGTCAAACACAATTGTCTCTGTCTGGCCGGTAAGTCCATAGCCACAGTTTGAGCACAGCCATACCGTCATAGCTCACCTCTCTTACGCTTTAAAGAGCATTGAAACAACATGACAAGGCCGTAATCCTTGAGTGCGACTACTCAACAAGACTTCAAACCTACCACTAAAGCTGTTCCGATGCCGGCGAACCTCTTCGGCAAATAACATGGGTTGACTTCCAAACAACCTCGATGCCATAGACTGTCCCCGCCACGACTTCGAAATCACCCGCACGTGTAGCCGCAGCGCATCAGACGGGGGTGTAAATAGAGCATCTCAATCCCAATCCCAATTGGCAATGGTCTCCACGAGTCCAGTCTTTCCATTCGAAGCGAATCACGCAAGCCCCCTTCCAGGTCTAGCGACTACTTGTAGATCGCTTACCAGACCTGTATATTATCTCAACAGCACCATTAGTGCCATCTTTTCTCGTCTCTTCAGAATCGATAATCCGTTTCGAGTCTACGATGCCGACTGGAGTGTGGGATGATCTCCACGACATCATAGTCGTCACTTAACTCTCTCCTTTCCCGACGTCGTTGTAGATCTTCCTTTTCTGGAGGTCCATCATATATTCTTTCTCGACGTCGTTCGTTAACCGGGACCCTTGTTCTGTCAAGCTTCATACCCCTATCAAAGGCTTTGATCAATAAACCGACAACCCCACAATCCGCGGGGATCTGAACTTGAACACGTTCGCCATTTGCCCTGTCGATGCGGGAAAATGCCTTTCCATTTTTAGCATAAAGGTAGACAGCAACATCTTTTGCATATGATAATCCCTTGCTGCAAAGTGGCCGATCTTGTCTGTAGGCCTCATAGGGATCATGACAGTACTCGCATTTTGCCGCGTGTTTGGCGAAGTGTTCCATAACACCCAGCTCGTCATCTCTTGGGTCTCGACAGTACATAGGCTCCGCTGCAAAGTCAACGATGCGAGCTTCTTGCCTACGGATGCCTTTCGGATGTGCTGTATACGATTCTCGGCTCGGGTAGTATACCACCGTCGCTGACTTTCGTCCGTCATGTATGCTATGAATTTTGTCCTCGGCTGCTGCGCGAGAGGTCACCCTCGGGAAACTTATTGTACCGCTTTCTTCTTCGTCGATAATAATTGAAGAGTTTCGGGCTTCGGAGCTGGCTTGGAAATTTGAGTTGCTGAGACTGGAATCGGGGGGATATATAGTATTCCCAGACAGTTGCTGCTCGGGAAGGGTCCGGGATGACGAGCTCACAGGGAACTCCAGCTCCGGTCTTGGACTAGCTGGCTTTGCTGAGCGTTGTTCTTCGAAGGTCGCGTCAGTAGGGTTGGTCTCCATCGGTTTCATGCTTTCTTGTATAAAATTGCGTTTCGTGGCCTTATCGAACACCACCTCGGCCCAAGAAGCTATCCCGCCCATAGCGCCACGGGCACGCGATGACAGAGTAGATAAAAGGCTTTGGCCAGAGGCTTTGGCGCTAGTATCGGGAGATGTGGATTCATCCACCTGGTCTTTGACTGGATTCTGAGGGACAGGAGCCACAGATGCGAAGCTTGATTGAGGTTTTGACATGACCTTATTTTCTTGACCGCTCTTAATTGGTTCACCCAGGGAGTCCATAGCATCAGGGTCGAAAGTGTCAAATGGCAAATAGCTACCCGTTCTCGTCTCTCGCGACCACTTTCCTTGCGACGTTTCGGATAGCTTGCTGGTGTGTTCTCGGTAAGGGTCCTGGTCCAGATCCGACCCTCCTGAATCCATTGAAAATGAAATTTGTTGAGGCTCATCTTCGCTGTATTCAAATGCGGAGTCGCCCTTTCTTCCTTGGACTGATAGAACGTTGTCGAGATTTTCAGTGCCGTAACCTAGATCAGAAATAAACGCTGTCAGAAGCCAATGGCATTACCAAGCGAATGCAATACGATGCCCCAGAGCGTGGAATGGTAGATTAGACGAACACCGCTCCGGGTATATGAGGATCAAAGAGCGACGGAATTTCACTCACCCGTCTCGCCAAATTCTGATTCAGCAATTTCCTCTTCTGAGTTCTCATCCTGTGAGATATCCAAAAGACGATCCTCCAAGTCTTTACCCTTCGAGAACCCCTGCCTTCGGTCATCTTTGAAGTGCTCCCCAGACCTCCATGGCGGAGTGACTTGTTCTTCGTCGGACGAGGTATGGCTCACTTTATCCAAATCGTCCACAAGGGATATCTCAGGTGGAGCTGAGTCTTCTTCGCTGCCCTCTTCAGCTCTGGGAAGAGCAAACAGTGCTAGTTCCACCATATGGCGACCAAGGTGCGATTCAAGCGACATAGGCGGCAGTGTAGCACCACATTTCAATGGACAGTCCCGCTCATCGCTGGGAGCACATACTGGAAGGTGTCTCGACTTGAGGTGCTGAAACCATTCTCGCCGACTCTCGTACAGTCGGCTTGGGGTTGAGCAATCCTCGAAAACGCAGACATAAGGCATCAAATCCTTGAACACATGTTCAATCCACGATTTCCTATTCGAAATCTTTAAGATAAAGAAGCAATATGGGCATTCGAACGGTTTCCCATTAGCCGATTCCTTTGGTGGACGAGGAAAGGTAATCCTATCTTCGCTCTCCCAGAGGCTTGATGCATAAGACGTCTGAGACGCTCCAGAGGTTGAGGAAGTTTCCTCGAACTCAATATGCGGTTCCACGAAATCGGTAGCGAATGTCCCAGACAGGAGGGTAGAAGCAGCATCATGATGCTCGCTTCTTTCGTCTAACGCCGCACGATCAATACCCTTTCCGAGCTTTGCGTGATGTCTTTCACGATACTTGAGTGCAGCTCTCCGTCGTGATATGGCGACCCCCAACCGATTGATAAGAAGGCCGCCGGCATGAGGGTACTTGTGGGCCACATGTTGCTGATCGAATGTTTCAAATATTGTCGCGTCCAGCTTGTTGATTCCGAGGAGCCTATCATGTTGAGCCGGTCGTCGGATGATCATGCTCAATTGGAAGAGACAATCAATTGTGTTGACGAGACCCTGATGAATCTGCTGCAACTCGGTCCCCTCGTCACCGTCCACTGATAAATCTTCTGTATCCTCCGCGTCGGTTCCAGCCAAGTACTCATCCGCATCTTGAAGAGTGCGCCGGAGCCGTTCCAGGAGCTTGATAGTCTGTTCCGTGATATGTGAAGCGTCTCGAAGTCGATAATCGAGGGATGTTTGCCCTGTTTGATGAGCGCCGATGTTTGCGGCCCAGACCCGTAGCCGTCCTAGTTCATCGGCCCACAGACTTGGAGGGACCTCACCAGCGTAGGATTTTAGCTCGGGGTGAGAAATTAGACCTTTGAAAAGTTTGAGGCAATCAATGAGCACGGATGATATCCTGGTCGCCATCGTGCGAACCCCAGTCAGGAGTCAAATTTCGCTGTTCTGGGAAGGCTAGTATAGGAAGTGAAGCTTGGTCGGGAAGGGTCGTGGGGCCTCTTTTGCTCACCCGGCAGTCTTTACCAACCGCACTTTCTCAAGTCTTCGGGTGTTCCAGAGGAAAGAGCTGAGGACCTACTTGTACCTGGCAGAGCAGATATCTCATGGTCTTAAAATCTCGTTGAGGCTATATCAAGGTCGACGTTTGAAAAGCCGCGTTGCCTGATTCGAATGGTGGGGGAAAGCGGGGTCGGGTCGGCCCTTGAGTCTCAGCTGAGCCAGACAGTGCTAATATTTTTTGACCTTTTGTATCCGCTAGCCTCTTGACCCCTTCCGCAACTCAGTGTAGTAGCGGTCACAATGGTAACGGGTATTGAGACAACTGGCATCGTGCTGGCTATTCTTCCTTTGGTGGTGAATCAACTCGATGCCTATGTCCAAGGTATTGAGACGTTGAAAGGCTTTAAGACCAAACGATATCGCCGCCTGCTCGAGGATTACGCAACAAGGCTGGGAACTCAGCGTGCGATCTTCCTTGATACTCTAGAGCACTCCCTCGAAGGTCTTGTTGACGACCAAGATGACATCAAGGAGCTCATCGACAATCCACGAGGGCAACTATGGAAGGATACCGCCTTCCAGAAAAAGTTCGCGAAGAAGCTCGACCGCAATTACCACCCCTTCACACGGACAATGACAGAGCTTTCGACAACATTGGAAAACTTGGCTCAAAGGCTTGGCCTGGGATCTGGAGACTCTCTAAAAGTGGGTGTAATTTCATAGGACTGAGAAGCATCACAAGAACGGAAACCGCTCCTTATCCTTCCAGCAACGTTGATCCGCATGCTGATATCTTGTCCTTCACTTACCAGACACCTTGGGATGATGCCTCTGCCGTGGAGAGAGAGATGAAGAAGTTCAAAGACATCTTCTCCAAGTCAGTCTATGCTGACTTATTGTCGAGGGTCGAGAGCGCGAATTCCGCTCTTAAATTTCTAATAGAAGGATCGGATCGGCATCACGAGAGTCGACGGAAGAAACGCCTATCCAAGGATCTAGCGTCCAAGTACAAAATCGCGAGGAAACATGCCAGCAACCTTTACAACGCTGTCGTCCGTGACACGTACTGGAAATGCTCATGCAAGGATTTGCACCGTGTTCACCTTCGGATCGAGCCCGAGCCCTTTGAGGCTGAAGATGACCAGGACTATACCGCCGTTTTACCCAAGCTGCGGATTGCATTTTCCTCTCAATTAGCCGCCCAGGCACAAGGATTGCCGTGGCAATGGGAAGAAGTGGAGACCGTCCCAGTAATGGACGTCGCTGTTGCTCCTCCGCCATTACCGGCTGAAGCGTGTACCACCACCGCCCTGCACTCAAGCTTCCACCGGAAGGTCCAATTTGCAATCGTCTCGACGACCTTGGGAAGCCTCCCTTGGCCCAAGGTGCCAGATGTTCCACCAGCCCGGCAAATATCTTGCCTCTGCTCTGCTCTCAGACTCAAAGGCCGCAAAGACTGTAAAGAATACATCGGCTCTCTCGTAGACGAGGCTGACAAGACACACCGATATTGCTTCTTCCTCCTGGAGGAACTCGATCACGACATGAAGACGGAGTCTCTGGAAGACCTGCTAAACTCATCTCTTCAGCCGATCGGTCTACAAAACGCTCGAGCGGCGTTTCGATTTAGCAGACGTGATCGGCTGTTTTTGGCAGCAACTCTTGCCTCAAGCGTCCTTCAATTCCACGGAAGCTGGCTGAAATATCAATGGGGGAGTCGAGATATTCTGTTTCCCAAGACAGCCGCCGATAACTCTGTCATCGAACACCCCTACCTTTCAGGCCACCAGATAAGCAAATCGATAGCTGCAGAACCAATTGCGAGGACGACATCAACTTCTCTTATCAGGAATGACGTCCTCTTCCCCCTGGGCCTGGTTCTTGTCGAGCTATCTCTCTGTCAATCAATCTCCACACTTCGAACCCTGGAGGATGACGACCGTGTTGAAGCTATAGCAAATTGGAAGACAGCAACTCGAGTCCTAAAGGAGCGAGTCTACTACGAAAGCGGCTTCCGATATGGCGACGCCGTGGACAAATGCCTCTCTTGGTCCGAGACAAGGACTTCCACAGTGGACGACGAAGATTTCCAAGAGCTTGTTTTCCAGAAGATTGTGTCCCCTCTATTTGATGATTTAAGAAATTTTGAAGGAAGGTCCCGAATCCATTGACAGTGAAACCGAAAAGCCTGATCTTGAGCGCTTAAGCGAGTACAAAGCAAAGAGGAGTTCCAAAATTGCAGATGATGCGGTCGCCCTTGGCGTCAACTGAGATCACAGACTATCCTGTAGTGCTGTCGAACTGACAGGGGTTGCCAGGCTGACTCCGTAAATGAATCAAATGAGTTGTAACTGATTAATTATGCCCGTCCTTGATAGTTATCAACAAAATCCCTCAAGTTTATATACAATCTACGCTATTATGACAAGACCTCTTCCGAATAGACCTAGACAGACTATTCCCAGAGTGCTGTTACGAAGTTCCAATCTTGATGTGGCTCACCGAAAGACTGTGCCGTTCGAAAGCCCAACTCTTCGAGCCACCTTACTGGTACAATGAACTCGGCACAACCATATTAAACGCGCCATCCGTGGTCAGCTGCAGTGGGGGATGCTGTTACAGAGCCCAGCTATGCCGGCGTCGCGACAACAGTAGACGTGGGACGATCCCAGCGAGCTAGATTGCTGCAAGATCCGTACCTTCACCGCTTCCCATTCCAGGTACATACCTGTCTTCTTTTACACGGACTTCCAAGACAGGAGCGGATCAAGGAAGCACCCTGTAATGTGTGATGCGATATCCACTACGCTCAAAAGAGCGCTAGTTCCAAGCTGATAGCTCTTGGTTAAGGGAAGCGGTGATACTGTCGCGACAGGCTGTGGGCGAGGCCATGATCAATAATCCAGTTTGCTGTCCGCCCGCGGCGAAGTGGCCATATCCCTCCCTTCAAACCGCTTACATCCTTCTTCTCCCATACAGCCATTGCAAAATGGCTCTGCTGCCTCGAACGCTGCTCATCAGCGCCCAAGTCGAAACACGAAGTCCAGCAGACTAGAAAAAGAAATCACTGCTGCCGTACAAGATGCCCATGTTCAGGATGGTCGTGACACCCAGGGCAGGCACAGGATGGAAAGCGCCATCTTGTCAGTCGCTATACGGGAGAGTAAAGGATCCAGACACTTGGTGGATGCGTTAGCAGTAGTCTCCACAGAGTCAGGTACACACTTCGGGAATGACTCAGGACAGCAACTTTGACAGCAACTTCGGGCCGGTAAAAGAACGGCGAGGCATTACTTTGTTCGGGATAGCAATTCCACGGCGTCCTAAGTACAAGCTTGAATGTTGCCCTTCGGTTTGGCCGCTGCTGTTAGGGATTCAAGGGTTAGTACGGAAACGCCCCTCCGTCCCCTCTCATATCACTCCCAGCACTCCAGACGCCGACCCGCTCGATGGGATCAACACTCCATCGAATGAGCTGACCCCGACCGAACAGGACCCGCTCCATGCCCGTGAGCACCTTGACCTTGTGGCCCAACTTCCGCAACCCCTCCACCGTGGTCTCGGGTAGGCCTTCCTCGCAGTAGACGGTGGGTTCGAAGACGTCTCTGTTGCCCGGCATGCCGGCGCCTATGCACACGCGAGGGGCGTCCAGGGCCTGCTGAGGGTTCAGGCGGCCGACGACCTGGCCGAGCAGGACCTGGACATGGCCCTGTGGCTGCATGAAGCCGCCCATGACGCCGAAGACGGAGTGGAGGGAGCCGTCGTGCAGGTTGGTCACCGCGGCGGGGATGATGGTGTGGTAGGGCCGTTTCCGCGGGGCCAGCACGTTTGGGTGGGCCTTGTCCAGGGAGAAGTTCGCGGCGCGATTCTGCAACGTGAAGCCGCACTGCCGGGGGATGATGCAGGTGCCGAAGCCGCCGTAGTTGCTGTTGATGAAGGAGATGGCGTTGCCCGCGCTATCCGAGACGGCAAAGTAGACAGTGTCGCTGCTCTGCATAGCCGGGCTGCCGTGCACGGGGATGTCGCCCGCTCGATCCGGGGAGAAGAGTGTCGCTCGCTCGGCCAGGTATTCTCGGGAGATGAGCGACGCGGTCGGCACGTTGACCTCGTTCGGGTCCGTCACGAACCAGGACGCATCGGCAAACGCGATGCGCAGGGCCTCGACGATCGCGTGGATATATGGCGCGCTGTTGAAGTCGGCAGCTGTGAAGGTCGGGATCTTGCCCATGGCCTCGAGTTCCTGGATGATGCCGAGCGCCATGAGCGCGACGATGCCCTGCCCATTGGGTGGGTGCTCCCAGAGTTCTAGTCCTAGGTCGAGCTTGTCGCCGCCCTGGTCCTGAAGCACGTCCCGCAGGATTCCAGCGACATTCTGGCCCCGGAACTTGAGACTGATGGGCTCGACCGCCTCGCTTCCCGCCTCGAGGTGGTGTGCGAAGTCGTCGAGTTCGAGATGCCCGCCCAGGTCTTGCACCACTTTGACAATTTCCTCGGCTATCCGGCCGGCGTAGAAGCCCTTCTTGCCCTCCTTGGCCAGCGTGCGAAAGGTTTCGGCCAACGTGGGATTCTTCATGATCTCGCCCGCTTGGGGAGGACGCACCCCGTCGCGACCATCGGGGTCTTTCTTGAGCAGCTCGCGGAAGTTTGGCGACGCACGACGGATCACTCCCTCGTCGCGCCTCCACTAGAAAAGCGCATTCGTCAATCAAGTTTTCGAGCCGCGAGAGTTTGCGTGGAAGGGACTCACAAAGTGGGCGACCCCTTCGCTGACAGGGAACCCTTTCTCACCCAGCTCAATGGCCGGTGCGAGGATTTGCTCCATAGAAAGCCGGCCACTCCCAAACCGCTCGACGGCGTCGACCCAGCCGGCCGCCGCCCCGGGAACGGACACAGCATGGACGCTGTCCATGGGAATCTTGCCCGTTGTGCCGTCCGGGAGGCCGAGAGACGCCCGCACGGTCTCCAGGGTGCACTTGGCCCCGGATCGCCCGGAGGCGTTCATGGCGGAGATCTTGTTCGCCTTCGCGTCGTAAAAGAGGCAGAAGACATCTCCTCCGATGCCCGTGGAGCACGGTTCGGTGATGTTGAGTCCTGCGGCTGGAGTGCCCCGTCCCGTCAGAGTCTTGCCCTTGCTTCACCGTCTAGATAATCTTACCGACAGCCACAGCGGCATCCTGAGACAGCAGTTAGCCATCTCTTAGTCCGAGTCCAGAGAGAGAGAGAGAGAGAGAGAGAGAGGGAGAGGGAGAGAGAGGGAGAGGGAGAGCGAGTGTGTGAGAGAGGAGGGGGGCTTACTGCACAATTACCCCCGGCATTCAGCACGTCGACGCCGCATTTGGCCGCCAGCGGCTGCGTACACGAAACAATGCCCTTGGTACTCTGCACGACGCTCCGGCGGCTCGCAAACTTGAAGAATTCGGCGGATTGGGGAGGGAAGACAGACGGCGTAGTCAGCGGCATGGTGGGGGAGGGGCGGGTTCTACGCGCCTAGATAGAGTTGGATAGTGGGATGTAATCTGTAACAGGAGAGAACACAGAGGAAGAATTTACCTCGGTATAGACGTTTCTGGGGAGTGAAAAGAGGTGATAATATGATGATGCCTTATTTTTCGGCAGTCCCTGTGCATAGCCTACATCTACGCACTACGCAATGTGTCTTCTCCCTTGTGTACACATCAAGTATCCGGGGCGAGGGGTCCAATCATCCGAGTACGGAGCGTTAGTTAGGCTAAATGACTTTGAAGCCTGGTTGTACGAAGGATAGTGTACGATTCCACGCCCGCGCAACAAGGTTGTCCACCCTCCCTTGCATGAATATGATTGGGACCACCTCCAAAAGTTGCTAGATCCATGGGGCGAAAGAGGATTTGGGGCTTGTTCTTAAGGAATACTCAGGCACGGAGGTCAAGCTGGAGCTACTAGACTCGGTATACTTATCACTTTGTTGGGCAACCTACCAGGGAATTACTTGGAGGCTTAGGCCTGTATACAGACCGATGGCTACCTACCTACACAAGTAGATACTAAATTCTCAACTGAGTACCAGGTTACCCAGTACCCACGCATATTGCATGAGTCCGTGCACGATTGGCGTATAGCTCTATGGCATCGAGTGCATGATCTAGTGTTCCACGTCGAGACGGCAATCGTACAGATATCGAGATTAGTTGACAAACTACGACCAGGCACACAGCAGCTTAGTGGTGTCTTAGGGATCCCCGTCTGGATCTCTGCCAGGGTGGAACGACTTCCGGTTGGCACGACGAGGACATAGAAATGGCGGTGGTAAAGCTGCATTTCGGCCGCGGCGTGTCGGACTGGAAAGACCAAAATCTAAACATTTGTCGGTGGCAAGGTACAACATGACGGCAAGGCCGGATGGAAAAATAGCCAGGGCAGATCAATCGTGCTGAATGCTTTTTGCTCGAGTCGTCGTACCGATGTTATCAGACTCTTTCCTACGGAGGACAGGTAGAGTCACCGTGTGGCTGATCTTACTACTTAGAGGGCGGCTGTATAGAGGACAAGGCCGCAAGCCATTGGTCACTCGGCACGGATCTCTGGAGGACCCACACGATAGCCTGCTTTAGATAGGGTGTCTGCTAGGGTGTCTGCTAGCCGGACGTACGTTGCCCCATGTACGAGGACGTAGTTAGGAAGAGTTTTGGTCCCAGCCAATATCGCGGTAGTAGGGATTTGGGTTGCAGGGTTATACAGACATGGGCGGGAGGATGTCGAAATAAGAGCGTATTGAAGCCGGGTACAAAGGAATCAGAGTGGTAGGGGAGAATTTCGCAACGTCTTCTTTCTATCATATATCGCCCCCCCCCACACCATGGATTTGATGATCTGTACCATGTGCGGCGGCCAGCACTCGACCCGAGCGGCCAAATCGTGCAAAGTGTGCGACGATCCGAGACAATATCTTCCCCCGGAGGGGTGAGTCCTGCCTTTGCTCTGTATCTTCCGCAACAGAAAGAAGCCACTGACAGTCCTACAGACAGTCGTGGACGACGTTGCGCGAGCTGCAGCAGTCGAGGAAATACCGCAACGTCTTCCGCAAAGACCCCTGCCACTCGGGCGTCGTCAGCGTATGGACCGAGCCTCAGTTCGCCATCGGCCAGCGCGCCATACTGTGCTGCACCCCCGATGGCAACATCCTGTGGGACTGCATCACATACCTCGACGACAACACGGTGTCGCGCATCAATGAGCTCGGCGGCATCGCGGCGATCGTGATTTCGCATCCGCATTACTACACCACCATGCTCCACTGGGCCGAGGCCTTTGGATGTCCCGTATACCTGAGCTGTGAAGACGAGGAATGGCTGCTGCGCAAGGGCGAAGCACAGCGGCTGTGGAAGGGCAAGGAGCTGGAGCTGCTCAACGGCCATTTCAAGGTGGTCAAGCTGGGAGGACATTTCCCCGGGAGTAGCGTCATGCTGTGGAAGAGCGAGCGCAAGCTCTTTGTCGCCGACACCATCACTGTGATCCCCAGTGGCGTCTACCACGTCGATCGACTGCCGGGCACGTCCAGCTTCACCTTTATGTGGAGCTACCCTAACATGGTAAGCATCGCCTGCATGTGCCATCTTCCCCTGCCTCCCCTGCCCTTCCTGAAGCGTCGCCTGCTTTCGAAGGAAATAAACTTATTCATTTCGACGCAGATCCCTCTCCCTCCCAACGAGGTGCATAGCATCTGGAAAAGCCTGGCCCCTCTCGACTTCGACGACTGCCATGGCGCATTCTGGACGAGAGACACGCGAGGTAACAGCAAAGCCCGCGTCTTGGACAGTGCCAAATTATTTGTCAAGTTTATGAATCACCCTGAGCATGCCATTTTCCAGGAGACACTGATCAAGTCAGTGGTGTTGACGAACGGCAAGTGACAAAGCCCGGGACTGGACAATGTGGAGAGGGAGGAAGGGGAAGGAGCGAGATTTCTCGGTAGCATCCCCTGTGTAGGAATGGTAGAGTTCGTGTCAGATGCTCAGATCCCCATATCAGGCTCAACAGCCTGTAGACCCCCCCATTCGTCCATATTGTACTGGGTCACGACGTCTCCCGGCTCCCAGGGATCGCGCCACGCATCCCACTCCCATTCGGTGTGCCCGTAGTTCCGGTCGGCAATAGTGACTTCGCCGTCGACCTGGGATGATGCAGGAGAGTCGCTCTGGTGGTTCGGCTGGGCACCTGGATTGAGGGGACTGGGGACATCCTCCGCGGCCTTGTCAACACGGGCGCCGCGGTCAAGCGGGAGGTCCTCCTTAGCACCAGGCTCATTATTCATTAGCTGTTGCATAAACGTCGAGGCGACCTTGGCAAAGCGCTGCATAGTCGGGGAGAATTCGTTGCAGTCGCGTAAGATAGACATACAGATATGCAGCGAATCGGTCAGGGCGTCGGCGTCGGCGTCGAACTCGGGAGCCCCGACTAGCTTGCCTAAGATCAGGGCGACGGAGGTGGCTTCGACGAAATAGACGTCCCACCAGGTCTTGGAGTTGAAGAGGTCCCCGTCTGCCAGCTTCTGGAGCAGTTGAGCGGACGCCTTGGCCGACTCGACGCAGGTGCGACCACACCTAGCTGTAAAGTCGGTCGGTGGGCTGGCGCTCTTTTCCCGAGTCCACGCCGCCAGGAACGGTCGGGTCAAGAGCATGCGCGTGTAATGATATTGAATGTGTAGCAAGAGGATAGCCCGGTGGTGAGACCGCGGGAAGTCCGGGTTCCAGCGGAGGTGAAAGGGGATCTTGTCTATCCAGCTGTCCAGTTGGTGCAAGATATCGTCAGCGAACTCGACAGCTGCCGGGGAGAGATCTTCAGTGCCAATGCGGGCCTTGCAGATCCTACCGAGTATCATCATCAGCTGGGACTGGGCATCGAGATGGTTCAGGGGGAAGATGTTGCCCATGTCCAGGAGGCCCTCGGTAGGCACGCTGACACTGAGCTCCGAGTCGTCCACAGCCGACGGCCGGCCCAGCGACGAGCACTCGATGCGCTCAAAGGCGTACAGTGTCCACCACACGCGCTTCCGGACCTGGTGAAGCAGGGGACTGCACTTGCCGTAGGTGCCGTTGCTGTGGAGGCCGATGGCGATGGCGATCCGGATGGCCGACCCCATGATGTTCCAGCACGCGTTGCGCTCCTTGGACAGATGCAAGTGCAGACAATAGACCATCAAAGCCTGGACGTGCGCGAGGGTGCAACCGACAATCACCTCCGGGAGCAGCATCTTGGCCTTGGCCACGTACCGCTCAATGGTGCCCTCCTTGCGTGCGGCAAACTGGGCGTGCAACGGATTGTCCGACGGTGCCTGCAGTGCCAGCACGAAGACCATGTACAGCGCCATCAACCATGCCGGGTCGGTGTCTTGCGTGGCCACCTCCCAGGTGTCGTCGTATGCCTCCTGGAACAGCGCCCGGTGGAAGACGGGGAAGTCGCAGTGCACTTTGGCAAAGAAGGTATCGATGAGGGCATTGGCGACCTCGCGCGGTGGCAGATCCAGCTGCGTCCAGTGCGTGCGCCGCTTCTGTGCCGTTTGGCCCATGGTCTGCGCATGATCCGGCCCATCCAGAGGCGGCACTGGTGTCCGGCGGACATGCATGATCTCCCGCAGTCTTACCACGTAGGTATAGGAGCCCGTAGGTCCGATAAACTGGCATCGGCCCAGGAGGTCTTCGACAAAGGCCTGGTCCGGAGAGCTGGTGTCCATCACAGCATTCGACACCGTCATATGGCGGCTCTCACGAGGCAGAAGTACCGACGGCCCCCGTAACAAGGGGCTGCTCGCTAAGGACCTTCGTGTCGACTCTGGCTGCACTCGACGTGGTGCTCTTGGTCTGGACGACGTGATACACGCCTGGCCCTGCATCAGACAAGCCCGGCAGGCCTCGTGGACACTGGTTCGGGAACACTTGCACCGCTTGACGCGGCAGTAGTCGCAACTAGCTTCTGTGCGCTGGCGCTTTTCTGGGGGAACCCGGCGTCGCATCAGCCGTGCCAGCGTTGTCGGTGAAGGCGCTCGACCTGGCTCCATGGTGCTGGGGAAGATCGACCGAAATGATTCGGCAGCTGGCACGAGACAACAAACGTTGGAAGACTCTGGCTGGCTGGCTTGTCCTGTTGTCGGTGTCCATGCCCCGCATCAGACTACTAGGTCACCAAGAAAAGGATACATGTTCAAAGTAAGAATGGCCAGCCTCAAGCTGCAGCAATAAACGTGGTTGGAATCGATGTAGTCCGTTCCACTGTTCCTAGCCTCCCACTCCTCCTTATCTATAGCGCGCTTCTCCTCAAGGTCCCACCACGGTTGGGTTGAGCGTATCAGGACGAAGATTTGGGTACTTAGGCTGCTACGGGTCGGCTAGTCTTTTGATAACATGCCTCCTTGGGGAATCTGGTCATGCCCGTCTCTATCTCCTATGCACTACTGTAGACTAGAAGGACTGCTGCTCTCTAACTCACTACGAATCCCTGCGACTTTCGTTACAAGATATACCGGAACTCCAGGGCGTCGTCTCCCTTGCCCGTGTCAGGGACTCCTTGGGCCAGCAACCGATCCTTCTGGGCGTTCTTGCGCCGAAGCAACCAGAGCATGACCCAAACACCAAGCCACGCAGTCCCGCACGCTGCCAACGCCGTCCCGTGTCCAATGGGATACCGGGGCGAGTCAGTCGAGCGGTAGATTTGCCCGGCGACAATACCGCCCGAGTTGCCCAGCATGACCACCATCGTGATAGCCGTGGCGCGCTTGAAATACGGCTGCGTGTTGCCACTGATCCAGGCCAGATTGAGCCCCGGGATGGAAGACTGGCCCATCAGCAGGATGTAGCACGCCGCGTAAGAGAGCTGGTTGTTGCGACTGCCCAGGAGAATGGCATAGGCAGTCATGATGAAACAGCCCATCACGAGCATGACTTGACCGCGCTTCTGGATCCGGTCCGACACCCACGACACAGTGAAGACGGAGATGGCGCCGGTCAGATAGACGGGGATGATCATATACTGGGCCTGGAGTGCCGTGTAGCCGATTCCGTTCACAATGGTGGGCAAGAAAGCGCTCACACCTGCCACGAGTCAGCCACAAATCCGGCAATGCCGTGCCGGTTTAGAACCACCCGCGTGCGGATGGGGACGACTTACTAAAGTTGTAGATGTCGGCATGCAGCTCGATGCCTGCCGACAGCCAGCATATAGGGGACGACAAGGCCGCCTTGACATCGGCCCAGTTGAAGACATCGGTGTTGGGTCCGCCCATGCGGGCCTTTGCAATCTCCTTCTCCTCGGCGTCCAAGAAGTAGCAGTGTGCGGGGCTGTCGGGAATCAGGAAGAAGAAGCTCAGCGCCACCACGAAGGACAGCATGCCTTCGACAAAGTAGAGCCATCTCCAGCCTTCGTAACCCCCGACCCCGTCGATGCGCGTGACGACCGTGGCAAAGATACCGCCCAGGGCTCCCGCGAGCGAATTCGCCGCCAGAATACAAGCCACTCGCTTGCCCATCTCTTCCCGTTTCCAGAACAGCGAGATGTAGACGTTCAACGAAGGGAACAGCGCCGACTCGGTCATACCCAAGACCAAACGGATCGCGATCAAGGATGCCCCGTTCTTGATGAAACCCGTCATGGCCGTCACGATACTCCACGAGACCATGAGGATAGGAACTGGATGTATCAGTCAGCAGGGTCAGCTTTGCGAGGGCATTGCCGGGAGAGGAGAAGTCTGAACCACCACTCACTGAACTTGGACGGCCCGATTTTCTTCATCATCAGCGTCAAGGGAATCTCAAAGATGATATAGGTGACATAGAAGATAGAGACGGCCACTGCACCATGTGAGTTAGTCTACAACCATGCCACATAGTGAGATCAGATCACCTACGATTGAAGCCGGAGCCTTTCATGTGAAGATCCTTCACCATGCCCGCCACTTTGGCATTCCCGATATTGGACCGATCGAGAAAGTTGAGGACGAACGCGGCCATACAAACGGGCAACAAGTGCCAGTCCAGCTTGCGGACGACACTCCGCTCCTTTTTCCGGTCAATGTAGACATCGACCGAGCCCATGTCCGTATCGACGATGGGTGTAATCGTCTCGTGGGGGGCTTGTTTCTGTTCCAACGACATGGTTGAGGGAGTCTGAGAAGGACACAAACTGGGGGAGATAGGAATGAGTTAAACGGGCGACAGAGTGGTGTGGTCCGAAGACTTCATCTCATGTTGATGCAGTATTTATGTGCAAATCCTCAGAGCCACGACGCACAGTCGATATCTCGCGGGCCAGTCCAGTAAGGACTGTCGAGCTATCGATATGCCGCAACGCGTGGCAAGGAGCTGGATGACGATATGAAAGCTCGCTTCTGGGGAGTTCTGAGGTTCAAGCAACCTATCTGACTATCTCTTTCCCCAGTTTCCAGCCAGATTCGTCTGATCAAGCAATCTTCGCCTGCATGGAGAAAGAGTCTGGAGTTCCTATCTCGGTGGATCCACCCTCGCTGGTGGGTCAATGTGCCGGATGACAGTCTTCCGTGATTCCCATCCAATCCTTCCATTGATAGGAAAACCAACTGGTCTGGGCCTCTTCGATTCCGGAACAACGTCCCTAGGGATGTTGAATTGACCCTACCAGCTATGTGAGGACCCGTGGCGACCTAAAGCCGACGTAGATGGTAGCTCGGTGCTCTTTGAAAAGCTGCCCAACATGTAGGTCTTGATTCCCGAACTGTTGACCTGCTGAAGTCAGTAAAACACCAAGACTCACCATGTCGCAGCCTCTCCAGGTCATCATCGTAGGCGGTGGTATCGGAGGTCTGTCCGCCGCCATTGCTATTCTCCTTGCGGGACATTCGGTGATTGTGCTGGAAGCACAAGAGAAGATCGAAGAGGTATTGTACCCCTACTCAGCCGCTCGGCGGCGAAAAGGCGCTTAAGTTGTGCTAATAGAGAATGCTTCCCAGATCGGCGCGGGCTTGCAATTCTCAGCCAATGCAACTCGGATTCTGCGAGAATGGGGGGTGGACAAGGCCATTGAAGCCGACGTCGTCGAGCCATACCGATGCATCATGAGACGGTGGAAAGACGGGCGCGAAATTGGCTTCGTGGACCTGCACAACTACCACCATGAAACCTATGGCGCGCCATTCTGGGACATCCACCGCCACGACTTGATTGTCGCCCTGTTTGACCGCGCAAAGAAGCTCGGAGCCGATATTCGCGTCAATACAAAAGTCATAGACATCGACTTTGCCCAGGCGACGGTCCATCTCGAAGACCAAACCAGCCTGTGCGGGGACTTGGTTGTGGGGGCGGACGGGCTGAATTCCCTCTGTCGCAAAAGGCTGGTCCCGACCGAAGAACCTGAGCACACAGGCGATATCGCCTTCCGGGTTCTTCTGAACTACGACGAGCTGCCCGACGACTCCGACTTCCGGGAACTGGTGACCAAGCCTCAAGTGACCTACTGGCTCGGTCATAACGGCCATGTCATTGTATACATTCTCAAGCAGGGCAAGCAGATCAACTTGGTGGCCGTGGCGCCGGATGACCTTCCGTCTGGAGTCATCCGGGCTCCGTGTGATGTGAGCGAGTGTACCAAGATCTTTCGCGAGTGGGATCCTTTGTGAGTCCTCTTCCCCAGCCAGGATGCGCGCGGTCGGTTCTAACAGAGGACCAGAATCAACAAGTTGATATCGCACAAGAACGTGATTTGGAAGTGGAAATTGCATAAACGGCCAGAATTGGATCGCTGGAACCATCCCTCAGGCCGATTCACCTTGATCGGGTAAGCCATTGCGCTTGAGATCCGGTTTCAGTTTGTCCCAGGGCTGACTACGAGTATATAGGGACGCCGTGCACCCGACCCTCCCCTACCTCTCTCAAGGAGCTGCGATCACCGTAGAAGACGCCGCCGTTCTGGGTCAAGTCTTGACCGAGCCAATCTCGCTCTCTGCGGCTCTGGCCAAATACGAAGCGCTGCGGAAACCCCGGACGACCGAAGTGGTCAGGGCTGCCACCCGGCAGCAGGGATGGTATCACCTTCCGGACGGCGAGAAGCAGCAGATGCGGGATGCCATGATTGGCGCCCCAATGTCGATGGAGGGAGATCCGTTCTTGTGGAGAGAGCCCACGTTTGCTCCGTGGTTGTATGGCTATGATGCGTACGCCGAGGCAAAGAAACAAGCAGGCCAGGTGAACGGGTTTGCCAATGGGTCGAGTAACTAGAAGTGTCGCGCAAGTGGCTCTGCGTTTGGTATACTACGTACTTGGTAGAAGAATAAGCCTACGCCCTTCTGACTTGGTGTATTCACACCTGCCAGTGACCTTGGCGGGAGGGTTCTGAGCCTCAGACCATAACCAGCATCCGGCTAACGTGCATGGTATCATGTCCGACCAGCCACCGGTGTCCTTATGGCTGGGACAACATTCTACCGCCCAGATCCAAGTTTACGGCTCCGTCTCTATACAAGGTAAGCGGTTATCCGCCTCGACTATGATCTGAAAGGGGTGGAGAGCATATCCTCGGATCATTAGATAGGAAGACTGCGAGTCGTTAAATGTGGATCACTGGGGACTAGTTGGTCTCCTTTTGATAAGGCAACCTTCCGCGAATACCCTTATCTGTGGATCCATCTTCCAGCCTCAGCCCTCTGAGTGTCTGGCTATGTGTGAATACATCTGTCCTGGTGGTCTTGGAGATCCCACAGATTCTGTATGCGTTTTGCCTTCTGCCCTCTGTCTCCTGTACAGAGTACCGTATGCTTGTACGAGCTCTGCCCACCAGCGATGCCTTAACCTTCGATGCCGTATGTACATCGTACAAGTCTATAGCAAAACATAGACTTACTCAGACAACGTGGTCCTCGCACGCGCTTCTTGGCTTCGCTTCCTGTTATAAGGCTTGCAAGAGCATAGAAGGCATACACTCCAACTCACTTTTGTCGAAGAACTCCCAGACGTGGTTCAATCACTCTGTTCTCATGGCACCCTTTATTGATGTTACAGACAACAGCATGACAGTCAACGGGATTGGTAGTAATGGGACGGCCCAGGCTCTCCCACGCCGCAAGCTGAGGATCGCGTGAGTCTCGTTTCTCGCTGTCTCCAGCGATTAGATGCAGATTATTAACGGGCATCCCAGCATCATCGGCAGCGGCCTCGCCGGCGCCACGGCTGGCGGGCTGTTGACCAAGCTTCCAGACGTCGAAGTCAAGATATATGAAAAATCCGACGTCGTGCGAGAAGTCGGGGCCTTGATCGGGGTGGCCGTTTCAGGTAAACAAATATATATGCCTCATCACCTCCTGTGCATGACTTCTATCTCGAGCCGTACGATGATCAGCTGATCTGACTTTCCACCACAGCCATGAAGACCTTGTCCCGGTGTCTCTCCCCAGAAGGGTTCGAACAGCTTCAATACATCCTCTATCGGGGCCCGTATGCGGACGGAATCAATCACCGCCACTGGAAGACGGGCGAGGTGCTGAAGCAGGCCGTGTCACCTCACACCCCTCGACATCTCCAAGAGGGCCGCACGAGTCGCGTGCCTCTGCACAGAATCCTGATGAATGAAGTCCCTGAAGGTGTTGTTCAGCACTCCCGCTCGGCTGTCTCGACCGAGAAAATCACCAAGGGAGACGACGCAGGGGCGATGCAAGTGACCTTCACGGATGGGACGAGTGAAATTGCTGATGTGGTGGTCGCCGCCGACGGGCTCTATTCGGTTCGTGGATCTCCGCAAAAAAAAAACAAAAAAAAAGGAGACAGGTTCTCTTCTATGATCAGCCTCGATATCTCGCGCTTAATGACTGACCACACATGCACAGAAAATCCGCAGACATTATCATCCCGACAGCCAGATAGCTTCGAGAGGCCGTGTGGCTTATCGCTATACCTTTCCGACCAAGCTGATTGAGCACATCAAAGACCTGCCAGAAGACACGTCGTCCTTCCGCAAGCATGGCGAGATAGTCTTTCTGTCCCGACTAGGTCAGATTTTGCCTACACTATACTGTATATGCAGACTGTCCTAACTACATTCTTCTCCACAGAGCCTGGTGTGTACGCCTTCACTGCGCTAATCGACACCCCGGATGAGGAGGCAGCCCAGCTAGAATGGGCCAAACCCATGGGCCAAGCGGGCCTCGAGCGTTTACGCAGGGGCCTCGAGGTGAGTCAGGCCTTTTCTGTCTGCAGGACAATCCTCCCTGCTGACGAAGAAAAATATAGGGGTGGAATCCCATCATCCACCGAGTCATCGATGTACTCCCAGACATCCAAGTGTACCCGCTACAGACGTCCGAATGGATGCGCAGCCTGGTTCGAGACGACGCCGTGGCGTTCGTAGGAGATGCAGCTCATCGTAAGAACTGCCCACCCGCGGTCCCAACTTCTAACCTGCCAGTCACTGACCTGATCTCCTTCTTTCCCTTCAGCCACGGCTGGCGCGTACGGCGCCGGGTGCTCCTTTGCCTTCAACGACGTATGGTGTCTGTACCGCTCTCTCGGGAGCGCCCACGATCCCCGATCCTCGCCCCGCGTCGTGCCTTACCACGTGCCGTACGCGCTCCATCTCTACAACGAAAGCCGCGTCCATTTCCTGCACCGCGTGGAACGACAGATCCAGATGGACAAGCGGGACTACAGCTACATCAGGGCCGCCGGCGATGACCACCAGGAGTGGGTGAGGAGGTACAAGGAGCGCTTCACCATCAACTGGTGGCTGCTGGAACACGACGCCGAGGCGGAGTGGCAAATGGTCGAGAGCGAGGTGCGATTCCGGAGAGACGAATTCGGTCTGGGCTCCCTTGATGAGAATATGGCCAGTGTTGACTTGGGCGCCGCTAAAGGGTTGGCTCCTCATTTAGGCGCTTTTTGAGCACCAGAACTATTGTATGGTAAAGGCCGACGTGAGCTGCATTGAAAAGTTGGAGATGGGTTTCCGCTCATATGTTTCTCAACCAGCCAGGAGGATGCTCGTACAGTCGGCGAAGGCCCAAGAAGGAGCTGCTTCACTTGACAAGGTGTATGGCCATCCATATCTCTCAGGTAGGGAAATGAGGCAATCCAAGATATTTGGACTGAGGTTGGGATAAAGAGGGATAAGACCGTGCGAGACTTACGTCGAGTATCGGAACAAATAAAAGAAAAAGGGGAGAATACAGCGTTATATTTTTTCGAGGTCACCTAGGTTATTAGACTCGGCCAATGCTGTATTGGATGATAACATCTGCCGCAACTGGCTTGGAAAATTTGACGACGTCTTGACAATCCTCAAGGCGATCTCTAGGCCCGGCCTGCATAGGCGACTTGTCAGCCCCCGATATCTCAGACAATTGAGCCAGGTTAGCCCCAGAGTGCAGCCTCAGGGGCGATGCTTTCTGTCAAGTCTCACGATTTCCATAGTCATGTTCGGAATTATTAGATTATTAAGGAAGAACTAGCAGTGAGTGTGTCCGTCTAGCTTCTGAACCGCCGCGGGTCCGTGGACCAGGTGCAATGTATTTGAGCTGAATGATAACCACAACCCCCACAACGCCTCCTCCGTTCCTGTCGTCTCAGAGGAATCTATGCACGATGGGACAATTGTTCACAATTCCAGCATCGCTCAGTGGAGTGCCGTCTGGGTTTGTCACATAGCCGGCAGCAGCCATGCCCAGAACCTCGAATTCCCCCGTCAGCCGGGTGCGAATGCCGTTCTCCATGCTATAATTCGTCCATGCGTATAGGTTGAAGTTCCACAGAGGCGAGTAATCTATAACCACATAATTAGTTGCGGCGCGACCCAGTATTGAGTAGGACATATTGTTCCTCGAGGAACATGTTTGGGGATGGGAAGGCGTACCATATGCTACTGTTGGGATTGCTCCGAGGATGTTCAGCGGGTTTCCCTCACCCAGAATGGCACTACTCAGACCTTGCCGCCATGGATGATGTGTCTCGTTGTTCGGTGCACCGGGAGGGAGATCGCGATTTGTGTATCCGTTGGTGTTCACGAAGAAACGCTCGATCCCGCTAAAGAGCGCGTCGTCGTCGCCGGTCCGAATGGCAGCCAAACGAGGTGCATAAGTTCCGCCGTCGAGCGTCGCTGGCAACGGATCCGATCCGTCAGCAATTAGGTAGAGGACGGACTTGGAAAAGGAAAATCCCCGTATTGTCGCGAGAGTGACGACTTGGTCGCGGGGACAGATGGAGAGGATTTGATCGTGGACTTTGCTGCGGACGTCGGCTAGCATTGCATCGGGAATCCCATCGCAGAACTGGAATGCAAACCTTGTGTCAGTCATGGGTTAAGACTCAACATGCTCGACAGGGGCAAGCATACCTGGTTCAAATAGTCTTCATCCACGTTGCCGGCAACAATCTATTCATCTCCTTCAGCACAAGTCTCCTAAACCTGAAGGATGGAATCTTACTGGAGCATTCCACACTTCGTAGCCGGCGTTGGTCAGTTGGATCAGCGGTGTGTAAAAACTGTCTCCGACGCTGCCAGGCTGTACCGATTGCGGAGGAAACGGTGATGGATTGCCTGGCACAATCTTCCGCACCGGTGAAAAGTCCACCATCCCTTTGCGCCCAAAGACGGTATTATTGACGATTTCGAGTTGTTCTGCACCTTTGAGTCCATCACCGGTCTGGCCTTGAGCAGCAAAACGGAGCTTCGGTGCAAAGTTGACGCCCAGCTGCTTCGCATTGCCTTCGTCCGATGTGTCCGTCACAATCCACCAATATGTTGTGTTGGCTGCTGATGTTCCTTTGTACAAGGGCAAAGTGAAATTCGGATTCACGCCATAATTGACGTGGCCGTTCCGAAGAAGGTCAACAGGCCCAACTAACTCGTGCTGCTCGTATGAAGCAAAGGGACCTTGGTAGCCAGCTTGAATGGCGGTAGCGAAGGAGGGGTCTGCGATGTCGATGGTCGGGTCATCGAATCCAGATTGGGGATCAGGGTTGAACTCGGAAGGGAATGATTGACGCGGATGCAGAGTCCTTCGGATCACCGGGTTTGCTATGGACAGGACTGCTTGGGTAGAGATCAGTGCAACAAGATGGAATCTCATTTTGACGCGCCAATGCCCGAGTTGTTGAAAGATCTGTTGGATCGAAAAGTGAACTGGCTTGTCCTCGTGGCCGGAATATCTTTTATTTATTTATATATGTAGCCCATTACAACATTTCCTTCGCATTCACCCCTTTCACCCCTCGCAAAAGCCATCAGTTGTTGCATTTGATTCCAAATCTCTGTATTTGTCACAAGCGGTCAGCAACGTCTATGGAAGTCAACAACATGAAGACCGGAGGAATATGGTCCAAAATACAAACTCTGCCATGCGTGGAAACCATAAATTGCTTGGACTTCCCTTACGGAGTAGATCTAGATTCATAATCTTCATTAGTCGCGATCCGTCCTAGCCCGCAGTACCTGGCGAAGTAGGTATCCATCCGGCGGTGCTTACTCTGAGGCGCTGCGGAGCATCAATAGCGAGAACGTCTCCAAGAGACCACATCTGGCATGGCATTGCCAGCCTTACTTGGGCACCCGAAAGCTTCGGATTCTTGACGTTACCTTTCCGGGCAGATGCCGATTGATGATGGAATCACAGTTCTTCCAGCTCAAATCTGGGGTATGAGAGACCAACCTTGGTATTATAGATAGCTAGACGCCCAGATGACCCACTGGCCACTCTGGCCGTTCCATGTCCTCAAACTGATATGTCGTTAGATATTTGTATTGTAAGCTTTGATGATTCCGCTGTTGTGGGTTATCCTACTGAAGAATATAGACAAAAGGGGCAACTGGGCACCATCCGAATCTTTCCCGGGGATCTGATTGCAAACGCCACGTGGACGACCTGGCGCTTCCGTTGTGATGGGCACCGGGTGTCTGTCAAATCAGGTGGTGATGGAGGAACTCACGAATCAGGACTTCACACGAATTAGCCGAATGCTGCCTGAAACTCAGCCACTTGCGACCCCTCATTCAGCCGCATGTCCTCTTCGGCTGAGAGCTTCTGGCGTGTTCTTCAGCCTGACCCGTTCACTGAGAAAACATGAGTCTTCACGATCTCTGGACATCCTTCAGCTGAACGCTTACTTCTTGAGGATGCTTGTACGGCATCTGCCAAGTGAGCATGGCGACCAAACGGAATGAGTCGCATGCGGCACCGGCGGGAAGGCTTCCATTCCGTCAAAACGAGAGTGGTGTCAGGCTTCTCTCTCTGGGTCTGTGGCTAACCAGCAAATCTGATATGCAATGCTCACGCTTCTAACCGCCATTATGTGTAGATGGTGGGGGCGTCCGAGGCTTGTCAGAGCTATGCATTCTGGAATGCCTGATGAACTCTCTCAAAGAAGAGATGAACCTCCCGAGCTCCTGTGTGCTCAAACCTTGCGATGTCTTTGACATGATATGCGGAACAAGCACTGGAGGGTGAGTCGCTACACAAAAGTCGATGTAAAATGTGGCTTACCACACTAGTCTAATCGCCATCATGCTTGGACGGCTCCGGATGACAGTTTCCGACTGCATCGAGTCGTATACCGAACTTGCCGAATCTGTTTTTGGCAGTCCCCGTTCGAGATTGAGTCTGCAAGACGGCCGATTTGACTTCGCCAAACTCGAAAAGGCAATAGACGACATTGTCAATGAACAAAAGCAAGGCGATAGAATGTTGGATACGAGGCCAGATGCCTGCAAAGTGTACGAGATCTGCCCGGCATATATTTGCAACATGTTGACCAATGCGCAGCTTTGTGTGTGCTGTACCAGCTGCAACAATGAACCGCGCCAGGAGACTTCGTACATACGATGAGAGCACTATCGGCATATGCTCGATCCGGGACGCTGCAAGGGCGACGACCGCCGCGCCTACCTTTTTCAAGGAAACAGAAATAACAATTCGGGCAGGGATACGAGAACGATTTCTTGATGGGGGCTTAGGCTACAATAACCCTGTCCTGGAACTGTTGAATGAAGCGGAAAGCGTGTTCCAAGGGCGCCGTATCGACTGCCTCGTTAGTATCGGCAGCGGCTCTTCGTCACTAAGCCCTGTGCCTTCCGCGAATCTCTTCCAAAGCAAGATACCGACAAACATCGTCGCTGCCTGCAGGAAGATTGCCGTGCAATGCGGACGGAACCACGATGCAATGGTTTCGCATTTTGCTGCTCGCCCAGGAGTCTACTTCAGGTTCAGCGTCGATATCGGCCTAGAGAAGATTGGCCCGGCGGAATGGAAAAAGCTAGGAGATATCCAAAGCGTGACATTCGAATACCTAGACGGACCTGCAACCAAACAAGAAGTGCGTTCTGCCGCCAGAGCCCTGAGCAAGCCATTGGATGAAACAGGTCAGTTGCTTCTCGAATCATCTTCAAACATCTCCTCATCTGGAGGGTCCGTATCCACTGGCCTCAAGTCATTATCTCTCATATTGGGGTTTGCTGGCAGGATGTTTGATTTCCCTAACTCATAAATTTGCCTAGGAATCCAAGGCCAGCTGTCGAGACATTTACCTTCCCCACAGAATACTCAGTTGGCCTTTACCGGTCAAAATCTAGATACGGAAGATATGTGGATGCTTTTTCCTCGAGATGATTCAGTCCGCACTCGACGCCCTGAACTAGCGAGGTCGACAATCGTGACTGGTGAGTTGTGAACTTTAGATTGGTCAACAACTGAACTGAGGTACGAAAGCTGCGCAATACCGTGCCTTCATTGGAAAATTGTGCGTTGATCCATCCACGATCTACAATGTCAAGAACGAAAAGACAGAACGACACGATGGAACATGTGAATGGATTGACACAAAATCCAAATACCAAGACTGGTTTGCGCACCCCGGCCCTCAAATTCTCCTGATCGTCGCCCCTCCAGGTCAGGGAAAATCGACATTGGCAAAGTACATAATCGCAGAGACCAAGAAGAATTCTGCTACTAACAATTGCGCCATTACCCTCGAATATTTCTGCCATGACTCGCCGGGGCATAATTCAGCTTTGGCAGTTATTCAATCTTTTGTGTATCAGCTATTAGAAGGCCGACCTAGTCTCTTTGAAGCTCTTTTCTCACAGCATCAGAGGATCATTGAGCAAGACTCTGAAATTCCCCCGGACTCTTTATGGGATATCTTTCTAACGGCTCTACAAAATTCCCAGATTGAGAGTGTGCATTGTGTCATTGACGGTTTGGATGAGTGCATGGATACTTCCCAGGTTCTGCTCTGGAGGATGATCGAGAGAGGGTTGTTGAACAAAAGGATCGAAGATGCTCCTTACATTCAGAAGGTCCACATGCTTCTGACAAGCCGTCCTACTGGGCTTGCTAAGCAAATTGGTCTTCTGACCAACGAGATTGAAATTGAGAGAGAAGATGTTGATCCGGATATCAAAAAATACGTCAAATTCCGGGTCGAAAGAATGACCTCTGCGCAGCTGATTCCCGACGATGTCTCGACACTAACCAGCAGATTTCTCCATGAGAGAGCAGAGGGGATGTTCTTGTGGGTGAGTCTAATCTTAGATCAGTTGGAAAACTACGAGGATTCTTTGTCCTTTCATGACGTCCTCGACCGCTTCAAAAACGTTCCGCCGGACATTCAAGGGTTGTATCACCGAGCACTGAAGAGAATAATGGGCAAGGAATCCCTTTATTCGAGAGCCGCAAGGATTTTCAGCATACTTTTGTGCTCGGCTCAGCCTCTCACGACAAACGCATTTGCACTGGCCATGACAGAGCTGCCAGAAAGCTGCACTTCTCATCAAGAACTCATCCGTCGCTCCGACCTCAGGTTTGAATATACATGCAAGAATGCTTGCGGGACCCTGATACGAATTGTGGACAACACCATCCAGATTTGCCACCCCACCGCACGAGAATTCCTTTTGCACGAGAGTCTCTACCAAGGGCTAAATGGGATCGACCAACCGGCTGGCCACGCCTTACTCGCCGAGATGTGCTTACGTTACTTGATGTTGGAGGATGTCGAGATACCGCAGGGAGACGAGCAGTCAGACGCCCAAAGGTACCCTCTCTTGGCTTATGCCCTGGCGTACTGGCCACTGCATGTCCGCAGCTCGTCCGACAGAATTCACACTTATAAAGAAACAATCCGCCGGTTTTTCAGCCTTTCAAATATTACACGCCTCCACTCATGTCTCCGGCCCTCCGAATATTGGAACACCTGGTTCCCCAACGATTCTCTGAGTGAAGACCTTGTCCTCCATGTTATAGTGTACTTTGACATGAAGAACTTGTTACAAAACTCGAGGCTGGAGGCTGGTGGTGACAGCCTCGGGACAATGGGCTTGATAGCTCCAGGTGATGAGATGATCCATAACCTGAATACCACAGTTGAGGCTAGAGACTCAAAGGGGAATACCGCATTACACCTTGCAATATACCAAGGGTTGCCAGAAATGGTAAACTCCCTCCTACAACGGGGTGCCGATCCAAATGCCACGAATTGTGAGGGGATGAACGCTCTCCATAGAGCTGCGCAGGGGGATGACATTGATGTACTCAAGACCGTCTTGGAGCTGACGGACGACATTGAGGTCCAGATGTCAGATGGAGAGACACCGCTGCTTCTGGCAACCGATTTTGGCATAGTCCAAGCGCTTCTCGACAATGGCGCGAATATCAACGCCAGACGTCAAACTGATGGCTGCACCAAGCTACACTTTGCCACAAGAGATGCAAGCGAGCAGGTTGTTGAGATCTTGCTGAAAAGGGGGGCCGATGTTAACGCAATGACGAACACAGGTCAAACACCTTTGCTCGCAGCTGCAGTACGCGGTTTTGCTCCCAAAGTAAGGCTTTTGCTTAACGCAGGAGTAAAAGTTTTCCGAGAGCTAGAGGAAGATTGGAATCCCTTGCATGCTGCTTCTTTCAATGGCTCTGCCGAATGCATAACGCTCCTTCTTGGCTACGATATCTGGCTGGGTGACAAAACAAAACGAGGAGAGACCGCAATGCACCTTGCAGCGTATGGTGGTCACTACGAGGCATGCAAACTTCTTTTAGAGGCGGGTTGCGGTATTGACGATCAAGCTGAAGACGGATACACGCCTTTGGTCATTGCCGCTGAAGAAGGACACGAATCCATCGTCAATCTGCTTCTGGCTGAGGGTGCATCGGTGAACACAATTCCGTCGACGAGTGTCACAGCGTTGTCAACGGCGGCTGCGAATGGCCATGCTAAAGTGGTGCGGCTTCTCCTGGATCACGGCGCTGATAAGAACTTCGTAACGGCAGAGAAGAGACCTATGTTACTTGCCGCGATAGATCGTGGACACCGTGATGTGGTGAAACTGCTTATTGAAAGTGGCATCAATCTTGAGTCTCAATGGAAGTCGTGGACACCATTATACCTTGCAATCGTCAAAGACGATATAGCAACAGTGAATCAGTTGCTTGACAAAGGTGCGGACATCCACTGCCGGGGACCCAAGGGCTTCACGATACTACATGATGCGATCCGTCACGGGAGACATGAATTGGTCTATCGTTTGTTGGATCTGGGTCTCGATGTTACCGCTTGCACTCACAAATCGTGGACTGTATTGCATGAAGCTGCGAGTGTTGGACGATTGGACATTGCAGCTCGATTAATAAAAGGAGGGGCTCTTGTTAATACGTCAAGTGCGACGGGTTGGACTCCGCTGCATGTGTGCTGCGAGAAAGGCCATGTGGACTTGCTGAATCTCCTCCTCAGAGAGCAGGCCAATCCTCTTTCGCGCACAAAATTTGGATCCTCTCCATTGGACCTTGCCGCCTACAATGGCCATTTACAGGCAGTGGACCGTATCATCCAGGAATTACACGAGCAACAAGTCCCAGTCGAGATATGGAACACTGCTTTGGGCCAAGCAGCAGCAAAGGGGCACTTGGAAGTCTTGAAACGTCTTCTTCAAGAGGGCCTTGACATAGAATTCAAAGATCGTGACGGCTCCACTCCCCTTATGCGCGCGATATCAAACAACCAGCAACCTGTTACTAGTTTCTTGATCAGCCAAGGCGCCAATATCCATACAACCAATAACAGGGGTTTTACGGTTCTGCACGAAGGTGCACGGTACGGAATGGCCAGTCTTGTAATGCGACTTCTCGCTCAAGGTCTGGATCCCTTGTCCCCAACTTTCGCTGGAGTAACGCCTCTCGCTCTTGCGGCACATGCCGGCCACCTTAATGTTGTCCGAAGTCTTCTCAGCCACCAGCCAAATACCATCCAGGATCATGGTCTTGGTGCCGACATCGTTCATTATGCATGTGGAAGCGACCATCCTGTGATCTTGGATCTTCTTCTTCAGGCCGGACATGACGTTCACACCCTCGACTCTCTCGGGCGATCGACAGTATTCGTTGCTGCGCATCATGGCCACAATGACGTTCTGAATTGGTTGCTTGCGAGAAACGTTGATGCATCTCGGCTTGACAGGTGGGGATACAGTCCGCTTCATGAAGCCGCTGGGAGTGGCTATGAAGATATCGTCGCTAGTTTAATCCATCACGGAGTTCCTATCGACCCTATATCGGAGTATGGCACTACACCACTTCTGGAGGCCGTAGTAAGGCGCCATGTCAAATGTATTGATCTGTTGATCAATGCAGGAGGAGATCCAACCATCACGGATTTATTTGGACGATCCGCACTGGACACAGCCGCAACGTCACCCTCCCTTTTGGCAAGAATGGGCAATTGGAGCCAATCACTTGAGCCAACGGATCCAATTTTGCTAAAAGTAACTCAAGAGCGAGCCATGAGATCGTTATTTCAGAAAATCCACATATCTGATGCTTACAATTTCCCCGAAATTGTGGGCAACTTGACCCGTGGCTTGATCCTTCTGAAGGAATATGAGCTTGCCCGCGTTGGCATTCTAATATTGACGAGGCCATTATCGGAACAATTGATTGTATGGAACTACGTTTGTAATGCATGTCGCAAAGACATCGATGCCGCTTCAGCAACTTTGCGCATATGTCAAACCTGTACCATCGATTTATGCGAGTCCTGCTTCGGCAGGTACGAAGATGAGCGCCAACCGGAGGATTGCTTGTGCGAGGGCCACGAATTTCTGACGGTCAGCGAGGATGACTGGAATGAGATGGAACCAAAATATGAATACGGCGAAGAGAAAATCACAATTATCCGAGAAGCCTGGCTCAGCAACATGCGTCAACGCTTCCCTCCTCTCAGCCCGACTGAGCTTGATCCGAGCTGAGGACAACCATGACAACAGGAGCGGTTTGAATCGCTTTGATGCCTGCTGCAAAAAATATCATGACGAAGGCATTACGCAAATGGGAATGATGGTGTCAGCCAAGAGAGCCAGGTATATCGAGGATAAGATCATCATGGCTCCAGGATTTCTTCGCCAAACAATAGGGGGCTACACCAGCGCTTCACAGACGCCATGTGTATAACATAGACATGACACATCATCGCACAAGATATAGGTCCGAAATCCGTCCAACAATTTCTCTCTCTCAAATCACAAGCCGCTGATGGGTACTGATGCAGATTACGAGCATGGAAAATCAATTGATCTTGCAGTCCTGCCCACCAACGCATGTACCAAAGTAGGATGCCATACGCCCATTTGCTCCATCACTCAACTTGACTGCAGCAATATTCTAGATGCTAGTTCTATACTAAACGATTGAAACAGCAACTACTACCAATAGCAGCTCCACTGGGGAATGTCCAGGTTTTCGTGGTCGGGGTAGTGAAGCGTGAGTCATAACGCGCAAAAGGTCTCGTATTAGTGATATACAAACCTATGTATCCACACTCTGCTCAGCCTCTAAAAAATCTTCCCTACACACTCCCCCGTCTACCAAATCATTGGAAACACACGGACCCCGCGACCAAAATGGCTAATCACCTCTCCTTCGTGACCCTCGACGTCTTCACCTCGACGAGGTACACGGGCAACCCGCTGGCGCTGGTCAAGGTTCCGCGGCATATCGCGCTGTCCCAGAGCCAGAAGCAACGCATCGCGCGCGAATTCAACCTCTCCGAGACGGTCTTCCTGCACGAACAAACGCCGGCGGACATCGCAGAGGACGACCACGCCGCGCGCGTCGACATCTTCACGGCCCACGCCGAGGTGCCCTTCGCGGGACACCCGACGGTCGGGACGGCGAACTACCTCCTGCGCCTCCTCGGGGACGATGCAGCGGGCAAGAACGTGAAAGCCCTGCGCGCCAAGGCAGGCCGCATTCCGATCACTCTGGACCCGGCGGCGGACGGGGTCCAGATCTCCGTCGCGCACAACGTGCACGTCCACAACGCGCCGTACGCCGGGAAACCGTTCGGGCAGTACCCCGTGGTCAGCATCGTCAGGGGCATGACCTTCATCCTGGCCCGGCTGCCCGACCTGGCCGCCCTGGCCGCCGCGACGGAGAACCTGGTCGGGCGGGACGCGACGTACACGTCGGCGCCGGGCCTGGACGCGGGCTGGCGCGAGGGCATTGTGGTGACGTACTTCTTCGTCGACACGTCGGGGCCCCAGGACCCCGCCTCCGCCTCCGCCTCGGACGCCGCGTCCGGCGCCGACACAACAGTCCGGAGGAGCCTGCGGACCCGGTGCCTGGGCTCGCGCGAGGATCCCGCCACGGGGAGCGCCGCCTGCGCCCTGGCCGCGTACCTGGCCCTCCAGGCAGGGCGGGCCGGACGGCACCGCTACGCGATCGTGCAGGGCGTGGAGATGGGCCAGCGGAGCGAGATCTTCGTCGACGTCGGCGTCAGGCCCGCCGCCGCGGCGGATGGCGGGCGGCTGGAGATCGAGGAGGTCCTCTTGAGCGGCAGCGCCGTGCAGGTCATGCAGGGATCATTGGAGGTGCCTGCGCCAGATGGCCTGAGTTGATCAATTTAATGAGTGCAGAGAAAAAAGGGGGTCATTTGATGGCTTGATGACCTTGCTCCGTGGTCGCCCGCGAGGCTGGGGAACAGGGGGGCTTATCGCGAGGCTGTGGGGCGAGGCTGTGGTAAGACAGTCAAATCTGCGGCAAACAAGGAGGCAAAAGTGGGAGGCAGTTCAACTCTGTCCTACCCAGGTGGAAATACTTTGAGTACGGAATGCCTGAAAGGCTAAAGTCTAACCCATTCATACATAGTTGATCCGGCGATTGCTCATTATTCATATTGTGAGAACTGAATGCTAGAGCCGACCAAGATACCGGAGCAATTTTCCCACACATCCATGAACCTGCCTCCTTCACCGACTCTTTCCATCATGCAATCTTGCCGCTGGTCTAGATGGATACCTGCTCTGCGTAGCCATCCAGTTCTCTCGGGAAATTGCGATGCTGGGAGATGTTCCAGAAGAATTTGCTCGTGAAGTCCTTGGCTTCCTTCATCATCTTGACACCTTCCTTGACACCACTTCCCGCGTCGGGTTTCTGAGCTGTGACGACACCGTACCAATCTACAATGCCATCACTTCCCTCAGATGCCAGCGTTACATTCTGAACCTCGGTGAGAGCGGCGTGCACGAATTTCACCCCTTCGCCGACGGCGCCGATAGCCTTCAGGTGCCCGAAGGCTTCTTTGACCCAGAATCGCGCCAGGCCGATCTCCTTCAGCGTGTTGATGGAATCAGCGCCGCCAGGGATGAACAACGCGTCGAACATGGTGGATCGCTGGCCGTTCAGGAAATGGTCAGGCTTCACCTGCGATGAGCCGTCTGAAGCCACAATGGGCTGGCGCTTGGTCCCGATCGTCCAAGGCACGGCGCTCTGCGCCAAGACTGCCGCCTTCATGGCCTCGTACGCCGTGATGTCGAAGCCGTCTGCAATCAAAATGGCCACGCGGCGGCCTTTGATCGTTGGCTCCTGGGGCATGTAGTCAAATTGGCTGAGACCCTTGGCCTTCTTGCCGTGATTCGGAACAGTCTGTTTCTCAGGGGTCTTTGCACCGCAGTTCTTGGCCACCGCCTGAGCGAGCGACAAATCAATCTCTGCCAAGCGGGTGACGAGGCGTTCGTAGACAATTTCGTCATCGCAATGGTCCAGTTCAAAGGAAAAGGCCTCGATCATGTGCTTCCTCTCTATGTCGGACATGGAATTGAAGAAAAGTTGCGCTTGTGACAGATAGTCCTTCCATTTCTCGGTGAGTTTACGCGCCTTGATGCCGGGATACTGCGCTGGATATGATTCGAATCCGCCTGTCCCGCTGTGACTCGTTGGTGGGTTGGCTTCCCATCTATTGGGCCAATAGTTGGCTTTGCCTTTCGTGATCGTGTGGCGGAGCTGGCCATCTCTGTTGAAGTTCAGAACCGGGCAGACTGGACGGTTGATGGGCAATTCTTCCCAGTTCACGCCCAACCGGGTAATTTGAGTGTCTTGGTAGGAGAAGTTCCGGCCCTGGAGGAGAGGGTCTTCACTGAAATCAATGCCAGGCACGATATGGCTGGTGCAGAAGGCTACCTGCTCGGTCTCGGCAAAGTACTCATCAACGTTGCGGTTGAGTTCCAGTTCACCAATGTAGCGGATGGGCACTTGCTCCTCGGGCCAGACCTTTGTAGCGTCAAGAATGTCGAAGTCGAATTTATCTTGGTCGCCATCCTTGATGCACTGCAGACCAAATTTCCACTTCGGGTAGGCTCCGTTCTCGATGGCCTCCCACAAATCCTTGCGGTGGAAGTCGGGGTCTTGGCCGGCCAATTTGAGGGCCTCGTCCCAAACCAAAGAGTGTACACCGAGTTCGGGTGTCCAGATGAACTTGCAATATGTTCTTTCGCCTTTGGCATCGATGAGCGCAAAGGTGTTGACACCAAAGCCCTGAATCATCCGGTAGGAACGAGGAATGCCTCTGTCGGACATGGCCCAACAGAACATGTGGGTTGCCTCCTTATGCAGAAACACGAAGTCCCAGAAGTTGTTGTGAGCCGTTTGGCCCTGGGGGACTTCATTGTCCGGCTCTGGTTTCAGGGAGTGGACGAGATCCGGGAACTGAGCGAAGCTGGTTAGACCACGTTGTGCAAGAAGACATTCCTCGCACTCACCTTGATGGCGTCTTGGATGAAAAACACGGGAATCTTGAACATTCAGTCAGCCAATGGACCCTCTCAACGGTAAAGCTTGCTTACATCGTTGGCCACAATATCCCAATTACCCTCTTCGGTATAGAACTTGACAGCAAAGCCTCTGACATCACGCACAGTATCTGCACTGCCTCGGCTGCCTTGCACTGTGGAAAACCGGACAAAAATTGGAGTGGTTCGCGATGTGTCTGTCAGTACTCCGGCGGTGGTGACATCTTCGGCGCTCTCAAAGAGTTTGAAGTGACCGTGGGCAGCAGCGCCCCGTGCGTGGACAACTCGCTCGGGAATACGCTCATGGTCGAAGCGGTGAATCTAGTGCATCTTAGAATCTATGGCCAAAGGCCACAACGGCACAACTTACGCGTTCTCGGGCGACTTGGTCTTCAAGGAAAGAAGGCCCAATTCTGCCGCTCTTGTCATCGGCAATCTTCAGCCAGTGGTCAACATCTGAGACTTTGGCACCCCAGTCAGTGGTAGTGTTCTGCTTGGTGTCCTGCTGATCCTTCTTATTCTTTTCGAGGTCGGCGATTTTCTTATTCTGAGCCATGCTTTGAACGGACTCGGCGGCTGAATTTCCAATCTCTCGAACGGTGTTGGCGACGGAAGAGGCCATTCTCTGCATTTGTTTAGAGAGTCGAAACAGCGGAAGAGAGAAGCGATGATAGCAAGATAAAGGGAAAAGTGAGACAGCAATGAGCGGGGATTTTACTTGAGTCTTGACGCGTTTTGCACATTGTCAAAGACGGGGTCCCTACCAATGGCATCTCTGCCGATTGAAATCCTGTGTGTAGACTTTGTCCCGAACTGTAAGCGAGCAGTTGTTGCATCATAAGCAGGGCGCGTGAGAGCATCATTGGTAGCAGCGGTTCATTGCAATGACTACAGCGCGTGTTGAGGACACTGGCAAAAACTACTCCGTTCGGCCATTTTGACGTAGGCAGACTCTGAGCATGGTTCCACATTATCCTTGTTCTGGCGGTGACAGGATGGGGATTTCGTCATGGCTGAGACGTATCAGGAACATGGTATCCTGAGGGATGGCAATTTTTGACAGCAGGTAGCACCAAGGTAAGCCCATGAAGGAGGCTCACCAGTGAAGATGAAATTCGGAATACAAATCCGAGGGATAAGTCGTTGCATCATGACGCCGATCCGAAAGTGTCCATTGGCACGGAACAGAAGCGGGGACGGCGGATGGCAATCCGTCATAGCATCATGTTTGTTAATGGAAGAGTTTCCCTTCGCACGGCGTTGGCTGCCTCGTACGAGAGGGAACGGAGCAGCTGGGTATCTGGCGAGCTGGGTGCGGTGGTGGTTGAGGTGACGTTGTGCCGGTAAAGTGATCCTCGAGCTCCTTCGGAATAACATTCTTCCTGGTGGATTGCTGGACGATAAAGGCCATGAGACTGAGAGTGCGTCGAGGGCGCGTTCGACAGTGCTGACTGGACCTCCGAACGGCGTGGTCTGCGCTGGGACGGGTCCGATCTCCTCGGGTAGGCCCCCAGATACCTATGAGCCTGTCGTCTGAGGGATACATTGTTATGTCAGCAAGGCTGCGATCATGGCAAGGCTGAGACTGGGATTGGGGCGCAGAGATGCATGTCTTGTCCCCAGTCTGCCCTTGTCAAGAACTCAAATCTCCTCTCGAGGCCAGCTGATCAGTATCAATTAGCCTCCCGGTTGTCGCACACTCGCTCCCCGGATTTCTGCCATGATCGGCGTCTAGACTTCTTGTCAACGGGTGTCATCGGCGTGCCTCAGCAACCAACTCCTTGAGAGGTTTGAAGATTGGGTCTTGGAGAACCACCAACGATTGGACGACGAAGAGCGGTCTGATTCATAGATTGGATGGCGGTTATTGTTGGACAATATGATGATTGGAGGGGCAGAAGGGGCGATGTTGCGTTCCGTGAATATCACGCTCTATTCAAAGAGAGATGTCTGGCTCCCTCATCACGACGACTCGCGAGCAAGTATCGGGAGGAGGATACCAATCTATCATGTAATAGCCTCGGGCGCCGCGACAACTGCTGTGCCCCATGCGTGGACTTGGTACAGGTGGGAAACTCAAACAGCTCATGGTTTGCAGGACCTGGGGCAGGTTCCCCGGGGAAAACAGGGCTAATCAAGCGAGGACGATGGGCGCCGCAAGCTGGCCACGGGCAATGCTCGTAGGTAATAGGCTCCTCGGCCCCCTCTGCCTGTAGCCTCAGTTGGTGCCTCCAGGGAGGCTGCCGACGAGGCCGAGTCGGCGATCTCCTCCCACGCCCAGAGATTCCCCAGCCACCAATCAGGCCCTCGCCCGGGCCTCGCCAGAGGCTTATCAGTTCGTGTCGCTTCGTGTTGACGGTCGCGTGCAATTCCGCCTGTCTTCATCTCGTTCCACCCTCCACCCATGATCATCACCCTCAAATCACCCTCTGCCCCCCCGTCATGCGGCATTGCCTTGGGGGGCTCGAAGCTCCAGATCTAACCAAATCCGCCCTGCTGGCCTGTCCTTCAAGGCCCGGCAGTGCCCATCTGACCTATTCTCACAGTCATTCCGCTATGTCATCTGCACATAATCGCCATGGTGGCCCCGAACTTCTTCGGCTCGTCCCTTTGCCCGCGCCGAATCAGCCTCGATCTCAAGGGTTCAAGTTCCTATCTGAGGCTCCCTTTTCTGCCTGTATTGGGGGGTGTGACTGCCTTATCGGGTCCCCTAGCCTGTGTCTACTGCCTCTGTCTCTGTCATGCCAACTTTCGGAACACGCCTGCGCTGCGCTCACACTCTCTCACTGCCACACATCAGTCTGCATCGTTGTTACAGCGCATTCGTCGTTCTGCATTGCTTGTTTCACTCCTTTTCTTCCAGTCTTTCCTGACCCTACTCACGAAATCCCAGAACCTAACTTCCCCACGACAGCACCTCCCGATTCTCAGTCGAACCCACAGTACGAGTGCACAGTGCTTGTTTCGTTCGCAGCACAAGCCCTCGAGAGCGTTCAGGCGAAGCCTCATATGTCCCTGGGCCTTGGTTGTTCATACGAGCAGAAAACCCAGGTCGCCACGAAGCGGAGCGAGAGAGATCCAGAGGCGTCTAGAGCCTACCACACCTGCACCTTCGCAGATGGTTCGACAGTGATGATAAGCAAGTTTCAGTTTGCATAGTTGTTTATACCCCTCAAGAGCGCAGCGCCAGAACCGATCCGCAATGGCTGCCTCTTACATACCGTTCTTGACGGCGTCCGCTCTACCAGACCACTGCACGCCGACCTCTCCCATCCTGTCCGATTTATCGTTATACCTTGGCTTTTGCATACCCACCCCTCTCGCCGCGCTCTCTACTCTCCTCGGCACACTGTCAATAGTGTCATGGCTATTCGCACAGATGCCACAGATTTTCAAAAACTACTACATCAAGTCGACTGCCGGCCTGTCGATCTTCTTCCTGAGCGAGTGGTTACTGGGCGATCTGGCCAATCTCCTCGGAGCCATATTCACCAAGCAGGCCGGCTGGCAGATCATCGTGGCGACCTACTACGTCTTCGTTGATATGTGTCTAGTGTTTCAATACTTCTGGTACAGTTACGCCGCAAAGTGGATATACGAGGAAAGTCTCCATTCCACAGGGAGCAGCGATATCGACGATGCGGACAGTGCTATAATCAACGGGTTGTCGCCCATCAACTCGAATTTCGCCAGTGATGCCCCGCTACTGGGCGAGCCTGAAGACTATACACCGAAACGATCAGATCCTACAGACGTCAATGTTCCTCACTTTTCCGCCGTAAACTACGGTGAAAAAAAAGGTACTCTTCCTCAGGATATCGTCTACGGAGATAAGCTTGGGTCGAGTTGGATGGCTTCACCCTCTCCGCGCACTCTTCTCTACGCAGCAACCATGGCGTCCTTGGCTTCCAATGTGGCAGCTGCTCCAGTACCTTTTCCTTCTGACCACTATGCGCACGGCATTCATCTCTTCCGCGTCGACACTCCCCTTGAGATTGCCGGCACTATTTTATCGTGGTGCTCAACCTTCCTATACCTGGGTTCAAGATTACCTCAGCTATACAAGAATTGGCAACGTCAGTCAACTGCCGGCCTCTCCCCTCTACTATTCATTGCTGCCTTTTGTGGTAATTTCTTTGTAAGTCCCTGGTCTCTTCACAAAGCCATGTTGCATTTCCGGGAGTTATTCTTTCCTGTTTCAACGTCTGTCACGGAGCTAATATGGTGCACTAGTACTCTGCGTCTTTGATCACCAATCCGAATGCGTGGAGCGACTACGATCCATATGGACATCACGGCTGGGTGGACGGAGATGGAAACCAAAGATGGGCGTGGGTGGCCCGAGCAGCTCCGTTCTTTCTCGGGGCTGCAGGAGTGCTAATGATGGATGCCTTGATGGGTGTCCAGTTCATCATGTATGGGGAGCGAGAAGACAGAATCGTCAAGGTAAGAGATTCACATGGATATAGTCATTGGGAGCGAGTCAATGGATGGATGAGAGGTTGGATCCCCGCCATGGTCGGCAAAGATCGAGTTGTGGATATGGCTCAAAGCCAGCGATTATTGCATGAGAGCGGACATTTGAGCCTGAGCAGGAGACGAAGCCACCATCATGTGGACTACGGCACGGCAGCATGATACAAGCAGATATGACTAGACGTATAGAATACCTTTTTGCCCGTGTTCTATGTCACTATCAGAGATTGAGATTATCGTTATTGCGGAACGGGAGTGCCGTTGATTACTATGTACTTGTATATGATTTGACGTCAGCTCCGGGCACAAGATTTGGAGCTGCGCGGTGCCCGCTTCCGAATCTCCTCCGCATCTTACCAGGCACTCCAGGTACTCCGCGAGCGAACTCACTATCGCCGTACCATATTTGCACGAATTTTCCCTTTCTTACTATCAGGTGGGACTTCGAGTTCGCTTTCTCATGATCACTTCACGCCTTATCCGTCCCATACTCTCTACCACCGCCGCGTTTGCTACGTTCATCCGTCCTGCAAATACCCCGCATTTGGGAATCTCGTCGCGTATACCGGACTTCGCGCAGCAGCCCGTGAGAAAGATGCATGTCTTGAGTATTCCAATGTGTACGCTAGCCCGCATCTTCGCAGCTGTGTTACCAGTCGTCATAGTTGGTGGAATCGGAGAAAAGAGACGCCTGTTCACACCTCCGGATGTCTTGGACACGACATTGAGCTGTGACATGGAAGAATGGAATCAAATGCTAACATTCTGTGCTATTCAGGGGTTGGCTCGTCCAACAACTATGCGTACTTGGTCAGCGATGATGAAACCAAGGATGCTGTGATCATCGATCCAGCAAATCCTCCAGAGTACGTTTCAGACTTCCCAAGTGCTGAATAGGAGAGAACCAAGACTGACGTTCATGCTTCTTCGTTTTCTAGAGTCCTTCCTGTTCTCGAGGAGAAATCCAAGTCCCTGAACCTTACCGCGATCATGAATACACACCATCATTGGGACCATGCGGGAGGAAACAAAAAGATGCTATCCGCATTGCCTTCCCAAATACCCGTGATCGGAGGCAAGGACTGTGAAGCCGTCACAAAGACCCCATCGCATGGGTCGACATTCTCGATAGGCAAGAATATCCAAGTGACCGCCCTACACACGCCCTGCCACACGCAGGATAGTATTTGCTGGTTCATGGAGGACAAGTCCACCAACGAACGAGTCGTCTTCACGGGGGACACTTTGTTCATCGGCGGCTGCGGTAAATTCTTCGAGGGCAATGGAACAGAGATGAACAAAGCCCTCAACGAGATCTTGGGGTCATTGCCGGACGACACAAAGGTCTACCCAGGGCACGAATACACCAAATCCAACGTTAAGTTCTTGACAAAAGTCGACGGGAATAACGAGGCGGTGAAAAAGCTGGAGAAGTTTGCGGACGAAAATAGGGAAACGCAGGGCAAGTTTACCATTGGCCAGGAAAAGGAATATAATGTGTTTATGCGAGTGACGACGGAGGAGATGAAGAAGGCCACCGGTAAGACGGACCCCAGCGAGGTGATGGCTCAATTGAGGGAGATGAAGAATAAGAGCTAGTGGATGAGGATAGTTATGTGTAAAAATGAATCCCAAAAGGGCAGAGTGACATGTAAAAGACATGGCCATTGGGTTTGACGCGCCCTTTGGGACTGATGTGGAAAAAATACTCTACTACGTCCACCGATATTGAACATAACTCTAGTACCACATGCGAACCCAATGTTCTTTTAGATACCTATACAAGTCTAGTCAGTCAAAGGGCGTGGCTAGCATTATATCGTCAGGAGGCACGCTGCAAGACCTCGATTAGTTATTTTCAACAAGCTTTGAAATATATAAGTTACTAAAGCACAAATGTTTCCGCAATCGACCACAGGATGTGGAAAACAGGGCTTCCCGTTCGCTCAGCCGTACTTAAGCCACATGCCGATCAGTTAGTACTACCGTGGGTGACCAGGTGGGAATCCTGATTGTTGATTGTTTTTGGTTTTTTGTCGGTATGATGATTCTGTTTCCCACTCTACAACAGCAACCATATTGGAGGTAGTTGGGTGTGTTGATTATTTTATTTTGTCTGGAGGTGGCCGTTTGAGGTCGGCCAATGTGGTGGGTTGAAATAATATGCCTGATTCAACCTAGGTTGGCCGCCAGTGACAGGCATACTTGTAAGCGTGACAGCTGTGGCTGGCGCCTGTGGCGCCTAGTCCCGCTGCCAACCACGGGAGTCCTGGGCACAACTACTTGGCCCCCGGCCGCGGAGTGCTGCACTGCGCTCTTAACCTCTTCCGGGGCTGTATCTCGACCTTTTCGGCAGACCTCAAAACGGCTTTTCGACGTCACATATCAGAGCCTGCACCACAACATTCAATCAGATTCTCATTTGAACCCCCTGAGCCAACCTTGAAACGAGCCCTGAAACGGATATTCAACGATTCCACCTCGCCCTGCTTTGTCCTGAGTGTACGATATTCGCGACATCGCCCCTCTCCACAGCCTAATTTCCTCCGCATGAAACAAAATCTCCAGCCGACAAACCACACCGACCCTTTCCTCTGAGAAACAACACCTCATCTGCGTCGGCGTCATTCCTGGTGAGGCCGGGTCCTGTCTATTCTGGTTTCTCGACCGCCTTTTACCAGGGCCTCACTTCGGTATCTCCTCGACTCAAAACGTCCTCTTTGTCCGAATTACTTTGCCGCCACTCGAAACCGATGCGAGAACTACTCCTTTACCGCTGCGAATCATGTCTGGAAAATATTCTGTCGAAGATCTGTTGAAGCTGCGGGCATCGCCGCTCATATGTAAACCTCCAAATCTACCGCCCATAGAGGAATGGATGGGGTATGGGATACATGCCGATCTCATGGTTGAAGTAGGATCAACATAACTGACGTTTGACCAGTGCACAAGAACTGAGTGGCAGAAGGCCTATAGCTCGAGGAGTCAAAGAAGACCAACCTGCACAAAGTGACCCCTTTCAGAAAAGACCGACCATTATTGATACCCAGCGTCGAACAGCTACGGGTACGCTTCAAGGACATTTGCCTCACCTGTTCCAACTAACGATATTTTCAGATCCCGACCGCATAGTTCTTGGTCCTCCCCGACGATCATTCGCCTCCAATGCCCGCGCCGTCAGCAAATCGCAAGATCTAGCAGATGATTCGGGGAACACCAAGGACCGATCAACGTTAATCGACAAATCCAGAAATGGCGAAGAGTCCGAGTCCCGGCACCATGAGCGGAGGTATACCCAAACAAATGGTCGCTACGGCAATCGTCAAGAGAGCGAAGAACTGGAGACTGAAGGTCGTCGTGACTATGAGCGCAGACCAAAATGGGGAGGGAGAGACAGGAATGATCAAGACCTAGAAACCGAACAGGACGATACGCCACGCGGATTCCGGAGGGAGACACAGTCGAGGGCGAGGCTATCACAGTCATGGTTCAAAAAGGATAACGGAGATGCTGAGGACGACAAAACACCTGACTGGCGTCGTGATCGGGGCAGGGACCGTGACTGGGACAGAGAGCGCGCTGCCAAAGTGGAGGCGGAACCCGAATGGATGGACTCAACAGAACCCGAGGAACCGTTTCAAGCCCGTACCCAGGAGGACTTCCAGCGTTGGAAAGAAAGGATGAAGGCCGGCAGCACAGCACCAGCTGACAAGGTTGAGACAGCTGCTACCAGTCCACCAGCGGAGGAGAAATCAGTCAAGAGGGTCGTTTCTGCCGAGCCAGATGACTCGATGGACAAGTTCTTCGCCAGATTCGAGTCCAAGACGACAGAACAGAAGGCCGGGCCAGCCAAGTCACATGGGAAAACACGTTTTGCATCGCTGTTTAGTCCTGCAACGGAACAAAACAAGCAGATTGAATTTCCTGCTCAACCATCCTTCTCAGAAAGACCCTCCTCCGCCCAAGCAACAGCCTCAACAGCCTCGGCGACGAATGCTGATCAAGCCGGATTTGCTCGCATTCTTGAAATGTTGCAGACACGAAGTAACAACCCCACTCCTCAAAATCAAGAGGCATCGAAACCGAGAACGCCACTATATGCGAGGGCAGCCGAGCCAAAGACCGAACCTGAACCGAAACCCCCTACGCCTACTCTTTGGGGGTTATTGTCAGGCCAGTCGGGAGGTCAAGCGCAACCGCCTGAGCAGATCCACGCAGCTGCATCTCAGGAAAGATATATAGAGAACAAATCGCCAAGCGAGCAGCCTACGCACACACGACAGCAGTCCAGCATCACCAAAGATGAAGTACTCTTGACTTTGCTCCGTCAAGCCACTCTAGCGCCAAAACCGCAACCACCGCCTCCTACCGGAGGGGGAATGTTTGGACTACCTCCGGAGCCCAGCAACCGTGCGGCGCAACAAAGAGGGCCGGTGATTTCGCCCATCCAGGCACAACAAGATCCAATAATGGCACAACGAAGGGAGCCGAGAGGCCCAATATTCGATGAGTCACCCATTGCCATGTACCAAAGCGAACAGATACAGCGCGAACAACCTGCCCGAAGGCCGACCAACGGCACGCAGCCCGCGTATTCGGTCGATCCTCTGATGGCGCTTCTGGGTGGCCAAGCACCTCCACACAGACCAATGCAGCCAACACAACCACCTCAAGCCCTTCCTCCTGGCCTTCAGCGACCTCCTGGACTCGACCAGATGCCACGACAAAACCCAAGCTGGCCTCCTCAACAGCCACAGCAACCACCACAGCCTTCGCGCCAGCCGTCCCTCCCTCCCGGCTTGGCGAACCTGCCCCGAGGTATGTCAGGGCCACCATATAGTCAGCCTCAGCAAATCCCGACTCTACCGACTCTACCGCAACAGCAGCGGCCTCAGCAACCACAGCCACAACGAAAATACACCGCAGAGTCTTCTGGAATGCCACCAAACCTTCCTCCGGGTATGTACCCTCCTCCAGGCTTCATGAATGCAGGCCCTCCGCCAGGCTTTCCAAGCGGACTGGCAAATCATCCCGCTGCTAGGTACGGGGGGGATCCAGCAGCCCAACAGCGGGCTTTCATGGAGATGTATGGTGAAGTTGGCGGTAGAGGACTGGGACTGAGGGGTGGTGCCGGGAATTCAGGGATGCCGCCGTATCGGTGAGGAGGGAAGGCGGAGCTGGGGACAAGTTTACCAGCGTGGGTTCTTTCCGGGGAAAAGAGATGAAAGCGACAGCGAAGGCGACAACAAAGCGACTGGCAACGGCACGGGACGGAGCGATTTGCAAGAACTTGCAAAAAAATAAAACCAACTGCAGCGGTGAGCATCGGCCAGCGCAACGGACCTTTTGAGGGAAGAGTTGTCGCCAGCACCGCTCACCGAAGCTTCTGGTGAAGACGGATGCGAGCGACCCAGGGATGCGATCGAAACCACCAGTGCGGCGAGGACAAGGACTGTACGTAGCGCATTCATTCTGGACTCACAGAACATGCAGCCCGAGGCAAAGTTTGAACTGCGACGGCGAGAGAACACCGAGTGCCCAGTACTTATTTGACGGGACAGAATCAGGCGTGCTGATATCCACGATGGGGACAGGGAGAGGATCAATCGCAATTCGAGAAGCGGAGGAAGTAGCAATGCAAAGTCAATTGTTCTTCTGTCTCTCCTTCTGTTTCTCCTACAAAGGCTCGCCCAGCGTGATCGCTCAGTTAAGATGGCTTACCTCCCACTGCTCGATAGTGTGGATATTTAGTCATGCCCAAGCTCAATAGAACTCGGTTGTGGTTTGTTCGCATATACAGAGTATGTATATGCCTCTCATGCCTGCTGGCGGCGTTTGATCTTCTCCACGAGCCTCTTGACATCACCACTCCCACTATCCGAAGGCTTCTTCGCACCGTCGCCACCGTTCCGAGGGGGAGCTTCGACATGCCCGTCCTTGCGGCGTTTGCTCCCACCAGCATCGTCATCATCTCCCCCTCTACCTGGCCGCTCCGACGCGCCGGACCTCTCGTCCCCTTTGTGCTTCCTCCTCCGCCCTTCCTCCAACAGCGCACGCATGGCCTTGGTGCCTTTGAATTTCGGGTTCGTCGGATCAATGGCGTACTCGTGGCTTTCGAACAGTCGCGAGAAACGCGGATCCGAGGTGTCCACTTGGAATGCATCTGGCGCGTCTTCTGGAGCGTCGCCCTTCTTCGCAGCCTTGGGTTTCTTCTTTTTGTTCTTCTTCCGCTCCTCCTTCTCGGCCTTCTGGATTTCCCGCATGTCGAAGTGTCTGATCCTCTTTTTGGCTCCGTCGGGCCCGGCTTCATCGGCGTCGTCGTCGGCCATCAACAGTTCAAGTTCCGCCCGCTGTTTGCGATCCGCCTCCTCCTCGGCCTCGCGCTCCTTCTTTTTCTTCAGGCGCTCTTCCTTTCTCAATTTCTTGGAGGCCGCTTTCTCCGACGCAGCTGACGGTTCCGCGAAGAAGGGGTCATCGAATCCCAGGTCCGCGTCCTCCTCTCCAGCTGGAATTGCTTGTTCGTCGCCCTTGTCTTGATCATCAGCATCGCCCTCGGTGTCGGGGCCGTTGCCCTCGCGCGCACTCTTCATCTTCTCCTTGCGCTTCTGCTTTCTCTCTCTTTCTTTTCGAACATACTTCTCGAGCGTCGTCTCCTCTGGCTCTGGCGAGTTCTCAAACACCGATTTCTTTTTACTCGTCTCGTTAGTGCCACCGCTCAAGCCAGATGTGAACGTGATCTGCATATCTCCGACCGGCCTTTTTTCTTTCTTGGATGACTTCTTCTCCGGCTCGGGTGGGAGGCCAAGGAGTGTGCGCATACGTTGTCTTTCTGCTTCTTTCTTGGAAGTTGGACCGCTGCTTGCCGCAACTTCATTTTCCTCCTCTTCGTCGTCCTCCGAATCATCTGAAGCCAGATATGCCCTGAGATCGTTCTCGTCAATTTCCTTCCTGCTGCCTTTAAAAGCTCTTGCCACAGCTTCTCTCCGACCCCCGTCCTCCGCGTCCCACGTCAATTTCACCTTGGAATGCTGTAACGCATCTGTCACAAATTCATTCGGTCTGTAATCGTCAGATATTCGATCACATTCTTCACGCGGAACGTCGGTAGAGAAGTCAGTGTCATCAGGCACGAAGCGGAGGTCGAAGAAATTGGCCGTGCGCAGATACTCAGTGCCGTCGACGGCATCATAGATTTGTTTTGCCACACTTGGTGACGAAAACGTCAAGATGGCGTAGAAATACCGAAGGCGTTCGAGTTGGTAGCGGCGCAGGGCTGTGGAGTCAAAATCGGTTGTGCCGTCGTCGGGTTTCAGTATGGATTTTTTGATGTCTTCATCTCCTTGTTCTTCGTCGTCAGAGAAGTCTCCATTAATGTTTTCCTTTGGAGGGTTCGCAAAGATTTCTCTGGGTGGGCCTTCCAATTCTTCACGTTCCAGACGTTCTTTACCAAATTCGCTAGGATAAATGGAGACCTTGAGCAGGGAGTCCGAGGTCGAGAGGAAACTGCTGAAGACAGCCATCAAGTCGGCGGCGCGTATATTGTCCCAATCGAGGTTGACAACGGCAATGCGAGATGTGACTTCGCCGGTCGGGACGTCTGTCTGCTGCGTAGCACCAATGCCAACTTCCTCCTCCAGGGCAGCTTCTTCCTCCTCCGATTCCTCATCGCTTGTGGTCTCATCAGACGAGGATTCAGAGTCTGTGTCTCTCCCTTCTCGCAAAGGATCACGGGTCTTCTTCTCAATCCTGCTCAACTCCTCCTGCACTTGATCATCGTCGTCCGGCTCATCACTTTGTTCATCTTCGCCCTCCTCGTCGTCAAACTCGTATTTCCGTTTCAATCGCTTCCTCTCTGCGTTGGATTCGAGCGGGCGGCCATACCGATCGACCTTGGCTCGCTTCACAAAGTCCTCGTCTTCCAGAACCCGGGCGAAACGTTTGTCGAGTTTGACCTTGTTTTTCTTGCCTGGAAGGCGGTATCGGGGGTCGGACTGGATGTTGGCGAATCGAGGGTCTGTGATTCGAGGGTCATTTGAGGGTCTGGTAGACTTCGCCGCCGTCTTGAGCTTCTTCCTCGAGGGCTCCTCCATCATGAGGCTGTTTTCAGTCGACTAGGCGCAGTTACCGAAGCAGTTGCGGACAAAGCATACGGAGGAAAAAAAGTTCTCCGACTGTCAAAATTTGGTGGGGAAAATGGATGCATGGGCGGGATTTTCCGCCTGCGGGATGTTCACCATGCCACCATTTTCCACTTGGTCCCTTGCAGCAACAAGGGTGTGAAGATCTTTTTGGGAGCTTCCCTTGACAATAAATCAGTTCCCCTTTTTTTACCTTATGGTCTCGAGTCGCTCACTCTCTCCCGCACTCCGCATACAAAGGCGCCCGTTCAGCGCCCACCTGTAGCTTGATCTCCAAGAGCGCAGTTTGCCCTGCGCAGACACACCTGCCCCGCCCAGACTGTCTCGGGTAGCGACGTGCTTCATTGACAAAATGCCTGCGGGGTCCTGCTTGATCACTGGGTAAGTCAGGCCAGGCTGAACCCCCTCTTTGAAACAGCACAGACAGAGACTGATGCCCTCTTTCTTCTCAGTGGCACCGGGTACATTGGCTCCTTCACAGCCTTGGCCCTTCTCGAAGCAGACTACAAGGTCGTCGTTGTCGACAACCTCTACAATTCCTCCCCCGAAGTCCTCAATCGGATAGAGCTTATTTGCGGCAAGAGACCCGAATACTACAATGTTGACATCACAGACGAAAAGGCGTTGGATGATGTCTTCTCAAAGCACCCGGACATTGACAGTGTCATCCACTTCGCCGCGTTGAAAGCCGTTGGCGAGTCCGGCGAGATTCCCCTCGACTACTACCGCGTCAATGTCTATGGCACACTCTGCCTCCTGTCTTCTGCGGCACGACATAACGTAACGAATATTGTCTACTCCTCTTCCGCCACTGTCTATGGCGACGCCACCCGCGTACCGGGTATGATACCCATCCCAGAAGAATGCCCTCTGGGTCCTACAAATCCCTATGGCAACACCAAGTTCGCTTCCGAGTTGATGATTACCGACCACATCAATGCCGAGCGCGCAAAAGCCCAAAAGAAAGGCGACCCAGGCGCGGTAAAGAAATGGAATGCCGGGCTCTTGCGATACTTCAACCCCGCGGGAAGCCACCCCAGCGGGATCATGGGGGAAGACCCCTCAGGAGTTCCATACAACCTCTTACCATTGCTCGCGCAAGTTGCCACGGGGAAGAGAGAAAAATTGCTTGTGTTTGGCGACGACTACGCGTCTCATGACGGCACTGCCATTCGCGATTACATCCACATCCTCGATTTGGCTGCAGGCCACCTGAAGGCATTAGATTACCTACGCACGCATCAGCCGGGTGTTCGGGCCTGGAATCTCGGCACCGGGCGTGGCTCTACCGTATTCGAGATGATAAAGGCATTCAGCAAAGCCGTGGGTCGCGAGCTACCTTACCAAGTTGTCGAGAGAAGACCCGGTGACGTACTGGACCTGACCAGTAACCCGACGCGGGCAAATCGAGAGCTTGGTTGGAAGGCGACCAGGACGATGGAGGACGCCTGTGCAGATTTGTGGCAATGGACCGAGAATAATCCAGAGGGTTATAGGCAGAAACCGCCACAGAAGTTTTTGGATGCGTTGAAGAAGAACAACTGAACCCCTCTATGCGTGCTGTGAGGTATGAGGTCAGTTGTTACGTGGGTTGGATTGTTTGCGGTTTTGGTGGATGGGCTCGGGCGAATGCACACGAAATGAATACCCTGGACGCAAAATGTATCGGCGGTGAGCAATGAATGGGCTGGCGGTTTGCACGAACATTTTGTATGGAAGCTTTCCATTGGACTGGTGCCCTGCCTTGCTGTTCGGGTCAAGATAGACAGGACGATGCAGACGCTGTCTATGCATTCGAGAGCCCCGAGCTTTAGAGAGAGCATTAGACAGGACAAAGAGTGGAGAGAGAGTGCAATGAGAGCATGTCGAAGTCGTTGGTATGGGAGTATATCTCAGCCATCCAGCATGGTAAGGGTGTCGGAAGCATTCGAGCCCGACCGATTCATTAAACATATCGGAGTCGGATCAACATACGCCGAGGCGCATTGCGTCTACATGTATGAAGTTGGCGACATCGACTGACAATCAACACTTGGACATCATGATGCTGTGGAGACTGGCCATCTCCGGTTGATCGGTAATCCTCACTCGCAGGCAACGAGGCTCACTTACTCTTAAACCCTTCCCAAACACTTACATCGTTGATGCCCGGTTCTCTCTGAAACGGTAGGTTCTGATTCAGTTTCCTGGTCTGCTTCTTCACCGACATCTTTGAGCTACAGACCAGTATCAGCTACAGCCACGGATAAAGAAGCCCAAGCATGGTAACAGCCTCGCCCGCGCAATGACCCAGAAACCCGTCCTCATTTCCGGCGCTGGCCTCGCCTCTCTCCTCCTCGCGCGCTCTCTCCTCCGCTCCAACATCCCCTTCCAGGTCTTTGAGCGCGATGCCTCGCTCGCCTTCCGCGGCCAGGGCTACCGCCTGCGCCTCTCGTCCGAGGGCCTCGACGCGATCGAATCGGTCCTGGACCCTGCCGCGTTCCAACGCTTCTACGACCGCTGCGGGAAGACGGGCGGGAGTGGGTTCCTGGGGTTCGACGCCGTCACGGGCGAAGTGGTCGAGGAGCACAGGATGGACGAAAACCTCGGGTCGCGGGACGGCAAGATCGTGGGGATCGCCCGTGGAGACATGAGGCGTTTGTTCATGGAAGGGTGCGAGGAGTTTGTGCACTTCAACAAGCACGTCAAGGGCTACGAGTTGACGGACGACGGAGTGCGGGCCGTCTTCGCAGACGGGACCAAGTCCGTCGAGGGCTCCCTCCTCGTCGGAGGGGAAGGCATCAACTCGACCGTCGCCAAGCAGCTGTCGGGCGGCCGTCTCAAGGTCTACGATCTCGGCGCGCGAGGCATCCACGGACAGGCGCCGACCGCGGCCTTCAAGGCCCTGGGTGAAGGCGTCTTCCGCCTCGTCGACAACGCCAACCCGCGCGGCCGGCTCTCCGTCATCACCAACGTGCGGCCGAACGACATGGACGACCCCGACGTCGAATTCGGGTGGACCATGGTCGGCGTGCCGGGGGTCATTAAGGCGCCGAACGACGACTACACGATCGTCGGGAAGGTGGCGGCGGACATCGCCAAGTCGCTGACCCAAGAGTGGCATCCGCGCTTCAAGCCCCTCTTCGACCAGATGAACGAGGCCGAGGCCGCGTTCTGGAAAATCACCTGCTCGTCCCCGAGCGGCGTGCCGGAGTGGCCCAACGAACCGCGCGTGTCCCTGATTGGCGACGCGGTCCACTCCATGACGCCCGCTGGCGGGATAGGGGCGAACACGGCCGTGCGGGATTCAGCGTTGTTGGGACGACTGTTGCGCGAGGCCGGCGGGCCCAAGGAGGGTGTGACGGCCGCCTACGAGAGGGAGATGAGGGTCTATGCTAGCGAGGCTGTGAAGTCGAGCTACGGCACCGCAACCAAGGCGTTCAAGGTCCACATCGACGAGTTGTCAAAGACCATCTGAGGGCGGCGGTATGGAGTGGGAAATGGTGGTATAGCACTGGTTACAGGTGTACTAGACGGGGGGGAAATAGATGTCGCGACTAAACCCTTCCCGCGTCTTGCACCAACTTTGTCACGGGATAAATGGCGTAAGTGAATAGAGCGCCCAGTTCGTTCCCCTGACTAGGACTCAAGAGACTCTACCTCGCAGCGCCGGATTATTACCATTCGGGGCTATACCTGGTCGCCGATCAGCTACAGCGGCGAAGGCGTTCACTCGCAAGTAATATGGGCGCGACAGTGTAGTTTGGTCGAGAAGTCTAGAACCAATTTCATGGCTTGCTTTTTGAAGTCTCATTGTCTCGTAGAGTATGGGTATAATATATGGTCCCATCTCCCAGAACGGGAGCGGACCAAATCCTGCCGCCAACGCCATCGCTCACGAAGCATAAAGCGGTAGGAAAGTCACTGTCCGTGCCTGCTGTGTTGTAGGACTGGCCACGAGGATACATCGCAGGTCAGGCCCAGATCAATACCACTCAGGTGGAGTAGACAACGCTCACGCCCACCTTGCCCGTCCATTTCTTGATTCCCCCTCCATCATATGCAACTCCCCCCAGATGCCCGTTACTCTTTTTCCCACTCCCAGATCCCGCGCTTGTTCCGCTGGTCCCAAATCCGCCAGATGCAGTTCCACTAACAGGATGTACCGAGACTCCGACCTCCACAAGCAAACTCTTCACTCTCCCTGCCCACAGCGCCTTGACATTCCAAGAATCGTCCACCCGAAAGTTCAGCACGTTCTCTTCTTCCCGTTCAATCCGCTGTTCCTTAAGAGAGCGTTCGGTCGGGGTGAACCAGTCTCTAGTGAGAGTGCGTGCCCATTGAATTGGATCCCCATTTGTTTCGCTGTCAGGGCCGGTGGCCGTAGAGTCGTTGTCTATATCTCGGGAGGGCGCTGACGAAGAAGAGGTCGCCCGGCGTCGGGGTCGCCACAATTCTCCACCCACAACATACCGAGACTCCCAGGAATAAAAGTTAAAGTCGAACCGAGACGAAAGGGACAGTGCCGATGTTGGACGCACAGAGTAAGTGGACGATATTGACCCAGTGAGAGGAGTCAATGTCAAGGTCATGGTATATGGAAACGAAGAATGCGGTACGTTTGAGGGAGTGAGTAAGGTGTGAGATGCTGTAGAGAGGATGGCGGCAGACGTTCCTACCAGCGGCTTGTTGGATGAATGATTAGGCTGAGGAGGTCGCTCAGACGGTGTTATATGCGGTGTGAGGGTGGTGAAGCGCAAGCCTGTCGAGAGGCCAATGACGTGTGAAAGCGGGCTGTAATAGAACTCTGCGCCAGCAGATAACAGGGATGGTTTAGCGGCAAGGCGATTTTGATATGCAGTCAATGCATCCGCGTGCGGCGGAGTGCTCAGTCCTGGTGAAGGGAATTCTGTGAAGCTATCTATTGCGCCTGCATTTTCCGACGACGGAGTGGGTGTCGATGGAGAGACAACTGGCGTATCAGGTGGGCTAAGGCCAAAATTCCAGAGGCCTCTGACCCCCAGGAGGCCATTGTCTGTCGATCCCAGTCCCTCGATTGAATATTGGCCCGCATCGTGCTGGATGTGGGCAAGGACCGAGGCCGGCGGAGGAGCTGAGTTCGTCACTGGAGTCGAGGCTGATTTGCTATATATGGAGACGGACAGAAGAGTCTCGGGACTTATGCGCCGTGCATATAACGCCGTCAGAACTGATGGAGGGGGAAGATCCAGCGTCGCATGCAGCAAAATCGGCTTCCTCCCATCTTCGCTCAGAAAGTTGGGTATTTTCTTCTTCGCCCCCGGCGGGAAAGCAAGGGGGAGCCTTATATCTCGGTATCCCGGGGTCAAATATTTCAAGGGGATGCTAGGTGCTTCGGAGGGAACGTGGCCCAGTGGAACGCTCGAATAGAGGTAGGATATAGAGCCGTCTATGTGTCCCAGAGTCGACAAGGTGTATGAGGATGCAAAGTTCGGGGTGCTCAAAGACGAGACATGTAAGGACAATGTCGAGGGAGTCTGGAACGAGAGCAATGCGTCTGAGGTTGCGGTCAGAGACGAATAGCTGTTGTCGGGATTCCAATCGGTCGACGTCCCGAAGGCGTGGACAATATAGTCCATAAATCCAATCATTCTGGAAAGTGGTTGAGTTCAAGCGCCCCAGGCGCTATCTCAGATCGAGGTTCATCTCAGAAACATCAGTGATGTCCCACAACAGCGCGTGTTTCTGTACTGTGATGACGCTTGAGAGTCGTGGTCGACATCGCAGGAACCGCAGTTGTTGCAAACTGCTATTGAGGACGTTAAGGTTCGCCGTAATTATGCGGTGGGGCATGAGGTCTGAGAGTGATATTCCTCAGTCTGGCTGCCGCTGGATTCAATATCGGCGACGACGAACAGCCATTCTATCAAAAATAATCGTGTATGGGTGTGGGATACAGGACCACCGTTTCCGTCAGGTAAAGAAGTGTCATTTGTTGGTGAAGATCACCGTCGATCTACCGAGGCTACTAATCGAATGACCTTTTCATCCCACCATCACAATCTCGTCTGACAGTGCCACTTATGTTCCAGCTCGGCGCGCTCCTAAAAGCTTGAGGACTCTTGTCAAAGTCTTGTCTGCACACCTCATCATACTTGGCTTCATTGCTGTCGCTATTACTCAGTCGCTCTCGATGATTTCAATCTATTTGTCACTGAACTTCCCGACTTACGAGAAGCCCAAGTTGCCGCTTTCGGTTCTAGAGTTCCCGACACCGAGCATCGTCTACTCATCGTTACGGCAAACTTGGTTTGGGATTAAGCAGGAAGAAGTGCGAACATCCACATGGCAACGGAGAGACCGTGGTTCCGGATCTTTTCGCCTTTTCAGCCAAGTGAATCCACCAAGTTTGACTTGGCGGACCATTCCAATGCGTTGAGATTGTGTGGTGGTAACAGCCTTGTCACCTGCCCGCCCCAGCTCTGGGGTTACAGCTGACGCCACGAGTCTCAGGCTGCCAGCCAACGCGCTCCAGCTCCCTCGGCTTGCGCTCTAGACTCGGACTTCCCTGGTAGATGCATGGCCAGAGAGACGGCAAGTTCGCGACCACCTACTCAAAGGACGGTGTGATGGCGCTAAGGCGTTGCCTGGATTGCCACGATGTACCCACAGCAGCCTATCACGACCAGTTTGGGTTTATCACGCAATAGCTTACTGCAACGATAAGCTGGACGGCAGGAGGAACTTTTCGCAGATAACACCCATGCTCGTGGGTTTCTAGAAAACCTGCCACTTGCGGATAGTTCTTAAAGACCCTGCCAGGATCTCGCAGGCGTGAATTTCTCCGCATCCTTCAGCTCGCTCGCTATCTCACTGCCTCGAGAAACAGCAGCGCACAATGTCGAAGTCCACCTACGCCGACGAAAAGCAGGTCGATCCCCTCTATCCAGTTGTTGGCGAGGATCAAAATGGGACCGTCCCCTTCGAGGGCTTCAGTGCCTTGATCGCCGAAGGTGTGTCTTCCATCGGCTGGAGAAACGCTAAGCGATTGTTAACAGAGTGTTCCTCTAGATCACAAACATGAGATCAAGCTCCGGACTATGTCCTGGCAGAAGGCAGCCTGGCTTCTTGCTGGCGATCAGGTCTGTCTTGCTATCATGGCCCAAACGTGGTCGCTCTCGTAAGGCTGTCTCGTTCCATTTCCAAGCTTGCAGGACTAACAGCGGTATCCTTCAGAGTCTTAGGATGGGTACCAGGCATCATCACTATGGTTGGTGCAGGTATCCTCTTTTGGATCACCTCTATTACCATGCACAAATACATCATGAAACATCCTCAAATAAGGGATATTTGTAAGTTCTTCCTCGCTTGATACAACGGAGGTCCCCGGGCTCCAGTCAGATGTCCGAACTAACCATCATTGGAACAGGTGATTTTGGCTACTACGCCTTTGGCAGGAGTCGCATCGCATATGAATGGACTGGATTCATGTTGCTCGCCAACAACATCCTCCTCATTGGCTTCCACGTCCTCACCGGTGCCAAAGTCATCAATACCTTATCGAACCACTCCCAGTGTACCGTCGTCTTCTCGATCATCGTCATGCTCATGTACGTTTTCCTCCCTAACCCTAACCCTAAACCTAAGAAACCTCGTTTCTCCTAGTATGAGTTTTCAGTGCTGATGACGAACAGGGGCATTGTTATGTCAATTCCTAGAACATTACGTCACGTCTCATTCATGTCCATGTTCTCAGGTGAGCGGTCGCCCAATCTACCCATCCACGTTTCAATCACTAACCAGGATACATAGCTGCCTGCATGGCAATCGCAATTCTCCTCTTCCTGATCTTCTCGGGTATCGAAGCCCATCCCGGTTTTGGCTATTATGGCGACTATCCTGCTGCTGGAGAGGTCAGGACATACCCTTTCCCTCTTCCTGGAACTACCTGGGTCAATTGGTAAGTGATGTTGAACAGTGTTCTGTCCCTAGAATACCCTTGCCCAAGTATAATCTATCTCGTTACTAATAAAAAGATAGTCTAAATGCCGTCTTGAATATCACGTTCCTTTGGGTGCCCCAGATCCTGTTCCCAACCTTCATCGCCGAGATGGAGAAGCCAGAAGACTTCCCCAAATCACTTGCCGTTCTCACAGTCATTTCCGCCTTTTTATTCATCTGCCCTCCGGCTATCGGTTTCCATTACTTGGGCCAATATTCGACTGCTCCAGCATTCGGCAGTTTGGGTGTCACGGCTTACAAGAAAGGCTCCTTCGCGTTCGTCATTGTGCCTACACTCGTCATCGGTGTGATCTACGCAAACGTCACTGCCAAGTTTATCTACTTCCGAGTCATGGGCAAGTCTCACCATGCCCACAGCAACACTGTCGTCGGGTGGGGTGTTTGGGTTCTGGTCATGGCGGGTATCTGGATCATCGCTTTCATCTTCGCCGAAGTTATCCCCAGCATGGGAGACTTCCTCTCCCTCCTTGGAGCAGCGTTCGACTCGTTCTTCGGCTTCATCTTCTTTGCAGTGGCGTACTACCACCTGTACAAGGGGAGACTGTTCCATGGTGTCTACAGATCCATCATGTCGGTTATACACGTGTTCGTCATGTTTGTCGGGCTTTTCTTGCTTGGACTTGGGCTCTATGCTGCCGTCAAGGCTATCATTGCTGACTACTCGGGGTCTACGACGCCTGCATTCAGCTGCGCCGATCTGTCCATCTAGACGAAGCCATTAGTCGATAGAAAGATCGATCTGAGATTGCTGCTTTCTGTGAGCATCTGCAGGGCAATCGATCAATATACAAGTCTAGAGATAAACAACTATTGACCAAACTGACCAATTTATGCCCAACCTGGCCATGCGTCTTTGATAGTAGTTATATTAGAAGATATTGCTTGCATGGATGCTCAATAAGACTGTACCACTATCGTCCTTTTTAATATTAGCATACTGTATGTCGAAGGTATAAATATGTATTCTTTAGGCGAACTAACACTATCTTAACCTAGGTCCTAGTTGATAATCATACCCCTACTAATTTCGCCGCCGCTTTATCCCATCTGTTCTCTCAGGCGACGGTCAGGAAAAGCCCAATGAATGATTGAAGTCATCCAGTCGGGCTCAGTAATCATGTCGTTGGTCGAAGCATACAAGCGAGAGCTGAAAGTCCTTCGTCTGATCGGACTTCTCGAACATTGCGATCACGAGACCACCATGGACGACCAAGGCAACTAAATAAGCTTTGAAATACGAATAACTCGCTGATAGCCTTTCCATCAGCTGAAAATGGCTTCTCAGCGTCAAAAGTCGACAGCTTCAATGATCCCAATCTCCGAAATTCATCAGACGTACGCATGGCCTGTCATTTCTGAATCCCGCGAGACTGGCAGGATCCGATATCAGGAAAAACCAATATGTCTACATCAACCCCAGCGCTTTCACAGGTCGAAGTCAATGGAGTGAAATTGGCCTACCGCGAGTCCGGGGAGGGCGAACCTCTTGTTCTCGTCCATGGACATCTCTCTGACCACCGCTCCTGGACACCAATCGAAGCCAAACTGGCGGTCAATTTCCACGTGTACAACTACAGCAGACGCTTCGCCTGGCCCAATGAACCGATACAAGACGGCGAGCCTCAGCCCTGGGAGCAGGACTCACTCGACCTGGCTGCCTTCATCGAGACTCTTGGGATCGCACCCGTCCATGTCCTGGGCAACTCGTCGGGAGCCTTCATTGCTATCTGGCTGGCCCGTACTCACCCCCACCTCTTCAGAACTCTGCTGCTGGAAGAACCACCCCTCATTACTCTCTTCCTTCCCAGCCTCCCACCAAGTCTCCTGTCTGTCCTTTCCTTCCTGCTCTGGCATCCTATTTCGTTTTGGCCCGTGATGGTCTTCGGCGCCACAACTGTCTCGCCAGCAACGGCATGCAGCAAAAAGGGCGACTATGAACTCGCCGTGTCCACGTTCGGAAAAGGCGTGCTAGGTCCCAAGTTCTGGGGCCGCGCCCTTGCCGATGTCGCCCGCAAGCGACAGATTGACGACAACTCAAAGGGTCTCTGCCACTTCCTGCGCTACAACTCCATGCCGGAATTTCGAGTGCAAGACGCGCGGAAAATCAAGGTTCCAACGCTCGTGATTACCGGCATTGAAGGACCGCTGTCCCAGCAGTGTATTGACGCCGAACTGGTCAGGGTGTGCGGCGCGAACAGGAAGAGGGAGGTGAAGATCGACGGGGCAGGGCATGCAGTACACGAAGACAACCCCGAGCAGGTGTTTAAGGAGGTGGTGAGGTTTGTATTTGAAGACAAGGCTGCCTAGAATAGGGGGTGGCCGAAACAAGCGGGGTCAAGACGAAAGTTTAACAACACCGGTAACTCGCCGACGGGGTCTGTAGACATTTCATTGTTGAGGACCTCGAAGCAAGCAATTACAGACTCTAGCTGAAGTTTCAATACAGGCGCCGACCGGCAAGCATCCGTTTTAGTAAGCACGGAGGCGGCCCGAAGGACACTGTGAACAGGCCTGGTCCAAAACAGCTCGACACATCGAGTCTATTTAATATTACAAAGCATCGTAGCCTTGTTGTTCGTGCTTATGAAATTGCGTGCGGAAATCGAGCCGCTGAGGCTTCAATCGGTCGGTGTGCTTTCGACGATGTTTACCTGGAACATTGAAGTCGGAGTCTGGGAGCAGCAAAGCCCTGTTTCTCACCCTAAGCGTGGAGGGAGTTGTAATAGCTTGAAATCGCCTCTACTTCCTCCTTCTGTTGATTTCAAGTTTTCTATCAAAGCCCAGTCAAGCTTGTCAACATATCTGGTCCGACATGGATCAACTCCCCCAACTTGGACGCTCAGTTTGGGAGGTCATTCCCCAGACCTCGGAAATATACGCTTCTCTTCTGAACCGCAGCGCGAAAGATGCGATCCTGGCAACCAACCCCGAAGTTGCGAGTTACGGTCCTGACCCTCGTCAGGAACTGGACGTCTACGCGACCAAGTCTAGCACGGCGCCCGTCATGGTGTTCCTCTACGGCGGAGCTTGGGTTGAAGGAGACAGGGTCATTGGCGGCATCCCCGATGGGCTCGTGTACAGAAATCTAGGCTACTATTTCGCAGAAAAGCAAGGATTCGAAACGATCATACCCGACTATCGACTCGTCAGGCATGGCGCTAAATATCCTTCGGGAGCAGAGGACCTTGCCCTTGTCCTGAGATACGTCAGGGGGAGATATGGCGTTGAGCGACCGCTGTTTATTCTGGGCAATTCTGCAGGGGCTGTCAACACCATGTCATGGCTCCTTGATGGTGCTTTCAAGGAGAGCCGTGAGAAGAGTAACTTGACTGGAATCATCAGCCTCGGAGCTCTGATGAACTTTGAAGAACTGCCTTCGCCATTTCCGGAACTGCTTACGCAGTACTTTGAAGAGACCTATACATCGAGATCTCCTTTGGCGTTACTACGATCTGCGGCACTGAACAGCCAGCTGCATCGGGACATGCCGGCATTGTTGATTCTCTGGAGCGAACTGGATCCCGACGTTATAATCAAATCAAACCGTGATTTTCTGACCGAGTTGAGAAAGAACGACCTCCGAGCCGACGCCAACGAGATAATGGGCCACAATCATATCAGCCCGCCGATGTCTCTGGGAACGGGACTGGAAGCTGAGGAAGAATGGGGTGCGTCAGTTGCTGCTTGGATCACGAAGCACGTTGCGAAGAGTTGAGCGGTCAACTTGACTATTAGCTCTCTGGCCCGAGCACACTACATGGAAAAGGAATGGTGTTAGGGATTGCAAGGACGATGTAGTATATTTCCTATGAACTATTCATCTGGGACTGCAGTTGATGTTGTTTTGTGGATAAGCTTGGCCCATGAAATTCCCCTGCATAGAACACTGCCAAATCAAAGTGCTTAACAGGATTTTTGAGAAAGAATTAAATATCAGACCCAAAGGAGTCCATCAGTCCTGCTATTCGGATATTGAGACTGAAATTCCAGCTGGACTCAACCTAGTACTCCCAGTGGACTTCCTGTAATTACAGCAGTATTCTGTTCAGAACTGGGCAAGCAAGAAAGCATAGTTTTCCGAAGCACGGGCAATACTAAGATGGTGATTGCGGCCCTATTGTCTGATATTGTTACGGATACATCGGTCAGTAGAATATAGTACACCAAAGCCAAACATGCATCGATACTGAGAAGGCGAGGTCTACAAATGTACGTTCAAGTGGGATGCCACCCGTTTAATTTCACTGGCAGGGCCTTTGAACAGAATAGAATCTGCAAGTCCAAAAGATCACAAGCCGAGTTCAGTGTAGAACCCTCCAGTTCCTACCGAAGTGTTCTCATGCGTTGTACACTTTTAAAGGCGTCCCCATCAACTGTGCCTTGATCTGCAAAGCGATGAATCGACCATAATACCTTGCGATCCCGATGTCGCCTCCCGTGAACCATACTCCTGGGTCTATAGGAACAAAAACGTTAACCCCCAGTCCTCTTCTGACGGACAACAGGAATCTTGGAGTACTTACGTCCGGCATATTTGAACGCTGCCCTCAGCTCCCCCTCCGCGTCCACCCCCCAGAAATCGTCAAGCTGACCTGCAACCTCAGGTCCAACGATTCCACCTGCGATCTGGCGCATGTTTTGAACAAAGCCTGTCGTGAAAACAATAACATCGGCTTTGAGTTCTGTGCCGTCCTCGAATGCAAGCCCGTCGGGGGTATAATGCGTCGGGGGACTTCTGGACTTCACTTTGATCTGGATATCATCCTCAGCAGCAGTTGATAGGAACCAATACCCACAACCTACCAATCCTTTGCTGATTTTCGCAGAAGTACCTACGTCCATGTAATGACCGCCCAGGCGTTCGAATAGGACGTGCATCAGGTCTCCGTATCTTTCGACGTCGAACCCCGCTTTTTGGAGCGCGTCGAACCGTTCGCTATCATTGCGGGCCATGGTGTGTAGATAGTTCATCATGATTTGACGTCGAATGGACGCAGGGAACGTAAAGCTTTCCCGATCGGCCATCTCGGTTGGGGTTTCGGCATTATAGTACGCTAAGTTGAAGCTCAGTACTCCGAGGTTGAAAAAGACCAGGATGGTTGAAATACCTTTGATTACCTCCTTGTAGTGCTCCGCAGGAAGGACCCCTTGAAGATGTCAGTTTAATGGTACAGAACACAAGGGACATACCGTGTACATGTGCGGCTCCTCTGCACCATGGTGACTGATGCAAGTCCAGCATTCAGCATGTCATCCGCGACGTCATGTCCTAGAACCGTCCGATTAAACAGTGGGCATATTGATAGATGATCAGAGGCTTTTACCGGTATTTGCTGAGCCCACAACAACTCCGCGGAGCCCCTTCCATTCATTCGAGTTACGATACTCGGAAGAATGCAGGACGATTCCTTTGAATTGTTCCTATGTGGCGGTCAGTCATTTCGATGTGAAGAGGATAGAAGGCGGTGCCCACCCTATTCGGTAGCAAAGGCATCACAGGTAAGCGTCCGCCCGAGCCACTGGCAAAAACCAGATGGAATGTCGTCAGAGTGACTTCTTCACCACCTCGATCCAACTTGCAAGTCCATATCTTCTTTTCTGGTGACCAGGAGCTGGCCACTAGTTCAGTTGATTGCCAAATATTCTGGGCCATGTCAGCAATGGAGGCTAGGAATCATGGAGATTGCATACGATTCCGAATCTCTGGACATAATCCTTGTGGCCTTTGGCAATGTGCTCTTTGCCCAAAAACTCTGGGTATGAGCTGTCGTATGTCCGGTAAAATGGCAGGTGTCCTATAAGTCCGAATTAGTGACGATAAAGCCTTTGCAGAACAACTATACTTGCCATATTCTCGGACCGTATGGACTGCTTCATGGTCAGCTCTGAATCCACAATGACGTTCCAGGGA